ACCGAAAATTTTCGGATATTCGGGATTTTTATTTTGTTTCAAGATACTAGGAACCGTTAACCTCAAAACCGACCGACCCCCTAGTTTGGACACAATTCTAAACAATTTTAAATACATTTTACTAATACAACATACATAGAGAGATATACAACATTATATACAACAATTAATATACACTTATATACAACAACTTATATATACAATCCAAGCAATAAACATACATATACATTTATATATTATTTATAGAATACACACAAATAATCATCGCAAATATATATCCAATCTTCCTTTCTATATATTTCCCTTTTATCCTCATCATCTCTCCATTTCCTCTATCTTGTGCTACCAGTGTTGCGCATAGAGCTTGAAGTAGTGCCTTTAGTTCCAGAGCCGGCAGTTCCAAGAGCCTTCTTTTGCGATTCGGTTCTGCTCCTCACAGACTCGGTTTTGCTCCTCTGTGTGCTTTCCCGGACGCGTTCAGATGCGGCTGGACGAACACTGGCCCCGGCGCGGGCAGAAGTATTGGAGCGGACAGAAGTGCTGGAGCGGACAGAAGTGGTTGCAACATTGCTAGCCATCGGCGGTGCTGGCGGTGGATATTGAACCGGCTTTTGTTTGCAGCAACATAGACGAATGATATGCCAAGTCAGAATGCTGCAAAAAAAGGAAAAAAATTATTTTGGATCAAGAGCCATTTTTTATTCTCACAGGATAAGAGCGATCATAACACCACCCAATGCACTGTCGACGAGTCGGCCATCATCCATGCAATCCTCCTGGAATGTTAAAAAATTTTTTTATTACTTAAAAAAAATTTTGTTACTGAGGTCTGTGATGGAGTAGCAGACGGTGGTTGTGTTTCTGGTGGTGAGAAGGCAACAGAAGGCACCGGAACGAAGGCTGAGAGCATCAAGGCAATTGGCAACAGCAACAGAAGCACGTTGACGGACAGGGACCCTTTGCGGGTCAAGCAGAACATTATTACTTGCAGGGCAAAAGATGAGACCAAGTGTAGCAATTTTTGAGCATGTAGTGTGATTGGGGGTTTTTATAGTAAAATTTCTACAAGCTTGCTTCAAAATCTTTAAAAACTAGTTCTATTTGGTCCAGTTCCCTTCTACATATTTAAAAATTCATTAAGAGACACTAACGGTTTTTCTTTTAACTTTTCAACGAACTTTTTCTTAGCCCTCCTCCCCCCTAGTCCAACGTCTCACATATAAAAATAATTTTTGCTAAATTAAATTAGTAGTTTTTTTAAAATATTGTACAGAATATCAGTATTGTTATCACGATACGGAGTACGGTACCATACGAAGTTTCGGGCTCTAGTTTTACCTAAGAAATAATAAAGCGATAGATTCAGTTGTGATTTTGTTTATTATTTCCTAAATTATAAATTCAAATTTTTAGTCATTCTATCTCTTAATAATACTAAAATAATTTAATTATTTTTAAAGGAAGTTTTTTCGCTTCTTCCAAAACTTAAACATCTCGATTTGAGGTAATTTTTAAAATAAAATTATTTCTTAAAAAATTTATTTAGTGGAAATCCAGTAAATTCTTGGTCACCACACATTTTTATGGTTTTTTAATTAATTTTTAAATTAAAAAAAATTTAATTAAAAATCCAAGGGTTTAAGCCAAATAATAACAAAAATAGATTTATCAAATGTTGGCCTATTTTCCTTGCCTCGTCTACGTTCATCTTCATTAGAATATTTAAATTTAAGCAATAATTTTATTTATGAAATTGACCCCAAAGAAATTGAAATATTTCCCTCTCTTCTTTCTCTTGATTTATCTGGAAATAGAATTGTTGAATTAAATGCACAAATTTTTGAAAAAATGCCTGAATTGAAAGGTCTAAATATTAGCGACAATGGTAATAATTCTGTTATTTTTTAAAATTATGATATTTCTGATTTTGAGTTTAAATTCTGAGTTTAAATTCTGTTTTTTAATTTTTGATTTTAAATTCTGACCTTTCTGATTTTTCAGATTCTGAGTTTAAAATTTCTGATTTGTTAATTCTGATTTTAAATTCTGGTTTATAATTCAGGTTTCTAAATTCTGATATTTCGATTTTTGATTTTAAATTCTGATTTTTCTGGTATTTCATTCTGGTTTCTGAATTCTGATATTTTAAATTCTGATATTTGATGTCTGATTTAAATTCTGACTTTTATTTTCTGGTTTTTCATATTCTGATTTGTAATTTTATTGTTAACTTCTGATTTTTAAATTCTGATTTTCCTTATCAGAATTAATTTTGAATACTATTCTGATTTTAATAATTCTGATAATTTAAAATTTTTATTTTTTTCTGATCTCCAATCATTGGACGACAACCATTTTCGTGCATTAACTCAATTAGAAAGTTTAACAATTGCTCGTTTACCACAACTTGTTTCTTTTCCTTCTCCTCATTCTTGGGCAAATTTAAAGAGATTGAAAGAACTTGAAGTAAATTTTTTTAAATTAATTTTCTTCCTTTTCTTCTCAGTTACATTCTTTACCGCCAAATATTTCTCCAAAAATTTCCAAAATTTTACAATTTTTACCTCCACTTCATTCTCTACATTTTGAAAGTCGTGAGGCTGAATTTACTGGTTCAGAATTGGAATTATTAGATTTAAGATTACTTCGAAAATTAACAATTACTGGAAGGTCTATTAGACGAGTTTTGTTGTTTTTTCCATTTAAAAATAATTTTCTTTTAAATTTTCTAACAGATTTCCCCAAACGCTTTTAATAATCTTAGAGGTTTTCGGTTAGAATTAACAATTGAAGGAACTCAATTACGAGAATTCCCCATTCAATCATTACAAAATATTAAAGGAATTACTTTTTTACGTTTAAATTTATTGAATAATAAACAATTAAATTTTTTCAATCCCTTTGGAAATTTTAATAAATGGTCACCACCTTTTTTGAATGGATATGGTACTATTTTGGAGAAATTGGAAATTAAGGTAAAATACATAAACATAGTTTGATTAAGAATTAGTGTTCGGCTCGGGTTGGATCAGAGATCGAGGACCTGGACCAAGGTTTTTCCTGTACCCAGAGTCCAGGCCCAGACATTTTTTGACCTTCCTGGGTTTTTCCTGGGCCTGGGTTTTCCTGGACTACAGTCCCAGAATCCGGCCCAGGTCAATAAATCAAACCCAGAGTCCAGGAACAGGCCCATTCTTTTCAAAAAATCTCGATATCTAGTTCGGATACACTTTCGTACTATGTATTTATAAGTACTGAAAAGCCATTTTCTGACACTAGTAAAAGAATATAGGCAAAATATAATAGCATTTTTTAATGGAAGTTAGAAACTATGTATTTGAAATAGTATTCTAGATATCTCTTAAAATATAAAAGTTTAATCCATTTTTTATAAAAATTTCTTGCATAACCCGCAATAATAAACTAATAAAAAAATTTTTTAAGCAAAATTCACTTTTCTGTGATTGTAAAATGGCAGAATGGCTATTTAATTGGTTGGAAGTAAGGATATCTTCAAATGAAGTATTAAATGATAAATCAGTTATTGACAGCCTTTTAATGCAAAGTGATTGTCTCATTGGTGATTCTTCTGTTTTAAATAAGGTAATAATTAATTTAAATTTAATGGTTATTCAAAAAATTGAAATTCAATGCTATTCAATGGTTATCTACAAATTTTTAATGATTAAGTTTATTAATTAATAAGTTTATTTTATTAATAAGTTTATTAATCTTGTTAATTCTGAGTACAAATCGAATTATAATTTTTTTAAAACAAGGAACTAGTGGCTATAACAAGCTTTCTTTTAAATTTTTTTTCAAAGAGAATCTAGGCCAGATTAATTCAAAGTTTCAATCTTTAATGTAAAATTTAGTTTCACAGAATTTTATTTTAGAAAAATCTTCTGAATAAAAATCTGAATAAAAATCTGTTCCAAATTTATTAAAAAATATATTTTTTACTAATTTCTAATTTTAAATTAACAGAAATTAGATAAATTAATTAATAATAATCATATTGGATTTAAAACAATTTCAATAACCAACTGGATCAGAGAATTACGAGAGCTAGCAAAGGCTTCAGATTTTGAAAATTTCTATGAATTTTGTAATAATTTAAATGAAAAAGAAAATTCTGGAACTTCAAATTTAATTAATTTTAGAATATTTTATTTTATTATTTTATTTATTTCAATATTGAGAGTAATTAATTTATAAAAGAAAAATTTAGAAAAAACACAATTTTGTGATAACCAATTAATTTTATATAAACAATTAATTTTGTTAAATTAAAATACAATTAAATAAGCACAGTTTCGATTAATTTTATTGATGGAAATAAACAAAGATATCTCGAAAATATTCTTACGTGTCTGATAAAACCAACAAAAATTTTTAAGGTTCTAAAAAATGAAAGGTTAAATCAAATTATTAAAATTTCCTGATTAAACTTTGTAAATTTTATCAAAAGAGAACATTGAAAAAATAGTTAGACTATCAATTAAGAATTAAATTTAATTACTGGAGGGAAAGTTACCCTACCGAATCTCAAAAATTGGTGGTGAACCAGTTTAGTTTTGAGCTAGAAAATGTATTAGCTCATAACTTCTTTGTTTTCCATATTTTAAAGGCATATATCTTCACCATTACCAACTGATCACGTTGTTGTGGCCTACCCTACGCTTGTTCACGGATTAACTCTAAATAGTCACAATCTCTACGCGATAGCGACGACCACCATTCTCTCTCTCTTTCTCCGAGGATGGAGACGGCCGCGGAAAAACCAGCTATCTAAAACAGCTATGCGTCAAAATTTTCGTCTGGCAAAACTGCCACTTTTTCGAATTCTCAAAATATGCCAAATGACAGAACGCCAAAATTGGACAAAAATGACGCCAAAAATCCGCGACAAACGTTATCTTGCACAATCCTCTTGTTAAAATTTCTTTAATATTTTAATTAAAAACAATTAAATTTCCATTATTTTTAGTTGTATTTGTATGTCATCAGCGTCAGAATATTCTGCAGATTTATCATCTTCACTTATTTCTGGCTACACAAATTATTGCTCTTCCTGTAATCAAAACAGTAATATTTTCACTTCTTCATCTTCATCTACTACTAATTCTCGTAAAAGTAGTAGGGAAACTGTTTCACCAACATATTTGCTTTCTACAACTTCCTCTGGTTCATTGGAAAGTCTTAGAGCACCTGCTGAAGTTTTTAAATTGTGATTGAATATTTTTGAATTTTGTTTTTCTTGTAGATTGTCTAGGAATTAGAGATGAAGCTGGACCAAGGCCTGCTGGGCCTGGGTTTTTCCTTGACTATAGGCCCAGGATCAAGCCCAGGTCAATAAATCAAACCCAGGAACAGATCAAGGCTTTTCAAAAATCTTGATCTCTACTGGGAATATTCCTTCATACTTGCCATTCCCGTTTTCTAATTTTGAAAAAAATTTTTTTGTTGAAAAATCCTCCTCTTTAAAAATCATCTCAATTTCAAACCCAAAAGATCGAATACATTTTCCATATTTAATTTATTATTTCGATCAACTGGGTGTCCACCAACCTTTCCTTTTTAAAAATTGTTTTTTTTTAATTCTCATCATTTTTTAAATTTATTTTATTTTAGAATTACAACAAAAACATATCAAATAATGAAAGACCAAATAGACAATAATCGTGAACTTCGATCCAAAATAAAGGATGATGATTTTATTCAACAACAATTGTCTTTGTTGTCTCCAGGAATTGATAATTCGGAGAAACGATTTTTGGTTCACAAGGTTCTTAATTTTTTTGAAATAAATTTCTTGTAGTTTTTCAAAGTTGAATTCACATTTTGGGTGTTGGGGACTCATTTTCTGCCCTTATAAAAATTATTTTCCCCGGCCGGGTTCGAACCCACGACCCCCTCTCTTCCCAATTTTCCAAATATTTTTTAGTTCACTCGTTCAGCAATGCTTTTGCCAGATTTTAACGACTATCAACGTCTCAGTCCGTTAATTAATGCTTTAGTTAATGAAGTAGATACAAATGATTTGCTTGGATGTTCTACAGCATTGGAAATGTTGGCTGATATTGCTTCTTCGAAACAAGAAAATATTAATTATTTTGAAAGTATTGGACTCTTACAAAAAATTTATAAGCTTTTTCAAACGACAAAAGAAGATACGGATATGGGTATTACACACACAGGTTTTTTAAAAAATTTTTTGAATTTTTCTTTGATAGGTTCTTCCTTTGGTTAGGCTTTCCCTTAACGTTTATTAAGGGTTAATTTAGTTTATTTGTGGTTTAGTGGGTTACGGGAGTGTGTCTGGGCATTTTTCGGCGTTAGGTTCAATTTTTTCCTATTCATTTTTAATTTGAATAAAAATTAATTTTCCCCAATTTCCGCAAATATTTTTATTTCTAATCCTTTCTTAAAAAGTTCTTTAAATAATTCTGAATTTTTATTTTCTCAAGCCTGTATTCGTTTCTTTGGCTACTTAAGTACAACAGATTCTAATGCTTTAGAAAAGTTTCCAATTTTTACTTCTGATGTCTTTGATGCAATTTATCATTTTGATTCTCTTGATCCTCTTAGACGCAAATTGGCTTTTGAAACATTTGCTGTTGTGACAAAAACTATTGGAGCAAAAAGATTCTTGAGCAGCGAAAATTGTATTTTTATTAATTTTTCAATTTACATGAAAATTTTCCAAAAGAATCCCTCACCCCTTGCGATTAAGACCCCTAAAAAATAACTTGAGAAAAGTATTGGGGAAAGGAGGGAGTGAACGATTTTAATTTAATTTTAAATTTTATGGTTCTCATTTTTCATTTCTTACTAATTTTGCTTGCATGACTTTGGCTAGTAAATAAATCAAAAAATATTAAGGTGTCCGACCTAAAAACGGTCGACACCGGGCTCATTCGATAGAGAAAGTGCTCTTTCTAGCAAGGATTTTGAGCCGTTTTTGCCCGTTTTTTGATCTGGCCAAGATATGGCCCTCCATAGTCTCGACCGTTTTTAGGTCGGACACCTCACAACCTCTCCGTGTAAGGGTATTGATATTATTTTCAATAAGGATTTTTATTTAAATTTTTAAAAAATTATTTTTCAAAGGTCCATACAATATTGCTAAAGCCTTTAATTGTCTTGCTGCAGCAATTGCGAGAGGATCAGCTACACCAGAAAGGAAGGCTTGGTATTTAGATAATATTACTACAATATTTGGAAATGTTGAGAGTGCTGAATCTTCAAATATTTTAAAAATTTGGTTTAATTATTTGGGTGAACACTTCCCTAAATTACTTTTTGATTGTCTTAAGAAATTAATTCCGGAAGTTCAAATCGCTTCTTTAAATGCTTTAATTGCTTTAATGAAACATCAATGGGCACCAGAATATTTTTGTTTAATTGATGGGTTTGTTTTTTATTTTTTTTACCGAGCTTATAGAGTTTTGGGCATTTCGGGCCTTTGAAAAAATTTTTTAGTAAAATAATTTTCTAATAAAAAAAATCGGACAAAATTGTTTCGAGTTCTCCGTTGAAATCTTTAGTAAAATAATATTCTCGAATGTTTTTTAATTTTAATATGAAATAATTGGGTAAATACGGGGAAGAGGGATAATTTTATAAATAAGAGGGATGATAATTTAACATAATATAGTAAATTTCTGAGGATTTATCATCCCTCTTATTTATAAAATTATCCCTCTTCCCCGTATTTACCCAATAATTTCATAAATTGGAATTAAAAAATATTCGAAAATATTATTCTGCTAGTAATTTATTTTTATCGTTATATGGCCATTTTTGTAAATTTCAAAAATTTTTTAAAATCTTTAAAATAATTTAAATATTTATTTTTTAGGTTTATTAATTTTCTTCTTGATCGAGAAATTCATTTTTCTACAATTGGTTATCAACTTAAATATGATCTTATTTGTCGTTTTATTGAAATTAAGCCTTCTTCAATTAATTCTGATTTAATGGAGAAATTAATTATTTATCGAAATATGGGAGTTTATGCGCCTCCAGAAAGGCATTTAATTGCTACAAAGAAAATTGATTAAATGTGAATATTAATTAGATTTTTGTTTTTGGTTGAAATTTATGTGTTTTATATAATTGTTTAATAAAAAATGAATCAATCCGTGTTTAGAAAAACTTTGGATATTAGAAAATCATTTTCAATTAAATAGTAAAAATAGAATTGCAACTATGTTTAGGGGTTTTGTCTGTAAACAATTAATCTTTTAGAGGTTGACACAAGTGTTTGAGTTGTTTAAAAATTTCATAATTTTTTAAATGAAGTTGATTTCAATCCTTTCTCGTTTTCGAGTAGATTTTTTCTTCTGTTTTAAAGAACATAATAATAAGTTGGGATGGGAAAAACATGCAAATGCATGTTTTTGTATGCGGATATGCCATGATGAAAAACAAAAATGGTGTCTTTACATTGGTCCTAGCACTCTAGGACTCGGTTCTTAATGCATATTTTGGCAAACTGCAAAGCCACGAAAGATGATTACTTCAATCAGAATGAAAATAGCAAAAATTAATTTAAAATAAAAGCAGAACTATATAAAAATTAATAATTCATCCTTTAAAAATTAATCCAAATTTTACAAAAAATTTGGAACGCTTCACGAATTTGCGTGTCATCCTTGCGCAGGGGCCATGCTAATCTTCTCTGTATTGTTCCAATTTTAGTATATGTCCATTTGGAATGAACATAAGGAAGCAAAAGTTTTTTCAATATAAAGATGGATGAAAATTTATTGGAAATAAGTGTCGCTGTTCTAAAAGAACGGATAATTTTTTCTCACCCCCATGCTCTCTCGTTCCTATTTTTTCTCTTTTTTAATAATGAAATGTAAAATACATAATTTCATAATATCTACTTACAAAAAGGTAATAGTAGATTATTAAGACAATAAGACAGCGAGACATTTGGACAATGAACTAAAAGTTACTATAAAAGGCTTAAACAAAAACAATTTAAAACATTCCAACATCAGTCGACAACAACACCAACAACAAAGCACAAGGCAAAGAAGGTCATCATGGGTGGAGGACAGTCAAAGTCCATCGCTTCGAAAACATCCAGAGCTACAAGAGGCGAACGTGGAACTGCGGGATCAGATTCATCTGCTATGGACAAAACTCCAGCCTCCAGCAATATGAAGGGAGAGGATAAGGACGACGATAAAGAGGATGGGATTGTTGGGGAAGGTTTGCTGGGAGAAGGACGTTTTCTTGAAGTGCCGAGACGAGCCCACAATGTTTGCGGAATTTTTGAGGACACTTATCTGATTGTGGAGCCTTTTGACGATCAAATGGAAAGGGATTTGGCTATCTACAGTATCTTCAACTCGCAGCAGCCGTGGGCACCTGTAATTGCTTAGTTTTTCTTCTTAAAGAAATTTTTTACTTTTTAGCCAGTTGTTGCATATATTGCTAGACCAGAAGCAACTCGAAGAGATGCAAAAGAGTCATTTGACGCATTCCTGCAAGTCTCGAAAGCTCATGATGCAAAAGAAGGAAAGAACGGGCTTAAGTTTCCTCACATCCCAAAGTGTGTATTGAAAGGGAAATTGAAAAGGCTTGTCTTTGGTATTGAAGAATTCCAGCAATACGAACACGACCCGGATTGGATTAGTAGACCAGCAATTCTCTACAATATGCCGGCCGGAGTTTTTGTTAGTTCTTTGTTGGCAAATGCCCCTCTTGGGTGAGAGAAAGAGAGAGAAAAAGTTTTAGTCTAATTTTTGTCTTTTTTAAAGGATTGAGGAGCCTTGGCTTGCTTTAAATGTTGGAATTGGTCTAGTACAAGCTTTGAACTCTCTTCACAAATTGGGATTCATCCATCGCTATGTTACTCCTTGGAACTTTTTGTTGAAGACTCCATTCACAATAGAAGGGTTAAGAGATGATGTTATGCACATGGATTTTAGTTTGGCTGTTAAATGGCCTTCAAGGTGGGAGGGAATAACGAAACAATTGAATTAAATTTTAACTTTTTTAGGCAGAACAAGCAAAACGATTTGGTTGGAACGCGCAAATATAGTTCAAAGAGAGCTCTTACTCGGCATGTTCAGGTACTTTATTGGAGGGACTTTTCTCTTTTAATTATCAGACCTATTGAGAGTAGAGGGATAGCTGAGAGCGTTACAAAATGTTGGGATAAGTGAGAGACTTGGGAGAATAATTTTAAAGGGTCTCCCCTCAAAACTTACTCATTAAATTGCTTTTGATTAAATTTATTCTTTTTCAGGGTCCAGCAGATGACTTTATTTCTGTAATCTACATTGTTGCCGAATTGATTAGTGGAAAGTGAGTTTAAAAAATAAAAAAATTTTTAAACAAAAATTTTATTTTTTAAGGCTTCCTTGGCGTGCAGCAAAAACGGTTGCTGTCTCTGCTCAATTGCGTGATACTTTTGCCACTCATGTTGTCTTCACTCGTTTGCCTAGAGAGATTCGTCTTCTATATCAGTAAAAAATTAATTAGAATTAATCTTTTTAGCTGATTATTTTTTAGTAAACTCAATCGAACCCCTGGAACTGTAGATCCCGACTATGGAATGATATTGAAAAGCTTCTTTGGTGCACTTAAAAGAAAAGCGCCAGATTTGCAGACAAAGGAACTTCCTGATTGGATGTCGATGCCTGCAACATAAAGAGAAGATGAATAAATATCTCTCGATTGTGATAATAAATGTATAAAATATGTATATAAAAATGTATATAGATGTATATAAATGTATAAAAATGTAGATAAAAAATGCTCGACATATTGTTTTTCTGAAAGAAAGAGTTTTGCAAAAGTTTAGCCACCGGGCAGGATTCGAACCTGCGACCTCCCCTTTTCGCTCGCTATATGCAGGAGCTCTACCTCTGAGCTACCGGGGCATCGACTAATGGTTTCTCTTTTTCCTTTTTAGATCGTTTAACCCCCGCCTAAGCGTTTTAAATGCTGCTGGGTGAATCATCCTTACATGAATGAGTTTCCTGTATGACGGAATTTTTCCAGTTGTAGTTTGACCTCTCCTCCTCAGGCCATGACAAATTCTGGACTAGAGGTTCATTATTTCGGGGAGGTGGCAGAACGAAAAAGTACCTTTGTAGTAGCCTTTTTTTGTTTTGTGAATATTTTTATTGTTCAACTCTAATTCAAAAAAATTTTCAATAAATTTTTAAATTTAAAATATCATTCTTTTAAAATCCTTTTTTCTCTTTTTAAAGAAAAATAGTTATGTCTGTTTATTCTTTTAGCTTCTACTATCGTTAAGCTTCTTTAAATTTTTCTTTTGTTTTCTTTAAAGTTTAAAGTTATACATACACATTTTAAACGTTTTCTACCTTTTAGTTTTCTCCTCTTAAAGAATTTGAAAGCAAACAAAAATTAAAAAGAAGAAAATTATCTCTTTTTTTTTTAAAGAATAAAATGGAAGCGCAAGGAAAAAGATTAGCAGTTAAAAGTAAATAAAACAAAAAAGAAATTTTTAAAAGTAATTTTACTTTATTATTTTACTTGTTTTTCTGCAAAAAATTATTCTTTTTTAAATTTATATTAATAATGTCAGACCTCGATTTTAGATACCTTCTCTTGAGACTGGAAAAATACTTATAGATTAACATCGTTTCTAAAGATCCTCTTGGGACTTAAATTGTGGATACCTTCAATACCTTTAATTTTTCTGATGAACTTGAGTAGCCTAATGCCACCCCCCACCTAATGGCTAACCAATAGAGTTGTCAGTCCCGTGAAATTCTTCGGATATCCGAAACCGAACCGAAAAATCATCGGTTCATCAGTTCTGTTCAGTCCAGAACCGACAACTGCGAGGAAATCCAAATTCGAGATCTGATATTTTGTTAGTCTCTATAAAATAAATGGCAGCAGCCCCAAGTATTTCTTCCTCTAATCAAAAACGTTCATATTCCCCTTCAATTAAATCCCCACCACTTATTTTACATAATCGTTCCGTAAGTAATAGTCCATCATTGTTGGTAAATGCCAATAAATTGCTTAGTGATCGACCACAACTTATTGACTGTCCTCGTTGTAAGGTTTGCTTGAATATAACTTGTATTTTTAATAAAATATTTACAATATCCATTTTTATATTTTTTTAAATTCTATTTTAAAATAGAGCTGATAGTAATTTAGGAGAATTTAATTAATGTAAGGGAAGCGAAGTTCCCTCCAATCCTAGTAAATAAAGCTAGAGGATACTGGTGGGTCGAGAGGTTAATTCCGAGAGGATCTCTCAGAATTAGGCCTATCCAATCTTTTGTTATTTTTTGGTATTTCTTCCGACTGGATGAATCAAGTCTGATCACAACTTAAAAAGTTACAAGTCGATAAATGTGAAAAACAACGATTACTTGCACTTATCGACCTGTAACTTTTTAACCGGAGATCAGACTTATTCATCCAGTTGGAAGAAATATACCGCTTATCGAGAGTTTCGAATGATTTAAGGTTCATTCGAATTGAGTCAATTATAAAAAAAAGTTGTAGCCGGGCGCTCAACTTCCCCGCTCCGCTAACAAATAACTTAATTTGTTATTAAATATTAAATTAATAAACAAAAATTATTTTCTCATTAAAAACCCTAATTTAAACTTTTGTTTTTTTTCAAAAATAGGCTCATGGCTATACAGAAATTAAATTTGTTGCTGGATTATTCTCTTGGGTTTCATTTTTGATTATTTTAATTGCTGGAGTGTTTATTCTTCCATTATTTTTTCTTTGGGTTCCATTTATTATTGAGACATTTAAAGATGCTGAACATAGATGTCCAAATTGTAAATCACATATTGGAACATTTAGAAGGATGGGAAAATAAAAAGAAAATAAAAAAATATTTTTTAAAGGATTGTTTTTTAATGCAAAATTTTTATTTTAAAGTTTTATATTTTTAGAAAAATAAGAAAAGCTATATTTGATAATTATAAGGCAGACGAAGTTTCCTCCCAATTTATCAAGTAAAACTAAAATGAAAACGATCAGTCGGTAGTGAAATGGTTGAGAGTTACTTAACAACCTTGTATCGGAGAGCTCAGGCTAATGTCATATCCCATCCTTTGCTATTTTCTGGGTGGGTTCGACCGCTTTACTTAATATAATCGAACCTCGTTTCTAAATAAACTCTTGGGGCCAAAATCGAGCCTTATAATTAGTGACAAAACATAGAAAATTGTGAGCTAGAGTCCTTTTCCTCACATTTATCTTGTTGCGTTCTCAAGCATTTATTTTCTTCATTTATTTCTCTCGTGCTGGAAAGAAAAAGAAGGGGACCCCCAATTAAAAAACTCGAGGTTTGGAACATCTAAAAGAAAGTCCTGCCTTTATATTGAAATCAACATTCGAAATAAAGAAAATTATTAAGCAAAGGTTGATTCACTAAAAATCATTTCTTGAAAATAAATGAATCATTTTAAAGAGGTTTCCAAATTTTTGTTTATTATTATTTAGAAAAAAGCGATAGATATTTTTAAAAATAAGAAAAAAATATTTTGAGAAGAATTATTTAAATTTTGAATATATTTTAAATGAATCCTAGAAGGCCATCAAATTTTCCAAGTTTGTTAATTAAAGATTTTTTAACTTAATATTAAATTGGGTACGCCCCAACATATCGTCAAGTTATAACTTAATTCAAAATGGTCGAATCCGGGACGCCCTGTTATTTTTCGATGCGCCTAGAGCGAATTGAACTTAATAAGACGTCCCGGATTTGGTAATTTTTAACAGCTCTGCGGTACCTTGCAGTACTTTAGTCTTCTCACTATTAAAATGAAAATGATTTAATTTCTATTTTGTTTATTTTCTCTCCTATATTGAATTTCCAAAAAAATAATTTATTGGTACATAATTTATGTATATCCACTAAAAATATAAACAAAATAAATACTAAATACCCCCCAAAATCAGTTTTACAAAAAATATCGATGAATATTAAAAATAAAAATATTAACAATTCAATAAATTCACGTCGACATTCTATTCAATGTATTTTTGGGAGATTTTTAGGCTAATTATTTTTTATTTTTAAATTTTTAAAATTAAATTTTATTTTTGTAGAAGAATTCCCAAAGGTTGAAGATGCAAAGAAAGGCGAACAAAAACGTCGTGGAACGTTGGCACAGCTTTTGCTTGGTGATAAACAATCAGGGAAAAATACTCCTGAAGAGGGAAATTCTGGCAAGTTTTTGGAGAAAATATTTTTAAAAATTAAATTAAAACAAATTTTTGGCGTTCTGTTTTTAATTATTGAGAAAATAAAACGACCATTTTGTCGCGATTTTCTATCGCATACACAAACAATTTTTTGGAGGTTTTGATAAAAAATTTTTTATAGAAGCTGGCAGAAGTACTTTCCATTTTGTTTCTCCCAAAGATAAAAGGCAGTCAAGAAGTACTTCGAGAAGGTCTGGGGCAACAGAAAATTTTGAATTAATGAAACCTAAAATATTGCATGTTATGGTTTTTGGGCCTAAAGACGTTGGAAAGGTTTTTAGAAAATTTAAATTAATTTATTTAAATATCCTTTTAGACAACATTTCTTCGAACATTAGCTTTTGGACATATTCCAACTTCATCAACTAGCAAAACTTCACGTTTTATATCTCCCTTGCTTGAACAACAAGTAAATTTCTTTTTATTTAATTTTTGTTAGGAAATTTAATTTTATGTTGGGGGAAGGGGGAAATATTTAATTTGTTTTTACAAAATTTCTGACAAAAAAATTTTTTGGACTAGAAACCATTAGATGCCATATTTTTAAATTAAAAATTATTTTTTTAATTTCCAAGAATTATTCCCCAACTAGAGAAGACGACACTTATCATATTCAATTACATCGTTTTAACCCACCCAATTCTTCAATAGAAGGAAATATTAATAAACAAACACCTATTGAATTAATTTTATTTCACGACACTGTTGGGATTCCTCCTTTCGGAAATATTGAATTTAAAAGAGGATATTTACAGGTTTTTTTGATTTTGAAATTTTTTTGGTTTTAATAATTTTTATAATCTAATAATTAAAGTTTAAACCGGATAGGGCCATGACTAGGTTTTTTAGAGCATTGTAGATGGCATTTTAGGTGAAGCCAGGTCTTTCAGGGATTTTCTATTATTCCTAAAAATTCAGTCCGTAAAAGATTTCATTAAAAACTCGGAACAGACCCAGAAATTTGGAATGGTTGAATTCTGTCAATAATTTGCTTGGGTATTGGACTTGGAGTGAAGTTTCAGTCAATAAAAATGAAAATTTCCTTATCTCTTTTTTATACATTTCCAAAAAAAATTTTCTTCTATTTTTCATTTAAAAATTACAAATTTATTTATTCAGATTGCAGATGCTTTTATTCTGGTTTATTCAGTTACAGATTTGGATTCATTTAATCGAGTAGATGCAATTAAAAAACAATTAGAAAAGGAAAAGTTTGGAGGAAAAGAAAAACGTGGAGGGGGAGGAGGGGAGGTAATTTTTATTTTTAAAAAAAAATTTTAAAATAATTTTTGATATAAAAATTTGAAAGGAGAATTAAATTATGTAAAAGTGTTTAATCGGCCTCCTTTTTCAATTTTTTAAAATTAAAATTTAATTTTACCAAAAAATATTTTCAATTCATTAAGAATATCCAAATAATTGTTCTCGGCACAAAATGTGATTTAATTGGTCGTCGACGTGTGGATAGCCAATTTGCTTTAAATTGGGCTAATCAAGAGAAAGGTTTTTCTAATTCTATAATTAAAAATAATTTTTTTAATTTTAAAGTAAAATTATTTGAAATTTCTTCTTCTGATCGAAATTCAATTGTTGAAGTTGTCAAATATTTATATAGTAAATTATTTAAAAGTGAGTTTTAATTTTAAAAAAATCTCAAAAAATCTTTAAATTAAAGGCGAACCAAAATTCTCTTTGAGTCGAAAATTGAGACCAGAAAAGTCAAATGCACAAATTGTGATGGATTTTTAATTTATTTCTTAATTTAAAAAATTATATAAATATTTTAGGTATTTTTCACTTAATCATTCAAATATTTATAGTGTCGAAAATAGGATATTGTCGACTTTATTTGGCTACATATCTTCCTAAAGTCAGTTATCATCATTCCTTATCAATATCAACACATATATATTTTCTTTTAATTATTTCCATAGGATTCTAACCTCTATCTACCGTATTTATTCTAATAGAATGGCCGCCATTCTATTTTTCGATACCTCCAAAAAGGGGCCATTCAATTGGAGGGGCCATTCTATTTTTCATAGCTGAGATTGGATGAATCTATTGTCCAATCGAATATCTTTCGACGGCTCTTGTCCAGTTTATGCGTCCCATGAAAGTATATGCGTCCCATCAACAAAAAATTGGATATTTCTTGGTGTTGCAAAGTAGGGGTATGGTTCCAAAGCATTTCTTCGTGTTCGGGATCTACGTCCACTGGGTCTGGGACCGTTCCTTACCCTATACCTCGAAATTTCTGAAAGTTATAGCCAATTTTTAAAAATTTCAGAAAAACGATTTTAACTTTCAGAAATTTCGAGGTATAGGGTAAGGAACGGTCCCAGACCCAGTGGACGTAGATCCCGAACATGAAGAAATGCTTTGGAACCATACCCCTACTTTGCAACACCAAGAAATATCCAATTTTTTGTTGATGGGACGCATATACTTTCATGGGACGCATAAACTGGACAAGAGCCCTTTCGACTTCGAAGTTTAATCGATTTTGCTTGTAAAATTCTATATTTCGACTTTGGTTAGTGAATCTTTCTTATCTAAATTTCTCTTTTTCTGTTCATCAAATTCTTTTAATCAATCTTCAATACTGATCTACTATTTCTTATTTTAATTATGTTATTAATCGATAAATATAAAAATCTTTATTAAATATATTTAAAACATTTTTCTTCGTATAACCTAAATTTCTAAAAAATAATAAATCACTTATTTAATATTATTTCTTGAATTACTATTATCTTTATCTATTTATTTTCATTCATCTAAACTTTTTTTCTGTTCGTCAAATTCTCTTAACACTTCTATATCTCTTCTTTTAATTATTTAGACAGGATTCCAACCTCTAGCCCATTTAATTAAAAAATCTTTATTCGGCAAACTTATCTCCCTAAAGACTTATCTTCCTATAAATCATTTTCTCATCTCATCTTAACATCAAGACATCTATATCTCTTCTTTTAATTATTTAGACAGGATTCCAACCTCTAGCCCATTTTATCCAAAAATCTTTATTCGGCGAACCTATCTCCCTAAAGACTTATCTCTTTTTCTCATATCATCTTAATCTCAACGGATCTAAGTTTCTTCTTTTAATTAGTTTAACAGTATTCCGAACTTTATTTCTAACCCCTATCCCATTTAATTAAAAATTTTTTATTCGGCGAACTTATCTCCCTAAAATCTTATTTTCCCAAGAATCCAAATAAATAAAAAATAAAATTACTTTCCTCCAAAATAAAATTACTTTTTGTTTCTGAGAAAAGTAAACTTTATAGATTTGTGGATAAATTTTGGAATTTCGAATAAGGAAAAGTACTAATTTCTATTAAAATATTTGTTCTTAAGTGAAGATTTTTTAATATTTTTTTTAATTTTTAAAAATTTTATTTAAACAAAAAATTAATTAGTATCCTAATTAATTAATTAAATTTTAACAAATTAAAAGAGATTATTTAATTTTAAAATATTATTTTTTTTTCATTATTTTTGGAGGGCAAGAATTAAATAAAATATATACAATTTTTAATTAATTTAAAAATTATTTTGTTGTTGTCTTTCATTTTGCCTTTTATTTTTATAAGCGATCCATTCCATCTGACCGTGAGCGCTAAGTATATGTTTACGTAAAGAAGAGGGATCTGTATATGCACATTGACAGTCTGCACAACGATAACGTTTCTAGAATTTTTTGATTAAAAGAATTTCTAAAAAGAAAAAACCTTTCCCCCATGAACACGTTCTACATGTTTAGAACCTTTAAAAAATAATTGATAAAATTTTTAATTTCTTTTTCTTAATGGTGATTACAAAATTAGGATATTAAAAAAAGATCTCATTTTTTTGATAATATTTTAGGGGAAGAATGGAACCATGGATCATAAATTGTTGATTGGGAAGTACCCAAAATAAATAGATAACTGATTATTAACTGTTTTTTTAATTTTGCTCGTATTCGTGCCTCGTAACACATTCCTGGCCTCGTATTTTGTACACAAGTACGTGTACGACTTTTAGTACGAACTTCTCAACACTGATATTAACTCCAAATGGATATCTATATTAAAAAAAATTTATTTACGATCAGATGCATTAGTAAATGCAGAATCACAAGAAGTACATCTGTAAGGGCGTTCTCCTGTATGTTTTCTTACATGCGTTTTTAGATTTTCAAGTCTAGAATAACGCTTCCCACAATTTTGCCAAACACATTCATAAGGCTATGAAAAAATTTTCTTTTCAATAAAATTCCATTTAGAAAAAACTTTTTCTCCGGTATGTGCTCTCAAATGTTGTTGTAACATGTAAAGTGCTCCAAACGGCCTCCCTCCACGTGGACAGTCACGCCAATGACAAATAGGAGTGTTATTTCCATTATTGTCAGTACCCAAATGTGAGGGCATTAAATGTTCAATCTAAATAAATATTAAAGTTGATAGAACCTTTAATTTAATGAATCACCCCTAATTAATGCCTGCACAATTCGATCTTAAATAAGATATGCTATCGAAATTCGAATGCATTATATTTAGATATCTAATGAAAACAATGGAAAATGTTCTTATTTTAGTAATAATCCCCCATCCAATCACTCTTGAAATTCCCGGTCTTTTAATTTGTCCCGTAAATGGAGAAACAATACCGGCGAAGATACACAATAACTATTGAAAAATATTTACCCTCGCCCAATTACCTCTTAAATTCTCAATTTTTTAAAATTTTCCCGTGAGGAAACAATACCAGTGAAATAAACACTACAAAAAACTTTTCTAAATACCCCTCTTCAATTTAATAAAAAATTTCAAATTTACTTGAATATGCCCAAGAAAATTTTGCCTTCCAAAAATCCGTTTAGAACACCCCAACCATTCACATTGTAAAATTATTGAATCCGAATTTAAAGAAGATGAAGGGGAAGTAGAAGAAACAAAAGAAGGGGAAGGTTGAGATAAATATGTTGAAGATGGTGATAATTTGTTTATTGAAGAAGAATTATTTAATAAAGTAGAAAGTGGTTGAATACCAGAATTTGGATTTGGTTCTGAGTAAAAAATATTTTAACTTGAATATTTTTTTAAAAAAGGCACAAAGGTGAGGCCAGATTTTATAGTAAGGATATGATCGGGTTTCCTCTAAAAACAAGAGGGTTGGAATAGTTGGTGAGATAATGGGAATCGGAAATTAAAGAGAACACCTCTGCCCTCAAAATATTACGCGGACACACGATGGGGCAATGGCACACACATAAGGGCTCCCTTCATAACCTGAGTAAAGTTTAATTTAATTTTCTTACCAGAACAAGTTCTACCACGTTGCATAGGCTCAACAAATTGAGAATTATTAAATTTAATATTATTTTTAATTAATTGTTGGGGTTGTTCTTCTTCTATTTTTATTTTATTTTGTTGTTCTTGTTGTTTTGTTGTTGAAGAGTAATTGTTAGTCTTAATTTGTTGGTATATTTCTGTTTGTTTATTACTAATTATTTGTTGTTGTGATGGGGGTGGTGGAAGATAATCATTTTGGCTAAATATTGAATTAAATTAGAAAATATTGAGGATTTATAAACGCAATGTAGCAAGGGATGTAATAAATAAATATCAGTGATAGACCTCAACATAAAATAACCTCAATCTCAACAAAAAAATCTCTTTTTGAAAAATCTCTCAAGTATCGCTTAGTAAATTTTGTATTGCCAAATTAATATACTCTTGAAGTTCAGGAAAGACTTAGGAAAAGACTTAGGACTTTTAGATACTCTCAAAATTAGGTCTTATAATTTGACTGGCCTAGGCGATACTCCCAATTGAAGACACTCTCATTTGAAGGTTCAAATGTATACTGTATATACTCTATTAATTACTCTGGGTAATTATTGTTTCAACTTTTCGCTGGAGGTGGTAACTAACAGAGGCGGGGTAATTATTTGACGGAGGGTAATTAATAGATTATACACGTTATATTCTATGTAAAGAAACTTACACAATATTATTATTATTTTGTGTAATTATTTGTTGTAATGTTTGTTGTTGATGATATAACAACAAAAAATTTCTCATATCCATTAAAACAAAAGGAGGTGATTGAACGGAATCTGCTCCAGAAATAGTTTGATTAATTAATCCTTGAAAAGGAGGTAGAAGTTGATTTGAGGAAGAAAATAATATTGGATTATTGTTGCTGTTAATGTTCATTTGTTCTTTTAATATTTTCCTTTTTTTAGTTAAAAATATTTCTGAAAATTATTAACTAGTAATGTTTAAAATATCTTCTCCGTGTTTAACCATTTTACTTCCTTTTAGGGGAATTTCTGCCGTTTTAATGCCCCTTTTAATTTCCCTTTTTCGCTTAATTTTTTGAGAATTTGATTGGAAGATCATTTTTTGAGAAGCATGCCTCTTTTGATGATTTGGAAGGGGCTAACTACCCTAATTACTCCCCTCAATCAAGTGATTAAAACGATCACTTGATTGAGGGGAATAATAGTAAATTAAAAAATTAAAATTACTTAGGGTAACTATTCGAGGGGTAACTATTAAATTAAAATCAGGGTAACTATTAAAAATTATTTGAAATTAAAATAAAAATTTAATAAAAAAAACAGCAAAGTTATTCAACAGTTTTTTAATTTAAAAATTAAAAGTGCAATAATCAAAAACAACAAAAACACTTTACTTTCTCTCCACCTGTTTTCTGTACTTTTCTCTTTTTCCCCCTCTTCATTCAAAACAAACAAATTTTCTTCCTCAATTTATTATTTCAAGCACAAGACAAAATGACGAAAATAAAAATTAAAAAAAATTTTTTTAAAGTTGACGTAATTAATTTTGTGTTTTTGTTGTTTTTGCCAATTCTTTAAAGGCACAAAACACAAATTTTAGTGGGTGGTCTGTCTTTTTATTTTTTTATTAGAAAAAGGGGGGTTAAAGAGCTGAAATGGAGAGAAAAGGCCTGTAAATATTTGTGTGGTCTTTTCATTTTTTCTTCGCCGAAGGAAGTAATTGAGGGTGTTTTGATGGCTGACGGCAAAATAGTAAATTAAAATTAGAGTCTAGACAACTTTTTTTTAGGTTGGGGGGGATTATCTTCTTAATCCAAAAATGAATTTAATTTTGGAATTATTTTTGAGTTATACATATTAACTAACAGCATATATGGGGAAAGATTAGGAAAGGATATTTTTAAAGCTTTAATAAATAAAAACACCTCGGATGCTATAGTGAGACTTTTCTCCTCCACTTTTTAAAATTTGAATTTAAAAAATTGGATACGTAAGCAAAAAAAGAAAGGGGAAGGTATACATCAGGGATGAACCGGATTACCCGAAACCCGATCCGAAGATCGGGTTTTAGAAACAACAATATGCCTGGATACATGAACAAGTTTCTTTGTTCTATCTTTGAATCTAAAATTTTTATAATTTTGAAAAAAACAATCACATTTGTAAAATAATTGTAAAATTATACACATTGTAAAATTATATTTAAATTTGAGGGAAATAAATATTTTTAATGAAGGTGTGAAAATAAATAAAACCTCTTCTTTATTCTTAAATAAAAATACAAATAAATGCGCGGGTATTTATTTATTGTTTATTATTTTAGACGGTCCGTGAGGTCCAACTTACTAACAATTATTTTCTTTTTTTTTATTTTTACCACCCACCCACTCTCTGCGGGAAACGAGAAGCCACAAATTGTCTAGAAAAATTGTTTTTAATCTTTTCTTCTTTTATTGTTCGTTTTCACAACCTCGCAAAAAAGGGGGGGAAGGTCTTCTTTATTCCCCCTCCTATTTATAACAATAAATGTTTTTTAATGTTGTGACTGGAGGCTGAATTCAATGAGGGACGCGTGTTAATGCTGCCAACTGTTTGGGTGGTCCTTCCTTCCCTTCAAAATCTTTCCCTCTTTATTTTATACCATCATGCGTTGTTTTTGTTTTGCTTATAGTTTAGTCAGAAGCAGAAAAGTGCAAGTGCGAGAAAGTGCGGGAACGGAAAGGTAAGGAATGCGTGAAAATAGAAGGGAATGGGAGGTGAGAGAACAAGTAAAATTTGAGAGAACAACAAGACAACGAGAGGGAGAAGGGAAAAATGAACGTAAGTTTGGCCATAACTTTAGGCACGGGATTGGAAAGGCGCCAGCCGTTTTCTCGCCTTTTCTGTCGTTCCTCTAAAAATATCAGAATGCCAGCTTTGCACTTTTATATATAATCTTTTTATATTAGTCCAAGAATAGGGCGGGAGCGGAAACTAAAAGGAAAGGCAAAACATCCCTCTCTCCCCTTCTGGTTCACGTCTCTAAGAGGGCAACTACGCCCCTCCCTTCATGTTTTTTTGTCTTAATCCAGGCAAAGGCCACACACGAAATATGTGGGCAAAAGATAAAAAAAGTTGTTTATAGTACGATTTTTTTCAATCATTTAGAAAAAAATATGTGGCCTGTTGGACCTGAGGATGTTGTGAAGAAAAATAAGGGAGGGGAGGACCACCCAGCAACAAAACGACAGATGGACAGTCAAAATATATTTATAACTGGACAAAGTAAAGTGTAAAGAAAAAAGAAAGGAATAAATGAAAAGGAATTAACGTGTGAATGCATGGACTTGAATTAATGGGTTGTAAGAAAAAGATTTATGTGTGTGTGTGGTCCTGTGCCGTTCTGACTTTTTTTTATTAAATTTTTTAATGAAAAATTTGGAAGTAAATTTTAGTTTCAAATGGTTGAATTGAAAGTTTTTAGGAAAAAATTTTAAGGCCAAATAGATTAAATGAAGCATTATAGAATTATTCTATGCAGACTTGGACAATGGTTTTGGAATCCGTTTCCGTTCGATTTTAAGACAATACTTCCATATCCATCTGTATCCGCATATATCCAGACATTACCCGTGTTCAGAATTATTAGAAGTCAGAAATCCTTTTCACAGACTGTCGCTCTGGATATCCGGATATTATCCATGTCCCACCAATTCCTAATATTGGAATAATAAAATTAACAAGTAAAATCAAATACCAAATAAAATTTACAAAAATACTTTATTTGCAGAATTATTTACTAATCCCTCAAATAATCCAACTAGTCTGATATGTATTTAGTGTGAAAATCACACCTTTACTACAAAATAAAGTCCACCACCAAAGCACAAACACCACACATGTTGATGTGTTATTGTTTGGAAAAATAGGGACGAGGAAATGCAGACCACCCATAGCTGCGAGAGATGAATGCGGAAGGGACAAAACAAAAAAAAAGTGAGAAATCCTTTTCACCGACTGTCGCTTATTTTTTTATAAATGGGGTTTTTATATTTAACTGCTTGTTTTGGATTTTAATGCTTTATAGAGTGATTAACACAAGGGATTATATTTATATTAAAAACATGAAGCAAAATCTGTTGAGGATATTTTAAAGAATTAGAAGTAGAAATATTGACGAAGAGAATTTAAAAATTAGCTAACATAAAATGTAGTTTAGTTGAAAGTTTTAATATCATAGGAGAAATTTTGGAAAAAAAGGAAAACTTGAAAGACAGATTTTTGGAAAAATTTAAACTTTAATTTCATGTTTTTGAAACCCTCGTAAAAAAGTGTGAGAGAATATTTTCAAACCTAAATTTAAAAAAATCGAAGTTAGAGGGTAAATCGAAAAATTAAAAGGTAGAATCGAACCTCCTTTTTCTTTCCTCAAGTCTTTCTTCTTTGTGGCTGAGGAAGAAAATTCTGACCATTTTTAATATTTTGAGGTAAGAAAAATGAGTACTATTTTCTTTGTAGAATCTCAATCGCTAAAGAAAATCAAAACAGAAATTCAGGAATATCAAATTTTACTCGCTAAAATTTAAAAAATTTCAATTTAAATTTTCTAACAAATTTAATTATTTAATTACAATAAAATATAATTAAAAATATTCAAAACCCCCCTTTTATGCTGTTCGATTCATTGAAAAATAAAGAACATCTTTACCGGCTTCATTCTTTTTACGAAATTGATATGGCTCGATCTTCTTCAAAATTTCTGCTAATTGAGCCACAATTTTCTTGTCTTTAACAGGCGGTGTTTGGTTATCATCTTGTTTATGTTGTTGTTGAAATCGTTGATTAACTTTGGTTAAAAGCTGAAAAATAAATTTTTAAAGGTAAATTTAAAGAATTATTTTTGGAAAAATTTAAAGGACAGTCAAGTTAGAATTTATTTTAATACAAAAAAATAAGGGCAAACAGGAAAAAGTGGGAGGACACTCTTATTTGTTAAAGAAAACACACTCTCAGAAATGCCAAAATAATTTTTAAAATTTAAAAATCCTAATCTAACATTTTATATATTAAATAATAAAAACCTGTTTTGTGCTGTGAGGTCTCTTTTCAAGCAGTTTTCGAATAAAAGATTCAGTAATGACTTCAAATTCAGGTTCATCACTTTAATTTAACGAATATAAAAAATAAATTTAAAAATTAATTACCTAGCGATTTTAGCCCGTTTAACCTCTGGTTGTTCAGAAACAGAAGATGATTGTTGCATTTCACTAGTTCCACCTGGCTCTTGCCTTTTTCTTTGCTGGGAGGATGAAGTAGATGTAGCTGTCTTACGCTGTAAAAATTAATTATAAAATTTTAAAATTTAAAGAAAATAAACCTTATCTTGCATAAAAAGAACAGAATTAACTCTTGCACTGTCTGGATCTTCATCAAAGTCAGAATCATCAGACTCTAACAAAAAAAGAGGAAAATATGAAAATATATGTAAAAAATCCAACCTTCAGCATTGTCAAAATCAGTTCTAATTTTAGCACCAGTATTTTGTTCCATCATTTTATCAACATTTTTGACTGCTTTAGCACGCGAATCAGCTAAAAAAATAATTATTGGACAAAAATAAAATTTAAAATTAACCAGTTTCATTTTGTTCCTTCACACCATTCTTCTTCCCCTCTTCTTGGTCTTTTTTCTCCTCTTCTTCTTCGTCATCGTCTTCATCATCAAAATCGTCATCATCTTCTTCAGAGTCAAGATCATGTTTTAGCCCTTGTTCATCAGCCACGCCAACTAAATCATCTTCCATTTTCTGATCAACATTTAATTCCTCTCGTCTGAAAATGAGAAACAAATAGCTAAATGAGAAGAAATGCCAAGTTGGGGTCTGATCATTTAAGGCTTTCAGACACCTTTTTAACCCAAAAATTACTTTGGAAAATTAAAAAAATACAAACTCAGAATCACTTCCAGAATCCGACATATAATCATATTCACGGCCTTCGTCTTGTCCGTCTTCAGATTCATAATCTTGAAAAAGACAATATTTTTGAAGAATATTTTTATAAAAAACCTGCAATTTCGTCAGCAGCTTTTACACGTTGTTTTTTAGTTTTATTCTTTTCCTCCTTCTCATTTTTAACCTTCTTCCCCTTCTTGCCATCCTTTTTCTTTTTACTGCCATTTTTTGACTTTCCATTTTGTTCCTCCTCGTCAACATCACCATCCTCGTCTTCATCAGAGCTCGCTTCATCTTTGATTTTCTAAAATATTTAGAGAATTTCCAATAAAATAAAAGGTTTTCCATTACCAAACCGCCAGCCCGTTTCAAAGTATCACCAATTTTTTGACGTTGTTGCTGTTGTAATTGATCCTCCTGTTCAGCCAATTGTTTTTGGATTTGTGCTTTCAAAGCAAAATGATTGAGAACATTGTCACGTTCTTTAAATCGTTCCTCTGCTTGTTCAGCGTCCAAATATTTGTATGTTACAGCAGGCAAAAATTGATACCATTCGTCAACTTTGTATGCCTCTAAATCGTTGCCAGACTGAAAAAAACTAAAATAAAAAACAATTCTTTTAAATAATTTAAACCTTATAGAAAATCCAATAATCTGCATGTTCACTTGCCCCAGCTTCTCGCATTGAACGAAATTTGCGAATTTTTGTTGCCTGTTTAGAGTCAGCATCGCCAGAAACGTTTTGTTCAATAGTCAAACGCCAAGGTTGTTTATCATGTTCATATTTACGAGTCTGACGTCCAAATTTTTTAAGTCGTGCCTCTTCACGAGCAGCCTTACCATATTCGCTTCCTTCACCAAATTCTTGCACAAAACTACCAGAAGTGGTTACCTAAAAAGATTTTAAGTTGAACCCAAAAATTTCAAAAAAGCTAACCCCTGCTCTTCTATTATCTTCTCTTTCCATTCTAAGTGTTTCCATTACCCAACGCTGCGGTCGGACATTTAAACTTTCGTTGAATTTTAGTATTGTTAATCGTTTATTTGCCGTTCTATAAATAAATATTCCATTAAATATTTAAACAAAAAATTACTTTGGTATTCGAACTTGAAATTCCTTCTTTTGTTGATTATGGGCATTAGACGAATTTGCTGTTTTTGAGGTCATTTATAGACTTTGAAAAATTAACAAATATCAGAGCTTGAAATGACTAATTTTCTGTTAGATTTGTAAGAAGAAAAACAAAATATTTAATGTATAAAACATTTCAAATAAAAAACATTTTTGCTAATTAAATAATTTACCGTATTTCCTATATTAGAGCCCCACCCTCTGTTAGAGCCCCACCCTTTAATACAGCCCCACTTTGGAGGGTAGTTGAAAAATAGAGCCCCACCCTCAATTAGAGCCCCACCCCTAATACAGCCCCACCTAAAAATATTGGAGGAAAAATAAAAAATATCCCAATAATTTTTAAGATTATTAAGAGTTAAGGAAATAAAGGGCCATGGGGATATAAGGATTAAGGGAAATATGAGGGATTAACTAAGGGGAAAAGGAAGAGATATAGTGGGTATTCCTTTTATCCCCGATAGATATCCCTTATATCACCGATATCCCTCTTCACAAAAAAATCCCTTCATATGCCTACTAATACCTCATTCAAAATATCACTCTTAACCCCGCTAAATCTCTCAATATAAAATTAATCCTCTGATATTCCCCATAATCCCTTAAAATCGCTTGTATACCTATATATGATCCATCAATGTCAAATACAAGTCCCCTAATATTCCCTTTAATCCGTCAAAATCTACAAATATTTTATAATTAATCTTACCCTCATTGAACTATTGCGATTATTTCGTTACTCATTGCTTATAAAATTTTAATTTTTTTGAAAAATTGAAAAATATCGATTGTCTTTCGATATTTTTTGGTTTTATCAACCAACCCCTCCGGCCTATCTCTAGTTGCAATGGATATAATAAATGGGATTCTATCTCAAAAGAGGATTGAAAAATAGAGCCCCACCCTCAATTAGAGCCCCACCCTTTAATACAGCCCCACCTTGGAGGATAGTTGAAAAATAGAGCCCCATGGGGCTCTAATATAGGAAATACGGTATTTAAAATATTAAAGTCAACAAAAAATCTAAGCAACAGCAACAGTTGTATTTTGTTTAGAATTCTCCAAATTTGTCGTTTTTTGATCAACATCCTTCGTGTCATTCGAAATCATAGAAGATAATTTATCAATCCAAGATTTGCCAGATTTTCCATGCTTCATATCCCATTGAAGTGCTTTCATTTTAATAACTTGTGCAATTTCTCGGGCTCTTCGATTTTGGCCATAATAATCGTGGAATTGGCCATCTGGGTCAATTAAATAACTAGAAAAAAATTTAAATGAAAATTTCACTCTAAAATAAAACAAACAAACCAAATAACTGTGTGGTCAACAATATAATCATCAGGATCTGTTTTCTTTACTCCTTTAGTGCGAGGACCTTCACTATGATAAATGCGAAAAGCTTTTGCCACTTTGCCAACCTAAATGTTTCAAAATCAATTATTTAAAATAAATAGAAAAAACCCCATTTTTCCTCCCTAATTTCTCTCTATATTTTTACAAAATGGTCCGACTTTTTTCTTTCTTCCATCTACTAGGTCGGTTCATAAAAAAGTTCGTTTTTTGTTATCGCAAGTTTTTTTGGGTTATAACTACTTTTATCTGATTTTATTTTTATCTTATTTTGTAGCCCAGAGTCTTAGCTTTATAATGATACCAAAATTTTAAAAATATAAAAGATCAAAAAAATTTAATGCCTTCAGAAGTGAGCGTGGGTAAGGGGAATATTTAGGGCCAGTTACACATACCATTAAAACTAACAAGTGCAAGTACATGCAAAAAACAAGTAAAGAAAGGAAAAAGGGTAATCCTGCAGAATCCGGGAGACACCTGAAAAACGCCTTAAAAATTGTCATTTCTGAAAATTATTTTATTTAGGTAATCGGCCATGCTGATTACGAATCTGAGCTTAGAATTTGCTCATTTCGAACCCGGACCCGAATTCGACCAAGTCGAATTCGGGGTAAAAATTCGAAATGATGATATTATGGTCATTTTGATTCGTCTCTTTATTCTGAGTCGAATGGTGAGATTCTGAGTCGAATGGTGAGTCGAATTATTCAGTTTCGACAATTTTAGACGAAGTTATGGTATCTGATTTGTATACGGAAGTCTAACCAAGCGTTATTTAACTGGTTATAACTTCGTCCAAAGTTGTCGAAACTGAATAATTTTGATACCATTCGACTCAGCTCGAATAGGCGTGTCAGATTAGCCCTAAATTTTTAATTTCGAATTTTTTACCCCGAATTCGACCTGGTCGAATCCGGGTCCGGGATTCGAAATAAACATTTTCTAAGCTCAGATTCGTTATCAGCATGGTCTATTACCTATATAAAATTATTTTTGTGAAAAAAATAATAATTTTGAAGGTGTTTTTAAAGTGTCTCCCAGATTCTGCAGGATTACCGGAAAAAGTCTGACCATTGTAAAAATATATGGGGAAAGTTTGGGAAAAAAAGGGGTCGTACGCTTCAAAGTTACCAAAAAAAATAATGATTTTGTAATAAAACATCCCAAAAACGAGGTTATAAATAAGTTCATTTACATTATAAAAATAAAAACAAACCTGTTCTTTAGTTCCTGTATAACCTCGAAGTTTTGGAGAAAATTCAGCACAATAACGACGAACACGTTCAATTGTATCGCGTTCTGGATCGACAGAAATAAAAATTGGAAGAATATCGACTTTTGCGTCTTCTCTATCAAGAATATCAATAACATCAACTAATTTCTCAATTTCAACGGGACAAACTAACAAAAAAAATTTAATAGGAAAAAATTAAAAACAAACTGTCAGGGCAATTAGTAAAGCCAAAATATATAAGTAGCCATTTTCCAAGCAAATCTTTACTTCCTTCCAATTTCCCTTCCATATTAGTCAATTCCCATTCACCACCAATCCTTGCACGTCCAATCATCATTTTACGGCTTCTTTCCCTCTCATCAACTTTCTAAAAAAATTTTAAAAATTTCTTCTGCTTAAAAACAACCTTCTGCCAAATGAAATACAAAACAACAAGCAAAGAACCAAGTAAAGTAAAAATAACTCCAACATATTTCCACGAAAATATTAAACGAAAAGGGCCTTCATATTGCTGTTTCTGAAAATTTTAAAATTTAATTTTTAGGAAGTTCTAAGAAAACATACTGTTGCCTGAACACTAAAATTCATAAAATTTTTGTCCAATTCAGTTTCTTTCCCTTCTTTTGCATATTCAAATTCTTTAGCCACTTTTCTACTAATTTCTTTTAAATCTATTTTGATTTCGTCTTCAGGTATTTTTCCGTCTGATTTACTGGCTAAATGTTTACAAGAAATACAGAATGGACGATTAAACAGAAATACTCTACAGGTAATTGATTTTGAATTTTTCAAAAAAATATTCGTGTGGTGAAGAGATGAAAAGGAAAGCATTAATTAAAGCTAACTAATCTAAAAATTAAGTAAATTTATAAAATTTTGAAACAGACATGGGGGACTAGTAATCTCTGCAAATCGACTTCTTTGTCGGTTCGCGGCGAATAACTATGGCGGGCTAAACGGGACTCTAACCGTCTTGCAACGAGTTACTATAGGGTAGGGGACGATTCAGAGTCGCCGATTCAGAGTACGTGGTAAAGGGACGATTCAGAGTACGTAGAATAAAATAAAAATCGAGATTCTTGGAAAAATTCTTGGAAGAATTTCTTTAAAAAATTTTTCAATTTAAATTCATTTTTCTAGCGGTAACAACGACGTGCTCGGGCGGTTTGCTGTTGAGTGATATGCTGCTGAGGTGATTCTGCTTGGCAACCTTTGAATTGCAGTCCTGGATGGAATAGAAGCGATGTTGGAATTTCGTCAACCACAGCCTCAACCCAAATGGCCCTCTTTAGGGCCACAAATTTAATAAGTGAAATGATGACAATAACTTTTATTTATTTTTTGATAAATTTTTGTGTATTTGACGCATTTTTTATTAAAATTTTGTTCCCTGAAAAAAAGTTGAGGCTAGAGCTTTACCCTAAGGCCGAAAAAGCCTAGAGTCAAGACTCGGCTAGCTTTTAAAATGTTCTTCAGATCGTAGAGAGTAAGAAAAACCAGAAAATTCGCAAGAAAAGCTGATTTCCTATGTGCGAAAATCTATGTACTCTGAATCGTCCCCTTTTAGCCGTACTCTGAATCGGCTACTCTGAATAGTCCCAACTCTGAATCGGCTACTCTGAATCGACCTTTTCCCTTTACTATAAAAGCAACCTAATATACGTACCAGATTACTCGCCCATTCTACTTTCCTTTCTGCTTTTGCTGGTGGGGTCTCCAATTCAACATTGCTCAACGTGCTCAGCCATCTTCGTCTATGGTGGTCTTATCTAATTTACTTCACGGCCTTGCCCAGGTGTGTTTGCGTTTTTTTTAACTTCTCTAAAAATCTTTTACAAATTTAGCGTTTCGGACTTCTTCTACGGCGTGATCAAATCGTTGAACGGGAGCGGCGAGCAGAAGCTGAGCGGGAACGACTTGGGGAGGCGGAACGAGATGTGAATCCTGCTCCAGCTAGTAGCAGCAGTGAAGAGAGCAGAGAGGCGGCAACGGAGGCGGCAAGATCATCGTCATTGACAAATAGAACAGAAACCTCATCTGACGTAACTGTGCAAACCGCTTCCAGGACGGATTCTGAACAAGAAGAGGATGAGGACGAAATGGTGCACTTTCCAGAATACGGTTAGTCATTTTTGACTAACATAAAATTAAAATCGAGATTTTAGATCTAATTGTTCTCCCTATAACGACTCCAAGGCTTGCTACAATAGCCCCCTCAGAAACAAACTTGCTAGCTCCACGTATAAGGCCTAGAAGACGGATTCTGACGGAAGTGCCCGAAGCTATGCGAAGTCAAAGTAGACTTTCTGCCCCAGGTTAGTTATATGTGACTAAAATTAAATTAGCTATTTTTTCCATTTCTTTTCAGACTCACTGATTTCCACACGTTCGGCCCGTGTTCGTTCGCCACCACCGACTGAAGACGAGCACAGTACTGCAGCTGTGACAAGGACAGTCAGCGCCCTCGAGTGGGATGATGTCTCAACCGCTGGGGTTGCTCCAAGGTGAGAGAATCTTTAATTATTAACACACAATTCTTAAAATGCATTTATCGTTTCAGTGAACAAAACTCATTGGCTAGCAGTAATAGTCCTGCTTTGGTTGCTAATCCAGCCGGAACTGAGGTGCCTGAATTGCCTGCGAATAATGACGATATCCCAACGGCAATAGAAGCTGATAAATGAAGGAAGTATAGTATATTCATAAACGATAATCTAAAAAGAATAACACCATTTATTGTAATAAAATCCTGTTGTAATAATGTATTTTGTATTTTCTTGTCTTTCTTTTTTTCGAGTAATTATTGTTAGGAGTATTTGTTTGTTCTAAATAAAAAATATATTTTTTGTAATTGGATTTGTTTGACGAAATTAAAATTAAGAGTTTACTTGATAGAAATTGATTGTTTAGGGATTTAAGAATTCTTTTGAAACGTAGAGATCTTGAGTGTAATTTTTGTAATTTTTTGAATACTAAATAGTTTTTTTCGTTATTTTTTCGTTTTATCAAATTTTCTGTAATTATTTTTTGTATCAATACACATACATATGTATCAAATTTGCCCGTTATTTTAAGGAAATACAAATTTTTGAAAGCAATTTTAAAATAGTTACAATCTTTGCTATTTTTGTTATTAAGAAAATTTAAAGAATAAATTAGACGAATGGATTGTGGCTCAAAATTTATAGAGGTATTTTTTAGAAAAAAGTTAATCTTAAAAGGATTTATCGGAAACAAATTGGCACATTTTTGTTATGATGATGCAAAACATCTTGCTGAGGCTTGTCATAATAGAGGTTTTTTGGAGGATATTTTTACTAAAAAATGTTTTAATTAGCTGATAATAAACGTTCAATTCTAGTTTTAGCACATGGCTAACTCAAGCTAGAGGATATTAAAGTGCTTAACATTTACTTATTAGAACTTTAAGCAACCCAACTGCTTTAAAGACACATTATTTTCTCTCAAAAGAAAAAAAAGGGGAAAATATATTTATAAAGATCTGAGAAGCTGATTAGTCTAATTTGCAGTAAAAAAATAAAAAAAAACTGGAATTTTTTGAAAAATTAGAATATTTTAAAAACAGAATTTAAAAAAGAACTTATGGAAAATTCAGATCTATAGAAATATTCTTATTTTTAAAATATTTTGTGTTTTGGGCATTCCGCGATTTGGAATTCCTCGATTAGCCCCCACCCAATTTTTGCATAATTAAATTTATGGCATTTAAATTTATGAGGTACACAAAAAAGAATTTTAATAGTCATTAAAACAACCCAAAAATAATTTATAAATACTCCAATCGTTCTCTAAGAATTTTTACTAATTTATTCGTTTCATCCCTACATTCAGCCATAGCAACTTCCACATCCCACAACATTTGAAGTAGACAGGCATCATCAGTTTCGTTTAAACGCTAATTAAAAGAAAATTTTCTTTTCTTAAAAATAAAAATTCTTCTAACCACATCTTTGTGTAATTGAGGCGAAAAACGAAAGAAAGGAATGCCTAAAGCAGAACAGAATGTATTGCTGTAAACAACTGGCCTTCCATTTGATTCAGTAATCTTGCAAAAAAATTTTTTTTAGTTTATTTAAAAAATTAGGCACTTTATGGACCTCCACTCTAGTTTGAGTATCATGTCAGTTTTCCTTAATATGTACATAATGGCCAGACTTCTTTCCTAATTTTTTCTCTATTTCCCTCTGCATATTCGAAGGAGAGTGGGAGACGGGATATACAAAATAGAGGTCGGCGCGGGACAGAATCCCGATGGCATTTTCCGGGATCCCGAAATCCCGGATTTTTTGATTTTCGGGATCCGGAATTTTTTTCAGGATTTATCCCTCCCGTCTCGGCATCGGGCAAGAAAAAAATCCCGATTCTGCCGACTTCTAATACAAAAAGTGCCAAAAAATTAAAAACCTGTTTAACAAGACATTGTGCCATATTTCTCATAAATTCTGTTGTTTTCGATACTTTTTGAATAACTCTACCAATTAAAGGCCTATAAATTGTTAAACTTTTTGTTGGAGGAGTTCCTGTCCCAATTGAAATAACACAATATGGATAATTTAAATTAAAATAATTTTTAAGTTTTGTAAATTCTGTAAGTAATTCCATTGTTGGATTGTTACAAATAACACCTCCATCAATATAAATATCGTCAAATGGAGGAAAATATGTTGGGGCAGCACTGGAAATTTAAAAAATATAAAAAAGGAAGGGAGGAGAAGGAGGGGAGGAGGAAAAAAGGGAGCGGGAGGAGGAAGGGGGATCCATTATTCCCCTGACTGTGCCTAAAATCAACTACTTCCCCTTGAAATTAAAAAAAATCTGGATAAAACAGGAAGTGAGGGGGAGGAGGAGAATCCAGTATTCCCCTGGCATCAACCTTTCCCCTGAAATTAAAAAAAATTCTGAATAAAACAGGAAGGGAGGGGGAGGGAATTCATTATTCCCCTGGCTATACCTAAAAATCAACCTCTCCCCGATGTGAATAGAACAAGAAGGGAGAGGAGGAAATCTATTATTCCCTTGGTCGTGACTGAAATCAACCTCTCCCCTTCATAATCATGACATGAGGTGTTTTGAAAGGGGAACGGTTGAAGATTATAATTTTTTGATTCCTCATATTTTCTAAATCAAAAGACAAAAAAGCACGTAAAAATATCAGAGGATTTAGAAAAAAAATATTGAGTAGATTTCAGGCATAGCCAGGGGAATAATGGATTCCCTCCTCCTTCCCCATTCTCTTAGTTTTTACCTCGAACATCTGGCAGCTTTCCAAATAGTTGTATTTTCATCTACATGTCCCATCTATTTTTAATTTTTTTTAAAGTAAAAAATCAAAGTAAATTTTTACTTCATTAAATTTATCTTCTTTCAACAATTCCTCCGGCAATTGATAATTTCTGAATAAAACTAAATTTGGAGGGGCAACATCCATTTTGGCTGCAGTTATCAACATTCTTTTTAATTAAAAATAATTTTTAAAAAATTTCAAAATAAAACTTTGGCTTTTCAATTGAAGACAAAAAATCAGAAGAAATTGATTGAATTAATAACCTTTCCAAAATTGCCGGGTTATAAGGCCTGGTTCCATTAAATAACTGATTTTTTAATTGTAAATAAAGTTTTTGGCAGTCTGATATGGATTTGCCTTTAAAAATATTTTTTTTGAAATTAAAATTTTTTTTGGAAAAAACCTTTGGCCAAAGCACAAGCAAGAATTGAACCTGTACTAGTTCCTGAATTTAAAAATTAAAGAGAAAATTGTTTTTTGTTTTGCTTGAAATTTTTTAATAATGAGGGTTAGAAGCAAAAATAATTTTAAAAGAATTTATCAAAAAATTTTTATTTAATTTAGAGGGAAAAAATTTATTTAAAAATACCAGCAACCCAATCAATTAAAGGCCACAAATCTTTTCCTAAATTCCGTTCGATAATCATAAGTACCTAAATTTTAATTTAATTAATTGATAAAAATAATATTTATAAATTAAAACATTTATTTATTAACAAAAAATATGGCGAGAAAATTTAAAAAACCCCAAGCATTCTCTTTTAATATATTTTCAAATTTTTTTCAGAAATAAGTCGGGAAATTTTTTTGAATTTTTATAACAAAACCACTTTTAAAAAAGACTCGGGATTTTTTGTGACTTCTTCCTCTATTCCTTGAGACAGTCTCTGACTTGCGGAGAGTCTTAAGGAAGCATTGCTGTATAACCGTAAATCCCCTGTTCTCATTAAAAGAATCCACAAATATTTAAATGCCAAAAGCAACCCAAAAATAAAAGGACTACCTCAAGAAATAGAGGAAGAAGTCACAAAAGTCTTCCTCTATTTCAAAAGTAAAAGGATTGCTTGCAATGTTGAAATGTTGCCTTACAAGTCCCAAAAAAATTAAAAGAAAAAACCAAACCCGAATTAAAACAAGTCCACGTATTCCCCCACCATCTAAAGAGAGTAAAATAGGTCCATCCTCCCTCTTCACATTTTCCATACTAGAACATTCTTGTTGTTGATTACAAATTTCTTTGTTTGTTTCACAATGAATTGAAATAAAAAGTTGAATACAATCTCGAATTTTTGATGAATAACTTCCAGCTAATTGTAATGGTAATTCTCCATTATTGTTTTTCCCATTCAACATTTGTTCGTCAGAAAAGAGTAAAAGGATTGCTTGCAATGTTGAAATATTGTTTGTCTTTAAGAAAAAATTTTAAAATTATTTTTATAAGGGAAATCGTCCTCCACTTTTTCTTTTTTTATTCATTTTTAAGTTTTGGGGGTTGTTCTTCAAATTTCGTGACCTATGACAAATTGATTATGTGAACACCTGTAAACTTATTGGTAACATCTCGGATATAATAAACTCAAAGACCCAAAAACGAGAGCAGGCCAATGTACCGCGAGCCCAAGGTACCGCAGAGCCATAACATCGTTCAAAATTGTCGAATACGGACGCCCTGGTGTGGTTCGATTCAGCTCGATGAGACGCATCGAACTATACCAAGGCAACACGGATTCAAACATTTTTAACAAAGTTATAGCTCTGAGGTGCGTTGGGCTCGCGGTACGTTGGAGGTGTACCCCCCAAAAACAGAAAAGGTATCAATAAAGCAACCAGGAATTAGTTTTACATTGTTCTTTGAATCTTTCAATATTCTTTGATTTCAGATGAAAGGCAAATAAAATTTACATTTTTTCCAAAAATAAAAATTCAACATTCCCAATAATTATGTAAATCCCTTATTCAAAGTCTGGAGGAAACCCTCATTTCCAAAAAAGAGAAAAAAAACTTACTCGTACAGCAATATGTAAAGGATTATCACCATTTGTTGAATCAATTACCAAATTTGCATTAACACCTTTAATATAACAATTGACAATTAAACGAAGTGATGACCGTTTAATTGCTTGTAATAATTGTTCTTCTAATGATATTAATTTATTTTCTTTATTTTTTGGTTTAGGTTGCCTTTGTTTTTGCTTTTTAGCTGGAGTAGTTTGAAACTTCATTTTTTTGTTGCAAATAAATTAAAAACAAACAAAGAATTTGAAGTTTTCCTTTTATTTTTAAATTGTGAATTTTCTGTTTTTCTCTGTTTTTCTTCTGTCTCTCTCAATATTATACACTATTTTCCGGAAAGAAGTAAATTCGAGTCCCAATGTAAATATGAAGTAGAGGTAGGCAAAATCGTATTTCCGGGAACTCGTAAAGGGGTTAAGTTTGAAAAGATAAGGGGAGGTATTCCTTCGGGATTAATCTCGTTAATTCTCTGAGTCCCGGTAATCCTGGGATTCCGGGGCGGGATCCCACAAAATCCCGCCAGGGATCCCTCCACACCTATCTCTAATATAAAGATCGGAAAGTACAGACGAATCCTGATTTATAGACATTACTTCTTGATTTAGGATTCGTTTTCTTAAATTTTTTTTGGATTAAGTTGATTCTCATTATACGGTACGACTTAACTATTTTTCATGCCCAAGGGTGCATCTACATATGATTGTTATTAATTGGAAATTAATTTAAAAATTTTAGCAAAAAAATTAATTTTTGAAATTTATTTCCCAATTTATTTCCAATTTTGGAATACTCTTTTTAAATTTAAAACAAGTTTTTGATGTTTGTTTATTAAATTCTTAATAATTTACTCAATATTTGTGTATAAAGTAATAAATTATAAATATTTTAAAATAAATTTTTCGCGTGTGCTTTGAACATTATTTATTATTTTTAAATATTTTGTAATATTAAAAATTGATTCTCCTTTCTCACTTTTTTTGCAAGTTTCTCTTTTATTTTTTCCTTTTTCAAAAAAATTAAATTCTCACCTTAAAGAATTTTTAAAAAATAATTTTTTGACAATTTTTTTTTAAAATAAACAAAATTCCCACAAACTTTGAACATCTAAATATTCAAAAAATCGTCATTATTCTTAAACACTTTCTTCCTCCTTTCTTCAATTGTTTAATAATATTCATTTTATGACTAATCACGGGAAAACACAATTAAATCTTTATTTAAAAGCATTTTTATTTTTATTTATTTTAAATTTCTTTGCACATTTTAATTTTTAAAAATAAATTTAAAAAATATTTTTTATCACTTTTTTGATCTTTGACATTTATTTTTGCAAAAATATACTAGACAAGTGGTTGAAATTTAATTCCCAAATTTTTTTTAATTAAAACAAATTTGATTAATTTACTAAAAGAATAAAGTTTATATTCTTTATTTAGACGAGAAAAAAGGCTCAAATTTATAGTCTGATCATTTTATTATTAATACACACATTTAATTTTATTTGTTTTTAACCGAATAGACAATTCATCGAATTTTAAATTCTTATTAAATTTTATATTAAAAATTATCTTAAAATATTAATAACAACAATTTATATTTCTTTTAAACATTAGTTGCAGTATTTACTCGATTAATGAAAAAAATTATTTTTTACCTTCTCCAGAATAATTACCCTCCTTGATTAATTACCCTTTCTAACAAATTGTTGAAAATACAACCAGAATAATTTAATCGAGTATATACAGTATATGCCTAATTATGACCTTTTATTCTATCTGAGTGATTAGAGGTGAATCGGAATTCCGACGAAACGATTTCCGACGTTTTTTACTTCCGATTTCTTTTTTCCGAAAATTTAGGCTGATTTCCGCTTCCGAGTTCCGCCTTTTGAGCCATTTCTGATTTCTGACAGTTCCGATTTCCGGCACCTTTGACATTTCCGATTCACCTCTGTGAGTGATCTTTCACTGACAAACAGAATATTTTCGGTGAGTAGTCCATTCTTTTCATTTAGCGTTCTTGTATCTCTATTAAATAAAAATAATTTTTAAAAATTTATTTAGTTAATTAATTGACGCAATCATTTCAAAATTCTTTTATTATTTTCAAGATCTACTCTATTCATTCATTGGCAATTATTTTCAATAAAAAAAGAGAAAAGATTTTTTTTAAGATTTTCTTTTAATATTTATTTTTATTTCTTTTGTTAATTCTCTTTGTTTGTGTAAATCCCTCCCAACTATTTTTCAACTTTAAGCTCTTGAGACGTGAAAAGTTAGGGGAAATATAAAGCAAAAAATGCGCGAGATTGCTTTAACAATCATTAAAGCAATCGATGGATTGCCCTGATTTATTTGAAGATTTTTTGGCCTAAAAAGCCGAAAAAATATATTTTTTGGAAGAGTAATTGAAAAATAATTTTTTTCTAAAAATGGTTTTATGAGGGATATCTCTTCTTAACAAAGGAGTTAATTGCCTTTTGAGTGCAAGTGACGGCTCGATCAGTTTTTCTGTTAGGTTGTAGACCTTGGGGCTCTATTGTAAACTTTCTTTCCTAGCTCTCATAACCAAATGGAGCCAAGTAGGTTCTATTAAGAAGAATTTTAATTTTTAATTTTTTTCTTAATTTTTTAAATTTCTAATTCTAACTTCTACTTCTCTAATCTTATCAAAAAGATCAGATCGATCAGCCATGTGTACCCAAGTAAGGTCAAAATTATTCATTTTTCTCGAGGAAAAATTGGTGGATCGGAAGGAAGCCCTTTTCTTAATGCTCATGTTTTCGTCATCATCATTTTCATCCAATTTTCACATTTTTTAAAATGATTCAATTTATGTATTTCAATTTTTTAATAATGTGTCTATATTTTAATAAAAATAACTTTTCAAAATTAATTGAGATAATTATTTTGTTTTTCTTTAGTAACTTTCTTAATTTTCTTTTCAATTTTTAATTCAACTAATCAACAAATAAACTAATTTAATATAAAATGACCATTACTTACTCCCTCGACGTAGGTATTGTATTTATTTAAGTTAATAAATAAATAAAATTTTTATTAATTAAAATTAGCTTCTTCCACACTTTTGGGCTTTCATCGCCTTTTGCTTCGTTGGAAAGGTTTTTAATTAGGAAATTAAGTGAAAAAAAAATTTTAAATTTGAAAGGAAGTATTTGGAAAAGTATTTGGCCAGAATTAACTTGTTGGTTGTGTATTTATTTTAGTTTATCTATTTGGTATAGATATATAATGAGTAAACAACAACAAATGTGAGGAAATATTTGAAGGGAAAAATTATTATTTTTTTAAATTTTAGCCTTTTTGAAGATATTTGTATTTTCTTCAATACATATTCTGATTACATTGTAATTATTTAATTTAATTTAAAAAATATTTAAATGTTTAAACATTAAATATCTAAAAGTTAATATTTTAAAGGATATTCAAGCTGAAATAATGCCCCTCTATCAAATAATTACCCCCTCCCTATTCATTAGCCCCTACAGCCAGAGATTGAAAAATAATTACTCTGGGTAATTATTTTTGGCAAATACGATAGTCTAATTTTATCATTAAAAAATCAAAAAATCTAAAACTGTTCATTTTACTAAAAATAAATTTATATTCCCTTAAAATCACAAATTACCTTTACTTATATTCCTTTTAGGGCCCATAACTCCAATTTATCCCACATTCACTTATTTTAAGTTTTCCTAAATTTTGTGGTATTGAGGAGACAAAATAAATTTTCTAGAAAAATATTTAATTTTAATTTTATTTTTTAAAGCCAATAACGTTTATGCTCGGCTTTTATGTCTCAGCAGTTTTCACTCGTTGGGGCGAAATTTTTATGAATTTGGGTTGGATAGATTCGTATGTTTTTTTCTAAATTTATTAAAAATCTCTCTTTATGTTCACTTATTTATTTTAAAATTTTCTCAAGCTCAGACCAGCAATTTTACTTGCCACAATTGTAAGAGGTACAAGTGAAGAAGCGAGGAATATTCGAAGAAATATTATTAGATATTTAGTTAAATTAATTAATTAAATAATTGAATTAATCTTTTCTTTTAAAATTAGGTATTAGTCCAAGCAATGGTTTATAGAGATATTAGTGCTTGTGTCAAAAAACGATTTCCAACAATGGATCATTTAGGTAGTTTATATTTTTAAAGGGAGATTTTTAGAAGAGATTAATCGTAAGGATGATTCACCTAGAGCATTTAAAACGCTTAGGCGCGGGTTAAACGGTCTAAAAAGGTAGAGCTCCTGTATATGGTGAGCGAAAGTGTCTAGCTATAACTACTAGGGTGTCGCAGGTTTAATCCTGCCCGGTGGCTAAACTTTTACTAAACTTTCCTTAATTTGGATATCTTGGAACAGCTAATTTTCAAAAATAAATTCCTGAACTTTTTTTAAAATATTTTTTCAATATTTCTTTATTTTCAATTAATATTTCCGATTCTTTTCTGTAAAGAAAATAAATATTTTTAAAGTTACTGCTGGAATAATGACATCAAATGAATTGCGTGAATTTGATGCAATTGAGACTGAACATATAAAGTATTTAATAATTAAAAATAAATTCATTAAAATTATTAAAGATATTGGACACCAATCCAATGGGCATTTCTTCTTTTAAGAAGAGCTAGAGATCAGGGACTTGTTGATAGCGATATTATTTATGTGGTAAGGAATTTTAAAATTAAAACTCAAAAATTTTTTGTAATCTGCTAAAGAAAGTTTTTTCGTGAACTAACAAAATTTTCTAAAAAAAATTTAATCGTCAATTCTTTCATTTTCTAATTTTTTACCTTCCAACAACAATTCTTCCCTTTCAGTTATCCCGCTTTAATAATGGACTCTTTTATAAACTCCGAGGGCCCTTCTCTAAATTAAAGTTTTATCCGTCAGGATATCCAACCAAGCACTGTTTATTTTAGGATTGGGCCCCGAACGCTTGGGGGCGTTGTGTAGTGGTACGGGGGTTTTCGAATAGTTTCGGGGCGGGTCCTGTAAAATCTGAAAAAATCGTTCGAGGAATGGGGTCGGGGCGCAACTCTTGTTTATTTTATTAGCAGCCTTTCATAATTATTAAAGGTCCATTTCCTTGTTTTTACACTTTTTCTTTTCTATCACTTACTTACCAAAAAATTAAAAAAAAATAAATATTAAATTTATTTTTATTTTTTAAAGGATATGCTAGAAAAAATCCGTCAATATCGCGTAAATGTTTTAACACTTACTCTTTATGATTGGGTACCCATTCCTTTGGTAAATATTCTTGATTAAAAATATTCCCTAATTTATTTAGGTCTATACACAAGTTGTTAATTTAGCTGTTCGTTCCTATTTTTTAATTGCTTTGTTTGGAAGACAATATTTAATTGGGGAAAGAAAAGAAAAAACTGTAAAAAATAAAAATAAATTTTGTATTAAAAATAAAATTAATTTAGATAGATTTATTTATCCCTTTAATGAGTATTATGCAATTCCTTTTTTATATGGGTTGGATTAAAGTTGCTGAAGTTTTATTAAATCCTTTGGGTAATTAATTATTTATTTTTTCAATAAAAATGTTAATTTTCAAATTTATTTAAATTTGACTTTATCTTTTGAGTTTTGCCCTAGTTGGTGAAATCGACAACCCTACCCTTGACCTATTTTTGGATGCACAAAAATTACTTATCTTCAAAAATTTAGCAATAAAATCTTTCTAGATCCAAAAATTATTTAATTCATGGAAGTCTTACCAATCATATTTATATCTTCCAACAAGGACAGATTTTTTTAGTTAAATGTCCACTTATGAGTTTGAAGCTTATTTTATTTTTACATCATTTTTTATCTCTCCAATTATTTTACAAAAAAAATGGAAAAATAATTTTATCTTTTTGGGTTCTAAAATTAAATTATTTAAAAAGGTGAGGATGATGATGATTTTGAGACAAATTGGATTATTGACAGAAATTTACAAGTTGGTCTATGTATTGTAGATGATTGTTATGGAAGAGTTCCTGGATTAGAAAAAGATCAATTTTGGGAACAGAGTAATCCACAATTACTTTACACAGCAGAAAGTGCTTCTAGACCTCAAAATCCAATGATTGGTTCTTGTAATGATTCGTACGTTTTTTTATTTTTAAATTGTGGAAAATGTAGTACTTCTAATGTATAAATTCACTCAGCACCCTTTTCGTTTATTAGATTTTTTAAAAATTTGTTAAGGAGGTGGGATGAAAAGAATGCCCCTAATTATGGGTTCCCTTCACTGGAACACCCTATTTTTCCGACTCCAAGGATGTTTGTCCGACTGTAATAAAGATCCGACTATAATTAAAAGAAATTCTAAGAATTCACTAAATTCACTAAATAACAAAATAAACAAAAAAATATTTAGAAATCAACAGGAAGACATGCTTTTATTACAACCCCGCCGTCGTAGACTTATGTCAACTGCAACTGGGCCAGAAATGTCTGGAGGAGCACATTCAAATAAAGCCTTTCATTTTGATGAGTTTTATAGAGATAAAGCCCCTGTTGTTTCTGATGACGATGAAAATAATAATAATATTGTTCCAGTATATAATCACAATCCAAGTAGAAGAATTAGGTAAATAAAAGAAAAATAAAAGGAAAATAAAAGGAAAAATAACTTTTAATTAATTAGTGTTGTTTATAATGATGGAGGAGGGCCTACACGTATTTTGGATAGTATAAAACGAAAATTTTCTCGAGCAGCTCCAACAGGCGGTAGTCGAAGTGGAGAACATGATTTTGAAAAATCTTTTGAAAGAACACAAAGGCAGGGATTTTAATTTAAAATTTAGGTTAAGATTCTCTTATAGAAATTAATTCACTTAAGAACAAATTTAAATCTCCTTTCCATTACAAAATAGAATTTTTTAGATGATAGTAGATTTTGTGTAGGTAATAGTGTTCAGTCAGAAGTTCCAGTTCCGATTGATCTGAAATTTTTTTTGGCTGGTATGTCCGATCCTCCAGTAAACTTATGTTCCATTATGCACCTTTCTTTTCCACACAAAACTATTTTATCCCTTTAAATGAGTTATTTAAAATTTTGATGAGTTATTTTTCAGAAATTCAACAAAATCAACAATTTCCAATTCCGATATTCCCGTTCAAAATTTCCTTTGGGGTGCTAGTCAATTAAAGGATGAAATTAATGAAAATAGAGACCAACCAAAACAAAATGAACAAAAACAAAAAACAGAATTTTTAGAGAATTTAAATACAAATTTAAATATTAAACATTCATCCCCACCAACATCCCCACCAAAATCCCCTTCATTACCGCCATTATCTACACAACAAATAAATAACGAAAATAACGGGAATTGCTTAACTCAATTACCAGCAATTCAAGAAGAAGAAAGTTGTGGAGGGGAAGGAATTAATAGTCAAAGTAGTTTGTCTATAGATTCTGTATCCAGTACAAATTCGAGTTCATTGGTACAAATTGAAGAACAAAAGAAAAATTCTTCTGGTAATGAAGAAAGTAAAAATTAAAGGAAAAACAAATTTCTTTCAAATTTTTTCTTTAAATTTTTGAAAATAAATAATTGAATTTTTTTGTTTATTTTAAATAAGAATCACCTTTCTTATATAAACTTGAGCGAGGCAAAAGTTCAATCCCGGGCAGGCGTTGATCCTACGACCTCCTGGCAGTTATTGCTAGGCGCTTTCGCTCACCACGTACAGGTGCTCAACCAACGGAACTATTGGGACGTTGTTTTCACCCTATTTTTTAATGGATCTTTCTCCTTAAATCTTTAAAAAAAGAATTTTTTATAAACTTTCTCCTCACATTTCTATTAGTCAGAAATTGTCAACAAAAGATGCCACATTCGTTAAACCTTTAGAAAAATCGTGAATCCCCTCAAACTTCAAATTCTCAATAAAATTTAAAATATTTCGGTACAACATACAATTTGTGATACTATAAAAGCACCCTGTTATTTTTTTTTGATCAAAACTCTTCAAATCAACCATCAATCTCATCAACAAATCTTCAATCTATTGGCCTTGCGAGTGCTCTCAACAGGACCTAACAACAACAAATGCTTCTCTTCAAACACGGACGGAATCGGGCTGCCGCGTTCGGGATGCTGCGGGAACGGCTTCTGCTGGTTTGTTGGCTTCTCTCTGCTATGGCGCTCATCCATCAAGTTGCTGGCGATGATCCTCCTCAACCTCCTCCTGTTGCTGCTTCTGCTGGTAACACCGTTGGCTTTGGACGTCACACAAAATCTGGCGAGAAGGTCAAGTTGTCAAGCGACGGTTGGAGTGCAGCAGCTAGCACTGATGATCTGAAGGCGTACAAGGATGCTGGTGCCCTGAACCCGTGTGATGACATCGAATACGAAAAGGAAACCGGGGACATGTGAGAGCTTTTTTTCTTTTTACAAATTAAAATTTATATCAATAAAATTATTTTTATTTCAGCATTGTCAAGTACAGGAAGGATGGGAGAACCAAATCTAAGGGATGCATGGTGGATCTGCTTACGAAGCACACAACATCAGTCGACTTCATCATTGGAATCAAGAACGGCAACGGCTTGGAACATTGCTTGGATCCGACGACGACATATAAAACCAACTGCCGCTTGCCTTGGCCTATTCGTACTTGCGACAAAGCAACAGAGTATCTGTTTGACAGCTACGCAAACACGTTCGTTTTTGCAATATTTTATGTTCGTTTAATCTTTTTAATTTCTTCTCAGGTTGCCATTCATCTACAGTCGTACTGTCGCGGAGTTCCAGTCGATGCGTTACTTTGAACCGGCTACTGGTGATGGCTGCCCTGGGTCTTGTTGGGGTAATGTGGTCTGCAGGAAATGGACTGGTCTTGCTGCTGGATTTGCCAAAAATGGTGGCAAAGTTGCGAGAACAGTTGTTGGAAGTGAGTTTATTTTTGTTAATCTAAATCTTTGCTTAAAATCCTTTTTTAGTTGGTAATCCCGGTGGTTCAGGCTGTACCTTGGCAGCTGAGAGTGCGGGGAATGATGCCAACTACAAGATGACCGTCGACAATGGAAATATGCATTGGTTCGCAACAGAAGGCTGCGCTGGGAGTGATGAAGGGGGGTTTCCAAGAGACGCTCAATGCGTCAACAAGAATAGCATGGCACAAGAACTGGGCGAAAAAATCACCTGGGAGATTGAGTCCCCTCAGCCTGATTCTGACTTCAAACAACTGTTCACCTTCGCCTTGCTTCCCAATACAGCAACCAAAGCCCACAGCAGGCAGCACAACCAGCTTTATGGTGAAGTTGGTGGACCGAAATGTGACGAGCTCTACGTCAAATTTGTAAGATTTCATTATTCTTTTTTGATTACTTGTTTTCAATTCTAAATTTCTCTTTAATTTTCAGCCAGGCAGTTCATTCAAGCTGTTGGTGCCCAAAAGTGGTGGTGCTCCGATCGTTGAAACTCTTGCACCAGTACCAGAGCTTGTGTCGGAAACTCCACCGCCAGTACTTGCGCCGACCGAAGATGGTGGAGGAGGTATGGTCGTCGTCATCATAATTGTCATCGTCTTGATTGTGTGAGTTTTCGGCTTTTTTCAAAATAATCATTTACTCAACTAAATTCCCTAAATTTATTTTCAGTGCTGTGGTTGGCGGTGTTCTCGTCTTCTTCTTCGTCATCAAGAAGAGTGAGCCCGATGCAGTTGAGGAAGACTATTTCGGCACATCGAAGGCTGGTGGAACGACAAAGACCAAAGCTGGAACAACGGTTGGGGCAACTCAGGCAAAGACTGGAGGGCTGACAACGGTTGGGACCAAAGCTGGGACAACTGCTGGGGGAACTGCAAAGACGGCCGCTGCGGCAACCAAGGCTGGGACGACTGTTGGTGGAAAGACTGCTGGTGGGAAGACTGCTGGTGGTGGGACGACGAAGAAGTGAGAAGAGAAGAATGATTGGACGTTGTGATGATTGAAGAATATGTCCAAATAAATAAATAAATAAATAAATATTTCTTTCTCCCTCCCCTCTCTATAGGCATTTCCCCCTTCTAATAATGAGCATCTCTCTAATAATTATTGTTGTGATCCACTTTTCTTCTATTCCCTATATATGTGGCACAACTATATATTTCCTATAATGCTATATATCGATGCTCTTGTATGTTGTACCTATATTTGTGTGTGTTCTCAACATATATATTATTGTTGCTGTTGATGTATTGTATATATTATAAATGTTGTAAATAAATGTTGGATATATTGTAATGAGTTTTGGATTGAATTAACTATGAGTTTTTTTAAGAAATAGGCCTAGGTTAATAAAAAGTACAGGTTAGGGAAAGGCTTACCATTTGAGAAATTGTTAGGTGATAAAGTACAACTTCCCCACTATATCCGTTGAAAAATATGCTAGATTCAACCTTTGTCTTTTGCTTTTGAAATACCCATTCGTTCCCAACTCCTGAAATACCCAACTCATTAAATTTTAAATTTTGAAACCCGACAACGAATCCCTTTGATTGGTGTGAAATTTAAGTTTAATTTACAAATTTTGTCAAGTAACCAAAAAACTTCATATTTTCCTGTATAAAGCTATTCTAGGGGTAAGAAATGCCGTAATGGAAAATACAAATGAGATTTAAGTTTATAAAATGATTGAATATGTATATGACATAATTGTGAAATTTCAAATTAATTTGTCATATGACGTCTGATTCTCAACACAATGTTTGTTTATTAGCTATTGTCGTTCTAATAGAGAATGTCTTTATTTTAGAGTTTTTTCTTTATTTTTTCCTTATACAGTAATTTCAACAAAAATTCCCAATTCTTTACTTAATTTCTCCTCAACAATTTATTTTTGCCTTTAATTAGCCCTAAAACTAAATTAAGTGAATAACAAAAAAATTAAAAGAAAATTTTGCTAAAAACTAAAAAAGGCATAAAATTGTTATTTTTACATTAAAAAAGGAATTGAGTGTATGTATTGTGTCAATCAAATGAGCTGTCAATCAAAACAAAATCTTTGGGGAACCTTTGTAAATACAAAATACATAATTTCCCTCAACATTTATTTCCCTCAATTAATTTTTATTAGCATTTGAGTCTTTAACAATAAATTTAATAATAAAAAGATTAAATATGTAAGGTAGTTATTAAAAAAGAAAAAAAATTATCAAAGCTTGTTAGCCTGTATTTTAATTAATTGTCAAATTATCATTGTTGTTGATAAAAATTTTGATTTATTAGAAAGAGAATAGTATAATCTATCATTCAAAAAAGAAATATACTCCTAGATTAAAGACATTACGAGGTATATTTTAAGTAAAAGAATATTATCAGGTGTGCAAATGTTCTTTAAAAAAGGAACATTTATTTAAGGAGTAATTTTATTTACCTTTTACAGTAAATATTTATACAAAAATTAACAATAAAATTAAATTTCTTGGAGGTTTTGTTAAGAATAAAATTCCGGATTCCCTCCCATTAAAGATAAACCCCATAACATGTCATTGTTTCAAATTTTTGGTTCTACCTAAATTATTTTTTGAATTTAACTGGCTATACTAAATATTTTTTTCCAGACTTTAATTGTTTACCTCAACCACCATCATCAATTCATTTATATCCCCAATTTCTCCTTTAATTTTTTCCCTCCCACACATATTTATTGGCTGTTTGTATTGTTGAGGGATGACAGTTTTGACACGCATTTTAATTGTTATATATTTTAGTTAATGCGGGAAAAGAAGAGAAAAAATAAATAAAGTAACAATTAACGCTAAAAAGCGTGTTTTCCCTCTTTTTTTAAGATGGCAATTTCTATAAATATTTTTAATTGGTTATTCTCTTTTTTTGTTTTTAAATTTTTATTTGGAATTTAGTAAGTATTTAAAGAGTTTTTTGTCCGGAAATTAATTTTAGTTTTTCTTTTCTTCAACAATACTATATTATTTTATAAAATACCGTAAACTCTGACAATTTGCTCAATTCGGCTGAAAAGACGAATCGGGCATAAATTTGGTCTGAGAAAGAAACGATCAGCCCTGTTCGATAAAAATGAGAGAGACCCTAAAAAACGAAAGTCTGCCCGTCAAAAACGCCAGCCCTAATTTTAATGGTTATTTAATAGAATGGCACCAAAATTTCATAAAATTTATAAGTTCAGAAAACATCATTAGAAATTAGAATGCCTGTCTATTTAGAATTTTTATTTCCCTACTAAAAATAAAATAATGAAATTGACCTTGAAAGTTTTGAGAAACAGTTCCAAAACCGCTGTCATGGAACAAGTTTCTAAAGTTTGTGAAATTTTTTAACCGAACCATTAAAATGCTAAAACTGTCAGGAATAGGGAAAGTAAAACTTTTCGATTTTTTTGGAACCGAGAAGCACTCCTTGTCAATTTTGTTAATGTTACTATCAGGAATGTATAATTTTGAATTTTAAAAAGCATAAGATGTAAGGCGGAAGAAACGGAAAAAAATAAAAAAAACGGAAGGCGGAAGCGGAAGACCCAAAAAGGCGGAATTAGGCGGAAGACGGAAGCGGAAGTGATAAAACCCTGTTCTATATTTTCATTCCATATTTTCATTAACTTTATATGTAGACTTAAAGAGAAAATGATTGAAACAATTAATATAAATCAAAATCAAAAACAATTATTATTAAATTCAAATAATTTAAAAGAATCTTCTTCTTCATTAAAAACTTCAAAATTTAAAAATAATTATTATAATAAATTAAATAAAAATAATTCTGATTTAAATAATAAACTTAGAAGAAATCGGACAACATTTACAACCAGACAAGTTTGTTATTTAAATTTAAATAGAGAAATATATTTTTTTAATTTAAAAGTTGCATGAATTAGAATTATCTTTTGAGGCCGGTCATTATCCTGATGTTTTTGCACGTGAACAGTTTTGTCTTTTTTAATAAAAAATTTATTTGGGAATTTTTAAAAATTTGTGAATAAAAAATGTGGGGAATGTATGACAGTCTTTCGTGTTTTTCACCCTCTTTTTGATTCATGGTCTCGAGTTAAAAAGTTTTTCAAAAGTTAATAAATTTGCTCAAATCTTTTTCTTGAAACCTATTTTCTAGTTTTAATTATTTATTTATTTTGTCATTATTTTATTTTGTCTTATATAATCTACTTTTACTTTGAGATTTTGCGATCGAAAAATTCTGTCTCTCCGGAATCTTTAATTTAAATAAAATTTAATAATTAAATAATTATATTCATTAAAATACAAAATTAATAAGACTCTTAAAGTAATTATATTTCATTTTTTACTAGACTTTCAAAAAAGATACAATTACCAGAAGTTAGAATTCAGGTTCAAAATAATTTTTAAAATATTTAAAAATAATAATTCTATTTATTAAAGGTTTGGTTTCAAAATCGAAGAGCAAAATGGTAAGAAAAAGTAATTTAAATTTATATAGTTGGACCTCTATTTTACATAAATTCAAATTAAATACCGTATAACCTCCTCGATTAATATTCTGTTGAAACAATAATTACTAGAGACTTCCAAGACCGAAAATTTTCCAAAACTCAAGACTAAGACTACCCCAAGACCAAGACCAGGACCGAAAAAACGCAAAAAAAGGTTTGGAATCAAGACCCAAGACCAAGTCTTGGAAGTCACTAATAATTACCAAGATAATTGAATGTAGTACTGAAGAGAGCCTAAGCAATACTTTTTTTTCAAATAATCTCATTTTGTAAGACAACAATTGTTTTAGCACCTAAATTTGTGTGTTAAATTGAGGGTTGATTTTATTTACCTAATTTCGCAATTTAAAAAAAGGAGGAGACAAGAAAAGCAGGAATTAAACAATTTAAAATCATTTAAACTACCAAATACAAATTTGAATAATTTATTTCCAACAACAGAAAATAAGGAAATAAACAAAAATAATTTAATTAAATTAATTGGAAATAATAATGAATTAAATTTTAATATTGAAGAAATAAATAATGAAATAAAAACAAATAATAATAATTATTGGAATAGTTTTTCTGCTGCTTGGTTTGTTTATTTATTTTTGATAAAATTATTATACTAAGTAATTCTTTAAGAAATATTTTAAGTAATTAAAATTAAAATACTAAAAATGAAGTATGAACAAAAAATTTAAATTCATGCTATTTTAAAATTAGGGTAGCACCCTGGGCCTTCAAGGGCAGAAGTGTTGTGTTTAGAGGTTTGCCTGTGTAGAGCCTTTGGGGTTTTTGCCTGTTTTTGTCGGGGTTCTTGCCTACCCTTGCTACCCATTTCTCTAATCTTTCCAATTTTTCTGTCTCAAAACGTGCTCGATTTTTGAGTAAAAATCTGAGTAGTTATCCAAGTATTTATCTAAGTAGCTCCCAATTATTAATACAACCTACCCAAATTTTTTTCCAAATTAATTCCAGTCGGGTCAAGTTAAAAAAATATTTTTCCAGTTACCCAATTTTATTCTTTTTTCTTTTCCCAGTTTGTCAACATCCTCATCAGATAATCAACAATTAATATTTCCAAACAACACCAATATACTCCAAACAACAACAGATTTATTCCCCTCTTTATTTTATAATAATTCTTCTGATTTATTTAATTCTGATTTTTCTTCTTTTTCTTCTTCAGCTTTTTATTTTCCATATTATTATTATTTTAATTTAGCTACAACCACAACATTTCCACAAAATGAATTAAATTATAATGAACAATTAAATAATTAGAAAATACTTAATATACATAGTATGTGTAATTTTTTGGATAAGATTAATTTTAAATAATTATTTTTTGTCTATAAATCAACTGAATTTTTAAAAAATTTTATATGTAATAATTTTAGTTTATTTTATTATTATTTCCTTTCTTGCACTTTCCGGAACCGGAACTTCCATTGAACTAACTCTTCATCCTGCATTTTAAAATTTATTATAAATTCTAGTCAAATTTAGAATATAAGATAAGTGTTAATAAGATCAAGAAAATTTTTTAACATTATACTTATTTTTATTTTCTTTTAAAATAAATAAAAATATATAAATTAATTTTAATAATTTAAAAATAAAAATATAAATTATCTAAAAAATTTAAAAATATTTTTTAAATTCAATAAAATCCCTCTTTTTTTCTTTTTATTAAATTTGACATTCAATAGTACAACTTAATGTACATAACCGTTTAACACGTAAATCTGTACACAATCCATGCATTCTCCACCATTTACAATAAACAGAATTATCATAACTTTATTTAAAAAATATAGTTTTTTTTTTAAATTAAAAATGAAACAAACCATTTAATAAGTCTAGGTGAGGGTGGAGGTAACTCTGTTAAAAAAAATAAATCTTAATACTTTCAAATCTTGTATAATTTAGACCGGGCTGGAAGTGTCTTGCGAGAATCTCTAAAAATAACGATCCAACTTGTTTGTTGGAGTTTTTGTCTAGGTCCGATCTCTAGTTTAAAAGTATAGTTCGACTCTATACGATCTTTTCGATATTTTTGTATTGAATATCGACCGATCCTTTCAGCCAATCTCTAATTTAAAAGTATTATTTAATGTACCCCAAGAAACTACACTAAAAAGACAATTTCTCGATAATAAAATTACATTGGGCCCTAAGGGTATATTTTTGGAAAGAATTAAATTTTTTCTTCTATTCTTATTTAGCTTACCTTTATTCTCTCTTTTTTCATTTCCCTCTATTTCTTCCTCCTCCACTTCTTCCTCTTCACTATTTTGTTCTCTACTTTTTCGAGTTTTTTCAGGTAATTCATCTTCAACATCTTCTTCCTCCTCTTCTTCCGAAGATTTTCCCTTTGGAGGAAATGTTAATAAAGTTTCCCAACTATTTCTTTTTAAAAAAATTTATTTAAAAATTTCTTCTTCAAAAAAAACCTTTTACTACTTCCACTACTTTTTCCCCCTCTTCCACCTGTACATATTTTTACATTAACAATTGTTTTTCTAATTCCTCCTCTATTATTTTTTGATCTAATTTTGTTTCTACTTTCTATTGAAGCCCAAGGAATTAAATTTTCTAATTTATTTGAAATTGTATTTCGAATTGAGGAAGAATTGGAAGAATTTAATGAAGAGGAGGGAATTGATATTGTAGTTGTTGTGGTGGTTGGAGGAGAAGGAGGAGGTGATGTATTTCTTTAAAAGAAATTTATTTTCCCAAAAATAAAAATTAAAATTTCTATAGGTGTATTTAAAGTAGAGATCGAACCGAGACGTGGTCTCGAAAAAAATTTCAGTTATCGAGATCGAGATTTTTCGAGATTTCGATTCTCGACACCCTTCCAGTCCGGACTCTAAGTAATACATATCTACTCCTTTAGAATTTGTATCATTTAATCTGATTTAAGAATTTTTTTAGTTCAATTTTAGTGAAAATACATGTTTAAAAAATCAGTAAAAATTATTTTAGCTCTGTAATTTTTACGGAAAATTATTTTAAATTTTATTTATTGAGGGATACACTTTTTGAGGGATATATTATACATATTTCCTTTGTCTAGAATTTAAAATTTTATTTTCCCCTGCCCACCCACTTTGAAGTCATTATAGTTGTTGTTGTTTCTGTTGTTGTATTAACTATTAAAGTTTGATTAGTCGGTAACTCAGTAGTTGTGGTGGTTGTTGTTTTTTTGGTTGGTTTGGAAGGGGAATTTTTGTTGTTTTTTCTATTTAATTTAAATATATTAAATAATTTTAATTTTATAAATTAATTAATTTTTTTCTAACCTACGAGTTGTTTTTATTGTTGTTTTAGATGTTGAAGTATTCGAAGAAGTTTTAATTGATGTTGGAGTTGTAGGGGTTGTTGGTGTTGTTGTAGATGTACTACAATGCTCATTTCCTTCAATTTCAGTTGAGGAAGTAATTCCTTTAAAAAATTCTTTCTAATTTTATTTTCACAATTTTTTCGGAATACCCATTAAATTCCTTCCTCTACTTGTTTCAATAGGCGGGAGAGGTGCATATCTTTCCAACATTTTATCGGCCACTATTTTAATTGCCTCCCAAGTTTCGTCAGCGGTGTCCATAATTTCTGCTTCGGGTAATAAAAAGCCGGTACTGTGAAGGGTGTTTTGAGGCCTCAATTCGACAAGAAAAGAAAATGGAATATTTAGAACACCTTTGGCATAATCATGGGATGAACCAGAAGCTTCGTCTTTTTTAAATAAATTAAAAAATAAAAATATTGAAAGATATACCGTATTTTTCCAAATACAGCCCCATGGGGCCATGTTTTTCAACTATCCTCCAGACTGGAGCAGTATTAGAGAATTGGGCTCTAATTGGGAGTGGGGCTTTATTTGAAAAAATACGGTAATTTTAAAAATAATTTTAAATTTTTAAAAAATTAATTAAGAATATTTTTAATGACAAGTGGAAAGTTAAAAAAGTTAAAATTTGTTTAACATTAATTTATTTCTAATCAGAAAAAAAGATTTATTTTTTTGACCAAAATTATTAAATTAAATATTTACATAAAAGATCAGCTCCAGAACCAACTTGATATTCTGTCCCATATAATCTTTCCAAAGCTTTAACAGCGCGTAAAGCAAGGGGCCTCTAAATACAAATTTGTGTAACTTATAAAAATTATCACAGAAAATTTAATTACATACTAGCATATGTCCTTTATTATTATTACATTAAAAAACTGTCCATTTTTTAGACCCAAAACAAGAATATTTATATTTACAAATAATTACTCAAAAATATATTTTTATTTATTTTTTGTCTATCCGCTATTTATTTATGCAGAATCTCCCTTTAAAAATATTTTTTGTTAGCAATTTATTTATTAAGAGAATTCCCGTCAGAAAAATAAGGAAAAACAACTTCCGACGTTAATGAATCTAGATTTTCTTTTGATTTGGGAAAGGAAATAAAAAGAAGCTTGGAAAAAAAGATGGAGAGAGAGATTAGATATTAACGAACTAATATATTTATAAATCCAGTATTTTAAAAATTAGATATATAAATAAAAGGCGAAAGACAGAATGGAGCCCATTTTGATATTTATTTTATCTCCTTTTTTAGTCTAATATCCAATAAAAATAAATTTATTTTAAAGACAAAAATGTCTTAAATAAACTTTGAAACTATATGATTGCTTAACTAAGTAGGCTCCGAATAAGCCCCAAAAGGACTAAAAAAAGACGGGCATGAATCTAAGAGATTCATAGGAGGACCTCAAGAAATGATTAGAGCCTTCCTGAATGTCCCAAAAAATTTCTATTTCATTTAAGAGATAATATAATTATGTATTTGTATTTTTAAGTTGTTGTAAAAAATGAAAGTCCATACAGCAACATTCTTGGCCTCTTCAATTTCTGGCCTTTCTTTAATTGCTAGTCTTGTATTTATTGCAAATATATGTTCAGATGTTGCCCAATTGTGGCTAGATCTTGACCAAGAAATTGGGGTTTTCAGAGCCGAGACTGATGATCTATGGAGAGATATGGTGAATATTGGGCGTTCACGTCAACGCCGTGATACTGGCTACGAAGAAAAGCCAGCGAAGAAAGGATATGATGAGGGAGTTAATGGTTAGTTTTAATATAGAAACCGTGAAATTACAGAGAACGGGCTTAAGTGATCAATCGAGAATTTCGGTCTTGATTTGAACAAAATTTTGTCTCAGTCCGATCTAAAGTTAATATACAATAAAATAGAAAATAAAATTTTAAGCCCCAGCAGCACCAACAGGAGTACAACCACCAAGTGTTCCACCTAGTATTCAATCTAGTTCACCTGGATCAGGAGGATGTAGTAAGTATTAATTTTAAGTTAAAATCAAAGTTTTGTTTCTAACAATTATTTAAATTGTTAAAAATAGATTGTCTAACTGGTGCTGCAAATAAATGCCCAGCAGGACCACCTGGACCTAAAGGAGTATCAGGGCCACCAGGAAAAGACGGATTGGATGGTCAACCTGGAGTTAACGGTAAAGATGCGTTGGATGTGACACCTGATGTGCCAAAACCGGGATGGTAATTTTTGTTTTTAGAATAATAAATCTATAATAAATTTAGTTTCAATTGCCCTGCTGGACCTCAAGGCCAACCTGGCCCAGTCGGACGTACTGGACCTAAAGGTCATCCAGGAGCGAAAGGACAGCCAGCCCATGCTGGACGTGATGGAAACCCTGGCCCACCTGGAGAGTCAGGCCCGCCCGGTCCAGTTGGACCACCTGGTTCCATCGGATTGCCCGGAGAGAAGGTAGAGAAAAAACAAAAAATATAATAAATTAAATAAATTTAAAGGGACGTGATGCTGAACAACCAATTGGTCGCCAAGGTCCTCGTGGACCAAAAGGTAGAAAAACTTCTCCAAATAATTCCATCTATATTAAATTTTTCCAAAGGCCCGCAAGGCCCTCGTGGCCCGGAAGGTGATGCGGGAATAAGTGCCCCAGCTGGAGAAGCTGGACCTCAAGGACCCCCTGGCGGTCCTGGACCTCAAGGTTCACCAGGAAACCAAGGCACGCCTGGTGAGGAAGGAAATCCTGGACGAACTGGACGTGACGCTGAATATTGTCCTTGTCCTCAACGTTCAGCTGAAGTTAAAGGTGGAAAGGGATATGGAAGGAAAGCTTAAATATTGTGAAGATAGAAGAAAAGAAATAAAAAAAATTGTGATAAATAATTAAAATAATAGAAGATTAGGTCGGAGAAATAAATTTTTAGAAATGAAATAGTGGAGTAATTTAAAAAATTATTAGATTAAATTAAGAAAAATAATTAGAAACATGCCTGAACAGTATGGAAATCTTCTGGATAATTTCGTTTTTTATGTCCATAGGGTAAAAGCCAAAGTTGGGAGTAGGAATGTAAAGAAATGAATGCCTATAATTATTAAATAAAAAATTTGTTTGTGTAGTACCTTCACAGGATGTACTTGAAGAAAATCTCTGACAGATTTTCTGAAACATTAAAAAAATTAAAAATAAAATATTTAAATTGAATAATTAATAAAAACAAAATTCACGCGACTCAGGTTCGCTGAACGCTGAAGGTCCGTGGTAAGTTTCGTGACAAGGATCAGCACTTGAACCAGTTACTTTGAAAAAAATAAAATATATTTTATTTATATATTTTAATAAAAGGGTCTCTCTCCAGTAAGTCTATCTAGGTAATTGAAGTTGGATTTCACTATAAAATACAGCCGATAAGATATGTTTTTTAAAATTTGTTTGGCCACTGGGAGGATAAGGCGCCTAAACAATACTCTCTAAATAAGAAACACTTCCGTACAAGGTAAAATTTTTCTATTCCCAAGGGTATGTATTTTATGAGTCCCAACAGTAATATTTTCTTAATAAAATAACCCTACTTGACCAGAACCAATCAAAATTTCTATTTAAATCAACACCAGAACAACAAATTCTATTAAAATATTGTTGTTTACAAAATGCCGGTCTTCTATTTTTTCTCCACATTCTATTCTAGATGTTTAAATTTAAAAAATATTCTTAAATTAGTTAATCTACCTTTGTATGTGAATATTCATAACTAAAAAATAATAATTTTTAATTCAAACTGATAAGAATATACAGTAAGGTGCAAAAGTTTATGCCGCTGCACCTTGCACACAAAAAAGTCGATATATCTCAGGAAGAGATGGGACTTAAATTAAATCGATTATATTTCAATTAAGTATAGTTCATCTCTTTATAATATCCGTAAAAAAATTTTTTAATACTCATGTTATTCATAATTTATTTGGCCATAACTTATTTACCTCCCATTTTAGGGGAACAAAAGTTTATGCCGCTTGAACGAAAAAAACTTTTTTGGTTTTTAAACAAGACAAAAAAATTACAAAATTTTTTTATAAATATTTTCATTGATAATAAATGGAAAAAGTGAAAAAACAAAGTCTGTACTCTCTTAATTCATTGAAATCTAAAATCTAAAAAATCAACGGGAAACGAGGTTATAGTACTTCAAAAAATATTTTAGCTCCCTAGGGCCTGTATCAAAAATTCTTTTTGGGCTCATTAGAAAGCCCATAAAATTTGCTACAAACTACACTTGGTCTCATATGTGTGAAAAATTTCAGCTTCGAGATAGGGTGGCATGAATTCACAAGGTCGCCAAAATCACTCAAAATACCCTATAAAATGCTCATTTTTATTTCTTTAGTGATTAATGCAACCCTACCTCTAAGTTGAAATTTTTCAAACATAGGAGACCAACCTTATTTTGTAGTAAATTTTATGGGCTTTCAAATGAGCCTAAAACGAAAATTTAAAAAAATTCATAAGGGGTCGAAAATATTTTTCCAATTACTGTACCCCGATTTTACGTTGATTTTTGAGATTTTGGATCATGATGAAAAGATTATTTATCACATTCATTTTTTTCTTTTCCATTCAGTATCAATGAAAATGCTTATAAAAATTTTTGAAACTTTTTTTCGACTTGTTTTAGAACCAAAAAAAATTTTTTGGTGTAAGCGGCATAAACTTTTGCTCCCCAAAAATGGGAGGTAGGTAGGATTTTCCGACTATAATTTTTGATTAGAATTGGTATGGGAAATTTTTTTATAAATTTTATAAATAGAAGGCCTAATCTTAAAAAATATATAATCGATTTTATTTTTGTCCCTTCTTTTCTCGAGTTATATTGACTTTTTCATATGCGAAGTACAGCGGCATAAACTTTTGCACCTTACTGTATGTAATTATTCTAAAGGAATTTTTATTCTTATTATCTATTTAGAGTAATTTTGCAAAGCAGAGGAAAGTCATAATTCGTTTCAGATTAGTTTTGAGACATTTGGATGTTCTGAATTAACTCAGCTACGGACTGAACTGCCGAGACTTTTTTTTCTCTTATAAGCTAGAAATAAAAAGCCCCGTTCTTTACAATACCAATTATTTTCTTTAATTTAAAATTTAATTTTACCCGTCAGGATTAAGTACAGGTGTAATATACCAATCAATATGTTCAACTAAATGGCGTACACCTACATCTTCAGAATTATAACCATTTACTAATGCTGCTATTAAAATCATTGCTGTAGCTAATTTTTAAATAAAAAACATATGTAAATTTTTTCAAGAAAATTATCAGATTCTGTGCCTTGCTGATTTTTTAAAAATTATTTGTTTCTGAGAATTTATAAAAGCAAAGAATATTTACTTAATAAAAAATCATAAATCCGGAATGATTAATTTAAAATAAGTAATAACCAGGCGCAATCCACTCCCTAGCATGTACCCCAGCATCTATCCAAATTGCCGGCCCTCTAAATGGACGCCAACTTTCATCAGGCATTATTTGTCTGGCTGATATCTTTTTTATAATTTTAAATTTGAATTAAAAATTCAAAAAAAAACTTTAGCTGTAACAATAGAACGATTTTCGTGTGTTCTGCCAATTTCATAAAGTGAAATTAATCGAGGATTCATTTCTCTCAAACGAAAAAGGTGTTCCTCCATTCGAGTTAAAGGATTGTAACGATCATATCTTTTTTAAATTAAAAAAAATTATTTTAAATAAATTATTGAAAAAATAAATTTAAAAATAAATAAAAGTAAAGATACTTGGGTAATAATACCTATTTCTTTTTTATTAAAATAGGGATAAATTCGATCTCGATAGAGTGACCGTCGGGACCGAATCCTGCAGATGTATTAAAGAATGAGATATGCTAAGGGAGCTATCAATATTAACTGTATTCAACTGTAGTAGATCGAAGTTATGGGGAAACCTTATTTGAAAAAAAAAGAAAATTGAAGAACGATTTAAGTATAAGAATGAGGACTTAAAAAATCAAAATGAAAAATGTTTGTGTCTTTTTAAATAGAATTATGAAAGAATATTTTGATCGAAAATTCTTGATTGAAAAAATGTAAAAAATAATTTAATTAATTAAATTAGTTACTAAATATTTTTAAATTTAAGATTAAAAAATTTTTTTATTTAATTTTAATAATTTACCTATATTCGGGCTCTTTAGGTTTAGCCCTTCCAAACCAAAATTTTTCTCTATGATTTTCTTCTAATAATAAGAATTCTTTTTGATCATTTGCTTGGAAATTTTGTTGGAAATTTAAATTTTGCTGGTTTCGTTCTTTTTTAATTAAACTTTAAAAATTAATTAATTAAAAATATTTTTTTAAAAAATGTATAGGCATTAATGAAGAAAGGGGAGGATGGAGAATCTAGCAATATTTTCTTAAATTTTAGACAAATATTTTTATTGTGATCAGGACTGTTTTGAAATTTCGATTTTAGAGGTTTTCTATCCTTCAATTTTGAATTTCGATACTTTTGAGCTTTTTTCGATTCACAATTTTCGAACTTCTTTTCAGTTTCGAAACAGCTCCGATTGTGATATCAAAAATTTCCTTAAAATTGTTAATTTCAAACGAATTTTTGGAATTTAAGACACAAAAACGTCTATCAAAAAACGATTGTAAAGCATATAGCTATTTAATTCCTATGGCTGTGCAGTAGACGGCGTGGTGTAGTCCGGTTTACTAAAGATGCTGGCTCGCTCCCAGCCGCCGATTAACTTTTGCACTAGCTAAAGAAGAAAAATAGCTATAACCTCGATACTCCCTCCCTTCCATTCATTAATGCCAAAAATATTTAAAATAATAATTCTAAACTCTTCAAGATTATCAGCAATAACCAAATAATCCAATTCTCTATGCCTCAATTCTCCAAAAAATGCTGGAGCATCTATAGGAGATACAGTTAAATCAACTAAAGCTCCGATATTTGTTGGCGGCTTTTTAAAAAAATTATTTATTTTAAAATATTCTTTTTTAAATAAAAACCTGCCAAAAATCTAAATTAAAAAAAGGAGGGGCAGAATTTGTATCACTCGAATATAATTCTCTAAGCCAATTTAATTGTTTTTCTGTACGTGGATTTAGACGGAGAAGTTTAAATCTTGAAAAGGAAAATTTTTAAATAATTATTTTTTATTTTCTAAAGTCAGATCTCGATTTTATACCCAACCTAAAATTATATTACATACACCCTCAATTTTACTTTCAAGCGCAATTGATTTTCACATGAATAAATTAATATAAAAATAAATTAATGATAAATTAATTAGATTAATAAAATAAATTAACATGTAAATAAAATTTTTAAATACATTTCAGTGTATAAAATCAAGTTCGGCTTTAATTTTAATTAAAAATATTTTTCTATTTTTTAGAAGAAAATCTTTTTAATAAAGCTTATTGTCTGATTATCTTTTACTTTGAAAATTTTTTATTATTTTTTTAAACAAAATTTTATTCGACCCAGAATTTATTTTCTTATAAATTAATATTTTTTCTTCAATTATTTCCCTTCTTACCCCTTTTTTAATTTTAGAATTTTTAAATAAATTAATTTTGATCCAAAATTAAGTAAATAAAAATAACCCAGTAAAATCTTTTCTTTCTTGTCCATTTTGTTGTTTTAATTCCTCCTCATTATTAAAAGTTTGTTTAAATACCCATTCATTTGTTAGAGAAAATGTTAAATTAAATAAATTAAAAATAATTGTAATAAAAAATAAAAATATTAATTGTTGTCTAATTAAATTATTTGAGTAAATATTTGTTAAATTGAAGATGGACATTTGAATATATTTTTATTTCAAAAATATTTTTTTAATTTTAAAATTTTATGTAAAACATATCTTTAAACAGGAAATAATTAAAACAAAAAACAATTACCTTATATTTTAAAAGGATTCCACCGGGATTTTTTAAACTTTAGGGCAGTTTGAATATTTTTCGGGATGGATTTTAAAATGGGAAAGTCTGGGCTTAGGTTAACCCATGATAATCCCTGTAAAAAGATGCCTCGTTGAAAAATCGGTTCCTTAAACTGTTAAAATAATGGGAAAGTAAAACAATATGAAAATTACATAGTAAAAAAGGGATTAAATAAAATATTTTATAATTATATAATTTTAAAAATATTTTTATTTGATTATATTTTGAAAATAAACTAGCATAGATACTGAAACCTTTTGGCATTTATTGCTAGTCGATGAGCTAACGAGGCACTGCTTTTTCATAGATTTTAAATCCCCCGTCTGGTAACCTTCTTAAATGCTAGCCAGCTGGATCACCCTCTTCCTTACAAAAAAAAGAAAAAAAAGAAAGATTGTACTTTTGTTAAATGAAATGAAGATTTTGATATTTATTAGATATTAATTCTCTTTTTTTTTAATTTTGATTCAATTGAAGAATTAAAATAATTTTGTAATATTTTTAGGATGAGAAAGTATAAATAAATAAATTTTTATTCAAATACTCTATAAGTGGAAAGAAAGAGAAGACCATCATCAATCGCTGAAAAATCGGCTTCTCAAGTGGAGAGACAAAAAATACGACACAGAAGATTATTATTATTTTTATTATTATTTGGTCAAGACCTACATACACCAAATATTTAAAAAAATAAGTGTATTTTTGGCGATTAAAAAATTTTTTTGGATTAAAAAGGGAAACAAAAATAAATTAAATTTAAATATTATTTTAATACAATTAAATATGGTAAAACTTTCAATGCCAACTTAATAATAAATCAAATAAATATTTTACAAAACGAGACACAAACAGGATTGAATTACCTTTGATTTAAGCTTGGAGGAGACTTTAGAGAGTTTATTAATTTAATTGAAAATGTGGACATCTCTGTTGGAGGAATTTAATAAAACTATTTAGGAAAAAACATTTCCATTAAACTTTCTATTTTATTGAGATACTCCAAATTTATCAAAAATTTTGTATCTAAATAAAAATTTATCATTTATTAATGATAAATTTCTATATTTTTTTAAAAATGAACATTTTTAGCAAAAAGAATTAATTTTTGATTTTTATAATTTTTATTTTCTTCTTTCCATATCCATTTTTATCACTTAATGACCCTCATTTATTATTTATTTTTTTCTTTTTTTTATTATTTATTTCTTTCGATTTATTTAAAAAATAATTAACATGCCAGTTTCCAATGTTATTTGTTGTCTTAGATTTCATCCAAATATTTAAATTTTTTAAATAAAAATAAAATTAAAAAGTAAATAAAACATTCAAAATTTAAACTTTTAAAATAGTAAAAATTAATCTTTTTTAATTTCAAATTATTCTTTTTTTAAATAATTTCCTTTCCACTTTCTTTATTTTAAAAATTAGAACAATTTTTATTTGTTTTATAAAAGAAATACAAAAAATACTTTTAATTGGTCCTCATTCAAATAAAAAAATTAATTTTCTACTAAAATTTAAAACAAAGGAAATTAAAATATTAACTGTTAAATTCCTTCTACAAATTTATTGTTTTGAGAAGGAAAATGAAGAACGCAAAATTTATTGCGAGTTTCTTTAAATTTTGCCTCAAAAATTAATTTATTTTACACATTTTGAACACCACACAGTTCCTTATTTCCTCTCCGACTTGCCATTGTGTGTATAGCATAGAATTTATTATTTTTTTCTTTCGGTAGGTGATCGGAGAAAACAATTTGTTGGTACACATTTTTTGTGAAAAAATAATTTATTTTTTTTATTTATTTTTCCGTCAAAATATATTTTCCGTCTTTGTAAAAATACAAGTTTTTTACTTTTTGAATGATTTTTGTATTTTTTAATTTATTTGTTTCTTCTTCATTTTTTTTAAAATTATTGTACGTATAATTTAGACCTGGTCATGGATACGGGTAATATTAGGATCAGAGGCGATCGCAAGAGAAATCTCCAAAACGCAAGGCCAACATTTAACGCAAATAATGCAAAACGTAATGCGCCCGCCCCTGATCCGGATATCCACGAATATATCCGCGGATATGTATAGCAAAATCCGTGTCCATGGCCAGGTCTGCTATAATTTCTGATTAAATTTGTAGAAGAAAAAAATAAGTTAAGAATTTATTTAATTAAAAAAATTATTAATATTCAAGTTAGGACAGAACTTCAACAAAAGAAATTAATTTACTACATACATATTTAGTAACTTGTAGTAAATAATTAATTGACTTTGACCTGAATATATTAAAATTTATTTTTACAAAAAAGTTCGGAGAGAACGGGCAGTCGAAGACTGACAGTTTAACAAAAAACTTGTCAAACATTCCTAAAAATATTTATTATGCCTTTAGGGTATATTTTTGTTCATCAATAAAACAAACAAGCTTCTTTGAAAGAAAGAAAATGCTCTTTTTTCCTTCCTTTTTTCCAATTTAATTCCAGTCTTCGCGCATCGGCTTTTTTTTTTATTTATTTGCTTCTTTCGCCCATTTATCAGATTCTTTTTTTGTCTTTTTTAGCAATCTACTAATTTTTTTATTTATTTATTCTAACATTGACGCCCCCAAAACAAAAAAAGAATTGGTAGAAACATTCAACTTTAAATAAAAAAATTAGCGATAAATGTTTAGTTTAGCTTTTAAAAGGTTTAAAAAAATAATTATTCTTCTCTCCTCCCCTTTATTTGTGTAAATGCCCTTCCATTTAATATATAAATAATTAAAAATTTTAATCATTTTTATATTTAATTTTTCTTTTTTCTGAGAAAAAGAAAAATGATCGACTTAGAAAATAGAATTAAAGCTTATCGTTTTGTGGCATATTCGGCTGTTTGTTTTTCGGTGGTAGCTGTACTTTCTGTATGTGTTACTTTGCCTATGGTCTATAATTATGTTCATCATGTTCGTAGAAGTATGCAGAGCGAGATTAATTATTGCAAAGTAAAAATTTCAATAAAAAATTTTTTTTGAAATTTAAAAATACTTCGATATATTTATGTGTTAAGTAAAATATTTTCACTTCCATTTTAATTCAAAACTTTATCTAAATATAATCTTTATTGAATACTCAATTCTAATTAATTAGGTCAGATCATAATTTTTAATATTTTTCTGAATAGTTTTTTTCATTTGTTGACTAGGTTGTGGATTTTATAGCCTTTCTTTTATTTTATTTTAATAAATTTAAATTAATTTTTAGGGATCTGCCAAGGATATTTGGTCAGAAGTTAACCAACTTCGCAGCATTCCAGTTGAAAATAGCGGAAACCGAACAGCTCGACAGGCCTATGCAGAAGGCCCTAGTGCTGGAGTAGGGTCTGCAGCCGTAGGAGGTGGTTGTGAGGCTTGTTGTTTGCCTGGACCGCCAGGTATTCTGTAAATAAAAAATAATAAATATTTTATTTTTTAATTTAAGGACCACCTGGTACACCTGGAAGGCCAGGAAGACCAGGAAAGCCAGGCAAGTAATTTAAAGGATTTAAATAAGTACTATAGTGTTAATTCCCTTCTTTCATTTATTGTGTTAAATGTACCTTTAGTTATCTCCTTTAAGGGATTGAGAATTAAGTGAGAGAATTAACTTTTTATTTTGAATTTCATTTAAATTTTAGGAGCACCTGGCTTACCAGGAAATCCAGGAAAGCCACCTACACAACCATGCGAACCTGTTACTCCAGTAAGTAAATAAATAACAAATATTTTATAGAAAAAGATTTCAAAAAAATAATTCCATTATTACAGCCTCCATGCAAGCCTTGCCCAGCAGGTCCGCCCGGACCCCCAGGCCCTGCAGGTCCACCTGGTGATGCTGGAGCACCTGGACAGCCTGGTCAACAAGGGCAAGATGCGCCAAATGGAGAACCTGGGCCTAAAGGACCGCCTGGACCTCCCGGTCCACCTGGACAAGCGGGACCACCTGGAGAACCAGGAGCACCTGCACAGTCTCAACCAGTCGTACCCGGTCCACCCGGAGAGCCTGGTAATTATTTCTAATTAATTTAAATTCACAAATTAATTTTTAGGAGATGCTGGGCCTCCTGGACCACCTGGCCAGCCTGGATCACCTGGATCGGATGGAGGTGCAGGCCAACCCGGTCCAAAGGGTCCGCCAGGCCCCCCAGGACCTCCAGGCAATGATGGCCAGCCTGGATCCCCTGGACAACCGGGACAGCCCGGAGGACAAGGAGAAAAGGGAATATGTCCAAAATATTGTGCAATTGATGGAGGGGTCTTCTTTGAAGATGGAACTCGTAGACGCCGTTCTTTAAATTAAATTGAAATGAAAAAAGAAAATTGAATGAAATACAGCAACATAAAATAAATGGAATATTTTAAAAAAATAAATATTTAAAACGGGCAAAAATAAATATTTTGAATTTTAATAAAGAATATTTACTATAAAATTGTGTATTTATTTATTAAAAAAATTTTTTTGTATGGACCAGGAATCAGGTCGGCTAGAACACCTAACTAAAAACAAATGAAACATTAATCTCTGAAAATGAAGAAAGACTTCAATTAAATTCTATATTCTAAAAATAATTTGATCAGAGTTTTGTGTTGGCATCTAGCCAGTCTCGAATCCTAGCATGAGAGAAATAATTAATCAAAAAATTTTTTTTACTTCTCCAAAATTAAATATAAAAATATTTTTTTCTAACTTTTTACTCTTTAATAATTATTTTTTCTAATTCTCGTTGCATTTCTTCACATTCTTTCTTTAAAGTAGTTACTCTATTTTTAACCATTTCTTTATTATCAAATTGCTTTACTGTTCTAGTTAAAGGGTAATAAATATTTGAATATTTAGGGCATATTGAATAGGCAAAGGATCTTTAAGAGAGAAATTAATTTTCAAGAAATATTTTTTGATTTCCTACCTAACATCCTCTAATGCTTTTTTAATTGAATCAGCAACAAAATATACTGGTTGATAATCAGAATCTACATACGGGCTGAAAAATAATAAATTTTTTTAATTTATTTTTAGGGTATTTATTTATAAATTACAGTAAATATTCCAATAGAAACACATTCTCTAATAGAAGCCCACTCAGTGATACCCTTTAAAAACTAGACGCCTAGGGCTTCTATTGGAACATTTACGGTAAATAATTAAAAATCTTTTTAATTACCGTAATGAAGTAATTTCTGGATTAAATGGTTCGTGTTCAGGTTCATTAGAACAAGCATACTAATATTTAGTATTTAATTAAAAATATTTAAAATAAAATCCCCACACCTTCAATTCTCCATAAGCGGAAAGCAACCCAGCACCAATTGCACAAATTTTACCTAAGAAAAATTTTAAAAATAATTTTTTAAATTAATTCATAATTAATTTACCATTTTGTTTACAAAGTCCAAATTCAATAATAAACCAATAAACCTTTAAAATAATTAAATTAAATTTAAAAATTAATTAATTATTAACTGTAGCTAATTGTTCAATTTGTTTGTCATTTGCTCCAAGTGAAAGAAGTCCAATATCTTGTGAAATTTGGGCTAAATTTTCGTCCTAAAATAATTATTTTTGAATTTATTAATTTATTTTTTTGTTTTTAATTAATTTAAATATCACTGTTAAACTTTATGAGTCCAATAAAATTATTTAAATTATAAATAATTTTTCGGGCCAAAATTCGAGGCCTGACTCGATCCTCATGACCGGAGCGGGCCCCCAACCTTACTTATGAATTCGAATAGAGAGACATACCCTTTAATTAAAAATAATTAAAATATTCAACAAAAAAATAATTTTACAAAAACTTACTACAAACATTGGACAATGTCCAAGAATTTCATGTATTACATCTGGTTCTGGACAATGATGTGGAGCAATAAAAAGAAATAATTTTTAGATTAATTAAAAAAAAATTATTTATTTATTTACCTAAAATGTCTAACATAGAGAGTTGCCTAAGGAAATTAAAAAAATAATTTGAAAAAATAAAATTTTACTTGAAAAACTCTAAATGCCAAACTTGCAAGGAAGTCTCTAGCTGAAAGAAGCCCTCCACAAGGTCTTAATTCAAAGCCTGTTTTTTCTTTAAAAAATATTTATATATAAAATAATAATAATTGTTAATTTTTTACTTTGAATATAAGCACTTAACTCGCGAATTTGTGGAATCCTGTCTGCATTACTACAATAAATATTTTTTAAGAATAATTAAGGGTTTTATTGAAATTATATTTTATTTAATAAAAATATTTCTTCAATTTTTTATTTTTAGATTTTGCTCATGAAAAAAGAGAAAGCTTAAGCTAATTAGTGGAAACTGCCATTCTAGAGTTTCAAGTATTTATTTATAAATTCTTTCATGAGTCAAATGCCTTTTGAATTATTTTGATTTATTAGAATCTCTTATTTCTTAACTTAATTTTACCTATTTTAGCATAAATATATTTTAATATTTTTTGAATTAGTTTTAGGGTTTAAAGATCAATCTTAGAAGTTCAACCATGTTAGTCAAAAAAAAATATATAAAATAAATTTTTAAGTTTATCTAAAATCCTAAATGTAAATTAATTCTTTACATTAATCCAATTCTTTCCATTTCAGCAATATTTCTCTGATATTCAATACAAGTATGTGTTTCTCTTAATTCACACAATTGTTTATAAGCAATTTTCCATGTATTCTAAATTAATTTGTTTTATTAATTTTTTATTTAATTTTTCTAACATTTTCTTCTTCAGTATATTCAATTAAAGGAATCGGCTCTCCAAAACGATAAGAATTTGCTATTTTATTTAATTCTGAACGTCTTTCTATATATTTTTTATCACCAAAACCCTAAATAATTTTGTTTAAAAAATTTTATTAAAAGCAAACAGGGTGTTTAGGATCCTCTGTTGGTTCGTATTTAACAACAACATGGGCGCAAAGATCAAGTTCTGATACGTGGTGAGGGAACCAAATTGTTGAATTAACTTTTAATTTAATTTAAATATTTTTTATATTTAATTTTGGCCCTTTTTCTCTTTTTAATTTACAAATAATCTTGAATAATATCAAAATAAATATTTCGCCGAAGATCAAGAAATGAGAATTATTATTGTATTTTCTCGATTAATTACCCTCATTTGCAAGAGATTAAGCAATAATTACCTAGGCTACCGTAAAATCTTTATTAATTGCCCTCCCTCAAATAATTACTCCACTTCTATTAACTACCTCATCCAGCGGGAGATTGAAATAATAATTACCCCCAACAAATGCTCTAAAGCACGTTCAAATTTCAAACCTCGTATAATTACCCTTCCTCGATTAATTACCCCCTCTAGCTGAAGGTTGAACAATAATTACGCAGAGTAGTTAATAAAAGTTTTACAGTAATTATCTAATGAATATACGGGACTAGAAAATTCAAAACTCTTCTTATCTTAGCAAGGGAAGAGAAATATTTTAATTGCTAACTTTAGTTAATTAATTTACCATTATTTTCTTTATATAAAAACAAATTTTTAAGTTCAATTCTTTCAATAGAGTTTTCAACAACAATTTTACTCAAAACTTCCAAAAACATCCATTTCTTCCCGCTTAGTTTAGCACGCATTTCCAAATCTTTTGAATATTCTTTTTTTTAAAAAATAAAAATTATTTATTTAATTTAATTTAAATAACCAAGTTCAGGAATTATCTCTAAATTATTTAAATATAATCCAATTGATAAAAATTGTTGTAATGCTGATTGAAGTATTTCTCGATTATTTTCTCCTTTTTTTAAATAAAATTTAGATTAAATTTAAATCATTCCACAAAGGATTGGAAAATTAGAAATTGGAATAAACTAAATATGTATTTGACTTTGGACCTAATTTTATTTTATTCGAGCAAATATTTTATTTTGCCACTTGACCGATTTCTAATTAGAAAGGTTTTTAAAGGCGTAAGACGAAAATCAAAATTTACAAAAAATAGAAAATCGAAAATCTAAGAAAGCGCAACTGACATAAACCATTACGCCCAATTTTACTTAAAAACTAAATTTTTTTGGTAAAAATAAACCGATCGTCAAGAAAATAAATTAAGACTGAAATTCGATAATTCAATAAAAATTTAATTATTTTTTAAAATTCTTCTTCAGCCTAAAATTTGTGATTTAACTAATGTAAGGTATACACTGCATAACAAAAAATGGCATCATCTTTTCCGTTGATTTATGTCGAAAAAACATAATGTGCCATCTTTTTGTTACGCAGTGTATTAAGGAACCCTACTAAGAAACCCATTTTACTCAAAAAAGTATTACTGCCTGATTAGATTATAAGAGGTCAATTAAAGAATTTGTTAATAAAACTTTTAATGAATAACACAAATTTAACTGAATACCTACCTAAACAATTTAAAATTAAAAGTAAATTTAATTGTTCTTCTTCACTTGCATTTTTAATTAATTCAACACTTTCATCATTTAAACATTGTAATAACTTTAATTGACAAATTTTATTTTTTAAATTTAAATAATTCTTCTCAACTGTTTTACAAATAGTTAATGAGCGTTCTAATTCTTTTCGACTACGCAAAGTATTTTGACGTCGAATTCCCTCATTTTGTTCTTGATCTAGTGAGGCTAAATAAATTAATAAAATTAATTTATAAAATTTTTAATAAATTCTTTTACCTTGTTTAATAAGAGAATCTCTTCTTCCAAAACGATTTATTTTTGTTGGCAAAATTGAATTATTTAATGACATTTTAAAGATAATTTTAAATACAGAGTGCGGCAAATTTAGCGCCGACTTTGTTTTGGCTATAACTTTTTTAATTTTAAACGAAAATTGATAATTCTTTTTTTCCTGGATTCCCAACACTTTAGGAAAATTGTTGATACCAAAATCGTTTTTAAATTTTATAATTAAGTTTGATTAATTTTCTATCAAATTTCGAGCAAAAATTTTTGGATAAAATTTGGCCTGGATTCAAGGCTATTATTTTAATTTATGAAGTTTATATATCATTCGAATCAGCTCTCCAATCTGATTCGAATGACGTCAAAATCAGGCGTCTATCACATAAATGGACCGAGATATGGCTCACTGAATGATAAATTAAACAAACTTTGGCAAATACGAATTTTTTGTATGAAATTTTCAAAAATGAGATTATTAGCTATTTCGATACGTCTGAACGAGATAAGTCGATTGGTACCAAAATTATTCGGATTGGATGATTTTGAACAAAGTTATGATCAATTAAACTTTGACATGAAAAATCCATTTTTACCCGTTTTTATGTTCGGACTCGTTTTTCATTGATATTCGCAAACAAAATGTTTATTATTTGGTACCAATAGATTTCCTAAAGTGTTAGGTGTAAAACAAAAAAAAGAATTATCAATTTTCGATTAAAATTAAAAAAGTTATAGCCAAAACAAAGTCGGCGCTAAATTTGCCGCACCCTGTATAATTTTACTTACTATTTTTCAATAAAAAATTAAATTAGAATTTATTTTTAAAATAAATTAACCTCACAAAGGAGAGTGCCTGGGGTGTTCGCGGGACTTCGGGATGAAATTTGGTGGACAGGTAGATCATAACCTATTATAGTCATACCCAACCCGCGGACACCTGAGGCACTCTCCTTTGTCAGAGGCTACATACCTATTAAATATTGTAAACGAGGCCATAAAGGGTCATAAGTTTACCATATTTTTGCTTCAAATATTTAGATAAAGAAGATTCTATATCTCAAAGGATTTCTTAAAATAATTTATTGAAGTACTTAGACCCTTATACCTAACTACAATCCCTTCTTAAGGATGATTGAGCAACAGAGAACACGTGGGGGGCTATATTTGAGGAAATACATTTGGAGGGAAATAACTTTGGGTAAATTATTTTTTTAGATAAATTTTTAGTTAAAAATTAAATTTAAATTGGGAATATTTTACTTCCTCAAAAATATTATTAAATTTCAAATCTCCTTTATCTACATTTTTTAAATAATTTTAATAATAAAACACAAAATTATGTCTGCACATTATTATTCCAATAAATATATTTTATGCTCATTTTCACAAAAAAAAATTTTTTCTAAGTTTTCTTTCATAAAAATATTTAATTGTTTCCTCTCGATTATTTAGAAAAAAAATTGAAAAACTAAAAATATATTTTTGAATTTTTTTTAAAAAATATGTGTTATACTAGATATGTATGTATAATAATAATAATTTATTTCTATTTTTTAAATAAATTATTAGTGTAAAATGACGTAGATGAAGAAAGGAATATGTTGTACAATTTTAATAAAAATATTAAATTTATGTTTATTAAAATAGTTAATTAAAAACTCGTATCCCAATAATTTTAATTGCTAATAATTTGTACAATAACTAAAAATCTTTAACAAAATATTAAAAAATTTCATTAAAAAAATATTTTTTAACTTAACAAATTATCCTCCTCTCCATCTTCGTTCAATTTTTCACTCTCATCCATTTGTTGACTTTCTTTCCTTTTTTCTTCTTAAATATGTAGTTAAATTATTTATAAAATAAAATTAATATTTAAAATTTAAATTTAATTTTATTAAAATTCAAAGAAGGTCCGAGGTCCTTCAAATAAGGTTAATTCTATAAAATATTAAAATATAAATATCCAAACCTTTACTATCCTCTTTTCCAACAACTTCAACACGCCGTGTCACTAACCCTCCGGGCACAAAAGTTTCTTTATTTCCTTTTCGCCAAGTTTCCTTTCCAACCTCTTTATTTGTACGAGGGTCGTTGACAACAACAGAAATAAATTTTTCTTCAGAAGAAAGTGGGTCTAACTGAAACATTTTAGTTTTACAAAATATATTTATTTTGGAGCCGATTAATTTAAATAATTATTATAAAATAAAATTTAAACAAAAATAATATACCATAGATACTCTAGTTTCTCCAATATTAACAGCATTTTTGTAAAATTCAAATTTAATTGGGAAAGTTTTTCCAATTTCCTGTTAATTATAGAATTAAATGTTTTCTATTTTTCTTAAAATCTAGAATCTTTCAAATATTATAAAAATTTCTAATAGTTAGTCAAACTTCTCCAACACACATCCTTCGGGATTAGGGATAGATTTGTAATGGAAGCAGAAGCGTAAAAAATAAAAAAGACGGGACACGAAAGAGGAAGGGTAATAAAAGCAGAATTCAGCGAAAGTGGAATGCATGTCAGACTGCTCGGGACCGAATTTAGCGGATGTAAAGGAAGGTGTTAAGTGTATGCGGGATCATATTAGTTAAGTTCTATTAAATAGGGTTGTTCCCCGACGGGGGGGGGGGGGGGCATGGGGATAAATTTTCGGGGAGACAACGCCACGGGGGAAGCGTGGACGGGAAAAATTTTTTTCACGAGGGGGACGCGGAACAACCCTACTATTAAAATAATTTTATTTTTCTAATTTTAAGTTAATGAATAATCTAACAGTAATTAAATCATTTCCAATTAACATATCAGCAGGGCAATCCCAAGCAACCAACAAAGGAATCATTCCATCACTTTTCCAAGGCCCAATTTCAATAGAAACTTCAACTTCCCCAATAAATTCAATTTGAGTTCCATCGCTAGTATTTACTTTTGGTGAATTAATTAATTGTTTTGCCTTTTATTTTTTAATTAAATTTAAATATTTTTATTTAAATTTACCGTTATACCCATATTTTTAATTAATTTAGACCCACAAAAAGAATTTGAAAAGTAAATTAAAGATGCGATTAAACGCGTAATCTGGACAAGAGCCATTTTTTGTTTAAAAAACAATCAGACTTCTGTTGTAATAACCTCTATTACTGTTATCAGAGTTACTGTTATTATTACAATTTTGAGGCTTTTGTACAAAAAATTTATAATATAAACTATTTTTATTTTTCTAGAAAATCTGTCGAAAATTATTTAACGAGAACGATATAAAATATAAAAATGAAGAATATCAAATTTCAATTTTGGGAAATAATTCTTTTATGTCAAAAAAATTAAAGATTGAAGAAAAACAAATCGACGAGATTAACGAAAATATAAATATTTTGAAGAGAATGTATTTGGAAAATAATTTTAAAGAGTTTGATTTAAAGGCGAGAATTGTTGTTTTAAATAATGAAATGCCAGAATTCCCCTTAAATGGGAAAATGGAATTATTGTCAGAAATTAAGAAAGAATATAATGAAATGAAACAAAATGGTTAATATTTAAATAATCCGGGGTTAGATATTCCGGTTCCGAGATTTTCAAAATATTAGCTTCGGCTCCAACCGGAGCTCGCTACGGTGCTACCCAGCGCTGGTTACTGTTCGTCCGAGGCAAAGTCAACATATTTAATAGAAGATCGGACCAAACGAATATTGTTATGTAAGATGATCGCTACGGTCTAAATGCCAGGCTTCCTCAACTACAATTTCACAACATTTTCAAAAAATAATTTTAGGAAAATATATAATTCGTTTGGGTATAAATGAAGCAAATTGGTTATTGGTTGAAATTGCCTATCTTATACAGAGATTAGTTCATTACACCTACAATTATGGACGGAATATTCTGCAAGTTATTTATGGCTATACAACGAATAAATCTGTTTTACAAATAATTAATTTGTTAGCCAATAGATATAGCAAATTCAATGCTTTAAATGAAATTGGAAAAGAAAATTTGTTTAAAATTTTAGAAAAAGAAGGAAAAAATTTGCTGTCTTTAGGTAAATACCCAACCAAATTATTTAAATAATTATTTCTAAATTAAATTTTTTATAATAAAAATATTTAAATGTAATTTCGAATAAGAGAAATTAAAACTTTAAATTGGACGTGGCCCCGTCGGTTGTGCTGTATTTTGGGTCTTTTTCAGATGGTTGTATTCCAAACTACTCCATCACTCTCTTTAAATTGAGAACTAAAATCTAATACTCTATAAAATTGTTTGGCCATATTTCTAAATAAAATTATAAACCAGGGAAACCAAAATATAGTCCAGATTTAAGAAGCTAAAATTGTTATATCCTAAGTACAGTTATTGAAAAGTAAATAATAAAAGTACGCGGGATTTTAAGTTATTAAGAAGGTGTTTGGGAATTAACAGAGATGTCGAGGATTTAGGAGTATTGAGAGGGATATCGGGTGAATAAGAGGGATATCGAGAGAGGATTTTGAAAAGAAGATAGAAAATACCGAAAATAACAATTTAGAAAAATTTTTGAAGGCGGGAAGTTCGATTAACATACTTCTGAGATTTCCGCTTTTCTAGAATCCGGTGACGCAATCCCTGAAACATACATTCTATTTAAGATAAAAGCTTAGAAAATGAAGATATGTTTAAAAGTTTGATGACTTTATTAAATTTAATGACGTTATTGGAGATGTACAAACCATTATCGCAAAAAATCGGATATTTTAATCAAGAATATGAAGAAAGAATTGGACTTATTAAAAATAAGATTAAACAATGTATAAATGACCATAATGAATGTCTTAAACTTTCAAGAAAATATATTCGAAGCAAAATTAGAAAAATGGGTGAATTTGAAATTAAATGGAATGAAATTATTAAAAAATTTGTTGAAAATAAAATTGGTTTTGAAATTATTAAAGTTTCAATATTGGAAAGTATTCAATACACTGTTGTTCACATTAAGGATTTTGAAGATTTGGAAAATAAAGGGAAAGGGTATAAATCAAAAACGTTGTCTGATGAAGTAAATTAGCATTATAATAATTTGTTTTTGTAAACTATTTTTGGCTTTGTTCGGGTGGAGGTTGTTTCAATACGCGGAAGGAGCGCCTTAACACCCTTGTGGAGCCCCGTATTTGAAACAGACGGGGATGTCTGTTGACCATAGATATGTGAGTGATGAAAAGCTAATTTTTAAAAATTATTTGGCCCAACATAAATATAAAAATAAGTAATTTAAAAGAATATAAAATTGTTTAATATTTTAAGGAAAGAATGAAAAGAGCTAAAGTTATCAAAATGTTTTACTATAAAAATAATAAAAACTAAGTCAGTTATTGCACGTGAACTTGGAATTGAGACTTATACTGTTTGTGATATAATCAAGAAGTTTGAGGAGACAGGGACTATAGAAAACCGTCCAAGATAGAAGAGAGAGATTGTTATTAAAATATCTCTAAATAATGCGAGTTTATTTATTTAAAATTACCGTAAATTTTAAAAATTTATTAAAGAAGAAGCGACTTTTTTTTTAAGAAAAAGCGACTTTATATTATTTTTTAGAAAAACTTATTAAGATTGAAATAAAAAAAGATTTACATATTAAAAAACAGTCAAATCTATACAAAATATAAAAAAAAAGTCGCTTCTTAAGCCAGACTATTCTCTTTTGTATGTACATTTAAATAAAAATTTCCCTACCTATTTCTCTTTTTTGAATATTTTTTATAAATTTATTTATTAGCTTTTTAAACTTTTATTTGCATTTGTTGCTTTATCCAAAATTTCAAAATAATTACATAACTGGGAATTACAAATACAATGAACAGATTTTTGAATTCCAGAAAGTTTTACTTAAAAATTGGGAAAAATAAATTATTTTTGGAGTCTATAAAATAAAATATTTTGTTATTTCAAAATTAAAAGATTTGATATTTTATCAAATATTTGATTTTGCCGATCTCTCTCCACTTAACAAACACTCGTTATTTTTAAACATATTTCCACGTAAAGTGCTTTATTGACTCTCGTAAAAATTTCATAATTAAAAAAGAAATGCCGAGTAACAAGCACTTTTAAATAAAAAAAGGCGTTGTCTACTATTTCATAATTATATCTAAAAAATATCCATTTAAAGATAAGGCAATTTAAATGTTAATAAACATATTTACTCCTCTTGTTATTACCCAAAAATTAAATTAAAATTAATGTTTAAACAAATTTTATTTATTTTATTTTTCAATTTTTGTTTGGGAATTGATGTAAAATTAAAAATTATTGAAAATTATTTAGAAAGCAGACAATTTGATTATTTAATAAAAAATAATTTAGAACTTCCAAAATGTTTTTTGTGGTATAAAATTGATGAAAATAATGAAAATAAAATTTATGGAGAGTTGGAAATACTAAATAATATTTATTTATTTAAAAATATTCAAAAAGAAATTATTTTTGAAAATAATGAATTTACACAATTTTGTTGTGAAATACAAAAACATCCAATTTTGATTGAAATAATTCCGTGGATAAAAAAGGGGTAAAAATTAGGATTAGATAATCGCGGATATACAGAATTAAAAAAAATAATTATTGCACTGTTTCCGAATGATTCTGGATGATGCGGACCGAAAACCTCAAAAAAATATTTTATCTTTTAAAATTTCAATCACTAATGCAATTTTTGACACTCCGGCTATGTAGGCACGCAGAATCGGGTACTTGTCGCCATAGAAGGCGCGATTGAATGCGTAATCTGGACAAGAGCCAAATTTTTTTGTTTAAAAAAACAATCAGGCCTCTATTGTAAAAATACACTTCTGGGGCTTTTTTGTACAAAAAATTTATAATATAATTTATTTTTATTTTTCTAGAAAATCTGTCGGAAATTATTTAACATAGACGATATAAAATATAAAAATGGAGAATATGAAATTTCATTTTTAGGAAATAATTCTTTTATATCAAAAAAATTAAAAATTAACGAAAAAATAAATATTTTGAAGAGAATGTATTTGGAAAATAATTTTAAAGAGTTTGATTTAAAGGCGAGAATTTTTGTTTTAAATAATAAAATGCCAGAATTCCCCTTAAATGGGAAAATGGCATTATTGTCAGAAATTAAAAAAGAATATAATGAAATAATACAAAATGGTTAATATTTAAATATTCCGGGTTAAATATTCCGGTTCCGAAGTTTCTAGCATATTAGCTACGGTCCCAATCGGAGCTTGCTTCGGAGCTGTGCCCAGCACTGGTTACTGTTACTCCGAGGCAAGGTCAACATAAAAGTATTGCTATGTAAAACGAGTATTTTTAGGACCAAACGTTTTTGTTATGTAAGACTATCGTAAGACTACATTTTAAAAAATAATTTTAGGAAAATATATAATTCGTTTGGGTATAAATGAAGCAAATTGGCTATTGGTGGAAATTGCCTATCTTATACAGAGATTAGTTCATTACACCTACAATTATGGACGGAATATTCTGCAAGTTATTTATGACTATACAACGAATAAATCTGTTTTACAAACAATTAATTTGTTAGCCAATAGATATAGCAAATTCAATGCTTTAAATGAAATTGGAAAAGAAAATTTGTTTAAAATTTTAGAAAAAGAAGGAAAAAATTTGCTGTCTTTAGGTAAATACCCAACCAAATTACCGTATTTTCTCTAAAATAGCCCTCCCCCCTCTAAAATAACCCCCCCTCTAAAATAACCCCCCCTCTAAAATAACCCCCCCCCCCCTCTAAAATAACCCCCCCTCTAAAATAACCCCCCCCCCTCTAAAATAACCCCCCCCCTCTAAAATAACCCCCCCTCTAAAATAACCCCCCCCCCCCCTCTAAAATAACCCCCCCCCCCCCCTCCCATAAAATATTTAATTATTTTTTGGCATTGATATTTTTCGAAGACAGCAATGTTTAATGATTATATTTCAATAAAATTAGAAATGATTATGGGGGATATCGAGGATTTGAAGGGATATAAGGGGATTATGATGGATATCCACTTGATCTATTATCCACTTGATCTCTCGATGAAGGATTAGAGTCATGTCACATTGACTTTAATACCTAAAAATGCCAAGATAGGCATCTTAATCCAACCCTTTTTAATATTATTAAACTTTAGGAACTTAACTGAGATGTATACGAGTGGGATAATAATCTAAAATTAATTCTTAATTAGGTATCCTGAACCTTAAACGGAGTCTTGGATGAATTGAAGGACTGAGGAGTACTTGATGGAAGTTTTTGGGCTATGATTTTCGTTAAGAAACTTTTAGTTCATGATGAATTCTATTAAATTTTAGAAAAATATTAGTCAATATTTGGTAAAAAATTTTAGTTTACAAAAAATTTAGGCATCGAAAAAAATAACCTCCCCCTCTAAAATACCCCCCCCCCCCTCTAAAATAACCCCCCCCCTCTAAAATAGCCCCCCTCTAGAAGTCGATTGAAAAAAATAACCCCCGGGGGCTATTTTAGAGAAAATACGGTATTCAAATAATTATTTCTAAATTAAATTTTATAATAAAAATATTTAAATATAATTTCGACTTAAAATTGGAAGTAACAGCGCAAAACCATAACTTGCTTCAAGTTTAATCTTACTAAATTTGGTATCAAACGATTCCACTCAACGAGCTAAGGAGATTGCTACCAAAATTGATGAAGACCAACATTTTCTAGGAAGTTACGGCTTTGCACCGTCGGTTGTGCTTTATTTTGGGTCCTTTCCAAAATCTAACATACTCCTTAAATTGAGTACATACATACATTCAATTTAAGATAAAAGTTTAGAAAATAATGATACTATTTGGAAAAGTTTGATGACTTTATTAAATTTAATAACGTTTTTGGAGATGTACAAACCATTATCACAAAAATTGGGGTATTTTAATCGAGAATATGAAAAAAGAATTGAACTTGTTAAAAATAAGATTAAGCAATGTATAAATGACCATAATGAATGTCTTAAACTTTCATTATACACTAGTAGAAAGAAAATTAAAATGGATGAATTTGTAATTAAATGGAATGAAATTATTAAAAAATTTGTTAAAAACAAAATTGGTTTTGAAATTATTAAAGTTTCAATGTTGGAAAGTATTCAATACACTGGTGTTTATATTAAGGATTTTGAAGATTTGGAAAATAAAGGGAAGGGTTATAAATCATGTATCTTATCCGATGAGGTAAATTACCATTATAACTAGGGCGGGGATAAATCGACAAATTTGCGCAAAGGCAAATGTCCGTTGGCTGTCAGAAATCTCTTTCCTTTTCTTGCATTTTTTGTAGATCATAGAGAAGGGAGTGGTGAACAGTGTTCATAATCTCGTACTAAAATTCGTACTCGTACTTTGGTACGAGCAAAAAATAGGGGTGGTACGAGGTACGAGGCTAAAGAGATACTGTTCTTTATACTGTTTTTATTTTGAGGAAAGAAGGGCAAGAGCTAAAGTTATCGAAATGTTTTACTACAAAAATAATAGAAATAAGGCATCTATTGGACGTGAACTTGGAATAAAAAAACAAACTGTTGATGAAATAATCAAGAGGTTCAAGGAAATGGGGACTTTAGAAAACCGTCCAAAATAGAAGAGGATTGAATTGTTATTAAATGCAAGTTATTCAAGAATTTTGGAAAATTCTTCATCCATTTTCGTCATTAAACAATTTAAATTTTTATCTAAAATTAAAACTAAATTTTAAAAATTTATCAATGAGAGAAGTGATTTTTCTTCCTTTTTTGAATGTTATTTTTAATTGTAAACATTTTCAATGTAAACATAGCTTTAACAAAACTAACAACTTGAAATTTTGTCTTAAATAAAATATTTTTTTTAATTTTAAGACTGTTGATATTTGGAGTTTAAATTAATTAAATTATAATTACTAAAAAGAATTTTTAAAAAATATTAAGTACCGTATATCCTTTAATAACTACCCAGGGTAATTATTGTTTCGACCTTCTCTTGGAGGGAGTAATTAAAAGAGGGAGGGTAATTATATGAGGTTTTAAATTTGAACGTGTTTTAGGGCATTTGTTGGGGGGTGATTATTGTTTCAATCCAGCGCTGGATGGGGTAATTAATGGAAGTGGGGTAATTATTTGAGGGAGGGCAATTAATACAGGTTATACGGTAATTTATCTATTTTTTAAAAATATTTATTTTTAAAATAAAATATCCGAAAATATATAAAAAATAATTAAAAATTTTAATATTAAAATTAAATTAAAAATATTTCTTTTTTTATTTGAATTAATTTCTAATTGTAAATCATTAAATGAGGTGTCTTTTAAATTTGTGTCGGAAGAGGATTGAATCTTAAAATTTAGAAAAATATTTTTGAAAAATTCTTGTAAAAATTACTTTTTGAATTTTTAATTTTCCATTTGTTGCTTTATCCAAAATTTCAAAATAATTACACAAATGGGAATTGCAAATACAATGAACAGATAAAGGTGTAGAAGAATTATTTAGGTATTCAATGGTGCATCCAATACCAACTTTCTTTAAAGAAAATAAATTTTTAAATGAAAAGAGACTGGCTAATAAGACTAAAATCTTCTAGTATTAATGCCACCTTCTCCAGCCCCTCAAAGGTCTTTCTATATAGGAACCAAAAAATTAACTGAGTTTACTGATTTTATTTAAAAAAGTTTCTGATTGTTTATTTAATTGAAGATCTTTGAGGTGGTTAAGAGTTAAAATTAAGGTTGAGCGGTATCGTGATCCCTACCGATATCGAGCGTTATGAAACCCGATACCGATTTTTTCTCGAAATACCGATACCGCTAACTCTAGTTAAATTAAGGCTAGGCATATTAAATTAAATTTTGTTTTTAAATATTCCAATTATTTATTTAAATATTTACATTATCATCATCAACTTTTAAACACCCTCCCAACAATTCAAATCGTTGTTTAGACACACCAACAAAAGAATTAGTGCTAATACTCGTAGTCGAAGAACTTTCATCATTTAAAATCTCAGGTTCTACAGCCATTTCTCTAGTAGATAAACTAACAAAACAAAAATGTCCTTCACAAGTTTCTGACCTTTTTAAATTTTTTTATTAAAATTTAAATTAAAAAAAACTTTTTATAAATATTTTCATTTATTGGTTCATCATCACTACGTCCATGTAAACTATAACAATAATTTAGATCATCCGTTCGACGACCCAAAACTTTTTCCATTTGATGATTCCATGTTCGGTTTCGTTGATTACAGTTCCCACTGGGTTCTGTACATACACAGCCTTTGAATTAATTTAAATTAATTTTTTTGGAAAATTAGATGGAAAGGCAAGGTGGCAGAACTAATACCAAAAATAGCAAAAAAATTTTGTGCCATTTAGCGCGGGGATATAACCCATTTAAAATTATTGAATCTCAACTAGCTAAATCAAGCAATAACAAAATGTTAGAGATGTGATAATTTTAGAAGTTATAGCTTAGGCAGGGGTACCTTTACAAAGCTTTTGGTTCATTTTATCGAGTCAGTTCCGGATATTCAGAGAATTTCTTAGAATTCTTATAACCCTATTCTCAGCTATCCCATAGACGACTAGAGGATTTTTAATAACCTTAATTATTAAAAAGAATCGCTGACCCCACAATTAAGAATTTAAGAATATATTAAATTCCTAACCATTAACAATTGTTTCAGTTGATGCCTGATAGTACGCACAAACTAATTGTCCTTGTAATTTATTTAAATAATCAGATATTCTGAGAAAATTTTGCAGCCGTGGAACCCCCTGTCCACATCCTTGTTCATTTCCTCCAAAATCTACAAGACAATAATTTCCTCTACAAACACGTGAACATACACCAGAGGATGATTTAACCTCAGAAGAAAGTAAAGTATTGTCTGTATTTGGACATTGATCTTGTTGTTCTCCCCCTCCGCATTCACAACATTCAATTAAAGGTAATTTTGCAGGTAAATAATTATTTAATTTAATTCTTTCATTGCATAATTCTCCTTGACAATAACAATGAATAGACTCGGTCTGTCCAGAATAACTACACCCATCTGTTGTTTTAGGGAGACCATTAACACAACCTTTCTGAAAATTTGGTTAATAAATAAACATTGTATAGTCGAACTTTCATTTTTAGATACCCCCAAAGATAAAGATATCCCCACCCCTCCCCCCTCCAAAATCATCTAAAAATGAACAATAAATTGTATTTAAAAAAAATAATTTTTAATTTTTTATTAAAAAATTTTTTTGAGGAAATATAAAAATAATTATCAAGGATGTCTAAAGCCAAAACAAAACTTTTCTTATTTTCACACCTAAAAAACAAAAGAATTCTTACTTTCCCGCTTCAGCCCCCCCCCCCCCCCCCCCACATTCGTTTCCTCGCCGTTTTAAACAATTTGAATTTTATTCGAAAAAACATTCTTTTATTTAAAAATGTTTACATACATACATACATATTAAATTAATTAATTTATGAGAGAAAAATTCTTTTTTTTAATTTTACTTTAAAAAAAATATTTTAATTGTCTCGAATTAATTGTTCCAAAATTATAGGTCATTATTTTATTTATTTCCCCATCTTCCCATTGTTTAAATATTGTCGTGTATAAAACAAAAAGCGAAAAACTGTGACTGGTTTTTGCGAGAAAAGATGTTTTATTTAAACATTAAATAAAAGTTTTTTTTAATAATTTAACGTTTGTCCTCAATATATAAATAGAAAATAATTTTATAAAAATTTAAAATAAACTTCCAATTTTATAAAAAAAAGATGGAAATTAAACATATTTTTATTAGAGGAATTTCTGGTATTTCTGCAATATTTGTTGTTATTGCCCTTGGGTTTATTGGATTAATACTTAAGGTGTTTTAATTAAAAAAAGATAAACATGAATTTAAGAAGAAAATAAATAAAATTAATATATTCAGGACATTAGCTCTCTTTATGATGAAGTTATAGCAGAAATGGATGATTTTAAAGTTATGGCTAATGATGCATGGAGTCAAATGCAAATTGTGCAATTACAATTAGCTGGCGGAAAGGCTGCAACAGCAGCTGCTATAGGTCGAGATTTTCTTGAGATGATACGTGAACGTAGAGGAACGTCGCATGGCGGAGGAAGTTATTCAGGAGGAAGTGGTGGTGGAGGTGGTGGGGGATATTCTGGAGGCGGACGAAGTGGTGGTGGAGGAGGTGGAGGCTATTCTGGAGGAAGAGGAGGTGGTGGGGGAGGAGGAGGAGGTTACGCCAAAGGAGGTGGAGGCTACTCTTCAGGAGTTGGAAGAGGAGGAGGTGGTGGTGGAGGTGGAGGAGGAGGAGGTTATGCCAAAAGTGGTGGTGGTGGTTATGCAACAAAATCTAACCAAGCAATTCAAAACAATCGTGCTTCGCAATGCGTTCCTCGTCCAGGCCCGCCTGGACCACCAGGACAGCCTGGATCTCCCGGAGGGGATGGACAACCTGGACGTGCAGGTCCTCCTGGATCAAGCGCGTCTGCTGGTGGCGGTGGAGAAGGTAAAAAATTTGTAAAGGAATGGAAAACTTCTAAAATTTTAAAGGAGGATATGGTGGAGGTGGCTCATCATGTGGAGGAGGAGGAAGCGGAGGAGGTGGTGGAGGAGGAGGAGGTGGTGGTGGTTATGGAGGAGGAGGTGGAGGAGGATGCACTACTTGTCCAGCTGGCCCACCTGGACCTCCTGGAAGTGGAGGACCTCCTGGACCACCCGGACCAGATGGAAATCCTGGCACGCCTGGTTCTGGCGGTAGTGGACCAAAACCAGGCCCACCTGGTCCACCTGGTGATGGAGGACCACCTGGCCCTCCTGGCGGAAATGGCCCACCAGGACCGGCTGGAAATCCTGGAACTGGAGGCAGAGGATTGGTATGCTTTGTAATAGAATAAATTATCTAATTGAATTTACAGCCTGGACCAAAAGGACCACCTGGACCAGGCGGTCCACCAGGACCGCCTGGAGGACCTGCACCTCCATCTGGTGCTGCACCACCAGGCCCGCCCGGTCCATCAGGCCCACCGGGCCCGCCTGGACCATCAGGAAATCCCGGACAGGGTGGAGGTAATGGCAAGGATGGAACATCTGGTGGTGATGGAGAATAGTTAGTTGTTAATTTTAAACATAAAATAAATCTATAAAATATTTTAGTTGTCCATGTCCACCTCGAGGTTCTACTTCCTCTACTTCCAACGCCGGAAATGAAGTTAATGCCAGTCCTACAACTTCTGAAAAACAATATAAACTTCAAGCTACAGCAGCATTGAAAAAAGCGCGTGCCGCAGCTACACATTCTAAGGGTGCTGGAAATATGAAAATGATGGGACATTCAGAAACAATGAAAATGAAAAGAGGTCGTATGGCCGTTAAGAAAGTATAAAATCAGATTGCATATTTAAAGAATATTTAGTAAAGTAAATAATAAAAAAATAATAAATATCGAGGTTTTGAATTTTTTACATAATTTGAAAGGATTTGTGGTAAAACAGTTATGGAATTATATCCAAATAAAATTGGAGTTTATAAAGTCAATCAACTTATTTTGTAATTTTAGTGTTTCAGGTTAAAGTACATGTAATCTTACAATAAATAAATTCCAAAAAACCCCGAAAAGGTCTTGATCTTTTTCATGATCAAAACTAGGATCGGTTCGAGTAGCTATTAGATATATGCCTTGTTTGAAAGGAAAGATGGATTACAATAAAAAATAATTATTGAGAGGGCATAAATATAAGCACAATCGGACATGTAACAATTAAGGTTGTCGGTTGGGCATCTTCTGATATCCGGATCCGGTATCCGAACCGAAAATTTCAGGATATCCGGCCTTTTTTCGGATCCGGATCCCCGACAACCTTGATAATCATTGGTCTCTCATTCATAAATTATTCAAATATTGCCACAAAAATAACACTATTTATTTACCGTATAACCTGTATTAATTGCCCTCCCTCAAATAATTACCCCACTTCCATTAATTACCCCATCCAGAGATGGATTGAAATAATAATTACCCCCCAATAAATGCCCTAAAACTCGTTCAAATTTCAAACCTCGTATAATTACTCTCCCTCTATTAATTACTCCCTCCAGTGGAAGGTCGAAACAATAATTACCCAGGGTAGTTATTAAAGGATATACGGTATATAAATTTCTTTTAAATTTCAATATTTACCTGTACAATTCCAATCATCTCTTCGAGAAAAAGTTCAATTTTCACAAAACAATTTTCAGCTATACAAGTTTCATTATCATTATTATTTCCTCCACAATCACATTTATTTGGATCAATTTTTCCTCCTTCAATTAATTTACATTGAGCTAAACAAGAATGACATAAATTTGCTTTTGTTGAAGAAATTTGTTGAATTAATAATAAAAAAGTGAGGATTAATGCTGAATGTCTTGTTATTTTATGTGGAGAATGGGAGGGATAAGAAGGTGTTGATTTAATTAATTGTTTGAATAGAAAATGATTAAAAATATTGGATAAAAATATTAATAACATTAAATTTGTTTAAGTAGCTTTAAAAAATAATAATTGTAATAATAATTATATCTAAAATTTAAATTTAGACAGTCCCTCCAGTTTTTTTTAATTTTTCTAGGGAAGAAAAATTTTAGGGAAGGAACTTTTAATCTTCAGAAAAAAATTTTTAACTATCGAATTTAATATTTAAAAATAAAAATTTGATAATTTTTTTGGTTTTCTTCAGTTCAAAATTTTTTTTAAAAAATAAAAAAGTAAAATTATTTTTTATCAAAATTATATTTATTTATTTATTTATTTATTGTACAATCACTGAATCCAATTTTTTAAGGCTTCTTCCGATTTACTTTTTTTTTCCTTTTATTAAATAAGTAAAAGCTTTTCTAAAAGAAAAAGCAGGATTTTCTTCTTAAATATTTAATGATCGGAAAAAGAAAAACAATTTTTAATAGAATTTTTGGAAGATTTTTAATAAAAATAATTTTAAATATTTAAATATAAATTGAAAATTAATAAATTAATAAGCGATGAATAGGATCAGTCGTTTTTTTTTAGAAATAAAACTTTGTTCTATAACTCTGGTTTAATTTTTCGTAAATTTTTGGATTTGGAATATCTGACCGGTTGAAACTTTTTTAGCTATGATTTTAGGCATGTAACGAAGAGTTTCAAGTATGGCTGTCGGTTTCACCAAATTCTTCAATTAACCAAACCGAACCGACAAACCGAACCGAACCGAAAACCCTAGTTTCAAGTATTAATTTTAATTTTTAATCATTAAGAATTTAATCACTAAGAATCACTAAGAATATTTTCATTTAGAAATTTTAGAAAAAATTGTTAAAATCTATTTAAATAATGAACATTAAAAAAATATTTTAAATAAAAAATTCTTTTAGTAAAGACTCCTTTACTTTAATCTTTCTAACATTTAATCCCTTCCTTTCCTTCAATTAATTTAAATTAAAAAATATAAAACTAAATATATATTTAGTTAATAAAACTAAAAGTTTATTAAAAAGATGTTGTTACTCTAATATTGTGATATGTCCTTCGAGAAAAAGGGAGAAAGAAAAGACCTTGACCACCATGAAAATAAAAAATAAACGGAAAAAACAAGGAAAAATTAAAAATATTTTTTAATTCAAACAGTTATCCTTTTTGATTTTTGAAAATTAAATTTAAAAAATTCTTTTAATACTTTAATGATTATTGAATTTTTAAACTAAGAGGGATAAGGTGAAATACCAGGAAATGACATAATTTTAATTAATTTTAATAATATTTATGTACAATAATTCTATTTTTTTGAGAAGAAATACATAAATAAATAGCTTTTAACGTTCACATCATACCAGGAATCCTGACGTTCCCATAAACTAAAATCGCGAATTTATTCTTATATCAGCAGGATCCCTGTTACAGAGTTTATTAAAAAATTTTACAAAGCTAATATCATAAAATTTTGAAGCACACATTAAAGTATATTTTAATAAAAACAAAAAAATTATTTTTATTAAAAGCTCCTTTACTTAATCTCCCTCAAAAATCAATTTATCGTTGTTTTAGTAATATTAAAAATTTCAAACATTTTTAGGAAGATATTTATTTGAAAATATTTTTATTTAAATTTAGTGCAAAAACTAAAGAATTTAACACAAAAATACTAAAAAAATGATGTACATATTTATTAGTTATTAAATATTTAATCCTAAAAATGATGAAAAAAAAAGGAAGATATTTAACAGATTTGTATTTTCTTTTTTACTTTAAAGGTAAATATTTACACATAAAGTATATATTTAATAATACTTATTAAAAATAAATTCTCAAGTATCTCATCTTATTGTGATGGTGATCCCTTTAGGCAAAAAATATTTAAGTGGATGGATATACAAATATAATAAATATTTTACATTGTAGGTAGTATATAATAAAAATATTTAAATAAATAATAAAATTATTTATAATATGTACTTTTTATTTAAAAATTATATTTTTTAACACCTAATTAATAATCAGATTGTTCATAAATCAAAAACTTAAACAAAAAATTATTTTTATATTTAGATATCGAATAATTAAAAAATAAAGAAGAAATATCTCGTTTTAACAAATTAATTGATAAGCTTCGCTCAAATACAGCAAATCATTGTTTGAATGAATATTCTAAATCAACAAGATTCCGAGCTGAATTCAACCCGGAAAAAATTTAAAAATAATTTTAAAAAATATATTCTCACTGGAATGATTGGAATTAGATATCGGAGATTTGGTAATATTGTCTGTTATAGACTTTATATTCGAATTTTAAAAAGAAATTTCTGATAAGTCCAAATCCTGTTTTTGTTCAGAAATAAATCCTAGTTCATGATAAGTCCGATATTTAATTTTTTGATTTTTTTAAAATGATTTCAAATTAATAATTTTAATCTTCTAATTTTTACATAACCAATCTATTTTATTATTTATTAATTTCTCTTTAAATCTCAATTTAGGTAATTTACATAACCAAAGCTGTGGATCTCCAATCAAAAATCTATCCAATGCTCCCTCCTCAATTTGCCCACTAGAAATGTTCAACCATTTTGGCCAATTTTGTTCTTAATTAAAATTTTATTAAAATTTTAATTCCCCAAAATTATATTTTTCTATTCTTTTTACCTTCTCCCTGTTTTTTCAAATTAAATAATAATCTTGGAAATACTGTTGGCCATTCTATTAACGATCTCCCTCTATTTTCTTTAACATTTTCTTCGTCATAATTTGGATCACTTTAAATTTAAAAAATTTTTTTTGATTAAAAAAATTCTTTATTTTTACCCAAAATTAATAAACAAAGACAATCTATCAGCAAAATCACCAATTTCCTTTCCAATCTTTTTTTCTTCAAATTCTTCAGGAATTAAATTAAACAATAATTCGTCCAAACAAGCTGGTTGACCAGATGCCCAAGCATTTGTTTGGCGTGATCCTTCCTCTGCTTTGTCTACTTTAGAGATATTTAAATTTGTTAAATATTCAAATACAAATCCATAAACTCTTGAATTATAAAGTTTTGAACGTACAAACCATTCTAAAACTATTGGGCCAACAATTGAGAAATCTGTGTGAATCTGGATATAAAATTAAATTATCTCTGTATTTAGCGTTTATTTCCCACCCTCAAACAATTAATTACCTCCTACAGGGAGAGGTTGAAATATCAGTAAAATATGTGAGTATAACATAAATATTTAACAAAATTCCAGAAAATATCCACCGAACTTCAAATAGCATTGTTAGTATGTACCAGGGGTCGATCGGAAATGGTTAAGGTTCTGGAAATCGGAACTGTCGGAAATCAGCCTAAATTTTCGGAAATCGGAAGTCGGAAATTGGAATTCCGATCGACCCCTGGTATGTACAAGTATGAGAATCCGAGCATTTTGGGAATTATTGGCTTGTAGTTACCATAATTTTTCAAATATTTTCTATACACTAAAAACCTCCACCGTTAAATTAAATTCTCCTTACCCTTCTAATTATTTCCTCCGGATTTTCCATAATTTCTTCATTATTAAATTCATTTAATAATTCATCAATTTTTTGTTTTTCCCCTTCATTTAAATAATATTTTAAAAATTCTTCACTTTCAATTTCTCCCCAATAATTTTCTAAAGTTTTTTTAAAATTATGCATTTGATGTAGATTTTCTGTTAATTCGTCCTTTATTGCATTATTAATTTTGTAATGGAATGCTTGATTCGATAAACTTTCTGGTTTTTTCTAAAAAATGTTTGTAAATAATTTTTAAAAAAATCTTGAATTTCTTGAATTGATATTAAGGAAACTTTAAAAAATAAATATGTATGTTCTTTGAATTTTAAAAAATAAAAGGAAATGCCCCTAAATAAAAGGAAATGCCCTTAAAATTTTTTATGAAGTTACTTTGAATAGCCTCGATCATCTGGATGGGCAAAACAGTTTTTAGAGGGAAAATTTTTGAAAAAAAATTAGGTAATATATAAATTCGTTCAAAGGAGTTTAATAAGTTGAATTATTAAGATATTATACAAATCAATAGTCGAAGCGTGATCGTACCCTTCAGGCGCCCCCACATCCGCACTTTTTAGATTAGCAGGAATTTGCGAGGTTTGTCCTTATGAATCCTTTCTCTCATAAGTCTTATATTGATGTAGAAATGAATAAATATATAAATACTCACAACTTTTTCCTTTCCAAAATTTTTGGGAAAAGTACAAAACCCAATAATACTAGGAATTGCTGGAATATTTACAGAAAAAGGATTTTCTTGAATATAAAAATTGTTGTCTTTATTAATTAACGAAGAAGAAGAAGTAATTATTGGCCAATTTTGTTGTAAATTTTTAATTTTATTTTCAATAGAAATTATTTCCTTTTTAATTTTAAAATTAATTAATTTTTTTATTCGAAAATCATTAATTTACTTGTTGATTTAATTTATTTAAGCATTCTTCTAATTTTAAAGAATTATTTTTTAATTCTTCATTATTTAATTCATTTTCATTTAAACAATTCGAAGAAATTAAAAATTTAATATTATAATTATTTGTATTATTTATATTTTTAATATCGGATTGAAATATTGTTGGAGAAAATAATGATCCAGAAATAAATATTTGTTTTTTAAATAATGCTGGAAATTTATTTTTTAGGTTAAAAAATTATAAATAAATTCTAAAATTTATTTCAAGCTATAATAAATTTTTAAACCCCGAAAAAAAACTTTTTTGTCTTCTTCTCATGTTCACTTATTTGATGGGAAGGAAGGGCGATCCACATTCCGTTATTTAAAATTACTTGGGCGATATTTAAAATTACTTTTTTATAAAAGGTCTAAATATTTTCATTAGAAAGGTTGTAGTTGGTAATCAACATAATATTTTTTGTTGGCAATTGAGTAGAGGGTAATTAATTTATTATTTTATTAATTTATTATATTAAACCTACATTTTCCTTCTTCTAAAATTCCAAGTAAAGAAACTAATTTAACACTTTCTCCACTAGCCATAACAGTTATTTCTTCTCCATTTCCTCCAAAATACCCAATATTTTGTTTAATCCATTCTAATCCTGTTTTAATATCCCATAAAGCAAAATTTCTTTTATTTTCTGGCCAACCAGGTAAATAAAAATTTCCTTTAAAAAATATTTTTAATTTAAATAATTTTTAAATAATCACTATAAATTAACAAATATTACATTAAAATTATTTTTTGTCCTTCAACACAACTTGACAAATTTTCAAATCAAATTTTTATCAAATTTTTGTATTTTTACTTTAAATAAATTAAATCGTTCTTATTTTTATTTAAAAATTGTTCAAAGTTATGAGAAAAGTCAGGAAAATAATTATGAAATTTTCCAACTCAATGGTAGAAGGTTAGATATCTGAATTCGGAAAGATTTCAGATATCTAATTCATTTATCAACAATAACCAAAAATATTTATTCGTTTATTTATTTACATACCGTATTTACTCGATTAATTCCCCACCCTCGAATAATTCCCCACCCTCTATTTATTCCCCATGCCAGGGATGAGTTGAAAAAATAATTCCCCACCCCCAAATACCCTACTACACGTTCAAATTTCAAAACTCGAATAATTCCCCACCCTCTATTAATTCCCCATGCCACGGATGGGTTGAAAAAATAATTCCTCGGGGGAATTAATCGAGTAAATACGGTATGTATTTATTTTTACCATAAAATCCCATTCTATAATTAATTGACACAACAATAATTCCATTATCACTATTTTTATTACAAGCAAAATTATTAATAATAGAAGTTGGTTCTAAATTAGCATTACTTCTCTTTAACCAATTCCCCTCATTAATAACAACAAGAATTGGCAAATTATTTTTAATATTTGTTGTAGTAGTACAACGATAAATATTTAATGTATGGCATTGTTCTGATGAAGAAATTATTTCTAAAGGAGGGGGATTCCAATTTAAATCGGGAAGTGCTCGAGTGTGAATAAATCTTTTTTAAAAGGAATTCTTTTGTAAATTTATTTAAAAACAAACCCATTAGGACAGCCATTTCCATAATTAATTGCATAAAAGTTTTTTGGTAATGGAGCTAATTTTGCTTGCTAAGGAAATAAAAAGAATAAACTTTTTACAGACATTCGGACTTGGCTTAATAGTGAACTCATCACAAAATAGAATTTTTCTAATAGAATTTTTCTTTCACAAGGGTGCCTCAAATGTAGAGTTGCCCCGTTCCCGAAAGATTTTTTCAAAATTTCTCCGACCCGAACCCCGCCCCGAAACAATTCGAAAACCCCGTACCCAGATATACCCGCCCTCGAGCGTTCGGGGTGCAACCCTACTCAAGTGAGGTCCTCTACTGAGATATAGTACTTTTCTCTCAATGATTGACGTGGCAAAGTAATATGAATTTCTTTGGGGAAATTGTTTCCCTTTTTGATAAAAAAAAAATAAGCAATTTCCATATATCCAAGCCTTTACTTGAGTTTTAATTTCAAACTCACAATCTTTTTAATTCAATTTAACAACGCCTAACAGTGACATCCCAAATAAGAGATTTATAAAATTCCTTACTTCAAATCTTTGTGTTCCCAAAGCATAGTGAATATCCAAAAAATAATCTCCACTTCCCAAAGCCAATCGACGACCAAAAATTGAAAATTCCTCTGTCTGATTTCCATCATTTTCTTTTAATTTTATTTTAATTTCGGAGAAAATATTATTTTTATTATTTAAATTAATTTCAAAAAATTCAATCAGACGAAATTGTAAGGCAATAATTAACATTAAAGTAAAAGATAAAGAACCAAATAATGCTTAAATAAATTAAATAATCAATAAATCATTTAAATTTATTGAAGTATCTACTAATGTACATACTTTTATGAGGAAGGATTGTTAAGGATCATTTACTTTTTGTTAAGGTCTACCTAGCTAATCATCTATTAATGTACATATCTATTAATGTACAATTTAAAATCTCTTGTATAAATGAAAATAAATAACCCATCGACGGGTTGGATGGTGGCACAGTCGATTGTGCTTTGGTCTAGGCTCATTCTATGATGGTGCTATTCCATCTCCCATACAATAAATTTCCACAGCATGAACATGAATATATGTAATAAAAGCTATCTAAACGTAAACTTGAACTAGTTCTATTTAGAGGTTACAATAATTTTATTTTCTTAAAACCCTTCCATTTAAGGACCTTTCTAAATAACTGTCTTCATTATTTAAAGAGGTAATAATCTTGGTTAAATATTTAACCAATCCCTGGCTAAACAGATAACAAAATATATTTTAATTAAATACATACATGCTAAAAGTAATATTCGTCTATTTGATTTTTTATCATTTTTCTTTAATTCTGGTGATAATTTAGAATTTGTTGAAATAAAATTATTTTGACAATTTTTACAATTTAGCATTTTTCTTTGAAAATAAATTATTTAAATTTAAATTATATAATCTAAAAAAATATTATTTTTTAATTCTTTGTTTATTAAATATATCAAAAATAATCTTTCCTTTTCTGGTTTTGCAATAATAAATTTTCTCTTTCGCGTATCTTTTATCTTTATCTTCCGCTAACTTTACCGAAGAATGCTTCTCCGATTTTAATTATTTTAATTTATAGAAATTAATATATAAGGATTAAATATTTATTAATTAAAAAAAGAAAAATGATTTACTTACTAAATATTTTATAGCCAACCCTTCTCTATATAGGAACACACAAATACCTTCAAAAAATTACTCTTTTCGCCCCTATGATTTATAAGTAAAATTACTCGATTTAACGAACTCTTCTCTTTTATCATCCCCTCGGGTTTGTTATGATATTTGATTGTATATGCTAATATGTACAATCGGAATTATATTGTAAATACTTTTGTAAAAAATGAAAGTCAATTGAAAGTCATTAAATTGAAAGTCAATTTAAAACTTAGGTAACTCTTTTTACAAGCCTGTTTATGTTACTGAGAATCACGGAATTGAATTTAATAATTGAACCTATTTGAAGGTAATAGTAAACTTTACTAAATCTTTAACGACTTAAAGGATTTATTATTGAATTATTTTAGTAAATTCAGGTTCATTAAATTGATATTTCGTTAATATAAGGGTAATTATATCGAAATCTAATTGTGATAAACATATTTAATTTATGAATAAAATATTTTTTTAATTCTTGAACAAACAAAAAAATATAATTAAAATAAGCGTAAATTATTTAAAGTCACAAATAAATATACATATATCCACAAATAAATATTTATTTTTAGCCTTTTAACAACATCCCCCCAAATTAACTTTCTTTAGTAAATATATATTTTATTTATTAGCTTTTCTTCTTCTTTTATTGTCATTTTTGGATGTTTCTTGTTTTTGACGTTTCTTTAAAACTTTCTCTTTCTTCAATTAAAAACTACTAGAAAAATATAATTGAGAAGCTTGTTTTTTGTTGACCACAAAAATTATAAAAAAAAATATTTTTTTTGAATAAAAAGAAAAGAGATTTTTAAACAAAGAAAATAATTTTTAAATAAAAAATTTGGAAGAGGTAAATATTTAATTGTTTTAGAGAGATTTACACTAAATTATTTGAAAATTTGCCTGTCACGAGTTATGATCAGTCGAAAAAATTTTGTTAAGTCTCCCTCCCCCCTTTAATTTAATATATGTTTAAAATCAAAAAATAAGAAGAGTTTAAATTCTTTCTAAAAAATAATCTTTACCAAGTAAATTTATTAAATAAATAACTAAATTTATTTAATTAATTTTGATTTTCTCTTCTAATTGCAATAATAATAATAATGTGCTGGGAAGTTAATTAAAGTTAAAGTTAAAATAGAAGATGATTGGGAGGAAAAAAGAGAATTTATTTATTTAAAAAATGTTGAGATAAAAGAGCGTTTTGTATTAAAAACAATTGAAAAAAGCATTAATAGATATTTTAGCCCAAATTATAATATAGATGAATATTTGCATACAGCTGAAATAAACATTGAAAATATACGGAAAAATTTACATTAGAGAACACTGTGATTAATATTTAAATTATAGGCTCACATAATTTTTTCAAACTTTCACTGGATAAGGTAATTAATCAGTGGGGAGAAAATATTCGAATTCTAAAATTAGGCGAAGAAACGATGCTACATTCATGGCGCTCCCCTGACACTAGCAGTTTAGATCCTTTTAGATTAGGATAAGTATCTGAACCAAATCAGGATGTTTATATACACTTAAATATTTTTTTGATAGACAAAGATTTCAAAATTTTTGTTTTTTTTTTGTTTATTTTCCGACAAAGTAAAATAACAAAATTTACACTTTTAGTTAATTGCTTGCCACGAGTTATGATTGGCCAATGAAATTTTTTTGTGTCTCCCCTTTTCAATTAATACATATTTATTTAAAATCAAAAAATAAGAAGATTTTAGTAAATGTTTAAATGCGAAGAAAAATTTTTAAAAAATTATTTTATTCTCGTTTAAAATTCAAAATTTATTCACAAACTAAAAAACGTAGCGGAATTTTGGTTTATCCTTGAGTGCAGACAAAGATAAAGCATCTCTTCGAGAAAATTTTCACCTAACCAAACCGAACACTGAAAATTTTCGGTTAAGACGTGAAACAAGCCTCAATCATCCTTCTTAGATAGAATAAAGAGTAGTTTGTCTTGTTTGTGGCATTATGATATTTTTTGGCATATGTTCAAAAAAATTAAGAGTTAACCTATCTTTAAAGATATAAATTTAGCTGACCGAAACGAAGTAGGGCTCTGGTCTAGCTTATAAAGATTTAGTAGACTTGTGAGGGGTCATTTCGAACATAAATTAGGCCAGAATTGGGGGAATTAGGAAATAAAAATCTGCAGTTTTACAGAATACCTAACTCGTTTAATATCAATAATATTTTTGTGTTGCTTGAGGTTGTTTTTGTTGTTTTATCTACTTTTACATTATTTAAAAATTAACAATATTTTTAATATTTCCAATGATTAAAATCATTATTCCACTCTTATATTTAATTATTTTATTGAATATTAAATGTTCTGGGAAGTTAATTAAAATTAAAGTTAAAATAGAAGATGATTGGGAGGAAAAAAGAGAATTTATATATTTAAAAAATGTTGAAATAAAAGAACGTTTTGTATTAAAAACAATTGAAAAAAGCACTAATAGATATTTTAGCCCAAATTATAATATAGATGAATATCTGCATCCAGCTGAAATAAATCCAGAAAAAAATGTTTTTAATGTTCGAATAAATGACAGGTCATATACTCCATCTGTTCAATTAAAAAGAAAAGTTTTGATTGAGATTGGCAATAATGAAATTATTCAAAATTTTTTGCCGGGATTTGAAAAACGGGTATTTTTTATATTTTTATTATTCGATACCTCTACACAAACTCTCTATGGTTAAGGCTGAATAAACGAAATTATTGTAGTTGAAGTTAAAAATGATTGGAAATCTGAAAATTTCGCTTGGCTGATTCCACTACTGGGAAGCGGCCTTTATTTTATTCTCTATTATAGTTAGGAATTTGATTTTTGGGGTTTTTCAGATTTTTCCCTGAACTTCTAGTCCTAAAATCTTATTTATATTTCTATAAGACCTTTAACTAACATTCACTTTTAAATAAATGATTTAGTTCGGGGAAACTTAAATTTATGTTTTGGATATTAGACCGTCTCAGCATATCCAATGATTTTCCAATCGTCAACTCTCTACCTTTACTTTAAAATAAATTTAAGATACTCCGAAATAATAATTTTATTAACAAAAATAATTATTATACAACTTCTATATTAGACGAGAATTTAGAAAATAATAATAATTCAAAATCAATTGAGGAAAATATAGAAAATTTTAAAGACAAATTTTTATCAAGTTATTGGACAGAAATTAATTTAATTTCATATAAAATTAAATTGTTAGAAAAACAAAAAGTTGAAGAATATTTAAAAAAAGAATTAAAAAGCAAAATTATTTATATTGGCAATAAAATAAGTAAATATCTAAATTTTTATTTTCCCTTAATTAAAGTACAAAATGTTTTAATTTTAATTATTAAAGGCGAAATTAATAAAAGAAAAATCCGACATTGTTTCAATTGCGGAACTACACAAAGTAATAAATGGGCTAATTATCTAAAGGAATATATGTGCCACGTTTGTCGCATATATACACTAAACTTTGGAAAGTTAAGACCAAAAAAACTATGGTTTAAAACTAAGAAGGTTTATCAAGTCTATTTATAAATAATTAATGTAAAGCATATAATGTAAAGCAATAATTAATGTATAGCTATTTAATCCCTAAGGCTGTGTAGTAGACGGCGTGGTGTAATGGCTAGCTAAGCTAACACATCAGTCCGGTCTACTGAAAATGCTATTGACATTTAAAATATTACTCAAATATTCTATAATTCCCTAAATTATAAACAATTAAGGTAACTTATATTTTTGGTAAGAAATTAAAATATAATAGTTTTTATAAATCAAAGATATACAATAAACCCAAAAATATCATCCATAAGAAATTTTCAAAATTCCAGCACCTCTTGTAAATCACTAATATAAATATTTTATAGCAAATTTCAATTAATCGTAATTGCTATATTTGCGGAAACACAAAATCAGCAAATTGGTACCATCATTCACAACCTGGACAATGTTTATGTCAAGCATGCTACAATCGGAAAAGAAGTAGGAAGAAGAAGGCAAATAGTAAAAATTTAAAAGGAAAATAAATTTCAAATTTATTCAAATCTCCAAAGGATATACAATATATCAAAATTCCAAACACATCTTGTTGATAAATAAATACAACTAAAAAGTCTTGTCCCATCCTATATTTTTGTCCCATCATAATTTTCATTTACCTATATAAATTAAAAATTTTATTTATGTAACCATAAATTTAAATCTTCTTGGTTTTTTGCTAAATAAAAATAAATTTAAAAAATAAATCCTCGCTAAAATATGTGCATTACGCCAAAACTGTTATTATTAATTATTCAAAAATTATTTAATTCATAAAAATTTTATTTCTGTAATTTAAAAAAGTGATAATTTTGATAGCAATAAAAAATATAAAAAATATTTATTTAAAATAATTAATTTATACTTTCATAACAAAAATCTATTTTAATTTATTCATATTTTTTAACGTCTTGTTCCATCCTCAAAGAACACACCTCCGTCTATAGCACAATACTTAGGACAGATACCTCTCTCACCTGGAGCACCAGGTGCACCTGGAGGTCCAGGAGGGCCGGGGATTCCTTTATTTATTTAACTAGATGAATTAATGAATTTATCTCCTACCATCATTTCCTGGAATTCCGTCCGGTCCTGGCGGTCCTTTGGGGCCTGCTGGGCCTGGAGCTCCATCACCTTAGAAATAGTTTGGTTTTAATCATTTAAATTAATTTAAAACTCACTTCCAGGCAATCCAGGCGGTCCTGGCGGGCCCGGTGGACCTGGATCGCCTAAATATTATTTTTTATAAAGTTTATGTACTATAAGATTTTAAATTTACCTGGCAATCCTGGTTCTCCTGGTACTGCTTCTTCACTAACTGCTGGCAATCCTGGATCGCCCGGTGGACCCGGTTGTCCCGGTTCACCGGGTGGACCAGGAGGTCCTTTTGGACCAGGTTCCTAATTAAAAGAATGAATTTATACTTCATAAAATAACTCACTCCTGGCGCAGCATCCTGTCCTGGATTTCCGGGGGCTCCTGGCTGGCCAGGATCCCCTGGCGGTCCCGGAGGACCTTGAGGTCCAGGCGGGCCTTGCGGACATGGTTTGCATGGTGGCTGTTAATTTAAAATAAACTTAATAATTATTTTATTATAATTACAGGAGTAATTGGTTCACAAGGCTGTGCTGGCGGTCTTCCGGGTATTCCTGGAATACCTGGTGCCCCAGGTTTTCCTGGTCGACCGGGCCTTCCCGGGGTACCTTTATAAAAAATATTTAAGTTTTCAAAATTTTTATTTAAAAAATTAATTGCCTGGCACCCCCGGCGGGCCAGGAACACAACAAGCCTCGCATGCTGAATTAGAATAACCTCCCCCTTCACTATTTTGTGTTGTTACTGTTCCAGAATTTCCATCTGGATATGTTTGTCTAGCAGTTCTTTTGCTGCTATTTGAAGGGAAGAAATGTTTAATTTCATTTACCTCAGAAAGAATGTCTTGTGCAGAATCCTAAATTATTTAATGATATTCCATTCATTTTTTAGATTTGTCCAATTTATTCAAAAAAATTTTACCTTACAATAATTCAATTCATTATGTAATTGCTTTCTAACATATTTAACATAAGTATAAACCATAGGTAAAGATATACAAACAGAAATAATTGCAACAACCGAGAATATAATTGCTGCATAAGCAACAAATTTATAGGCTTTACAACGCCCTTCTAATTCTAAACAAATATCTCCATCATCCTCTCCGTTTGTTGGAATTCCTATAATATTTGAGGAATTTGCAGAGGAATGTTGCTGCTGTGTTGTTGTTGACATTTACTACTATATAAATTAATTTCTAAAAAAATTTAAATTAAATTGCTTCCTCAATTTTAAGTGCCCCTTGGTTATGAAAATATCGTGTTTAAAAATTAGGGGTATTTTGAACTGACAAAGGAGAGTGCCTGGGGTGTCCGTGGGACTTCGGGATGAAATTTCGTAGACATTTATGTAGATCATACCCTACTTTAGTCCCACGGATACCCCAGGCACTCTCCTTTGTGAGGGAAGGGCTTAAAAAGCTCCTCCGGAATGAGATGGTCAACCAAATCCTAGAAAACGTTTCTATAATCGAGATGTATCTGATTTTGGATGTGTATAAATTTGAGGTCTGAATATAGCCGAATTCTGCCTTCCAATGAATTCGATCGCTTCCGTTTTTTATTTTTTTCCAAAAGTAAGTAAGGTTCACTCCTAATACATAACTCCTAATACACTCCTAATACATAAATTTACTCCTCCTAATACATTAAATTCACTTCTAATACATAAATTTAAAATTATAAATTAAAAGACGAAAATAAAATATTTATTTGGAATATTCTAGTTGCGCATATATTTTCTTCCTCCATTTGAATAGATTTTTTACAGCATTCAAATAGCTAGAAGTATATCCTTAAATTCTTTTTTTAGCGCCGAAGGGGAAATACTTGAATGATTGTGAATTGCTTTTTCTTATTTAAAAGGGATTGGAAGATGGAGAGGACTAAATAGTAGTAGTGACTTTTAATAAAATAAAATAGATATTCTTTCAATAAAAATAGATTTACTTTATTGGATTAAAATAGTTGAATGAATGAAAATAAATAAAAGGTATTTTTAGCAGTTATTAATAATAAATTTTATTTTACTTATGTTAATAAAATATAAGAAATGGTTTAATCTTTACGTATTTTATTTTGACAAAATACAAAAAAAATTTTGAAAATAATTTCGTTTTTCTCTTATAGTATATTAAAGAGAATTTTAAATATTTTCACAGATTATTTACTGTAATACCGTATTTATTCTAATAGACCACTGGTGGTTTTATTTTTCAATCCCTCCATTTGGGGTGGTTATATTAGAGACATTGGTTCTAGAATAAATGATGTATATTAACTTGTGTTTTCTAAAACAATTAATAAATTGAATGATTAAATGGAGATCATAATCAGAAAAATGGGACTGTCAAATTTTCTTATTTTTTAATTAAGATTTTTTTTAAACACGGCAGTCCACAAATTGAAGAATTTTTGTATGAACTGTCTAAAAATATAAAAGATTAATTTACACTTAGTTTATTTTTACCCAGGTATATTGCGATCCTTCAACTTGAGAACAACTAGCTATTAATGCAGGGGATGATGTTATAGAAGCCCTTTGTTGATCATATCCCTCAACAGTAGCTGGTTGACTATCAGTTGTACATGTTACCTTTAAAGATTTTGTTTAAATTTTAAAGTCATTATAACCGTCACAGAAGCTCCTAATCCGTGTGTATTCCCAAATCCAACATCGCTATAGTCAAATCTTTTAACAAAAATTAATTTATTCAATTCATTAAATACCCATAATTACCTATATTGATCTGATTGATCAACAGCATTTATTGGATAAATTATCAAATCAGAACATCTAGTATTTGAAATAGCTTAATAATTCAAAGAAATATATAAAAATTAGTAGTATATAATTTACAAGAAGGGTCTTGAGATGGAATAAATACAGGAGAAGCACAGGCATTTTCATCATTATTCTTATAATTTTCTTTATTAATAATTATTCCAATTAAAATAAAATATAAAAATAATAGATGAATATTGTTGAACATTTAATTTATTTTTTCTTTTCAAAAAATGGAATTTTTTTGAAAAAAATATTTTCGCTTTCACCGTGATTTTATAAAAAAATGTGAGCAATTATTTTTTAGGAATTTTTTGACATTATCTAACGATGCGCAACCATCCTATTTTTGTATTTTATAATTGCAATTCCGTTGTGTCAATTGTCAATAAAAGTAAAAAAAATATTAAAGTTGAAAAACGTAAAGTTGGGGGAAATCAAAAATAATTTTTAAATGTACAAAACTAAATTTGGGGTAAGACCAAATATTTTGTGGGTAAACAAATGATGACCAAACAATTTCAACATTGTATTTTTAAATAAATATGTATGTGTAGGTAGGTAAATTCATCTTAAGTTCTCTATAAATTTTTCTTTTTTTATTTTCGCTCAATAACAATATTTTTGGATTAGATTTTAAAAATTTTTTATTTCGTTAAGAATTATTTATTTTGACAAAGACCGAGCTTTGTTATGATTATTAATTTTCAAATAATACTAACCAGAAATTATAAGAAAATAAATTATCAGACAAAATTTAATTTTTTTTTGTATTTTTCTACTTTTTATACAAAAACATTCACCAAATTTAATTTTATTAAAAATAAAAAAACTTTTGTACACAACTCTGGGAGGGCAAATAAAAAACCCATAAAATTATTTTATAATGGAACCGAGACAGGTTAAAAACAAATAAGGAATGAGTCTAGAATCGAGTATTTTTTATTCAAATATATTTAAGCTGGCCGTTGAGCAAAATTTGCCTAAAATAAAAAGAAAAAAGTTTTAAAATTTTTTAAAAATAATTAATTCACCTTAAACCAATTAACACAATCCTCTGTACTGTTAAATAGTTGTTTTCGAAAACGTAATCCTTCAGGAGTAACACTCATATATTCATTACGTATCTTCGATTGTGCCAAATAAGAAAGTACAAATTTCCCAGGATATTTTTTGCTTGCCGTTATACAATAACTAAATGGGAAAATTTTTAGAATTAAGAAAAGTAGAATCTTCCATAAAATGACAACCAAAAGTCTTAAGTATGAAAAAGGATTAAATTTAAAGAGAAAAACTTATCACCCCCTGAGGGGCTTCAACCTAGCCAGTGATACCTTCGCTTTTCATGAAGCAGTCCCCAGAACCGCTGAAATGATGGAAATGCGAGGAACGCAACCAAGGAACCCTTCAATTTTTGGAACCGGAATAGCCCTACCCAACCCACACACTTATTCTATTTACTAAAAACAGCAACAAAATTTAAATAAAAATTATACGGTATTCTCTGTGGAGCATTCTTTTTTTGTGTACGAAGAACATTATCAATAACTTGAACACTCTCAGCAGCAACTGATGCCAAATAATATTTAAAGCTCATAATGTCACGAACAACTGCAGTCATAGGTTGAATATGTCGTGCTAAAATTTCATCTAAATCTTCAAATTCCTGAAAATTTAAAGATATTTAAGAAGAAAATAATAAATTTGGTACATCTCCATTAATTATTAATTTTTTGCCAATCTCAAATTGTCTCTTCTTTTCACGTTCTTCGACTTGGATATGTTGATATATATCATCAAGTACCTTCCATGTGACCTTGAAAATAATTGATGTGAGAATTTAGTTAGGCGAAAGAAAAATTTTAAAAAATCTCTAACCGTTAAATGATCAGGAGATTTACCAGAAGGACGGATGATAGCTTCTCCCTAAAAGATAGACATTACATAAAAGATTTCCAAAAAATAATAACCAAATCCATTTTCCTTAACATACGCTCAGCGTCCTTAAATGTGACATTATGGAAACATGGATGAGAAGTGACACGACTATTCATATGTCGTTTTTCATGTGCAGCTTTCCTCGCTTTTTCATCAGCAATATTGTCTTCTTGGAACCGATCACTATCGAAATATTTGTCACGTCTATCTTCTTCTCCTCTTAAATCACTTGATTTACAAGAAAGATCACATTCTAAACGATCTGGCTTGAACTCAATGACGCGAAAATATTGGTTTTGGCCGGGCTAAAAATTTTTAAATATGGAAGCAATTTTAATTTTATTTACTTTAAATAATTTCGTTGGATCAGTAATTTTCTCGGATTGATCAGAAATATTTCTCATTCCAACAAATCCCATCAATCCATTGTCTAATCTAACGCGTAAACCAACAGGGACACCAGGGCATTCGCGAATACCGGTAAATTCACCAAAATGATTTGACACATCTGTCGGTTCCTAAATAGAATAAGGTTAAAAAAGAATTTATTAAAAGTATTAAACCTTAAAATTGTCGCGTTTACAACATGGGCACACCCAAGTAGATGTAAAGTCATTCCAACGTGCTTTTAAATTGGTTTCCTTTTCATTAATTTTCCTATATGCAACAGATAGAATTTGTCCAAGTACAAGCTTTCCTTAAAAATATATTTTTCTTTGAAAAATAATAAATCAAAAAACCTTGAACGTTTGATATGTCATCGTGCAACAACATTTGAGCCAACTCTTCCCCGTTTGGGGGCATATGAGGCATACGTAAATCTTTGTAACGATAGTTAAGTTCGGCACGAATATCGTAGAGTGTAATGTTTTTGTTGCCAAAGCCCTAAAGTATTAAGAAAATTAAATGAAAAAATTAATTTACAAACCTGTCTAGTTAATTCTTCAGCAAAAGCATCCAAATCCAATTCTTTGAGTTTTTCTGGAGCCTTTAAAATTTCTTCTAATGCCACCGTTTGATCAACAGCATCGTCCAACTCTAATGCATCAACAGCCATTTTCCTTGCCCATTCGTATGTTTCAGGGTGAACACGTGAACCATCCAATACTCTAAAAAATATTATATACTGTCACTCAGACTCAAAAAAGCTCATGTTTTAAAACATACTCCACATAAGAATCAGTTCTTTCAGCAATTTTTGCAGTATCAATTTTAATAAATCCAGCAGCATTCATAAAAACTTTTGGACCCATTCGACAAAATGTAACCAATTTTGTGCGACTTTCAAGTAAATTATCATTTTGTTTGAGAATTTTGAGCAAATGAAGGGCTTTTCTCGGGCCAAGTCCACAAACAAATTGTAAAAGACCAGCCGTGTGAGGAAATTCCAAACAACGGTTAATGTCGACACCAACCTAAGATATTAAAGTTAACCAATTATATAAAATATGAACAAGACCTCATTAACACGATTTATACACTCCAGTTGCAATGCAAATAATAAATCAGATTTGCCAATTTCATTTTGCAAAGGATGAAATTTCATATATAAAATATCATCTTCAGCATTACATAAATGGCAAATTTCATTAAGTGGATCGAGGGCAAAACGGCCTAAAGAAACTGCTTGTCTCAAAAGAGGAGGAAATTCAACAAATTCTTGCTAAAAATAAATTTGTTTTTAAATAACATTAGAATAAAAAACCGTTGACATTCGACTATTCATGTAGACTTTTGCTGCATCACTATTTGTAATTTCAACAGGGATTTGGACAGGAAAAGTCTTATTGACCTCTACTTCATTTTTTAACATATTACGAATATCTTCAGCTAAACGAATTGCATCCATATTTTCGCTGTTTAAAACGATCAAATGAGGCCGTCGTCTTTGAATTAAATAGAAAAGTTCTCTCAAATCCTTTTTCTAGAAACGAAAATAATTTTTTAATATTAAAGAAATGTTAAAATTTTTGGCAAATTTGTGAAAATCCTACCTTGAGTAATACATCGTCAGGAAATTTTGATCGCATGCCCTTTGTAAAGTGAACCAATCTCATAAATTCAATTACCATTCCTTTAAAATAAAAATTAAAAACCTCAACAAAAACCCAACCGTTTTCATCAATAACAACAGCAAAAGTAGCTTCCGCCCTATCAGCAGAATAACAAATTGATGCAACACGTGTGCCCAAATCAGGCATATCATCATCTTCCTCTTCGTAGGAAAATGTCTTTCTATAAGCCTCCGTAGAAATTAAATGATTTAGACGTAGGGAGGCTTTCTAGAAAAAAATTTATAAATTGAAACTCTTTAAAAATTTACTCGAATAACACAATCACGCGCCTCCTCCAATAACCTTTCATGTGCTTCACGTTGAAAAATAGGTATTAAAATATCACAAACACATTGACGAAGCACTTCCTTTCGTAATTTATTCCATTCTTCAGTTATATAAAAATACTCTTCTCGGCTGAATATTGGCTCTCGTGTTAAACTAAGCAGCATACAATTTGTTTCCCCTGTAGCATCGGTTTCAATGTGTAAATCGATTTCAATTAAATCATCATTCTTTGCCTAGATAAAGGTTAATAATCACATTAAGATTTAAAAATGGAAAGGTCAATAGAGCCTACTTTAACATAATGTAAATACTCATCCTCCTTCAATTCATTAACAGGCTTGTCTTTAATATAGTGACGACCATAAAGCCACTAAAACAAAATTTTGTAATAAAAATAAAACAAAAATAACGTGGCTTTCATCTATTTCGTTGCGCCCTTTTTTTGTAGGATAAATGGAAAGAAGTAAATTTTGGCGATAAATTTGTCGAAGTTTCTTTCTAACTGCAGGTTCACGACTAAAGCGCATTGCAAGTAAATACATTGCACCTTGAACAACCTGTTTTATTTTAACAAATTTGTTACTGAATTTAAAAAATAATTAACCTTTTCTGGCGTTGGGAATGTTCTAAAATTTTAAAAATATCTAATAAATAGTTAAATAAAAACAAACTCTGTAATATATTCTTTTGCATCATCATTAGGCTCCTTTGTACTTTGTCTCACCTCGTGCTTGACATATTCTGTGTAATTTTCTGCGAATTCTTCCGGTGTTAAACCGAAAGCATCAGCCATAGGCGAAAGACCACATTGGATACAAAGCTAAAAAATAAGTGTTAAACATTTGAGTAAGGGTAATTGTTTTAATCGTTAGAGGAGGTAAGTAATCTAAAATATTCAAGAATAGGCAGGACTTAAAGGAGATCCAAATGCTAATTTAAAATCAAAATTAAAAAAATTCACCATATATTTATCTGTCCGGCTTCCAAGTTTGAAACGAGAAGTAATCTCTACTTCGCTCTGTGGCTCTTGTAAAATGATTATCCTTTCCCATTCGACAATTCGCCTCATCTCACTTCCATAATATAATTGAAAATGTGCATAAACATCAGACAATTCTTCATTTGTTTGAACACCAAGAATTCTTTAAAAAATTAATTAAAATCAAATAAATTCCTTACTCTCTAAAGTCTTTATCTGTAACACGTTGTAATACAGCTGCCTCATCATAACCAGATTCAGTTATATATTTTTGTACACGTTTAAGTAAATCAGCTATACGAACTTTTCGCATTTGAAGTCGACACCACTAAAGAAAAATAATCTTTGAAATAAAAAATTAAAACCTTTTCATCAAATTGATAAACTTTCCATAAATCAGGCATCAACAGAGAAGACTCAACATATTCTTTGCGATAAAAGGCAATAAAAGGCACCTCAAAAAGTTGGTTCCGAATGAAACGAATTGCTTCTCGTATTTTTTCAGGAGCTTCCTCCTCTGCCGTATTAACTTCTAATGTCCCTTTTCCATGCTTGTAAATACTGAGGCCAGTATCAGTCTGAAAATTGTAAAAGTGAAGGATAAAAAACATATAATAATTAGACTTGTTGAGAAAGAGTTTGAGCCTTGAATGCAAATTCTAAAATCCAGAGGGCTTCAAGCTGTAGATCGTGATCATCAATTTCGGTGACTGGAATTTTGCGAATCTAAAAAAATAAAAAGTTTTGTCAAAAATATAGAAATACCTGAAAACGTTCTGGCCGGTCCTCGCAAATAATTTTCTTATCCTCTGCCCTAACAAAACCCTTTTCAAGTTCTGAAGGTTCAATTGTATCCAATAATGTGACCTTGGCACCTCTTGGTCTCGTTGTTCGAATGCTTTCTTCGCCCTCTTCAAGTTCCTCCTCAAGTACTTCTGAAATTAAAAATAACAGTAATTATTTAACCATAAAAGAAATAAACCTTCATCTTCATAAAATTCATCCAAATCTTCCACACCAAAAATATCCTTCGCTTCATCAAGGACCTGATCACTATATTCACGTTTTGTACCCTTTTTGCGATGTCGTCGACGTTGTCCTTCATCTTGTACAATAAACGGGTCTTCTAAAAGAATGAATTATATTTTACAGACAACTAAAAACAACCGGATTGTTCTGATTCACTTCTTGACCCAGCATCAGTATATGCTCGTTGCTGATATTCTGGTTCGTTTGTACGGCCATCATCAACAAAATCAGACTGGAAAATATTCTAAAAATGATTAAAGATTTGTTAAATTTACAGTTCCAAAGAGCTGTCCTTTAATTCGTTCACGATCATCTTCATCATCGCTAATTTCCACTCGTCCGCGTACATTATGGCCAATATTTTCGTTAAGGAGATCCAAATCATCTTCCAACAAATCATCATCAGAACCTGCTTTGCTACTCTAAATTTTTAAAACAAAAATAAAAATTTTTTTCTTTATTATACCTCATCATCACCAGCATCTCCACCATCACCCCCTTCTTCGTCATCCTCATCTTCATCATCAACAACAAATCCTTTCATCTCTTCTCGAGCACGATCCTCATCCTCTGCATCGTCTTCTTCATCCTCCTCGTCACTACTAAAATTTAAAAAATCACAAAATAATTTATGAAAAAAACCTTATTTGATGACGTCTTTTCTTTTCTTTTAATTTTCTTGATCGTTTTGGTGCAGGTTCTGAAGTTTCTGATGCAGCTGATTCCGCCTGATCGGAAAGCTCTGCCTCGTTGTCGATAAAATTAGACATAGGTAGTACTTTTTAAGTAAATTTATTTGCTAAAAATAATTTTAATATTAAATTACTGGATATAATTGAGAAGTAAATAACTGAGCAAATTGACAATCAATGCAGAATGGCTTAATCAAAATTAATAAAATTCTGGTTTACCAGCCTAATTCCATAATGAACTACTAAATGAGATAATTTGAAGGTTGTTGCCAAGTGGTTTGTGGCAAAATGGTTTTACCAATATGAAACAAACTTCTCGTTTCGATCAAATGAAATTTTGGTAAATGAAAAATTTTTGTCAAAAAAAAATTTTTTTTTCAATTTTTAATTGTTTTTTGAAGAAAAATGCGTGGAAGTTTTGCTATATTTATTTACTAAAAGTGTGACTAAAATAATTTTTATTTTTAGGTAAAATAATAAACAAAAATAATTCTTCAAATTTTTCTACAATGAGTGAACCTCAACTGGGGGATAGTGCTAAAGAAAATGACCAACAAAAATCTGCCGATTCAAAAAATGTAGTCAAAACTTCTTCCAACTCACCAGAAAAACAAGACAAAGACAAACCTGTTCAGCATAAACAAAATCGTCGGGCATCAGAAGATGTTCGACTTCATTCAAACCGTCAGCGTATTTACTATAACCAAAAACAATTTGTAAATTTTATTTTTTTTAAATTAAATTTTTCTCTTTTCACAGCCACAACCATTATCTGTTGCTGACAAACGCAATGATTTTGCAGCAGGTCGAATGCAAAGTCAGCCTCAGGGCAATTCCAGTAATAGAGGAGGTGGACGGCCATCTGATAAGTCTAGCCGATCATGGCAGCAAAAGACGCGTTCTCTTTCAACAAATACAGCACCTCCTCCTACAAAATTAGAAGTACCTGGAGGGCTTAATGAAGTGTTTAAAAAGGATCGCAAAGACCATAGACACAGAAAGTCAGCAAGTAAAATATTTCTAAAATTAATGTTTTTATTCTGTTTAATATTTAGCGGATATTGGAACGAGTAATAATTCTTTGGCAACAAATGGCGAAAGTTTTGATTATGAAGAAAGTTTGTTTTTTAATTTTTATTAACTAAAACTCAAATAAACTGTTACATTTTTCAATTAAAAATTTTTAGTGGATCTTGATGAGCCTTTCTCTGAATCTGAGGATGAAAGCGCTGCACGTCGTCGTGCTGCACAAAAACCATGTTTGGTAATTCCTCGTGGAAGGATTCGCTCTCTTTCGGGTTTTATGAATATTTTTTAATTTTAAACGAATCCCATATCAGGCACAATTCCACCAGTCGGTTATTCGCCTCATTGGGGTGGGCCAACAATGTGTCTGAAATGCCTCCAATTTTTTCAATTACCTGAAATGATGGATTCTTTCTCTACTCATTTATTAAATGAGCATAAAGTCGTTATTGATGATATGGACATTATTGTTGATTTGAAACGCTATGTTGGTTCGTTTAAATTATTTTTAATTTTTAATATTTTAAAATTTAGAACATTGGCGACAACAATTTAATACTTGTAAAATTGAAGACGTTTTTCCAAAGATTATTCCAGAAGAAGGACATCCACTACACGGAAAGGTTATTTTTTAAAAATTGATTTTTCGCGACGGCTCTCATTTTCGAAAAACAATTTATTTTATAAATCTTTCTGTTCAGGTGGATTTCTACTATAAAATGACCGAGGAAGTTAAAGAAGGTATATTTAATTTGATTGCACTTTTTAACTCGTCTTTCTAGATTACGGGTTACGTCAACGTCTTGCAATGCGTCGCTTAGAGGAGGCATTGGCCTGTCAGCAACGTGAACGTGAAGATCATGCTTTTATGACACAATGTCTTTTTTGGTAATTTTTTGGATTTGATTTTATTTAAAAACTTTTTAGTCGATATATTGCAAAAGGAAATCGAGCTAAAATTATTCATCATTTGTACACTATACATCACTTAAATTTGGGTTCTCCTGACAATCTTGTTTTTGTATATTTTTTCTAATTAAATTTTATTTTGATAATTTTTTTAAAAAGGTTATTGAATACATTGAACATTTACGGGATAAAATGACTCGTAACGAGTGTATTTATTGTGAAAAAACATTTGCTGATCGAATTACTTTAATGGATCATATGCGTAAAAAGAACCACAAAGAAGTTAATCCAAAAAATAATTATTATGATAAGGTTGGTATTTTTGTTTTTTTCTCAAATTATTTTTTTAGTTTTATATTATTAATTATTTGGAATTGGGTAAGCGGTGGCTTGATGTTTTGGCTGAGGATTTTGAGGTTTATTTTGATAAGCTCCGAAAACTTATTTGTTTAGGATACAATGCCTTCATTTATGGACTCTGATGAAGAAGAAGAGGATTCTTGGGAAGAATTTGAAGTTTTTTAAAATTATTTGAGCTCTAAAAAAACAAATTTTTTAGCAAGATAATACTGATGAAGACTTACTTGGTTTATGTCTATTTTGTGACCATGCAAATATAGAGTTGGATGAAATTGTGGAGCACATGAAAGATGACCATAAATTTGACATTTTTGCTTATATCGACGAACAAAAGATGGAATTATATGATCGAATGAAATTTGTCAATTTTATTAGAAAACAGGTATTTTTCTAATATTTTGATTAGATAAAGTTATTGTTTAATTTAGACCTACAATACTCGTTCACCAACAAAGGAATTAAAAGTTGCTGAAATTCCTGATCGTGAAGAATGGGACAAAGATGAGCATTTGGTCCCAATGTTTGGAAATGTTTTTCTTTTAATTTTTAAATATTTTAATTTTTTAATTATTTAAAAGGACCATCTCCTCTGGATGTTAGAAAGTTGGTTTTTTGCAAAAGAAAATGAAGGTGTTAATGAAAAGTCAGCTAAGGAATGTAATGGTAATGAATTATTGGAAGGAGGAAAAAGTGGATGTAAAATTCAATTAAATACTCTTGTAGAAGAGTCCAAAAAGAATGCTGTCTCTGGGGTAAATTTCAAAATTTTTAAGGTTTATTTTTAAAAAAAATTTTTCTAAAGGTAATTGCTGAGGATTTGCCAGATTTAAGTGAAAGTATTCTTGCCAACCCAGAGTTGCAGGATTCATTGCGTTAAAACAAAAGCAACGAAAAATTAAAAGAGTGCTAATTCTAATTGGATGCTTTTTTGATATTAAAGTTAATACTTATTTTTCTATTATTACACTAGAGGTGCGTTGGAAGACTTGATTTCACAGAAAATCGTTTGTTGGTGGTATATCATTCCCGTAAATTTTCGATTCCGGTCAGTGAATGTCTCAGCTTCTAGTGTATTAATTTTATACTCACATTGTTGGTAAACCTACGCAAAACCAAAAAAATATTTAATTAAGCATATCTCCCTATTTCTAAAATTTATCTGACTTTTTGGGCATGATTAATATTAAATATCAATCATAGTCTCTAATTACTATTTTGTTCTGTTTTCTCTACACTTCTTAAGTCTAATTCACACGTGTAGGCTTTATCTGATATAATTATTTGTTACCAATTATTTGTTGAACGATCATTATAATATTTTTATGAGTTGGTCTATAAAATTTTGACTGAAATTTTGTAGGCAATATTAGAATTTTTGTAGTTTACAAAGAAATAATTTTTATAGACCAATCCAACCAATTAAAAGAATTTTGATATTAAGCTAATTGTTGAACCCAACTTATTTATGGTAGATTCAGAGATTAACATTATATATTTAAAAATTTTGCTGGGATTTTTACTTATGGACACGCTTCCTGTTATTAAAATAAAATGTTGACTATTGTAGTACACGTGTAAACAATTATAATAAAATGGTTATAAAAATATTTGTTCAATTTTATATTTTAAACTAATAATAAGCCTAGATTTTAACATAAGCATAGTGAAGAGGAAATTGAATTCAAAACTTTTTTAGCAAAATCAAGCTATGCATAAATTATTTAAAAATTTTGTTTAAGGTAAAAAACGAATTTATTTTTTCTGATAACAAAAGAAGAAAAATAAAAAAAATTAAAACATTCACAACAAAAATAAATTTTCATTAATTAACATTCCCATTCTCAAAGAAAATAACTTCATCTAGCACAACATTTTTGACATACACCTCTCATCAGGCGCCGGGAATTTCTATATTTATTTAAATAGTTAAATTAATGAATTTATTTCTTACCGTTGTTTCCTGGAATTTTTTCTGGTCCTTCATGACTTGCTGGACTTGGAGCTCCATCACCTCAGAATTAGTTAATTTTAAATCATTAACTTAAAACTTACTTTCAGGTAATCCTGGTGGGTTTAGGTCTTGTGGACAATGATCACCTAAATATTTTTTATAAATTTTATGTAATGTAAAACTGGCTCTATACGCAAGGAGTTCCAATTTCTGTATTTATTTGATGAAGTTTAGGAGATAATGGAGATAATTTTGCAGGTCTTTTATTATGAGAAAATGTATGGAAGGTGATAAACTTTAGACATCCTTGGGCCAAGACCTGCAAAATTATCTCCATTATCTCCTAAACTTCATCAAATAAATACAGAAATTGGAACTCCTTGCGTATAGAGCCAGTTTTACATTACATAAAATTTATAAAAAATATTTAGGTGATCATTGTCCACAAGACCCTAACCCACAGGATTACCTGAAAGTAAGTTTTAAATTAATGATTTAAAATTAACTAATTCTGAGGTGATGGAGCTCCAAGTCCAGCAAGTCATGAAGGACCAGAAAAAATTCCAGGAAACAACGGTAAGAAATAAATTCATTAATTTAACTATTTAAATAAATATAGAAATTCCCGGCGCCTGATGAGAGGTGTATGTCAAAAATGTTGTGCTAGATGAAGTTATTTTCTTTGAGAATGGGAATGTTAATTAATGAAAATTTATTTTTGTTGTGAATGTTTTAATTTTTTTTATTTTTCTTCTTGTTATCAGAAAAAATAAATTTATTTTTTTAACTTAAACGAAATTTTTAAATAATTTACTTTTATAATTTTATCTCTTTAAAAAGACGATAACATCAAAAAAACAACTAACAAAGTGAAAATAGTTCTTTAAATTTGAGATAAATAACCTTTTCTCCAATTGTCAAAATTACGATGGCAAAGAAATCAAAGGGTTGATGTCCTTAGGCAAATAAGTAACGTTTTTGGAAGATGCAAGTAACTCAGCAATCTCTTCTGCCGCCTCTAATTTACGGAGTTCAATGAGTCCATCACCGACTTGCGAAAATACTTGGGCGAGCATCTGAAAATAAATTTAAATTTTGAGATGAAATAGAAAAAGAATTACCTTAGATGCTTGCGCATCTCCCTCTGCCGTTGTAATCGCAGCCAACTTCATCTGTTCCGCTTTTTCTACCTAAATTAAATTTTAAAATCTTACAGTAAAAACCATTTATCTAACCAAATAACGCGCACGTTCAGCCTCTTGTTGTGCAACTTGTTTCATTTCAACAGCTTCGGTAAATTCGCGTCCAAAGGAAAGATGTGTCTAAAAATAAAAATTTTTTATCAAAAAATAATTTTTAAAATTACAATAGAAATGTCATCAAGCATCATTCCAAAAGTTTTTGCACGTTCAGCCAATTCGAGTGAAACACGATGACTGACAGACTCACGTTGAGTAATCATTTCATGAGCATCAAATTGGGCCTTGAAATAAGGAAAAAATAGGCATTTTTTAAATATAAAATCAAAATTAGGCCCTAACAAAAATTTAATTTAAAAACTTACAACGACAGCCTTAAGGATCTCATTCGTAATTGAAGGCAAAACACGTTCAGCATAATCCTGTCCAATTGTATTGTAAATTGTCGGCAATTTAACTGGATCCGGTCTATGCAAAATACGTAAAGTTATCGAAACAGTTTGAAGGTCTAAAAATATTTTTTCATTCATTTTAATTTTTAAAAATTTTTAATTTAACCTTTACTACCAGTCACAGTACTAACAGTTCTTGGCGTTGAACGAATATCAAAAATAATTGGTTTTTGAACCCATGGAATTATAAAATGGGTTCCCTCTCCAATAACGTCAGGCTTTACACCAGCAAATCGGTCAAATATAACGGCACGTTGACCAGCATCAACTGAAAGAAAAAAAATTCGTAGAAATATTTTTAAAGAAATTAACCATTGTAAAGCGCTGATTGAGCAACTCCACCAGCAATTGCCAATCCAATACCAATCTGACCGAGTGCTCCCAAAAGACGTTGAGACATTTTTTATTTTAACTTTTTCCTATAAAAATTAAAGAAAAATAGAAAAAATTACAAAAATTAAAAAACATCTTTTGCAAAAAAATCGCGCAGCGGTCAAACAAAAATCGACCAAACAAAAATCTTCAAAACGAGATTTTCCATTTTGAAATAAAATAATTTTATTTTTCGAAACGAAAGGATTACCATAATACAATTTTTTCTTTTTTGACCAAGATGAAAATGGGCAATGTGTAAAAGAAATTCTTCCAATTCTTCACTGAATTTTTGACTCCGGCTCTTTTTAGAGATAATTTTTGTGATTAACGCTTGATTTTTAGGAGTAATATTATTTTCATTTGCTAATGGCCACGACTAAAAAGAAGACGAGAAAGCTTAGAGGACATGTTTCTCATGGACATGGAAGAGTTGGAAAACATCGCAAGCACCCCGGAGGTCGAGGAAATGCTGGTGGTATGCATCATCATCGAATCAATTTTGACAAATATCATCCTGGATATTTTGGAAAGGTTTAAATTTTCTCGAAATGCTTCTAACGTTTAAATTTTAAAGGTTGGAATGCGTAATTACCATCTGCGGAAGAACAGTTACTATTGCCCAGTAATCAATTTGGACAAAATTTGGACTTTAGTTACTGAAGAGACGCGCAAGAAGTATGCTGATGTTAAAGACCGCGCTCCAGTGATTGATGTTTGTCGTGCTGGTTACCACAAAGTTTTGGGCAAAGGCTTGTTGCCAAAACAGCCTGTCATTGTCAAAGCAAGATTCTTTTCGCATACTGCAGAAGAGAAGATCAAGAAAGTTGGCGGCGCTTGTGTTTTGGTCGCATAAATATGAAATGTTTAAATTGTTGCTCTTATCGTTTTTGTCTGTTTTGAGAATAAAAATATTGTTGATAGAGCATTTATTTTATTTATTGGTTATGTGCCGTAATTATTTTATCATTTATTAACTCGTTTCTTTTAACAATTTTTACTTTGTAGAAAGTGAACTGTTCTCATTTCGAGCTAAGGTCATTAAAAGACAACTTTCACTGCGATGGCTTCAAATCAAGAATTAGCTTGTATTTATGCGGCTCTTGCTCTTCAAGATGATGGAGTGCCGATTACTGGAGAAAAGATTCTGACCATTCTGAAAGCAGCTGGTGTTGAAGTCGAAGCTTTTTGGGCTGGGCTTTATGCTAAAGCGCTTGAAGGTGTTGATGTCAAGGTTAGATAAATTTTAACATTGTTAAATATTGATAGGTTAGGCTTTTGGGACTAGCCGTGAGATAATAAAACCCAGTCTACTTCTATAAATCCTTTTCATTCCTTATTAACTTTCAAAATTTAGGCATTGATTTCAAACATTGGTTCTGGAATTGGATCTGGTGGAGGTGCTGCCGCTTCGGCTGGAGCTGCTGCGCCAGCAGCAGCAGAAAAGGCTGCCGCGCCGGCTGCAGAAGAGAAGAAAAAGAAGGAAGAGCCAAAAGAGGAAAGTGATGACGATATGGGATTCGGATTATTTGATTAAAGCATTAAATAGATATCTTTTAATGTCTTTGTTTTGTTGCTGATTATTTTAATAATCATATAAATTTGTTAAACTTATTGTTAGCTGATTTGTTATTGTTATAACTTTTATAAGTTTTAGTATTTCTGTGTTTGGGTTAGTGAGTGGATTCGTAAGTATTGTTTTTCTGTTTATGAAATTTAGACCATTGTTTTAGTGAGTGCTTAAGAATATTTGGGGGTTGGATTCTTGTTTTGTTGCAAGATTTTAATATTCTTTAGAAAATAAAAATGACGACAAAACGTAGAAGTTTCTGCAAAGACTGTCCAAAAATTTACGATTTATTGATCTCGAACCCATAATTGCTCAAACAGATTATAAATGTTATTAAATATTGATTATTTTAACCTATTTTATGAATAAATTGTCTGTTTTTAGAATTTTCTATGTTAATTTTATTATAATCTGATTACTTTTTGTTTAATTAAAAATATTTTTTCATTCAAATTATTTTTGATTTTTAGTTTAATTCCTTCCAAAAACAAATCTGGTCACTCAATCAATAAAAAATTGTTTCTTCCTCAGCCAGGCTTTTCTTTCTACATTATTCTTGCGCTAACAAAAAAATGCTTTTTGAGGCAAAAGCTGCAATAAGCGCAATGCATCATTAAGTGGCTTCTCCTGTTTGTTTTTTTATTGTTTGTCACAGGACACCGCCAGCTGTTTTCTCATTTGTAATGCACTGTTTTCACGCAAACATGTGTTAGGAAACGTTAGAGGTTTAAATAATTTTTAAGTTTTTCTGGGAATGTTCCCCCCTTTGTGTGTGTCTTTCAATTTTTGACACAAATCCTTGCAACTTTTTTTTCGTTTGTCCTCAAAAAGAGTTTCAATTGGGCAGTCATTGTCACTCAGATGGTCCTTTTCCTCAAAATAAAATTGAAAAGGGCAATAGTATGGGGATAGAGGGGATAAGGCAGACGACGGCCATCTTCTGTCCATCTTGCTACTTCTCTGTTTTTTCCTCTTCCTAATTTAACAACGGCAGAGACCTAGCAATAGCTAGCGGTTCTCTCCGATCCTTCTATTTTTGCTGCTTTTGCTTCTTAATGTGTATTGTGGGAATGGGGATAGAGGGACTATGGAAGAGAAAAAGAAGAAGAAAAAAAGAAGGGCGGTAGTGGTCGGGTGAAGAGGACAAGGGGGACGAATTCGATTTTCCATTTGGCTTAGTCACTCATTCACAATGTAGGAGATGAGAATAGAGGAAAAAATGACCAATACGCACACAAACACACAAAACGCTCCAAAATAAATTTTTTTCAATTCTATTGGCACTTTTCTTATATTAATCTTTTTAAAAGTGTTCCCCCCTATCTTCTAAAATTTTCTCACATTAATTGTTTTCGTTTGTGAGGTCTTTCCGCGAAAAATTTTAGTACATATTTTCCCGCAAAGATTTCTTTGGAATTATTAAATATTCTTTATTGTTAGCACAAAATCTGTAATTTTTGGATTTTGGAGGGCCATAAAAAACGGGCAAAAACGGCTCAAAATCCTTGCTAGAAAGGGCACATTCTCTATCGAAAAAGCCTGGTCTCGACCGTTTTTAGATGGACACCTCGCAACCTCACCTTATTTGTACTTTTCAATAAGATTTTCGAGATTTCATTTTTAAAACTAAAAATTTTTTGTTAGAGTTTTGATGTGATACGCTACGGCTATTTTATTTTTCAACCAAGACCCCCCCCCCCCCCCCCCCCCGAGATTTTTCTCATTTTTCTCATAATCCTTTATTATTTTTTTACAATTTAGTTTTTACTTTTTAATCTTTTATCTTTTTATTATCCTTTTTTCTGATATTTATCAATTTTCTTTTGTTTATTTTCACATGTCATTTTAAATCAATACAATTACATTTTTATATAAATATTTACATAAATTCTCTACAAATTAAATACTTTTAAATAGTAAAAAATAATTTTGTAAAAAAAAGTATTAGTTACTTGCATATATTTTTTATTTGTAAAATTTTCTTCCAAATATTGATGGTTATCATTTCCGACGAATCATTTATTTATTTTTGACTTTTTGTGATGGCGAGGATGGCTGAGTAATTTTTTAAATATATTTTTTTAATTAATTAAATTTAATTTTTTAAAGAGGCTCTATTTTATTGTCTGTTACTGCTGAAGTACTTTTTCATGATGGGGCAAATTGGATTAGAATGGATAATAATATGAATGGGTAAAATTTAAAATAAATTTAAATTAAAATATATATTGGGTTGTAACATAATTAATGATCGTTTTTCTTTAACGCGTTTTAGACTCATTTAAGATTATCAAATATTGCTTTATTTATTCTTGTTTTATTGCTCTATTTCTGCTCTTTAATTTGATATCAAATTTGACCATTTTTAGACGAAATTAGAAAAGTTATTTTGTTTTAAATGGAGCTAGGTCGAGAGGTGATTTTAGAGCTTTCCCGGATTTAATTCGGATATAGTGTAGGACGTGACATGTAGGACGTGACATATGTCATTCGATTCGTCTCGACGAGCTGAGTCTAACGGTACCACTCTCTACTTCAGGAAATGATTCTGGACCGAGTTATAGGTCCCGAAAAATATAGGGGCAATTTTTTGGAATAGAAAAAAGCTGATACAAATAATAGCTCATTCGAAAGAGCTCCTCGAGCTGAGTCGAATGACACCAAAATCAGCTTGATTGAACAAGTTTGAGTCGAAACATGCCCCGTTAACTCACGCCTCCACAAAGACAAAAAAGGCCGCGGACACAAAAAACCCGCGAGCACATCCAAAACGACCTCAACTGGGACTTCTTACCTCATTCGGGCTATTCACCTGACTTGGCACTTTATGATTTCCATGCATTCCGGTCGCAGAAGAACTTCCTCAGAGACTAGCAATTCAAAAATGATGAACACCTCGAAAAAGAGGTAGGTCAACGAATTGCTTCCAAACTCGGTACAGACTTAGGAGAGAGGAAACCGAAGGTTGAGGAAGTGCTAGAGACTTGTAGTGTTGCAACAAGGAGATTATATCATTGATTCAATTTGTTTTTTGTTTATTTATTGCGTTTTGTAAATTGAGAAAAAACGATCATTAATTATGTTACAACCCAATATATATATAATTAATTTTTGTCGATTTTTAGTCATTCTGGGCTTTCTTCAATAAAATTGGTTAAATCAATAAATGAAGCTATTTATAGAATTATTGCCATCAGGAATATTGTAAAAAGATTTAATTTTGGAGAGTATTTTTTAATTTTAGGATAACAAGCGAATTGTAGATCAAGTTATATTTCAACGTTTAAAATATAAAGAAGCAACTCCTTCCTTTCATCAATGGAGAAATGAACACAAACAAGTTATTGGTTTAAGTTTTACAAATACACAGGAAGCACGGCATTTTTATTCTGGAGTTAGACAAGCATTAGATAGTCTTGTTAGCATTCAACAACAATTTGTTAGTGTACCTACGTCTAATCAAGGTTTTTTTTGAAATAGGGTTTGGTGCTTTAATTTTGAAAAAAGTGTCCTTAAGGATTTTGGGTAATTTTCCATTGAGGACCGCATCTGTGAATTGAACTAGGAACTGTGAAATTCGAATGAATTAAGATAAACTGTTAATTAAAAGTGATTTTGGTTGTTTTGGTAATCGAAACCCATTGAGGTGTAATTTTGAACTTTATGGTTCCTTTTTCTCCTTTTTTGTCTCTCTCTTCGGACCAAGCTAACAATAAAAACACGCTTTTTAACGTCATCCCAAGCTTGCAGAAAAAACAGGCATTTGCCTATAAATTATCACTTTAATGATTAGTAATGGGATAAGTAATGGCGCTTTAATAATGTGTCATTTTTCTTTGTATATCTTTTTTTAAAGTTGATACATCTACATATCAAGACCCCCAAAATTTCCATAATTATAATTGTCAACAACAAGATATTTATTCCAATGGTGCTAATCACGTTGAAGAAGTCAATACTTGTTATATTGAACCAAATAATGGAAAAATTATTTCAACACAAACAAATGGTTGTTATGAAAATAATAACCAAAGGTTTTCTTAAAATATTTAAAAAAATATTTTTTTAATTTTTTAAAAGAATTTATGGCCAAAAATATGTCAATAATCAGGGACAGATTACAACAAATCAACAACAAAATAACTTAATTCGACGTGCTTCTCAAGGCTCGAATATTAGTTCTAGCACTGGTGGTAGTTTACCTGGACCTTATGGACAACAAGTAAAAAATAATTTTTATTAGGCACGTGGACATATCGGGACGAATATATTGGGATATTTCAATGTACGAACAGTACCCTATTGATTTCGGGACCTACGGCCAGTGGGTCTTGGATAGTATATTGTCCTATTGGAATAGAGTTTTTATTTTTTAGAACAAACGTAAACACGCAAGAAATTATTTTTGTTACCCCAATCCCGATATGTCCGCACACCTTTTATTAAACACCTTTTTGCTTATATCTCTTTTGACTTCGTTAGACCCGTTCGACATTATTTAATTTGACAGCAGCCCTAATAATTTTAAATTTGCCTTAAAAATTAATTTTGAAGCAAACTTTCTAAAGCATAATTTAAAACTTATTCTCACAGCTAAAGTCTGATTTTATATTAAATATGTTGTAATTTTACAATAAAAAATATTGTAAAAATTGCACATCTGGAGAAAATTTACTATTTTTGATTGTAGTGGAAATGCTTAAAGACTTATAGTTAAAAAGAACATTTGAAAGGAAAAATATTAAAAAAAAATAAACTTACATATTTTTCTTTAAAGAAATTATATCTTAAAAATAATATAAAAAATTCTTTTCTCCATAAAAATTCTGAATGCTAATTTGAAATGAATATCGGCTGGTAAAAGGTTAGGGGGGGGGGTGGGGAATTTTAATTTTATTCTCTCCGCCCAAACCTTTTATCTTAGGCAAGCTAAAATTGATGATAGCAGTATATTTTTTTAAATTTTTTTTGGGTTGCTGTCGATGATAAAGGTAAAATAGCGCTGGGTAGATTACTTTTTTAGTTTCTTTTTAATTCAAAAAACTTTCCCATTTTTTAGGTACTAGTCATTCCTTCACAAAATACTACTTATTCAAATAACAATAATTTAAATGAAATAAATTCTAATAATAATAATTTATATTCTTCGAATGTTGAACAACAACAAACTTCCCATTTGCCTCCCCCACCTCCAAATAGTAATTATCAACAAAATACTATGAACAATAACAACAACACACAAAATAATATAGCTCCACCGCCTCCTCCTCCTCCACCACCGCCCCCACCAGAATTAAAAAATATTTTGTCTGCTAAACAAAAAAGCTTTTCTGAACAACTTCGGTTGGTCCAATCAAGTAAAAGTGGTGCAAAAGGTTGGTAAAATTTTTATTATATGCCTTGTTTAACGTCTGTTTTGTTTTCGGTATTTCAGAGAAAATTTAGGTTTTTAATTGAAAAAATTTTTTGGAGTCCCTTATTACATTTAATGGACCCTCCTCTTTCTCTTTTTTTTACATTTTAAAATTAGCTATAATTTTAACCAAAAATATTTTAAAGGAAATGATAATACAAATAGTATTAAACCATCATCATCAACAACAACAACAACAAACAGTTCTCGCGAAAATGGACCAAAAAATCCAATTGGTGGCAAGCAAGATTTAATAAGTGAATTAGCTGACCGTTTAAATAAACGAAAAATGAATTGTGCAGCAGAAGGAAATAATGAAATAAATTTGAATAAACCAGTGGAAGTTGGAGGAACAAAAAATTGTTTTTTTTAATTTTTTAAAATTATTTTTTAAAAATATTTTAAGGTGTTGTTAATCAACAAAATAAGCCTCAACAAATTTGTGGGAATATACAAGTCCAACAGAATGCCAATGTACAGCTAAAGAATGGTCCAGCAATCTCTCAAAAGTTGTTTTAATTTTTATTCGGGGAAGTCCCCGGGAGTTTTGGTAAATTAGAAAAAATAACACTGGGACTCTGTTATTAGAAAAGACTTGGGCCAATCAAGTTATAATCTTCAGCTAACAGGGACCCGTAAATGATTTTCTACCAAAATAAAACATCAATTTTTTAAAGAATATCAAGTGGCTCATCAATCGCTAGCCAAGAAGAAATCCCCAGCACTAGCAATGAAAATGGATCAACACAAAAAACATTCGTAACAACTGAGGACTTGGCACGATTTAAAATTGAAATGATGGAAGCATTTTCAGCAGAGCTTTCAAAATTTCGGGCAGAGTTGACACAACAAGTATGTAATGAAATTGCCAAAATTTTCAATAATCGGCAATGAAATGACTACAAAATACATATATTCCATATAATGTGCATCTTTCCTATTTTTTTAATTTTTTACGCACAATTTTTTTTACAAAAATGCTGCCGATAATTCCAATTAATTATTCTATATATGTATTTTATTAAAATTAATTTAAATGTTTTTTGCTTGAAAGTAAAAATATTTTTAAATTGAAAGGAAAAACATTTTACTACAAAAATGTATATGACAATGAAAATAACAAGGAAATAATTTAAAAAGCATTGCATAGAAATGCTTAAAGTCAGATCACAATTTTCGGGGAAATTTCTCACAAAATTCTCACGAAACCTGATCGTTTAAAAAATTCTTTTAAATTGCTGACCTGACTTTGTAATAAATGGGAATAATATTTTTTAAAAATAAAGAACATGCGAAAATATAGCTACAATGTTGTATGAATGCCACTAACATATTCACTTAATTTGGACTAAAATTTATACTAACGTCAATAATGTGCAGACTTAAATATTTAAGTGTAATTAGAATTTCCCAAAAATTATTGACAAACTTTAGCCGCACATTATTGACATAAGCTACCCAAAATATTTGAAAAATACTTCATTGAAGTTATAGCACTTTTTTTTAAATTTTTTAAATTTAAATGTCTTTCTTTTAAAAATGCTATAACGTTAAAAAGAAATTTTTTGGAGGAGTTTGAAGGGTCTAAATAATTTTTTGGATTTTTCAAAAAATGAAAGTAATGAGAAAATTTTTTTTGGAAAAACTTAAAAAATAAATAAAATAACCTTCTCTTTCCCTCCCTTCCTTTCAATCATCATCCAGCTCAATAATTTCAATTTCATCACAAGTCGCCTTTCTAGTAGTAAATTTCGCCCTTTTCTCGCTCACCCCCAATAATTGGTGCAATAGCAATTCTTGTCCAGAAACAACTAAAGCAGAGGCTGTCGGGGTAGTAAATTGTTCTTTATTTGAAGAATTTTGAATATTTGAAGAAGAACGGAGAAAATGTGGATTGTTGTTTGGTTGTTGTGGTGGAATTTTTTGATTTTTGTATTGTAATTTAGAAGAATTAACATGCATTGGAGGATTTATTTGAGGAGTTGTTGCTTGTGATAAATAATGTTGTTGTTGATGGTTGTGGTGGTTGGGGTGGTGATTATTCTGAAGAAACAAAAATATATTTTTAGTTAAGAGTAGAAAACAAAGAATTTGAATTTTTTAAATTGAATCAAGTTTTGTTCTCGAGAACGACCGGTAAAATCAACAACCTAAAAGAACACCCTAGAGATCAACCGCCGTTAAAGAGCAACGATATAAAAAATATTTTTATCTTGACTAGGAAAAGTTTGTCTTTTTAAGAGTTATTCTATAGACGCAAGTTCAAATTTAACCATAGAAAAAATTTTAAATCTATTTTTTAAATAAACTAACCATTTGTATATTTCCATTAACAATTTGTTGTTGTGTATTGTTTTTGTATCCATTAATGTTGTTATTACAATTGACAGTTTTAGGTATTTTCCATTGCCTCATTTGATTTAAATTGTTTGCTTGCGGTGAATTTAAATTAATTGAAACAATTGGAGAAGGACAAAAAGTTTCTTTCAAAAACGATGGCAATTTGGCAGAAGTTGAAGGAGGTTGAACAGAAAGACTAGCAGAAATTGAAGGAGATTTATTTAAAATAATTGGTGTTGAACGTCTTTTTCGATTATTTTCATTTAAATCATTTTTTGTTTGTCCATTTTGAATTATTTTAAAATTTTTATTTTGAAATTGTTGATTGTGAGAATTTGGTGGTTGTGGACCTTTAAAAATAAAATTGAAAGAGAATATGTAAAATTAATAAAAGGGAGTTTTTCATTGTAAATGAATATTTTCTTTAATTTGAATAGATTTAATTTCTAATCATTAATTCCAGTTCGTTTTATATTGCCAAAAGCTTGAAATACCAAATCCCCAAAAGCTGTTAAAATAACAAATGTTGTTACAACGACGGAAGATGCTGTTCCAACAGCACGCCCGCAGCGAAGCAATATCCTTACTGCTGGAACAAACAAAAAAGTTTAGTCTGGAAAAACAAAAAAAATTAACAAAAAATTTTGGTTTTTTTCTACGGTTTGGCATTTCAACAGCTTTTGGGGGTTTGGCGTTTCAAGCTTTTTATATTTCAAGCTTTAGGCAATATGACACCTTAAATTCCATCATAAAATTTCTAAAAATTTTAGTAAAAGAGACCAACAAGAGAAAAAAATTATATAAAAATAACCAACCTCCATTAAATCCATTATTCAAAGAAGTTGGAGTATTTAAATTATTTTGTTTAGTTTGTTTATCTGAAAACAAATTCTCCGTTGAATGTTCATGTTTAAATTCATCATTTTTCTTTAAAAAAATTCCTCTAATCTATTCAAAAAAATAATTTTCAATTTAAAAATTCTCTCAAAAACTAACCATTTCCGCAATTTGAGCAAGTCTTCGACTTTCATATTCCATCGGTTTTTCAATTTTATAAGGCAAAGCAAATTCTTCACATAATTTATTGTATAAATTGTAAATAATCATCATGTCTTTACGCTAAAAATTTAAACAAAATTTTAAAATAAAATTCCAAAATAAATACTTGTTTTTCATATAAAGCAAAAATTTCCGTAAAAGTTTGAGCCAAACGAGAAATTGACTTCTTCATAAAATCTTTTTCTTTTTTACATTTAACATCGTGGCAATTCAGAGTTTTTAATTTTAAATTGATAAGCTACAAAAAAATTAAATTTAATTAGAATTAAAAATAAGTTTAACTTTTTCAAATTGATTTCGACTAAAATGATCATGGAAATGAATTCCTCCTTGCGAATGGGTGCTAGAAGGTACTTTAATTGAAGATTCAGTGCTTGTTGTTGAGGGCATTGTGTTGGTACAATTGTGAAAAATTGTTTGAAAAGTAAAAAAAGTAAATAAAAATTTGTATATTTTTCTGAAATGTTTAGAAATAATTTAAAAATCTTAACAAATAATAAATAAAGTAATGTTGTCAAATAAAAGGAAAAAAACACAAAACAAATCAAAAAAAATTTTGACAAGACTCAAACAACAAATACATTATGCCATTAATTAAAATTTTTAAAAAAAATGTTTTAAGAATTAGAGAAAAAGAAAAATTAGTGATTATTAGTTAGAGAAATATAGGAGATAATTTATTTTAAATAATTTTGTTCTTTTTAAGAAGTTTGAGTATTTACATTTGTAAACAATAATTTTGAAATGTCGTCTTTGATGAAACCTAGGAAAAATAAATATGAGAAAATTAAACATTTGGGAGAGGGACAGGTTAATTTGAAATTAATTTTGTTTAAAAATTTATTTAAAAATCTTTGAGGTGTTTTTAGTTTGCAAATGTGTATCAAGCTAAGGATCTTTATACAGGAAAAATTGTTGCAATTAAAAAGGTTTTTTCTCTTCTTTTTTTCTGTCTCTCAAATTTTTCATTTTTCATCCTTTCATTAAATTTTAGATTAAACTCGGTTCAAGACACGAGGCTCGTGATGGCATTAATCGAACTGCAATTCGTGAGATTAAATTACTTACAGAATTGTATCACGACAATGTAATAGCTTTGTTGGATGTAATTGGGCACAGAACAAGTATTCAACTTGTTTTTGATTTTATGGAGACTGATTTGGAGGTTTGGAAAATTTTTAAAATAATTCAAAGAAATTTTTTTAGAATTTAATTAAAGACAACAATACAATTCTTCAACATTCCCATATTAAAAATATTCTTTTACAAGTATTTTTGGGATTGGAATTTCTTCATTTAAATTTTATTTTGCATCGAGTTTGTCTTTAAAATTTTTTTTTTCTAAATTTATTTAAGGATTTGAAACCAAATAATTTATTAATGAATTTAAATGGAAGAATAAAAATTGCTGATTTTGGATTGGCACGTTATTTTGGCTCTCCTACAAGAATATATACACATCAAGTTGTTACACGATGGGTATTTTTTTAATTAAAAATTTTATTTAATTTTTTAAAATTTATTTTTTAGTATCGAGCTCCAGAACTTCTTTACGGAGCTAGGGCCTATGGAGTTGGAGTTGATACATGGGCAATGGGTTGTATAATTGCAGAATTACTTTTGAGAGTGAGTTTTGATTTTTCAAGCAGATTATTTTTTCAATCTTATTAAATAAGAGTTCTACAAAATGTTTTATTTGGATTCTCGGTAATATTGAACCTGACAGACCCCATTTTTCCTCCCCAATTTTCTTTCTATATATTTGCAGAATTGCCAGACTTCTTCCTTTTTTCCATCCAAGGGGGAATAAAAATTAATTCATCTTGATTGTTTATAGAAGGGCGATTGGGATGGAAGCAAGGAAAAAAGTCTGACCATTCTGTAGATATATATGAAAAAACTTGGGAGGAAGAGATGGGGTCTGTCAGGTTCAATATTATCGAATTCTCCTAGAGCTCTTCTTTCATACTTTTTTATTTTAAATTTTTTTCTTCAGGTTCCCATATTCCCAGGCGAATCTGATCTCGATCAATTGGTTAAGATTTATAATGTTCTTGGTATGCCTACTGAAGAGACTTGGCCTGTAATAAAATTAAAATTATTTTTTCAAGTTAATTTTTCAATTTTTAGGGACTTACTTCTTTGCCTGATTATATCCAATTACAAAATTGTGGTCAAGGTTATGAACTCAAAAATGTATTTCCGGCAGCAAGTGATGACCTTTTAGAATTAATTTTTGGTTGTTTACTTTTTGATCCATTAAAAAGATTAACGGCAACACAATCACTTCATTCACAATATTTTAAATCTTTACCCTATGCTTGTGATGATTCTGAATTGCCAATAGTTAAACAACAACGTAAACGAAAACAACAACAAATATCATTAAAAGAAAAAATTGCAAATGGAGAAGAACCTCCATTTACACGAAGAAGACTTGAATTTTAATTAAAGACTGTTTTTTAGTTTTCTTATTTAAAGTTTTTTAAAATTATTTTTTTTATTTAAATAAATTTTTGTTGTATTTCTCTGATCCATGGATTTTATTTGTAAATTAATGAATAGTATAATATTTTCGAGGATTTTAAAATTAAAAAGAAAATTTTTATTCTCTTCTTATTTTCAGTTCAACGTTTAAAGTATGCTTTATCCAACACCAGGAATTGATGATTTTAATGAAGATGAATGTATAAGTGGAGACGATGAAGAGGATTTGAATATTAAAAAGGTTTGAAAAATAAATGAAATTAGTAATTTTGTTTTTAGAAATTACCAGAAAATAAAATTAATAAACCAAAAAAGAAAAAGAAGAAACTTACTAGTCAACCAGAAATTGTAGAGGACGCTGTTGGCGAAATTTCTTCAAATTTTCATTTTGAAGTGGATGAAGGAATTGAGGAAGAGGATAATAAACAAAATAACGATTTGGAAGGATTGACAACTTTTTTAAAGAAAAACCAAAATAGAATGTCAACACTTGCTGAAAAAATTGAAATGGAAAGAAAAAGAATTGGGCAGAAAAGTAATATCGATGCTTTAATGGAAATTGGAGAAGTAAGTTTTTTTATTAAAAAAAATTGTCTTAACTCTTTAAACAAACCAAAAAAATTTTTTAAATAATAATCGTCAACCGCAACACAAATTAAATATTATTTTTAAGGATACATTCAAAGACGAAAAAGAAACAGCATCAGCTCCATTTTCTATGGAATTAACCGAAAAGGAAATAAAAAATGGTTAAAAAAAATTTCATTTAAATATTAATTTTCAAAATTTTTTTAGATAAACTTCGTTTAAAACAGCTTGGAAGCAAACAATTTTTTGAGAAAAGTTCTGATCAACTAGAACAAAAAGTTTCATCTTTTGACGAGTTAAATTTGAGTAGACCAATTTTAAAGGTATTTTTATAGTAGAGTTTTAAATTTTTAAGTTAGGGTTCCAAAAAAATTTTTTTTGGAAATATTTGTCACATTTTGGGAGTTTCTTTGTATTTTTAATTTTCCCTAGGCAATTCTCGAATGTGGTTTTCAACTTCCTACTCCCATTCAAGCTGCATGTATTCCTGTTGCACTTGCTGGTCGTGATATTTGTGCATGTTCTGCAACTGGTACAGGCAAAACTGCAGCTTTTATGCTTCCAATATTTGAACGTCTTCTTTACAAGTTTATATTTATTTTAATTTTTCTTTTATTTTTAAAGGCCACAAGGAAAACGGCCTACAACAAGAGTTTTGGTACTTGTGCCTACACGTGAACTTGCTATACAAGTGTTTCAAGTTAGCAAAAGATTGGCAAAATACACGAGTGTTGAGCTGTGCTTAGTTGCTGGTTGGTTTATTTTTATAAAATTTTTAAGGCAAAAAATATTTAAAACTGGGAATGTGGGTGGGATTTACATTTTTCTGGGTTTCTTTGGTTTTTACAAGTCCTTCCAACTTTTTTAAATTACTTTCTTGCCACTGTGTAATTTGCTTATATTATTTATGCATTTCTATGAGCATTGTACAATTAATTTCTTTTAACGAAATAAACCAGAAAATTAAAATTATTTCGGACTAAAATAAACAAAGAATTTTTTATTTTTAATGAAAATAAAAAAAATGATTTTCTGGTTTAACAAAATATATTTTTCCATGTTTTCTAAAATATATTTATGTTGTTATTAATTGGGGAAGTAACGTCCTGCACCGCGCATTTGTTTGTTTAGTATATACAGTTATATAGCCTAAAGTAATTAGTGCAAGTAAACTGCTTGAATAGAATGCATAAGTGTAATGCCAAGAATTGACTATATGGGAAGTATATAAGGGAATTAAAAAGTGAGATGTCCATTGGACCATTGAAGCAAGTCCTGTTGCTTTTCCAAGATCGCCAATTTGAACGGCACTGAAAAAATGTTTTTTTTATTTTTTCGGGGCATTTTTGGGCCCTTCAAAAATTTTTTTCTGAATTTTAACTTAATTACCCAGTAATTTGTGTTGATGATTCTGCATAGGCTATTGCATATGCCCCAGTATGAATAGCCGTTACAAGAAGATATTCATAAAAGGAACTAGTAAATATAATACCTCCATAAGCAAAAAATAGAGCAATACATGCAAGCTTTAAATTGTTGAAAGAAATTTTATTTTTAGTTTAATAAAACCTGTAATAACGTTCTTGGGCTAACATGTCTTTGTAGGAATGGTAAAATTAAGAATTGAGTGATGACTAATGACCCTCTATATTTTTAATTATTTTTAATTTCATATTTTCTTTACCCCATTGTAACCATCACTTCTGCATTTTCGCTAGTTAAATGCATATAGGAGCGAAGTACAAAATTGCGCGCAATTAATTCATAACAAACATAAGCAACAATAAGTAGGGCTCTTAGAATTAATCCTTCACGTAAAGCTTGGTTTTTTGTGACCATTGGCCAGTAATCCTGTTGACAAGGGAATTATTTTTTAAATAGTCTTTGGACTTCCAAAAATTTACCTGAGGTCTCAGTTTTGCAGTAGCAAGTTTTGGAATTGAATGGGTTGTTGGTAAAAGGAACAAAACAACAGGAATTAAAACAATAGGCATTACTCCTCCACAAATCATTTGTGAAGCTCTTAATGTTGTATAACTTGCAATTCTACTACCAACTACAAGAATTGGTTAAGATTCTTAGCAAAAGGATGGATTAATTACCTATAGGAGCAAAAAACATGGAAATAGCCTGAGGAATAGACAAAATCATTAAAGCACCCGTTCTCTCCCTTTCAGTCGTAACTGTTGCTAAATACATTTCAGCTGTGCTGTCTAGTTGATAACCAACTCGAAGAATCTGAGAATTTTTTTAGCTAGTTTTCTCTTTAAAATATCTACTTGTAATAGAAAAAACGTTATCCATGTGCGACACAATCCAAGCCCAACGAAATATATCGATGTTAAAATTGTTGAGAAAAGGAACATTATTTTTGGTCCTATCGAATCAGTCATCTATAACCTCGAATAATTTTGGGGGATTATTTTAGAACAATACCTGTCCAATTGCAAGTGAGCCTACAGCATTACAAAGACTTCCAAATGCTTAATAATATTTAAAATAATTTCACAGAGCGCGGTTGCCAAAATTTTAAAAGATCATTTGTTAATCCCTGATCTAGCTACAATTTTGTTTTACCTTGTATATAAGCCAGGTCTACAATTGACAAAGTTTCAGTAGTATCCCACTGCAGAAAAGAAATTAACGTAGTTGTCCAGTTAGTTCCAAAATGCCAAATTCCATAGATAAGACATAAAATGCCTACTGCTCTTTGATTTTTATCAAAGTGCCACATTTTTTGATTAAAAATTTATTTAATAAAAAGGATTAAATGTTGCTTTTTAATTTTTAATAAATCGAAGAAGGTGAATGGATTTGTAGAAAAGGGAAGAATTGAATAGTATTTTGGGGGAATGCTAGAAGGGGGAGGGAGGAAGGATCGACTAACTTTTTCTTTGTGTCTGACTTTGGTTGTTTTCGCGCAGGCGAGCGAATTTAGTTCATAAGATGATTTTGAAGGAATTACTTGATTTTAACCGTTTCTCCCATAAAAAAATAATTGCGCGACCGAAAAAACAAGCTATCACTCGATTGAACAGCTGTCGATCGAAGGATATTATTATTATACTAACTAATCTAGTTTTCTTTTCTTTTTTGCCCAATTTTTCTGGTTCTTTTATTATACATGAAATGATCAAATTATTTTTTCAAGTATTTTATTGCAATATATTTTTATTTGAAGAACACTTTTCTGTTAATATAATTAATTACTTGCCCTTAAATAGGATCATGTTTTACATCAATTAATTATTTATAAATTAGGGTATTTTTTAAATAAACAAAACATTTTTGTAAACAAATAATTAAATCATAGGCATATAATTTTTCTGAATATTTTTTGCCTCCCAAATTACCCATTCCAATGTTTCAGAGATATTAATTTATTTATTTTTCTTAAACTTTTTTCTGTTTAATTATGCCTATGATTTAAAAAATCCATTATTTTCTTAATCAACTCTTTCCATCGAAGCTTGCGAAATATTCCATGGCAGATTATTCGTACATTTTCCCATAAAGTTTCCATATATTTCAATTAATATAAAAGTAACTAAACAAATTCCGATATTTATATAACAAAGTAAATAAGCTTCATCATGATCAGTATAAGCACCAGTAATTAATGGAGCTAATGCTGTGGCACTAATTTGGGCTATACGATTTAATGCTGCTGATTTGCCTGCATGGGAAGCTGGCACTGATCCGAGTATCTAAATGAATATTTTTGGATATTCAAAAAGAAATAAAAGGGAATACTTGTGCAGAAAGGGGTCCCAGTGCTAGGCAAACACCGACAACCTTAAAATTTTAAAATTAAAATTTCTTTATTTTTTAATTAACTTGGAAAGGCATTCCAATAATAATTTCATCAAATTCTGTAACTTTTGTTAAATAAAAATAAGAAATAGTCATTATAACAAGCGAAAGCTGAACTATTCTTTTAGTTGTAATACTTTTTTGTAGGAGGGGTAAAAAGACAAAATTTGCAATTATTGAAGCGGCCCCGAGAAGTAAAGCCTGCAAATTTCTATCTAAGATTTTCTTAAGAATGATCCAACCAATTTAGCCATTTGAGCGGGTTGTGTAAGCATTGTGCCGGTTAAATGTAATCGAATTGTTGAGTCATAGGTATTCCATGTGCCAGAAATTAACTTGAAAATTTTTTTTTCTAAGTAAGAAACTGATATTAATTAAAGTGGGGTTTTAACAATTTCAAAGTATTCCTTTCTTTATGTTTAAAAAAATTTCTTACTAAAATGAAGAGCAGAGTAAATTTATTTCCAGGTTTTCTCAATATTTCTCCAAACATTTTAAAAATATTTGTTCCTAAATTTTAAATATTTTATTCTAATTAAAAAAATTCTCCAACCTTTTTCATTACCAAAATCATGATTTTTTGGGAAAAAGAAGAATATAATAGGTAATACTGTGAAAAAATGAAAGATTCCACATAGAGATTGAATAAAATGAAGTTGTAAATTTGTTGTATAGAAAAGCTTGAATTAAAAAAATTATGCTTTTTAATAAAAACAAAGTCTATTTTTACTTGTACAGCAATTAAAGGACCTAAAGCAAATGCAATACTTGTAGGTATTGCTGTTTGGGCCATTAAACGAGCCTTTTGTTTAACATCAGCAATTTCATTTGCCAATTGTGTAATTGTTGCATCCACAACTGTTGGCATGTGATTAAATAACATTAAAAGTTGGAAGAGAATAAAAAGATAATAATTAGTAATCCAAGAATATCCGGCTTGGAAAATACAAACAAACAGGACACTTATTAAAGCTGTCTTTCGAGAACCTATTGTGTCTATCTGAAATTATAAAATACATTTTTTGTTTCAAAATAATAATTTTACTAACCATATTAGCTACAAAAAAGGTTCCAATTAATGTAGCTACACCACCTAAAGCATTAATCATTAAAGCTTCAGAAAATTCTGGTCTAGGTTTAAGGCTCCAAAGTGAAAAAGGAAACATTACACGTGTCCATTGTTCAAAACTCGAAGAGAGACAACAAACAATTAATACTGTCCATTTTAGTTTATTTCCTCCTTTTTGTGTAAACATTTATCTGAAAAAAAGGGATTATACATATTTTAAATGTGGGTCAATTTATAAAAAAATTGAATTTTTGAGAGGCGATCGATCCTTAAATTGATTTTTTGAATTTGGGCTAAAATAAAGAGAATTTACATTTATTTTTGAAATGCATTTTAAATATTTTTATTCCTTAAATAATTTTTAATTTAAAAATTTTTTTAAATAATACCCAAAATTTTCTCCTAAATATTTCCTTTTCGAGACTAAAAATTGATTGGAAAAAATTTATTTAAAAAAAATGAGAATATTCTCAAAAAGCAATTGTTGTAAGCATTTTTGTGTTGTAGAGCGTGGCAATGATTTTCTTTCCTTTTTCTCTCATTTTTTATCGCTATAATAATAACTGCTGTACAAACACACATAAGCAAATTACACTGGCTAAATAGTTATTGGTCCAAATAAAAATTATTTTAAATTAAACTTTTAATTTAAATTTTATTTTTCAGGAGGGCTTGATGTACGAGCACAGGAGGCAGCTCTTCGAATGGGTCTCGATGTGGTAAATATTTTTAAATTTGTATTCTTACAAATGAAATTGTTAATTATTACACTCGAATCTCACTATAAGCCATTGGGGTTGGGAAATTATTATTTATTAATGAGGTGTATTTTAAATAAGGAATATCGCTTTTGCAGCTCCCCTCATCCATGGCTAACCAAATTAAAAAAATTAAAATTAGGAGTATCTCTAATTCCGTTGGTATCTTATAATCAGTCTGACAATATAGGCTTATCGAATTTTTTATTTTCTTGGAAAAATTCTCTAAAATATTCTCTTTACTGACAGGATATTTTTGGGAGCAAATATAAAATTAGTCTAAATAATTTTAAATTTTATCTAAAAAAATAATTATTTTTATTTAAACGCAAGGTAATAGCAACACCTGGACGTTTAATTGACCATTTACACAATTCACCGAATTTTTCTTTGTTGGATATTGAAGTAATTTTATTTGTTTATTCAATATAAATTGTTATTATTTTTTAAAGGTTTTAGTTCTCGATGAAGCTGATCGGATGCTTGAAGAACAATTTATGGAACAACTTAGTGAAATAATTAAATTGTGTGCTCGAAATAGACAAACAATGCTTTTCTCCGCAACACTTAGTGAAGCGGTTGAGGATTTGGCACGTCTTTCTTTGGATAAACCAATTAAATTATTTGTTAATGAAAATACTGATGTTGCTTTGAATTTACGTCAAGAATTTGTTAGAATTAGAGGAGGAAATGAAGAGGAAAATTCTCTTAGAGAGGCTATGGTTGCTGGTAAAAATTAATTCATTTTTAAACTATTTTTAAATTTCTTTAAATTTAAAAGAGAAAAATTATTCCTAATTTTCTAAAAATTTCTTTAAAAAATTAAAATAAAAAAATTTTTCCCCAAAATAAAAATTATTTTTTCCCTAAAGCTCTTGTCACTCGAAACTTTTCTGAACGAACAATTATTTTTGTTCGTACAAAACATGAATGTGAACGTTTATGTATTTTATTAGCCTTAATGGGATTAAAAACTGGACAATTACACGGAGGGCTTAATCAAGGTTTTTTTCTTTGAAGAAAAAATTTATCTAAATTAATTAATTTAATAGTTCAAAGAGTACAAGCACTTCATTCATTTAGAAAACAAATAGATGTAAAAATTCTTTGTGCTACTGATTTGGCTGCGCGTGGATTGGATATTGAAGGGGTTATGACGGTTAGTTTAATGATTTTTGACGTTAAACTCTTTTGGATTATTTTAAAATTAGGGCTGGTCACGACTAATTTTCCCACACAAGAAATTTTAGTAATAAAAATATTTTAGAATAAGTAAATTTTGCCAAAGATTTATCCAAAAATTTAAAAATTTTCCTTTTTGGAACTTTAAAATAATTTTAAAAATAAATTTTCTTTTCAAAATTTAAAGGTAATAAATATGCATATGCCAAATACAATAAAAAATTATATTCATCGAGTTGGACGAACAGCTCGTGCTGGAAAAACAGGAAGAGCAATATCAATGATTGGAGAAAATGACAGAAAACTTGCAAAAGAAATATTAAAAGAAGAAACAACAAATTCCTCAAATATAATTCAAAGAAGTATTCCTCCAGAAATTATTAATTTATTTTTAAAACAAATTAAACAATTAGAATCAAGTATAGAAAAATTAATTGAAGATGAAAAAATTGAAAAAATAATTTTACAAAAACAAGAGAAACCAATTGTTAAAACTGAGGGGGAAAATGTTGTTAATAAATTAATGAAGAGAGGAATTAAAGAAGTAATTTTTATTTAATTTAAAAATTAAAAAAGATTTTTTTTTCAGAAGAAAAAATATTTTAAATCAGATAAATGGCTAAAAGGAGGAAAAAAACAAATTGATTCAAAAAATAAACGTCCAACTAAATCAAAAGGAAGGAAACGAGAAGAAAAGAAAAATGCAAAATATGAGGAGGCCTTAAAAGGAAATAAATCAGAAAAAATATATTTGAATTTAAAAGTAAAAGGAAAACGAGAAAGTAAAAAATAAGCTTAAATATTTTTTAAAATTAATTTTTTAGAAACTTCATTTACTTCAGAAATTGCTGATATTAGCAAATTGGCAATTAAAAGACACAGGAGAGGGTAAGAAAAAGAAATTAAAAAAAATAATTTTTCCCATTAGGCCTGATGATGCAGATTTTCGAAAAATTAGAAAAGAAAGAAGAAAAAGTGGAAATGAAAAGAGAAAATAATTTTTGGAAAGAATTTAAAATAATTTTTTTGTTAAGTTTATTTAAAATTATCAAAAACAAATTTATTTAAAAATAATTTACTAATTTATTGTCTTCCTGGTGGATCTCTTTCAACTAAATCAGAATCAACAAATTTTTGTTTTGGATAAATTGAAGGCTTTTCCGGATCGTAATTTTCATGATCACATCGCCAACTTTCGGAAATATGTTTTGGGGCATATATTAGAGAAGTACATGGATGTTGGCCTTGAACTTCACAAATACATTGCTTCAAAAAAGAAAAATATTTTTGTAAATTTTAACAGAAAATAAACCCTTTGGCAATTCTCTCCAAAATCGGCTGGGTGACATTTTGCCATTTTTTCAAGCTCCTCTGCTTTTCTAACTAATGTCGATTTGCCAAGTGTTTTGCGTAGTACATCTAAATTTTGAAAACATTTTAAGTAATTATAAATATAAAAAATACCGCCTATTTCTTGATGTGTCATCCATTCCAAATCAAAGGGAACTTCTCGACCATCCCCTAAAATATTTTGAAATTAATAAAAATACTTTGAATATTCTTTTTTTATTTTTATAAAAGAAGATGAAAAGAACAGCTTGAGATGTTTAATAAATAAAAAAAGTCTGACATAAGAGAACAAACGACGATGAGATTCGAACCTTCCTTCAAAAATAAAAAACTTAGAACTCTACCACTATACCACAAACGTATAGGACCTGACTAAATTAAAACCATTTTTGTAAGAACTATTTCCACGTCGATTTTGGTTTTCATATCCTCCCTCAAAGTGCAATCCCCGCATTATTTTACCAAGTCCATTTAAAATAAAATACCCAGAAAAGCAATAGCAAACGGGGCAATGCTTATATTGTCCTGTCTAACAAATTGAATTTCTGGGTTTTTAAATAACAATTGATTCCAATGCCAATATACAAAATCACTAGCTCCTTTTTGTGCTTCATTGGGCATTTTGTGGTAAGCAATAGTAAATATCTTAACTTCATTCCGAAAAATAATTTTTCCCTTTAAAATTAATTTTTTTAATTAAGATAAAATTCAAAACCTGTTCCATATAATAATAGGTCCGCCGAAGCGGCATTACTCCTCGCATAAAAGGCATTTTGAAATTTAAAAAATTCTAAAAACTTTAAATTAATAAAAATTGGCACAATTCAAAAGATATCGATAAAGAAAAAATACTTGTCATACAATCGGACCTCTATATAAGATACGTCCAAAAGGCATCCTTATTTTGAAAAAATGGCACCCTTCTTCGAAAGGCACCCTTCGAATTTCAATTTAAGATGCACCTTTTTAGTTAGGGGGAATTGCCATACTCCCCTATTCTTTAAAATACACCACATAAACAACTTATAACTGTCAATACCAAGAATGTATCTTAAAATGAGGCTCAATTGTAATCAAATTCGTCAATAAATTTTTCAAATATTTTTTAAAAATTTTATTAAAATAAATAAACTTTTCTTTTTAATTATCTAAAAGTGTAAATTCCTCTTCATAATCATAAACAAATTGTTCAACCAAAGCTCTATCAGCTCCTTTAATTCTAATAATTCCTTTTAATTCATCGACATTTGTTGCTATTGGATAACCCAAATATTTTTCCAAATAAATACGCAAATCCCTCTCACAAGCCTTAAAAATTAAAAAAATTTAATTAAAAAATAAAAAACATACAAAAATATCCCCATAAATTTCTCTTAAAACAACAACGTCAACATGTTCAAAATCCATAGTTTTTGGATTTAATTCGTCCCTTCTTAATTCCAAAAATATTCTTGGCATATTATCAATTCCTCTTGCAATATAGTAAGGCAAATCTGGAGGATTTTCTAAAAAACAAAATCTTAAACAAAAAATTTATTTAAAAACCTCTGGGCGCTCTCCAACCACTTGGTGTAATATATCCTCCAACTTTCCTTTCAGGAACAAATTTGCGAGGAAGTAAACGCTCTACATAACTCCAATCTACTTTTACTTCACGAAAATCGCTAAATGTTTCCTCTAAAATAGATTATTAAAAAGGTTGTCCCACGAGTCAATTTTCAGCTACCCACGTAATCAGAAAATTAAAAAAACTTATTACAAAAAATTCTTACTTTTCTCCGGCAAAGCTTTATTATAGGGATCCATCCACGGCTCTTCCTCATTTTCTTCTACCGTTGTGGCAGTATTACCTGCTGCTAAATTTCGAAATAGTTGAACATTGCAACTCGAAGCATGTGAACGGCAAAATAAAGAATTACGTAAATAAAGTGAAATTAAAGTTATTCTCATTTCTGGTAATTTTTTTAAAAATAGAAAAAAATTTGAAAAATATTTTGTCACAAACAAAAAATTAAAAGATTTTTTAATAATAAATTAACATTTATTTTAATTTAAAAAATATACATTTTTCTTGCAAAAAAACTATCAAAAGGATAATTCAAAAAAATTTTACATTTTAATCACCTCCACCTTCCTCCCCTGTTTTACTGTTCACAAAGTCTTGAATAAGTTTCATCAATTCACTAAAAAAATTTCTTTTAAATATTTAATTTTTAACCAAAATTCTAACCGTTTAACTTCATCTGGAACAATTTTTCTTGAATTATCTTTTAATTCGTCTACCATCTTTTTTAATTCAATTCGTTCACATCCCTAAAATTAATAATTAAATTTTATTTTAATTAAAACAAACATTTTTTGATATATAATCTCTACACATTCCTTCCACTTGTTGTGTCCATCCAGTTTCTTCTAAACGTCTCACAACAATTTCTTCAACTCTATCTAAAAAATAAATGAATTAAGATTACCGAATTTTTTTAAAAATTTTGAGGGCACAAGACATTCCAGTCCCGATTTTTTAAAATGTTATGCCAACAAAAAAAAACTAGAAACTCTGACCACCCCCTCCCTCCCACTGACCAGCCCACACCTATAGTTGCATTTAACTAATCAGAATTCTTACCTCTTTCCCCGCTTTCCACAAACTCTTTCTCAAGCTCTTCCTTACGTTGCAATTTTTTTAAAGAATTGGTAAGAGACATATACTAAACGTTTTTCAAGATTAAACAATAAAATGCTCTAATTAAAAATTTTCTATCTAAAAAAGAATTGAATAGTCTATTCAACAATTAACAGTAAAAATAAAATTATTTTAAGCAATCTTATCAAACATCCAAAATAGCAATTTAAATTACCAAACACAAATTTTAATACTAAAATATTAAAATAGAGAACAAAATTATTTTTTTTAATCGTGAAAATCTCCTTTTCTGTTGGAAATATTGTAAAAATAAAAATAAATTGTTGTAGGAAAACGAAAAAATGCTCAAAATGAACAGTCATCTAACCATCAATATGGACGTGAACGATCTGCTCCGCCACCACCAAAACCTCCACCTCTTCCGCCCATGCGCATTGGACCACCAGCATCTCCACCACCACCGTTGTATGGTGGGGGAGGTCCACCAGGTCCTCCTTCGCCAGGTCCATCTTGTTTTGGTGCTTTACACGAATTGCATTCACGGCGAAAAGCAAAATTGATATTTCCGCAACTTAAATTTTATAAAAATATAAGTTAAACACAAAAGAAAAACTAACCCGCATGTCCAATCACCCTTTCGCATTTCGAAATTTCTTCCCTTATCACCACCACGACCTCCTCCACCACCAAAACGGCCCCCGCCGCCACCACCACCACGTCCACCTCCTCCACGGCCTCCACCACCACCGCGTCCACCTCCGCCTCCTCCACCTCTTCGTCCACCACCACGTCCTTAAATTTTGAGTTTAATATTAAAATTGAATTAAAAATTTACCTCCCCCTCCTCTATCATCACGCCCACCATATCCACCACCACCATTTCGTCCACCTCCACCTCTTCCACCACCACCGCCGGATCTTTCTCCACCTGCTTTTTCATCGAATTTTGCAAAAGATATGTTCATACAGCTATCACTTCCCGGAAATGGTTGACCTGAATTGTGAACTATACTTCAGAATGTTAGAAATAACCAAACCATTATATGTGCTCAGAACGCGTTGCGCAACAGTTTCATCACGAAATATGATTGTACATTCACCTTTTGAATGGCCTGCTTCTTTGTAGATTTTGATTTTGGGTTCTCCATTTGGTCCAACTTCAATGTCACCTTGCTCCATAGTGAAAACATCGTTAATGAATTGTTCATTCGCACTAAAATTTAGAATGAATTCAAATTAAAAAACTCAAAAATTCACTTAAAAGGAAGTCCAGAAAAGAAAAGAACATTTTTGCTCTGTTGTGGCTCTCGATCTCTATATCCTCCGCCGCCACCACCTCCTCCACTACGTCCACCACCACCACCGCCGCTTCGTCTGTCACCGCCACCTATAAAAATACAATATTTAACCAAAGTAAAAGCTTCACTTTCATTTAATTTTGAAATATTAATAGTAATGTTTGTAATTAGAAAAGAGGAATTCTGATTTCCTCAGATTATTATCGGAATTTACTCTGAAACAATACCGATCTTGCATTATTTCCTTTTATTTACCCACACGTGTTGGACCAAATAATTACCAATACAAAAAATGTCTTGGGAAACCTGTTTCAATCAGTTTCAACTCGAAACGGAATGACTCGTGATTCATAACCCTTAATACTCGAAATACTCCAAGGATTTATAAAAAATAACGCAATATCCAGTATTTATATAACACATAATTTTTAATTGAGATATTCCAATAATAAAATTCGAAATTAAATTTTGTTTTTCCCAACCCTTATTTTACCAAACAACACAAATACCTCTGTATCCTGACTGTCGGCCCGGAAAATCACCGGGTCTGAAAAGAACGCAAATCATTAAATGAATGAAAGACATAAAGCTTGAACCCCAATGTTGTACTCTTCATCTCTCTTTCACCATGGGAGCCTGTCTCTGTTTAATCAACAACTGTGTGAATGCATACCGAATTTCTGACGATAACTCTTACTCAATTTATAACCGAGTATATGCATATCAACAGTTATTGAAGATTTAAACCCTGATATAAAAACGAGTTAATTTAAACAAAATTTTACTAAACACAATGATTTTGAAGAAAAATCCCTGAAACAAAGGCAAAGAGAGAATATGTATAACCCAAAACTACTCATTGTGATAAACCGTTCAGGCTCGTAACAAGCAAAAGTACCAGGAAGTATTAATATTACATATAGAGGAAATTTATACACTTTTAACCACTCGAGAGTAAAAAATGAAGTCTATGCTACGAGCCTGTAAATTTAGGTCCGTAAAAGAAAACCTGAGAGGAATATCGATAGAATACTCAACTCCCAAATCAGTATAAAGGTATAGACCAAACACAAATTCCCAGTTTAGATAAATAAAAAAATAATTGCATACCCTCCATTATATCTGTTTCTTCCGCCACGATCTTGACGTCCCCATCCTCCACGTTGATCCATTCCATAACCGCCTCCATATGGAGGATAACCGGCAGGTGGTCCACCAACAAACGAATTCAAAGGAAGAGGTCCACCCTGAGGTGGCGGTGGTCCCCAACCACCTGGACCTCCACGTCCTTGCATTGGTGGTGCACTAGCTTGCGGTGGAGGAAAAACTGGAGCATTTCCGGCAGGAGCGCCATACTGACTACCCATAGCCATTTGAGGATTGCCATATGGATCAGGTTGAGCATACGCTTGTTGGACAGGTTGCTGCATAGACGCACCAGTTTGGTCATAGTAAGCCTTATAAGCAAAAGAACCCTTAACGTATGGATTCACAAAACTAAAAAATACCTCCTGGCCAGGTTGAACTTGTTGTACCGGAGGTGCCGCTCCACCCTGTGCATAGTATTGTTGCCAAGCCTCATATTGTTTCTGCGCCAGCTCAATTAAAGTATGTAAAAAAGAAAGATAAAAATATAAAAACCTGAGGATCAAAAGCGCCCTGAGCTTGTTGGCTCATATCAGCACCATATTGATACGCTACAAGAAAAAAGTTTTTAAAGGCCGACTAAAGATTAAAAGAACTTACTTGGTGCCGCTGACATCAAAATAATTATTTATCGTTTATTAAATCTTCTAAAATAAAAAAAGATTTGTAACAATTACTAAATTTAAAAAAAATTAGGACAAAATTAAGACAAAGAAGAAACGTGGAAGAAAAAAGATAGGATCTACAGAAGGAAAAGAAGATCTGAGATTTACAGTAAGAAAAGAAGTCAATAAAATTTGGCATTCTGTTTTTCGAATATTTTTAAATTTTATTTTTTACAATTTCGAGATGAGTTTGGCAAAAGAAAATCCTTCTAATCGAGAAATACTTCCAGATGATTTTTTTAGAAGTGCAAATGGTGCTAGGGACTTCTTTAAACGCAAAGATCGATCAAAAACTTATGATATGCCAAACGTGAATTTTTGAAAGGTTTAATTTCCTTTAAATTTTATTTTCAGGTTTCGGGTGTTAGAACACTGTCTTGGAATGTGAGCGGTACATCTTTGGCTAGTGGAGCAGATAATAAAGTTGTTTCTGTTGGTAATCTTGATCCACACTCTTGTCGCTTGGTTCTTCTTTTATCAATGTAAATAAATAAATAACTAAAAATTAAGAAGCAAGTTTTTGTTGGGTATGGACATGAGGATATTGTGGAGGCTATTGAATTCTCAAAACATAATGATATGGTAAATTAGATTGGGAATTTTAAATTTTCTTTTTCAAGCTTATGGCTTCGTGTTCTAGCGATAAATCTGTTCGTCTTTGGGATTTACGTGTGCCAGACAGTCACACAAAATTGCCTACAACAGGGTCAAATTTATTTGTAACATGGTCACATTGTGGAAATTATATTGCTTTTGGTGACAAAAATGACAATTTGGGGCTTATTGATGCTAGAGCAATGAAAATTTTGGTTCAAAATTCTTTTAAGGATGAGATTAATGAATTCCTTTGTCATCCAAGCGGACAATTTATTTTTATTGCTACTGATCAGGGAAAGTTGGAGATTTTTAGGTATATTATAAAATTCTGATTTTTCAGTTTTATTATATTTTATTTAAATTTAAATTTTTAAGTTTGCCAGCCCTTAAACGTGTTCGAACAATACAAGCTCATCCACCCCTTTCTACTTGTTTGAGTATGGATATTTCTCCAAATGAGCGTTTTCTTGTGATTGGAGCTTCTGACGCATCTTGCTCTATTTGGGAATTGAATGACCTTATTTGTATAAAAACACTTACAAGGTTGCTTAAATTTTAGGTAATAGTGTAGTTACCGGGCCCCCTTTTTTCTCCTCTAGTTCATCCTATATATTCATACAGAATGGTCAGACTTTCTTTTCTTCCCTCCCAGTTGCCTTTCTATATTTTGTTTACAAACAATCAAAAAGAATTAATTTCTTATTCAGTTTCTTCACAAGGATAAAAAAGTGACCATTCTGGATGAATATATAGGAAAGAACTAGAGGAGAAAAAAAGGGCCCGGTAACTACACTATTACCAAATTTTATTTTTGAATTATTTTTCTTAAATTTAAGGCTTGATTATCCAGTACGAAGTGTTTCGTTTAGGTTTACGAATTTTTGAAAATTTAAATTTTACCAAAATATTTTAGTCATTGTAGTAATTTGGTAGCTTCAGGAAGTGAAGACCGTGTTATTGATGTTTCGTGGCTTTTAACAGGAGAAAAGTAAATTTTTTTGAAATTATTTTTATAATTAAAAATTTTCTTATTTTCCCAGGGTTGCAGAAATACCTCTTTCTGCAGAATGTTATGACGTTTGTTGGCATCCACGTCTTTATTTACTAGCTTATGCAACGAGTACATCGAGTGGAGGATTGGACAGAGATAGAGATCAACAACCTTCATTGAGAGTTTTTGGATATTCTGGCTAATTTTGAATTTTTTTTATTTATTTTCGGAAAATAAAAATATTTTTTGTTCTTTTTTGAAGACTATAAATTATTTAATAATGATAAGTAAATATTTTTAAAAATTTTTCTGGCTGATCATATAATTTAAATCCTGACATAAGTAGATAATTTCCAGTTTTGCATTTCCCCTTTATTTTCCTTGCCCAAAAGGTGTATAACGATATTTTTATTTAAAATTAAGATTCCATACCGCTTCGAAGATTACATATTTTTTAGGTTTTAAATTTTGAATGGAACTTAATAATCAATCTAAAATTGAGTGTACTCAACACAATGAGGGAAATTTAAATAATAATCCAAATAATGAAAAGGAGGAAGAAGAGAATGTTGATGAAATGAAATATTTAAGTCAAATTAAAGAAATTATGGATAATGGTATTCTAAAGTCTGATAGAACTGGAACTGGTTTGTATTTTTTCAAAATTTTAATTTAAAATAGGATTTAGTGTTAGTGTCGGTAATTAAATCGACAACTAGATTTGGAGTTTTAAAAAAGTGATTACAATTTTTAGGTACAATTTCAATTTTTGGAATGCAGGCTCGTTACAATCTTCGAAATGGTATGGGAAATGAAAACAATTATCCACAAATAAGATCAGAATATTTGCTTGATCTTGTGGATTTTGCCTAGAAAAAATTATTTTATTATTTAGGTGTCATTCCTCTACTTACTACAAAACGTGTTTTTTGGAAAGGAATTGTTGAGGTATTTGAATTTTAAAAAATTATTAAATAAAAATATTCCCCTTTTAAAATTTTAAAGGAATTGCTTTGGTTTATTCGTGGTGAGACTAATTCTAAAACGCTTTCTGACCGAGGTGTGAAAATTTGGGATGCCAATGGTTCAAGACAATTTTTGGATTCTATTGGACATTTTGACAGGCCTGAAGGTGATTTGGGGCCAATTTACGGATTTCAGGTTTTTTCTTTAATTTTTAATTCAAAAAATTTTTAGTGGAGACATTTTGGCGCGGAATATAAAGGAATGAATGAAAATTACAAAAATGAAGGTATAGACCAATTATCTCAAGTTATCCAACAAATTAAAGAAGAACCGGATAGTAGAAGAATAATTATGTGTTCTTGGAATGTTAAAGGTTTTTTAATAAATTTTTGAAATTATTTTGAAAAACAATTTTTTAGATGTTCCTCAAATGGCTTTACCGGTTATTTAAATTTTATTTTCTTTTAATTTTCTTTTTTTTATTTCTTAAAAATTTTATTTTTAGCCCTGTCATCTCCTTTGCCAATTTTATGTAAATAAAGGTGAACTTTCTTGTCAACTTTACCAGCGTAGTGGAGATATGGTTAGAGGGGGAAATATAAAATAAATTTCAAAAATTTCATTTTCTTTTCAGGGTTTAGGCGTTCCTTTCAATATAGCCAGTTATTCATTACTTACCCATATGATCGCTCATGTAACAGGACTTAAAGCGGGTGAATTTATTCATACACTTGGTGATGCTCATATTTATTCTACACATTTAGAAGCTTTAAAAACACAAGTCTTTGTTAATTAAAAAATTAAAATAAAAAATTATTTTTTTAGTTACAAAGAAAGCCAAGACCTTTTCCCAAAATTAGGTTAGTTTGCTTTTAATCTAATTTAAACGGTTTTATTTGAAGGAAGCATATACCGTATTTCAGAAAATAGAACCCCATGGGCTCTATTTTTAGCTACCCTCCAAAGTGGGCTCTATCTAGGGTACGGTTTTATTTTCGGAAATACGTAAATTTTTTTTTATAGAATTCATAAAAATTCATTCAAATAGAGCTTTTTATTACAAATAATTTTCAATAAATTATTTTCAAAATAGATTTGAATTGCCTGATGGAAAAGAAATTTTAAATATTGAAGACTTTACAGCAGAAAGTATAATTATTGAAGGTTATAATCCTTATGGCTCAATAAAGATGCAAATGGCTCTTTAAATAAATTACGGATATTTAATCTATTATTTATTTTGGAAATTTAGAGAAGTTCAAAATTTTCATTTTGTTTTGCATTTTTTAATAAAAATATTTTTTTTAATATTTTTTATAAATTTATTTTGGAATTTCCCATTTATTTTTAAAATATTTTTTTTAATTTTTACTTTTTAAAATTTAATATGAATTTAATTAGTGAAAAACTTTTGGAATTTGACAGAAATTTAAGTGAATATTTTGCAAAAATTGGATCGAATGAAATTGGGAAGAAATTAAGAATCGAGAAAATTTGTCAAATTTTGGAATGGATTATGCATGGAATTCCGTGGATTTTAGGTGAAAATTTTTTAAAGTAATTGGCAAACCACACCCTCAAAAGTTCCTTTTCGAATTGGACTATTATGCCATTAGGAAAGGCGAGCCAATTGGTAACGAAGACCATATCCGACTTCAAAAACGACGTTTAGGTAGTTTTGATAAGGGGCGAAAGTGTTTCTAAGATGAAAAGTCAGGTTCTATATTTTAAATTAGGGTAGTACCTTTTCCCCCGAAACCCCGACTATTTTTTGGAAAAAACCCCGAGGGCTCTACCTCAGCAAACCCGGATCCTCGACGATCCTGCCCCCGAAGGCTCGAAGTGTTACCCTAGTTTAAATGGTTAAACTAGCATTTTTTCGTATCTAAAAGGGTTATTTATTTCCTTGGAAAAATTAAATTGAAAAAATTGGAGAGTTCCTTTTTTACATAAAAATTATTTTAATGTTAAGGCGTCTTTATTTTAATCATTTTGGCTCGCTATGATAATTGGTCTAATACAGAAATTGATTTTTTAAATTTATTGGCTATTGCTTTATTTTTTGATTTGGCTTTGGTGGGGATATTGAAAATAATATTTAGACGAGACAGGCCTAAATATAATAAAGGAAAGGTGAAAATATTTAATTAAAATTAAGGAAAAAATAATTTTTTTAGATAATTCTTGGTGCTCCAATTATTGATGATTTTTCTTTTCCTTCTGGACATACTTCCAGAACTATAATGCTTGTTATTATTTTTATTTGTGTTAAGGTAAGTAAAAATAATTTTAAAAATAAACGTTTAAATATTTGATGGGTGAGGGGCAACTCAAGTAATTCCAAATCTCGGAATATTTTAAGATCGGAATTTTTTGAAAAATCTGAATATTTCTAAAAAATAGAATTAAAAAAATTAGAATACTTCAAAAAACAGAATTAAAAAAAATTCTAAAAAATTTTGATTTTTAAAATATTCCATGATTTGGTCATTCCACGAGTTAGTCTTTCCTTGACTTGTCCGTTCCTTGAGTTGGCCCTACACGTATTTGATTGGTTTCGTTTATCGGCCTTCAATTTTCTCTCCTTTTTTCCTTCCCCATTTGAAATTTTGGGTTTAAAAACAAGATTTTACTCTCCAACCCAAATCTTTAGCAAAGAACTAAATTATATTCCAATTTTTACAATTTCTCTTAATTAAAATAATTTTTTAGCCAAACGAAGTATTTAAATATAATAATTATTTAAATTATTTATTTATTCTTTTTTCTTCAATTTTATTATTTTCGCGGGTATTGAGTGGAAGGCATTTCTTTTCTGATGTTATTGCTGGTATTTTTAAATTATTTTAAAATATTGGTTTTTAATATTTATTTTTTTATTTCTTAAAGGTTCTTTACTTGGTATTTTTGAAGCTATTATTATTTATTTATTTCAAAAAGAATTACAAAATAATATTAAATTAGATAAATTAATTATTTATTTTTATTCATTTTTAATATAAAAATCCAGATATAAATTTATTGTTGTAAACCAGCATTAAATATTTTAAAATATTTAAATTTAAAAATTTTGAATTTATAATTCTTAGTTTAGTTTTTTCTTCAAATTTTAATTGAAGAAAAATTACAAAAATAATATTTAATTATTTATAATTAAGCAAAATGTATTTTTATTGTATACATTTTTTTAATATTTGAACTACTCGAGAAATTTTATTTTAATACGAAAATTTAAAAAATGTAAAATTAAATTTTAATAGTAATATTTAAAAATAATAAATCTTTAATAGGAATTTTAAAAATGTGTTTCAAAAAAATAAACATATGTTTAAGTATTAAAGGAAAAAAATAACAGAAAAATTTTAAAGCCTCAATTTTTGAATGATTTAATATTAAAAATTATTTAAAAAACAAATCAAATAATTTAAAAATAAATATATACTAATTCTATTTTAATTCAATATATACATATTTTCAAATAATTCTTTATTTTTTCCAAAAAAATTTTTCTAAACAAAAGAAACCAATTTGTTATATTTTTAAAAATAAATCAGCCATAAATTCTTTTGCTAAATTTGTTAAGCTTAACGACTTTCTTCTTTTTATTTTTACTTCCTTTTTTTCTTCTTTTTGGTGGTAATGGTTGCATTTTCTCGCCCCTTGTTTTTCATCTTCATCATTTTCTTTTTGTTGAAGGGAATTAAGGGATGAATAGATTTTTTAAAGTTTTTTTACTTGAAAGGCTTAGAAAAAATTTTTTTTGCTTTTCCTTAGAAAAATATTTTTTATTTTCAAAAAATAATTTAGCCCTCGCACGAACAATTTGAGATTGATATTGTTGACACAACGAGGATCAGCAAGGATTCAGCGATTTGATTAGTGTTGTTCTCCAATTTCCCGTTCCCCCACCAGAAAAGACCTAAAACAATTTTAATATCTAAATTGATATTGTTTACACAAGAAGGATCAGCAAGGATTCAGCGAATTGATTAGTGTTTTTCTCCACCGTCTCTACCGGGAAAACCTTAAAAGACTAGGCCGATTTTTCCCATTGTTTTTTAATTTTTTAAAAATTAGTTTTACATCATTTTCTTAAATCATAAGAAACTTATTTTTAAATCTTGTATAGAAAGATAGTTTCCTCTTCTAATTTTCCCCAAATCCTCGAACAAATTTTATTAAATAAAATAAGAATATTTTTTCTTTTTTTTAATTAAATAAAATTTATTTTCTATCAATTTCTCTTTAATTGGCAATTCTGAGTGTGTTACTACATTCACTCTTTAAAAATTCACACAGATTGAATTTCTTAACTCTCATTTTCTTTTAAAAATAAACTTGGCACCAATAAACAACCTTTTCCTTCCTTTCCTTTATTTTTACTTATCCTTCCCCTTCCCCTTTTTTGTCTTAAGTACTAAATATATTTATTTGTCACCCTTTTAAGGGCTTCTCCTTTTTTCCCCAATTACTTGAACAAAAATAAAAATTTTTACTCAAAAATATATTTCCTTCCAGCTTTTTTTATTTTCCCTTTTTTTACTTATTTTTAGTTATTTTCTCAAATACTTTATTTTTTATAAAGATTTATTTTTTATATTTTAAAGCTTTTCACATTTTGCGCGGCATTTTTCCCTTTTACTTACAAACAGCATATAGTACTAGTGAGGCTCGGGAGAAGAAAAAACCCGGGAAACGGGAGTCGGGTCGGAAATGACCTCGGGAGTCGGGATCTCTCCTCGGGAGTCGGGATTTTTTAAACCAAAAACGCCTTAACATCCCCCCTTCCTCCAATAATATTTTTCTATTTAATTTCTCACACTATTTATTTACATTAAATATATTCACACAATAAAAATATTTTTTTTCTGCGCAACACCCCTCCAATTAATTTAATTTTCTCAGATTTTTTATTAGAATATATTTATTGTTTTTACACCTTTTCTTATTTGACAGGTGCTTTTTTAAAGAAAATAATTTTTTAAAAATAATTTTTAGTAATATGACTGATGAACAAAAAATGTTATTTTCTAAATATTTCTAAATTAATTAAAATTATATTTTTATTTATTTTATATTTACAACCTTTAATTAGTCCATCATTGCCAGAGTATCCGTTTATAAGGTACATAGTATTTTATAAAAAATTGGAATTTTTTAAAATGAATCAGTAGATATTTATAAAATTCAAATTTAATTTATTTTGAATAACTATAGTTGCCCACGATTTATTTTAAAAGCGAAAATTTTGCCATTTTTGGCGAAGAATTTAAGAGATACTAATAAAAATTTAAAAATTTTAGAATTCAAAAAACTCTCCCTAATAACAAAATTAGAAAACTAAAAAAGAATTAGAATCCCCCCTCCCCTCCCTCTTCTCAAAATGAAAACTAGATGTTGGGAAAGTTGATGGGATTTTTTCAGGAAGATCATCCAATTCAATCTTTTTCTATTTTCTAGGATTTTTAACTTTCCTATTTAATTATATTTATTTTAGTTGTTTTTCTTGCGCCTCTGAGGTAATTATTAAAAATGTACTATAAATATTTATTAATTTAATTAATAAAGGAATATGAAAAAATCTTTCAACGTTCCAAAAATTCAGCACTTTTTGGTCGTCCATTACTCTTTGACCGTTTATGTGATAATCGAATAGATTTAGTTTCTCTTAGTCCATCAGCATTAGTTCCTTGTGATACAGCTTGTATTAGTGTTTTAGAGCCCCAATATTTTGGAGGTTTCTTTCAAAAAATTTTTTCTCAAAAATTTAAATAAAAAAAGGTATTCAAAACGAAAGAAGGCCTTTCTCTTTTGTGAGGGGATGTGCTTCTGATATTTTTGAATTAGCTATAGCTACATCTGGTAATATTGGAGTACCTGCAGAAATTGAATATTTACATAGAGCACAAGCCTGTATTGAATTACCTATTGGGAGAATATGGCCTTTACTTGGAGGTGTAGACAATAATAATAGGTAGGGAGATAAATATATGGGAGGGGGGGGGGGAAGTTTTGATAAGGAATGATTAAAGTTGGGGAAAAGATTTTTAATTTGGACATTTACTGAGGTATATTATTATCAGATTTTACAAATCTTCATAACTTTTTCGATTTATCCAAATAATATTATTTTTTCACTCATTCCCTTGTCAATTTCATGATTTACCTTTCGCTTTTTATAGGGAAATGTAAAGTTAATTTAAATAAAAAATTTGTGATTGAAGAATTAATTTACTAATTTATTTAAAGAGAACTAGTCAGAGTTTGTAGTTGTGGTACAGATGAATGTAATAATCATGATGATGTAAATAGTGCTGAATTAAGTGGGACAATTAAAAATAATTATTTAAATATTTTATTATTTTTTGTTTTTGTAATTATTTTTTTAAATTAATTTTTGTTTGTTTTAAAAGATACATATGTATGTATATATATAACAATTAATAGATAAAGCTTAAAAAAACTACTAAATTTTATTTTATAAACAACCCAATTTCAATAATGCCACGAACTAAAAAGCGAACTAAAATTATGACAAAAATAGGCGCCTCAGATGGGCGGCGCCGAAATGTTCAAATAAAGCCTAAACCTTTGAAAGCCTAAACCTTTTGGATTGAAGACGGTTTTTCGGCGCCGTCATTTTTTGACGCAGTGTATTTTCTTGACCAAAACTGTTCTAAATTTCAAATTTTCTTAAGAAAAGAATTTAGATATGTGTGTGTTTTCAATTAAATTTTTGAAATTTTACTAAAAGTATTTGAAACAAAAAGTTTTGGGTAAAGAAAATCATTGGCGCCAAATCGGCAGCGCGCCTAGTTGTCCACTTCCGCCTCCCATACAAAACTTGGAGCGTTTTTGGGCGTAAAAACTTGAAACCAAAAGGTATAGGTTTTATGGGGTAAATCGTTTTTACCATTTCGGCGCCGACTATTTGGCGTTATTTATTTTTGAACTCTACAAATTCCAAAATTTAATGGAGTATCAAGATAAAAATTTTTTTAATAATTTTTTAAATTTATTTCTTTTATTATTAAATAAATTTGAATATCTAAAAAAACAAAAAAATAATTTATAAATTTATTTTTTTCTAAAATTTAATTCTTTTTTAATAAAATTAGTTTATTTAATAAACTATTTGTTCTGTTAATTCCAATAATATTATTAGATATTTTAGCTTCTTTATATGTTGTTCTTAAGTCTTTAAATTGTTTTGTAAAAAAGAAGTAGAGCATTGGATTAGCAAAAGAATTTATATTAAACAAAAAATTAACCAAATCTTTGGCAAAAACAAAACACTTTAAAAATTAAATTAGGATTTTTCTTTAAAATTAATTTACCGGTTCATTTCCATGTTGTCTTAAATCAAAAAATCGAATAATTAAACCACCTTTAAATTTAAATAATTATTTTTGATCTATTTGATTGAAAAATTTGAAAAAATTTAGATTGAATTTAAAAAATAGGAGGGACATATTTAAAAATACAAATATTCTATTTAATTTCTAAGGCTGTGCAATAGGCGACGTGATAATGAATAACACATCAGTCCGGTCTACTGAAGTTGCTGGTTCGCCCACAGCCGCCGATTAACCTCTTGCACTAGCTATAGGAGAGAAATAGCTATAGCCCAGCTGCTTTACTAATGTTTCGTTAACTTTAATTTTAAATTAATTTAATTTTAAACTAACCAGTATGGCATAAAAAGAATAACAAAACAATAGCAATTAATAATCTAACAGAACGTTTTTCCCTTTCCATCCGTTTTCGTTGTCCAGCAGATGCTAATCTTCTTGAAGCTTTACGGATAGATGCTAACATTCGAATATTTAATACAGAAATTAGTATTAAGGGAATCTAAATAAATTATTTTTATAAATTTAATTAGAGCATTCCTCAAAATTCCTCACGTTTAAAATAAAAGATTTGTGTTAATCTCTAGTATTTACTCGATAATTTAATGAAAGATACTAGCTACTAGAGATCGGCCTGGGGGTTCTGTACCCAGAGTCCAGGCCCAGGCATTTTTTGGCATTCCTGAGGTTTTTCCTGGGCCTGGACTACAGGCCCAGGATCCTGCCCAGGTCAATAAATCAAATCCAGAACCCAGGAACAGGCCCAGGCTTTTCAAAAATTCCGATCTCTACTATCTACTCAATCAGGTATTTTCAAGTTAACAATATACATAATTCTTAACAAAATTTATTTTAAAAATAAACTAACCAAATAAACACATACTGGATATAATACTTTATGCATCTAATTAATTTATTTTTTAATTAAAATATTAATAATTATTTATTTACCAAAAATATATATTGCTCGTTTTTAGCTAAAGCAGACCTTTCATGCCTTTAAATTTATTTAAATTTAAAAAAATAAATATTTAAATAACCATATAATAATTCTTTTCCCTCCATTATTTAATTTAATAATATTAATTGCCCATCTAAATTCAAACCAAACGGGAGAATTAAAAATTAAGGCACAAATTGGGATTAAAAATAAATAAAAATGATTTGTTGATTTAGATGAAGACATGCTAGCTAGTGGATTTAATATAGCTTTGTGACGTTGAAGAGAGATATAACACCTTTTGGAAATAATTATTTTTTAAATTTAAATTTTATTTGTAAATTAGAAGAATTAAATTACTAGCTTGATGAAATTTAGACGAGTTTATTTTGTAATTTTTAAGAAAAATGTTTACACTTGAATTCAATTTTCATAAATCTCCTTTCGAATATATTAGGAGAAAACTTTTAATATTTTTTATTTTAAAGTTATTTTTCTAAAATCGGGAATTAATTTTTAATTTTTTCTAAATTTACATAGTCCAAATAGAAGCACAATTAGCAGCCAATAAACCCCCTGCCAACCCTCCAGTAGCTAAATATGCTAGTTGAGCTACTAAACCTAATGGATCCATTTCCAAATGATCATGTAATGCAGGCAAGTACAAAACAAGCATAGAAAATATTAATTGTAACTTTTTAAAATTAAATAAAAATAAATATTTTTATTTAAATAATTACCGAATCGCAGCAACATAAAACAATTAAAACAGGTACAAGTGGATGTGATCCTTCATTACTGAAATTAAAAAACATTATTCGTTAGGGACGGATAAATAGAGATTAGGTTGTCCCTTTTGCCTTATTTACAGGGATTTGCCATATTTTTAAGCCGCTTTGCCCTATTTCGGTGTTTTGGAAGGACACCCTGATAGAGATACATATATAATTTAATTATTTAAATTTATAAGTTAATGGAGACACAAATCCTTAATTTAAGGTACTTTTTGTAATTTCATTAGCCACTGGGGATGTATCCATTTTCGAATTTAGTTTATCACGACACTAAATTTTAATTTAATTCAGCTTCCAATATCTCAAAGTCCTTTTATTTCTTTTTACATATTTATTACTTAAGTAAAGCAGCTGGGCTATAGCTATTTCTCTCCTTCAGTTAGTGCAAAAGGTTAGGCGGCTGAGAGCGAACCAGCACCTTCAGTAGAGGACTGATATGTTATTCATTATACCACGCCGCCTACTGCACAGCTTTAGGAATTAAATAGCTAACTAAGTATATGCTTTACACTTATTCATTTTTTTAACTAAAATTCAAAATTTTTAAAAACCGTTTTTGTTTAAATAATTGTAAAGCAAAAGATTCATTTCTAAAAATTGTTGTAGATGATCCAGTTATACTTTTAGTATCTAAATTAGCAATTAATTGTTGTTGGTTATTCCCTCCAAATTCAGAAAATGTTGCTGGAGAATATTTTCTTTTACTTGCAAATTCTTTTTGTTGTTTATTTAAATAATTTATATTTTTTCTTTTAAGAAAAACAAAAATACAAGAAATATTTAAAAATAAACCAAAAATACAAATTATTGGTAAAATATATAAATCCAATAATTTCCCCAATGGACGCCATGGTTGTGTTGAATTACATTTAAATAAATTATTATTATTATTAAACATTATTTTCTAAATTATTTTCTAAAATTTTTATAAAAAATTAAATTTTTAAAGATTAATTTAGGTCATCTATCTTTGTTATAAAATAAAGAAAAAGGTTAAAAAATTAAATAATTTTGGCTATTCTTTAGAAATAATCACAAAATTAATTATCAATTGCCCAACTAGATTTTAAAATTCCCTTTAAATTGTTGTGTATCTATGTAGTAAGGGGTTGTGGGCTCGAAACTTTACCTAACCGAATCAGAAAACCAAGGATTTTTCTGTTCGGTTTAAGGATATCCGAAGAGTTTCCCGCCAACCCTAATGTCTAGTATTGGATTTAATGTGGAGTCTGTTTGTAATTTGCATTTTCTCTTCAAGTTAATTTATTTTTTAATATTTTGTTGATTTTAAAATAAACAATTTTATTTTTTTATATTTCTTAAAAATTCCAAAAAATACATTTTTCAACTAAATCCCACCAATTCATCAATTTCACACAAAAATAAGAATAAAAAAACTTTCAAATTTTTAAGAAATGAAAGCTTCTCTTCAATAAAAATTTGTCGGTGGCTTAATTTAATTTTTCCTATTCTGCGCCTCCTTCAAACTAAAAGACCACCCAAAATTTTTTTGTTCTTTTAATAAAAAATAAATAAAAATAAATTTATTAAAGATTGAAACTCAGGCATTAAAAATTAATTTTAAATTAATTTTTGGGTTCTTAAATTGAATTTTGATTAATTCTACAAGGAATGCTCAATAGGGTTGTCGGTTCTGGGCCGAAACGAATCGAAGAACCGACGATTTTTCGGTTCGGTTCTTCGGTTCAGATTCGGATATCCAAAGATTTTCCAGTAACTGACAACACTAATGCTCAACTATTTACATAAAAGTCAAAGTTTTTTCAGATTATTGGATACTATTTCAAGTAGGGCTAAAAGACCCAAAACAAGTTAAAAATTAGAAAATGTAAGTAAATAATTTAATTGGGAGGATTTTTTTTGATTTTTTAATCATTTGAACAAAAAAGCAATTATTGAAAAATAAATATTTCTTAAATTTGAGAAAGGAAATTAATGAATTATGGTGAACAAAAAAAACAATAAAATATGGTATTTAATTAACAAAAAAAAATAATTAAAATTGTGACATCTCTTCCCTTTTTTTATTTTCTTTTCTGTGCTTATCAAAAATTAATAAAATTAATTAATTGACAAATATTTAAATTATAATTGAATATATTTTAATTTAAACAAAAATAATTATTTTTTAAGGAATTTTTTTGTAAAAATTTTTTATTACAATTAAAAAAAATATGTAAAAAAATTATTGTGAAATTATTAGGAAATTATTATAAGACCACACTTTTGGAAAATAAAGATAAAAAAAATTTTTGAAGGATTGTGGTGTTTCCGTCCTCTCAAAAATTTGGGGAATTTGTGACACTTTACTTAAAAAATTCCTGTACCCATCTCTAACTACCACGGAAGAACCCTCAATATATTTCAAATCATATGTAAATTGTTGTAGGCCCCTTTAATATTAAGGGAAATAGCTGACAGATAGAGGAGGTATATTTCGAGAAAAAATATTTATTAAAATATACTAACATTTAAAAAACATTTTCTATATAATTCCCAATAAATGTCAAAACTTTAAAAAAATTTCAAATTTTTCCTTTTATTTAATATATGAAATATACAATTATATTTTTATTGTTCAAAATATTAAAATCGTGTGTGGCCAATATTCCTTCCCTTTCATCAACTTTATTTCAAAAAATAACAAATCAAATTTTATTTTCTTCTTCTTCACTTTTTTTTATCCAAACAAGCCACCAAGTCCTCCCAACCCTCCATAATTCCCTCCATAATTCCCTCCTCCTTGTTGTCCACCAAGACCAAAATTTGGAAATCCATTAAAACCAGAGTTGCCATTATTACCAAGAAAAGGAATTTGACTTTTTGTAAATGAAATAAATAAAAGAAGTAAGAAAAGGTGGAAAAACAAATTAAAAATTAAATATTGTTTTGACATTTTTATTTAAAAAATTAAAATCTAAAATAAAGAAAAAATTAATTTAAGTAGACTAAATATGTAACTACCCTGGTTAATTATTGTTTCAACCTTCCGTTGGGGGGGGGGGATAATTAATCGAGAGACGCTAATTATATGAGGTTTGGAATTTGAACGTGTTTTAGGACATTCATTGGGGGCAATTATTGATTCAATCTATTGCTGAATGGGGTAATTAATGGAAATGGGGTAATTATTTGAGGGAGGGCAATTAATACAGGTTATACGATATGTATTTTTTGAGTTTTTAACAAAAAATTAACCAATTTAAATTATAAATTAATTAATTTAATTAAAAAAGTACAATTCCAATTATTTTACTTAATAATATTTTTTGAATGAATTGAATAAATGAATTGACTTTTTATTTAAATAAATTTTAAAAAGTTTAGAAAAAAATAATAAAAAAAACTTGTTTTTATAAAAAAGAAATTGAACAAAAAATATTTTCAAAAATATATGTATATTAAAATGTTTCAATTGGCGAACAATTGTTTTAAACTGAAGTAAGTCAACACGGGGGTGTACCCGTTTTCTAATTTTGTTTTAAATTTAATGAGTTTGGCCAAAAATTATTTTTTTAATTTTTTAAACAAAAAAATGGAAAAATTTAAAAATTTTTGATAAAAGTGATTGATCAGAATACATTTTTAAACTCGGTTACTCGACTTGAGGTGGTTTTAATTTTTGATCAAATGACGGTTTTATGGGGAAATTTTAAAGAAAATCATTGTTTTTTTAATTCTCAATTTTTTTATTTTTTTTTAAATCAAAAATGGAAAAATTTAAAAATTTTACTTCAAGTAGGTTCCCATAAATTTAAATTTACCTACTTGAAGTAAATTTAAAAATTTACTTCAAGTAGGTTCCCATAAATTTGGGGTTGGTTCTATTTTCTTTAAAAATAACACAAAATGTTCGTTTACAAAATCGGTCATGCCCAATTCTAATACTTAATAAACCCTAAATTTTTTAGTAAAAACAAATAAAACTTTATTTATACAAAAAACAATTTATTTAGTATTTTAATCAGACTTGGTAATGGATACGGATACAGATAATTGTAAAATGCCTGCGGATATATGCCTTTATCCTCAGTAAATATCATGATATGGATACCAAAACCCATTTACATTACCAAGTCTGATTTTAATAATTAAAGAAAAACATTTTATTTATTTAATATCTCTCAAATTTTAATTAATTAATTTTAAGCTCTTTCTCTCTTTTGTTTTTCTTCTCCTTCTTCTTTAAATATTTCTTTATTATTTTTATTTATTTCTTGATTATCAACAACAATTTTCCTTCTTTCATTTATTTTTTTAAATTTTTGTAAAATTAAATAAATTAACCAAAATATTCCAGATAAAATAAATAAAGAAATGACAAATAAACGATTTAATCTTTTTAAAAAATATTTTTTAATTTAAAAAATAAAAATTACTTAAATCCATTTTGTTCAAAAATTATTTTTGTTAAATAATAAATAATAACTCCAAATATTCTAAATAATTCTATTAAAGGTGCCCATTCACAAATATCAAAAAATGCTCCAAACATGGACACTTTTAAATTTAAAAAATTCTTTTAAAATAATATTTTAATTTATTTTTTAAGAAATGTTTTCGATTTAAAAATTGTTCAAAAATTAAATTATTTCCTAAAAGGTTTTCCTTAATTTATGAATAGATTAAATTCTGTTATTTAAATATTAAAGCCTATAGAGTAATTAAGAATAATTGTAGGATTAAAAAGAATTTTTAGTAAAATTTTAAAAAATTATTAAAAAAAATCATTTTAAAATAATATTTTAATTTATTTGCTCTATTTAAAAATGAGTAATTAGATTACTACAAGTCTTCTAATCATATATACCCCTTCGGGGGTATCTTGTGAGAGCCCCTCGATAGTAGTGGGAAATATAGTATATATATTCCGAGTCTTTATAATTGGAGTGGTCAGAGATTTGCAGTTGCCGCTGAAAGCTTTCTAAGGCTTCGGAAGTTTTTATAAATTTGAGGTTTTTCTCTAAGCAACTCCAATTTTTTATAATTTCCAAAACATACTTGTACAGATAAAAAATAAAATTTTCAATATAAAATCAATCCATCCAATTTCCAGTCTGTCATATTCAAAATGTAAAAATATGCAAAGAAGTAACAAAAAATGTCCCAAAATATAAGCTTTTAGCCAACGAGAAATTGTTGGATTATAAATAATTGGAGGTTTTTCTGGTTCTGGGACATTATATGAAGAATTACATAAAGTTGCCCAATGGAAAAATAATTTAACCTTTTTAAAATTAAATTAAAATAAAATTTTGAAATAATTAAAATATTAAGTGATTTTTTTAATTAAAAAAATTTTTTTTAATTTAGTTCTCTAGCAAATTTCGGCTTTAAACAAATCTCGATTGATGAATTTTGAGATTTTTTGAGATTTATATCGACTTTCAAAAACCCCGGTTGCCAATACTTCAATCTGGGGTAGCATCCCGCCCCCTTCGGGGCGGGAGTGTCGGGTTGCGTGGTTTACCGGGGTAGAGTTTTTGCCAAAAATTGTGGGGTCGGGGTTATGCAGGACGGGGTGCTACCTTACTTCAATCAAATATGAAATACCTAATTAAAGAATAAATGAAAGAGAATGAAACAAAAATAATTTTTACTTAGGAAAGGAATTTTTAAATTAAATAATAATTATTTTTAAATACCTTAACGCCTGGATACCAACCAGGAGGAAAATATAAAGCCTAAAAAATATTTTCTTAAATTAATTATTAATTAATTTTTGTACCTTTAATTTATCAACAAATTTTGGAAATATTTCTAAATTTTTATTTTCCTCATCTTTTTCCCTCCATTTACAAAAAAGTAATTCCCCCAAAGTATGGAATTGTAGCCATAATTGATTAAAATTATTTTCGTTTTTAATTAATCCATAAATTGGGGGATCTTCTAAACGTTCTTCTTCAAAAGTCCCAAATATTCTATCCCAAATAATTAAAACGCCTTTTAAATTATTTTTTGAGGGGAAAGAAAATTTATTAGGTAAAAAACCTCCATAATTTCTATCAATACAATAAGGATTACGTCCATGATGAACCTTTTAATTTAATTTTGAAGGGAAAATAAATAAATTAAAATACTCTATGATGTGAAGGTGTATTTAATATATAACCTAAAGGACCGAGAGAACCAAGTAACTGAAAAAGAATTATTTTTAAAAATATTGTTAGAAAAAGACAAACACTTGTATGCATCCAAAATTGAAAAATTTCAGAAAAATATCGATGAACAAGGAAAATTGGTGGGGGAATAAAGAATGCCTTTAAAAAGGAAGGGAATTTAAAAATAAATTTTAAAAATTAATTAAATAAACGAAATTTCTAATTTTATCACATTAATTGTACATATCTAAACCAAGAACGTGCCAACATAGACAATAAATTCTGGATTTTGGGAATCGGGATTCTTAACCCAAAAACGTCAAGAATTCCCTATTTTCGTGATCAAAAATCGGGACGGAACGTTCACTGATCTATTCACCCCTCAAACTATGTTATTTGAGAATTTGGAGAGAGAGGTACTGAAGGAATGAACTAAAACATCCAAGATAATTTGTAGAGCTGTCCGAGACTCTTGGTCTTGGTCTTGGAACCAAGACTTTTCTTGGTTTTTTTTCGGTCTTGGTCTTGGTCTTGGGGTGTTTGTCTTGGTCTTGTCTTGATTTTATTTTTTGGTCTTGATTTTTTGGCCTTTTTAAACCTAGTGCTTGGCCATCCAAAATCCTCAAAATTTTCGCCTGCGGCGCAGAAAATGGAAGAAATCTGGCTTCTTGAGTCCCAAAATTCAAAAAATTTTCGCCTGCGGCGCTCTCGGCCTTCATAATTCTCAAAATTTTCGCCTGCGGCGCTGGAAAATGAAGAATTCTGGCTTCTTGGTCTTCCAAAATTGTACAAATTTTCGCTGCGCGCAAAAAGATAGGGATAAAATAGAGGATGGATATCAGCAGCCACCATCACCTAATCACCCAGGCCCCCCAACTTCATACTATTCCTTTTGATCCCTCATAATCCACTTAAATTCCCCTTTAAACCTCGATATCCTCCTTAATCCAAGGGCGTAGCCAGGGGGTCGATTTCGAATGGGGGGGGGCTAACGTTGGGTATCGCCAAAATTTTGGCTTTACCTTGGCGTTCCAGACGTAAAATCCCACGACATCCCTCATAATTCACTAAATCCCACGGCAATCCCTCTTAATCCTTTGATATCACTAATATCCCGTTAATCCACCCAAATCCTCTGAAATAATAACCTATTTTATTGATTTTCCACACGAATAAATTCCCGAAATTCTTTGAATTTCGCATAAATTTTTCGAAATTATAGATAATTGTGCTGAAGTTGACTGTGATCGTATAAAATAAAAAAAAATAAACCAAAAATTTGACCTATGGGATTTAAAAATTTGGTCTTGATTTTTGGTCTTGAGTCTTGGAGTTTTGGTCTTGGTCTTGAGTCTTGGTCTTGGAAAAAATTTTGTCTTGGGTCTTGAGTCTTGAGTCTTGGAAAAATTTTGGTCTCGGACAGCTCTAATAATTTGGAATTAAAATATATATTTAAAAAAATAATTAAAAGAAGATTCGATAAATTTAAAAAAAATTATGTATTTACTAGAGTTGTTTTGAAATTTAAATTTTTGAGGGTTTTTTGTTTCGAAACAGCTCTAGTATTTACCTGTAAAATATCATAAACAGCCAATCCAACGTCCTAAAAATAAAATTTAAAAAATATTTATTTTCAATAATTTCCCAAGCCTGTATAGCAGCTTGTCTAAGTGCCGTAGATAAGTTAAAATATTGGCTAGAATGGTGAATTGTATGTAATCCCCAAAAAACGCCGGCCTCTAAACAAAATTTATTTAAAATTTTTTAATTTTCCAAAACCATGTATTGCTCTATGTCCCAAATAATAAACAAAATCTTGAGTAATTAAACAACTTTTTAAATAAAAAAATAAATTTAATTTTAATTTCAATTTAATTTACATTCCCCAAATCCAAGCAATATTTAAAGGTAATTCAATTATTCTAAAATTCTCCCAAATCCAAATATAACCAAAAATAGCAATTGCACGGCCTCCAAATCTTTTTTTTGTTGATATATTAAATTAAATAAAATTATAAAAATACTTAAAACATTGGGAAAGCATTCCAGCACAGACTGAAGTAATTGAATCATTTAAAGCAAAACTTTAAAAATTTTTATTAAAATAGGAAAAATGAAGTTAAGGTTAGTAAAAAATAAATTATGAGATTAAAGGAAAGTTTTTTTAATTTCTTCCGAAAATCTGAAAAAATAGACTCAGTGAATATATTTTTAGAAAATGAAAATTTTAATCTTTTAATTATCGTTATGGAATTGTAGAAGTATATCTAATTTGTAAGAGAGTGAAATAAAAGTTTAGCCCCGGTAACTCACAAGAGAAATAAAAGTTTAGCCCCGGTAACTCACAAGAGAACATCTTGAACGGTAACCAAAAATTTCGAAATTTTTTTGTACCATCGTTAGAGCAGGGTCGATAGCTTTTTTGGCCCTGCCCCCAAATCGAAAAGTTATAAGGCTTCAAATATGGGACTAACCTTTCTCTCTCTTACTATAATTATGCCTCTGATTTAAATATTTTAAATTTCTAACCGATCAGAATGCCCAGTAATTGTAAGAATGATAAATTCTAAAAATATTAACATCATCCACCAGGCAGAAACCTCAAAAATTAATTTTTAAAAAATATTTTTTTCTAAATTATTTTTTTTTCTAAATTTTTCTAAATTATTTTCTAAATTAATATTTTCAAATTATTTCCTTACTTGTACATTATAATTAGGGACATCATTAATATTATCAAAAGTTGATCTTAAAGCGAGGGGATATATTTTTTAATTTTTAAAAACAAACTCCCAAGGTGTTGTCAAATAAAAAATTAATCTTAAATTTGTTAAATCTAATCTTTGATAGAGACGAGAAGCTAAGGAAGTATTTGGAAATAATTGGGAAAAATTTGAAAATAAACATTCTGCCGTTGAAAATAAATTAAAAGAAGAATTATTAGAGGAATTCATGGATTTTTATTTATAAGGATATATGTGTAAATGAATGGCGAAAAAAGGAAGGAGAACACGCAAAAGTCAATGCGCAAGACGAAAAGAATTTTTTTTCGTGCTATTTTTAGATGACCACAACAAGCTATCAAAAAAACCTTTTCTTTCAAAATTTATTTTTATTAAATGTATTTTATTCTTATGTATTTTTGTTTTATTAAATCTTATCTTTAATTATTCTAGCCAGATAATAAGTAAAAAAATAGATTTATCAATACCGTAGAACCTAGAGTAATCCCCCAACGATAAGTTGAAACAATAATTCCCCAGGGTAAAGGAAATACGGCATTAACTAATCCAAAAATAACAATTATTGGTAATCTTTTCCAACTTTTCTACCTACAAACATTTTTATTTTATTTACACCAAAAAATCAAACCACTCAAAAAAACAGAATTAACATGCGCAGCTGGTAATAAAAAATCACAATTTCTTTTTTAATTCTCCGAGACAGATCTTTTATTTATTTCCTTTTTAAATTAGCGCGTCTTATAAAGCTTTTCCAGTTCCTAAAAATGAAAATCGATGCGAAAAATATTTTGAACCCTATAGGAAATCTTAAATAATTTATTAAAAAATATTCCTTAAATAAATTTATTTTTAAAAATTTCTAACAATTTTATTTTTTGTGGAGAAGTAAAAACAAATAAATTAATCAAAACAAATTTTCAATAAAATTCATCACAAATTAAATGTTCTGAAATATCATATTTAAACGGCTTATTCTCCAAATCATTCCCAAAATTAGCCTCAATTGAACAACATTTCAGCAATACATATGGGCTGTACAAGTCATTACTTTCCATTACTAATATAGCCTTACCTAGAAAATAATTTTGAAAAAATATTTTTTAATTAAATTTTTATTCAGAATTGTTTTATATTTTAAAATTGTCTTTAAAATTAAAAAAAAAATAATTTTTTTACCAATTTGTTTTCCATTTTGTGTAAAGAAAACATAAGGAAATACTTCATTTAACTTATTAGTTGAAGGATAAACTAGTCCACAACCAAAAATATCATCTTCATTCCAAGGAAGTGTTTGTGAGAGTTTAAATTCTTCATTTTTCTCATTTTTAATCATAGAAAGCCTTGCAAAATAACTAACAAATTTATTTGTACTACCATTTTGAAGACCGATATTCATCCATTTTCCATAGTTTCTTTCAATTTTACGTTTAATTTCAAAATAGAATAAAGAATAATTTAAACAATTTTGTGGTTTTTTGAATGTATTTTCAGCACAAATGAGAACAAATTCATCACTGCCTAAAAATATTTGCTAAAATTAAAATTCAATTTATTACTTCAATTACCCTTCAAACAATTAACATATTTAATATTTTCATCGCTGATTAAATTTCCGAATCCATTTCCTTCAATACAATTGCCAATAGGATTGCTTGTATTTATACATTTATTGTCACAACATTTGTATCTATTATCAAATTCGCTCCATTTATTTTTAAGTTTAACAAAATCCTTTAAAAATTTTTTTGTAAATAATTTATTCAATTATAAACTAACCGCATATATGTAAGTCAACTTATTCAATTTATTTAAAACAAGAATCTTTTTGCCAAATAAATCATTTGCCTTTTATAAATTAAATTAGATTAAACTTTACAATACATAACACTTAGGGATATGTTCAAAAGAGCTCGTCGAGCTGAGTCACTGATATCAAAATTATTAGGGCTCACAACCTTGAGCTAAATAGAAATTTCTGAAAATTTAAACCATAGGTTCTAACACGCAGAGCTGAGTACTTATCGCCGTAAAGTATCTCGAATGACCTAGTATATTCTATCCCTAATATTCCTAAGCGGTATGTATTGTAAAGATAGCCCAAGCATCAATATAATTTAAATTTTTAAGAAAAAACTAACAGTAACTACCATTAATTGGTTAACTTGAATTTTATGTTTCCTCATTTTATTTGCTCCACAATCCCCTCATTATTAACCCGTTTTGAACTTTCCAAAGACGTTTAAAGGGAAATTATAAAGTAAAAACGAGGAAATACGATCTTTAGAACTCAATTAGTGTACGACACTGTCGGCAGTACCGGTATTAACTTCGGTAATACCGGAACCGTACGTTACTTGTTTTACTTCTCGGTACTATTGGCACGGAAAAAATTCATTTGTCAAGTCAAATACTACACTTAATTAATATTTTTATTTACCATTTTAATTTCTTCCTCCAAAAAATTAATTTTCTCGTCTTTTTTCTTTAAACAGGCATCATAATCATCTTTTGCTTGTTTAATATTTTCTTCAATTAATTTTTTAAAATCTTGTCTCATTTCTCTAATATTATTTTGATTGTCAGAAGCTATCTGTAAAATTTACAAAATTATATATTGAGTTATTTAACAAATAAAAATACCGAACCAATATGAAAAACCGGAGATTTTAGTTTCGGTTAACCGAAGGATTTGGCCCCAGTCGGGACAAAAATTAAAACTTTAAAATTTGAGCTTTAACTAACAAAACGAGAAAATGTAAGTATTATTTACCTACCCCATAATTTAAACCCCATAAAAATTCAAAAACTCAATGACCGTACAGAGTATTTTTTATTTACCTTTTTAATTTCTTCCTCCAAAAAATTAATTTTCTCGTCTTTCTGCCTTAAAGAAACATCATATTCAGTTTTTAATTGTTTATTTTCTTCAATTAATTTCTGAAAATATTGCCTCATTTCTTCAAGTTCATTTTTGTGATCAAGATTAATTTGAAGAATTTTCTAAAATTATTTTTACAAAATTTATTAGAAAAATAACAAACTTTATCCATTTCCTTCAATTCAGTTTCTAAATTAACAGTCTTTTCCTTCTCTTCACCAAGATTTTTTTGAAGTTTGTCAAAATTAGTTTGAAGTTTTTCCAAATCATTTTTCTCTTTTTCAACCAAAATCCAATCAGAATTCGATAATCCTTCTTCAGCCATTTTCTAGAGAATTTCCTAAGGTTTTAAAGGCTAAATAAATTAAAATAATAATTTTAATTAATTTTTTTGGAACTTAAAACAATAATTAAATAGTCAGATAAGTTTAACTAAATTTACAGAATTGTGGATTGAAAAAAAATTTATTTTTAAAAATTTCTAACTATTTTATTTTTTTCTTAAAAATTACAAAAATATATTAATTTACATAACGTAAATCCTCTAATAGAAGCACACCTACGAGAGAATCGAAAAATAGGAGCACTGGCATCAATTAGAGGATTTAAGGTACTATTTATATAAGGCAATATTATCATCATTATTATGTAATCTTCCTCTCTCTTTTCTTTTTACAATTTTAATTTTTATATTCATCATCTATAAATTTAGCAATTGTATTTAACTGAATATTTGAAGTTCCTTCATATATTGTTCCTTTAAAAATAATTTTTTTCTAAAAATATTTTATTTTTCTCTTTACCAATTTTACAGTCTCTATAAAATTTTTCAATTGGAAATTCTTTTGTAAATCCAACCCCTCCCAACAATTCCACACATTTGCTTGTAACTTTTGTGGCAACATTTGAAGAATATAATTTAGCTATAGATGCTTCTTTTATAAAAGATTGATTAGCCTCTGCTAAACGAGCAGCATTATAAACTAAAAGACGAGTTGCTTCTATTTCACAGGCTAAATCTGCCAATTGATGTTGAACACTCTTTTAAATTTATTTAAATTATTTTGATTTAAAAATTTTAAATTTTTATGAGAGAATCTAATAGTAGAATTGAACGAAAAAAAAAATTTTTTTAATGAGGCGAGAGACCGGAAACTAAAAAACAAGAATTGGTTGGAAAAAAGTGTACAAGGGACCCCGCCGAGAAAAACAAACAAAATTCCTAAGTTCGTGATTCCCGGCAAAAATAAATTTCCCTATTTCGGCAAATCGGGTCGGCAAGATCCCTTATGTGTCCGCCCCGATACCCAGCAGAAAGTGGAATAAAATATTTTTTATTCAAAAATAACGATAAAAAATAAAGAAATATAAATTTTCTCTCAAAAAAACAAAATTATTAAAAAATGTAAAAAGTTGAACATTTTTTAACAAATATCTGACAATTTTTGAATAACAAAAATATTTTTTTCAAAATTTTTAAAAGAATTCAATTACCTGAAAATCAATAATTCTTTTCCCAAATTGTTTTCTTTCTTGTAAATAAGGAACAGTCAAATCAAAACATCCAGCAGCCAAACCAAGCATTTGGGCACCAATTCCGATTCGACCTTTTTTAGAAAATTAAATTTAAAAATATTTTCTGATTAATTTACCAGCATTTAAACAATTAATTGCCATTTTATAGCCTAAAAATAATTTTTAAAAAATTAAATTAAAATAAAAAAACCTTTTCCATATTCTCCAAGAATTGAACTTTTCGGAACTCTAACCTCATCAAAATGGACTGGACATGTTGAACTTGCCCGAATTCCTAATTTGTCTTCATGACGGGCAACAGTTAGACCTTTATAACAAAAATTTTTTAAATTTCCCAAAAAAAAAACCAGGAGAATATCTATCAACCAAAAAACAAGTAATTCCTTTATATCCTTTTGTAGGATCGGCATTAGCCATAACCTTTTTAAAAATATTTTTAATAAAATTAAAAAATTTTTACCAAAAAGAATTTTGCGTGTCCAGCATTAGTTATCCACATTTTTGTGCCAGAAATTAAAAAATCATCCCCTTTTGGCACAGCAACGGTTTTTAATGCAAAAGCATCAGAACCACTTCCAACTTCGGATAAACAAAAAGATCCAACCTTTAAAATAATTTTTCAAAAATCTTCAATTAATTTTTAAATAAAAACATGACTTTTTTAAAATTTTACCCAATCTGTGCATATTCTAGGTAAATATTTCTTTTTCTGTTCCTCATTCCCAAATTCAGATATTATAGAGGCCACTAATGTATTTTGAACTTCCACAAGTACAGCAACAGAAGGGTCCTTTAAAATTAAAAAGAATATTTTTAAACAAAAAAAATCAAAAGAAAAACCCCTCACCACTTTAGCCAATTGTTCAATTACAAGAATAAGATTAAAAAAAGTTGATTCTGGCCCTCCATATTTTTGTTCAATTTCAATTCCCATCAACTAAAAAAAATTAAAAATTATTTTAAAATTGTTTAATATTTTCTAAACTCCATTAGAAAAAGTTCCATCAATAACTTTTTTGTCCATTTTTGAATTTTCATCCATTTCTCTCACAAGCGGTTTAATTACATTATTAGAAAAATTCTTAACTTTAAAAGGAAAATTAATTTTTATTTGAAGAAAAAAAAAAGAAAAAAATACCAGAATCTTGAAAAGCAACTTCTTCTTCGCTTAATTGAGTTAAAGGGGATGCTTCCACATTTGAACGAAATGTATTGGTTTGTGTAGCTGAAGAAAATAATCCGCGAAACTGGCCAAGTCCAAAACGATTTATTTGTCGTAAAATCATTTTTTAGAAAATATTTAAAAGCTAAAATTATTTTTTAAAGAAATAAGGACTCAAATGGAAGGAAATTGTAATGATTAATTAATTACTAATTATTGTCTCAAAAATGTACTACTAATTATTTCCTATTCAAAAAATTTCACAAAAAAAAAAGAAAATTCCTGAGATAACAAAAATTCCACTAATTTTGAATGAATGGCTAGACCTTTTAATACCTATTGATTTCTAATATATAAATATAAAATTCCTAATTTATCAGTGCAAAACATTTTTAACGGGCCACAATTTCTTCATTTCGATAAAATTTTTTATGAACTAAACAAAAAATTTTACTTGTAAAGACGAACATGTAGTGCTTATTTAATGCTTTCTTAAATTGTTTTCCAACATTCGTATTCCTAATTTTTTTACTTAACTCAAGTTAGAAAACAAGGAACGGCATCTTTAGGCAAATTTATCGAGATTTGTTTTGTTTGAATTTTTTTTCTGCATTACGCCAAAAAAATATTACATTATGCCAAGGATTCTAACACAAATTGTCGCAAATTTTAATTTTTTTCATGAATTTGTGGTTCTGTAAGCTTCTTTAATCTCATTAAATTGTTCCTATTGTTGTAATCTTTCCATGAATTTTTGTATGTTCATATTAAAATCCCCTTTCCTTTCCTGTCTCTACACAACCTCTTGTGTGCGTTTGTGGAATTTTCAGCTGGTATAAATCATGATAAAAGAGGAAAAATGATAAAAAAATTCTATTTTATGTACCCATCCGTTCGTAATTGATATGTTAAATATTTCCAATTTTCTTATTGCCAGGTGTAAGCGATGACATTTTCTTTTACGAAGAGCATCGCCGACAGATAGGGGTCTTTGAAATCAAAGCGCGATAGATTGTTGCCAAATATAGTATTCTCCTCTTTTCTCCTTTTTTTCATTTTCTTTTCCATACATCAAGCAAAAAGCAAATTCTTTTCTAACCGCTGAATGAATTGATCAAAAAATCATTAATTATATGCAGGTTTTCCCCCATATTTATTTTTTCCTCTATGTACATAGTCGTCCAACTACTTAATTTATTAAATTGTAATAACGCACAATTTTTTTTATTAAATCCTTCAAAACACGAAAACCATAAAAGTTATTAGCTTAATTGAGTACATTCTCTATACTTTGTATTTTTTTCCCTTTAACTGTCCTTCTCTTTAAGCAGAACCATGTTAAGGAATTAACACTTATTTAGGGGTTTGGCTTGGTTGAGTTTTTCCTTTCAATCCTTTTCTGCACCTGCAATCGATCAATATAAACATTGTTTATTACATAAGAGGCAACTAAGGACTGTACACCACACAAAAATGGCCAACATTTTATTTATAGTTGAGAATGACTGCGATTAAATTGTAAAACTAGGACTTCGATAAAAATATTCTTCTTTTTACAGTTGTCCTATTTTATAAATATTTATTTATTGCATATTTAATTTCTTTCAAAATCAAGTAATTATGTCAAAAAATCCGGTGAGTCATCCAAAAATTTAAAAGATTAAAGATTATTTTTTTAGATAAATGTCCGCGTTATTACTATGGATGCGGGTTTTTTAAAGATTTTTAGAAATTTATTTTTGTTTTCTTTTAGAACTTGAATTTTCCATTCAATCTTCAACATCTGGAAAACAGTTATTTGATCAGGTTGTGAAAACAATAAATCTTCGCGAGATTTGGTATTTTGGTCTTCAATATACGGATAACAAGGGATTCTCTACTTGGCTCAAACTTAACAAAGTTTCTTTAACTTTAAGCTTTAAATTTAATTTTTTAAATTCAGAAAGTGCTCAAGCAGGATGTGAAGAAGGAACCAATTTTGCAATTCAAGTTCCGTGCCAAGTTTTATCCAGAAGATGTTGCTGAGGAAATTATTCAGGATGTTACTTTGGTTATTAAAATTATTTTTTTAAATAAATTTCTCCAAATTTAGCGTCTTTTCTATTTGCAAGTTAAAGATTTAATTCTTTCTGATGAAGTTTATTGTCCGCCAGACCAGGCTGTTCTTCTTGCCTCGTATGCTATGCAAGCGAAATATGGCGATTATCTTAAAGTTTAAAAATTATTTTGTTTTTTAAGTAAATTTTTTTTATTTAGGATAAGCATTTGCCTGGAACTTTGGCAAATGATCGTTTACTTCCTCAACGTGTGCTTAATCAAGTATTTTTCGATTAAAAAATCTTTATTTAATTCTTCTTTCAATTAAAAGTTTAAAATGAATATAAATGAATGGGAGCATCGTGTAATGAATTGGTGGCAGGACCATCGAGGAATGAACAGAGAAACTGCAATGATCGAGTATCTTAAAATTGCTCAAGATTTGGATATGTATGGAGTTAATGTGAGGGAATTCTTCAATTTCTTAAATTATATTTCATTTAGTATTTTGAAATTCGAAACAAAAAAGACACTGAATTGTATCTTGGAGTTGATTCTCTTGGACTCAATATTTATGACAAGGCGGATAAATTAAGTCCAAAAGTGGGCTTTCCATGGTCTGAAATTCGAAATATTTCTTTTAATGATAAAAAGTTTGTGATTAAACCAGTGGATAAGAAATCACAGGTTTGTTATGATTTTTTGACTAAAAATCTTTTTTAATTTAGGACTTTGTTTTTTATGCTCCTCGTTTACGAATCAACAAAAGAATTTTGGTAATTTTATCAAAATATTTTTTTATTTTTCTTTCAAGGCTCTTTGCATGGGAAATCATGAGCTTTATATGCGACGTCGAAAACCTGATTCTATTGAAGTTCAGCAAATGAAGCAACAAGCAAAAGAAGAACGAATTCAACGACAAATGGAACAAGAAAGGTTTTTAACATTTTAATAAAATTTGAAATAAAATTAAAAAATCAGGCTTCAAAAAGAAATGAAGGCTCGTGAAGCTGCTGAACAGAAACAGCTTGAGTATAAAGCGAAAATGTTGAGTATGCAAGATGAGATGGAGCAGACACATAAAGAATTGGAAGCAGCTCAGGATCGTATTCGTCGTTTGGAGGATGAACTTTATGAATTAAATCAGGTCCTGAAATTTTTCACTACAAATCATTTTTTCCTGTTTTTTGTCCTCAAGTGCCTTAATATTTTCAACAATTTTCCTTTTACAAATAAAAACAATTTTTAGGCAAAACGTCTTTTGGAACAAAAGGAAGAAGAATTGCATGAACTTAACAGACAAATGCAATCTGAACGAGCGGTTTGATTTTATTAAAATTTAACAATAAATAATATTTAATTAGATGAGTACTGAGGAACGTAATCGTCTTCTTAGAGAAATTGCTGCACAAGAGAATCAGGTTACGGCAATGCGCTCGGAAGTCCAAATTAAAACTGATAAGATGAATAAACTCAAAGAAGAAGTTGAAAAAGGTCAAAATAAGAAATTTGTTCCAAATACTGCGGTTACTCATGTCCACACAGGAATTTATGACAATAATGCGAATGGAGGAAATGGACATTTGCCTAGAGAGTTTAACGATCCGGGGGATTTGACTAATGCACACGTTGGTTAGAGTTTTTAATTTTTTAACGAATCTAAAATATGTTGAATATTTCATTTTTAAGAGTTGACATATGAAGTGGAGGAGAATAATTATCCTCAAAGAGAGTTGGATCGGCAAAATGTTACTGATCAGAATCAGTCATTGAAGAAAAAGCTTGAGGTTTTGTTTTTTTGGTTTGATATACTTTATATCTATTTTTAGATGCTTACAAAGGAGCTGGATAATGCTAGGAACCAGCAGGCAATTACTGATTTTGACATTCTTCACATGGAGAATAGGGTAAATTTTTATAAAGAATCATGTAAAATATCATTCTGTTTTTAGCGGCAAGGACGGGACAGATACAAAACTCTGCGTCAGATCCGCTGTGGTAACACAAAGAGGCGCATTGACCAATATGAAAATATGTGAAGAGGATATAAGGTAAAATGGCGGCGCTCTGAAGATTTTTTATAAGTTTGGATGTTAAATGAGATTGGACTAGATCGACAACATTTCCGATTTGTGAATGTTAATTATATACATTGTTTACATTTATGGCAATTTTGGGAATTTAGGTCTGTTTATTTAATTTATGTGTTTAGGTTTAATTGGAAATAATTTTTAAAATTATATTAAAAAATATTTATAGACCTAAATTGTTATAAATCCAAATTTTATTTTTTGTGACCCGAATTTTCTTTAAAATTAAAATATAAAATAATTTGAGGATTATAAGGGTTGCCGCCCTATTTAAGCGAATTTCTATTAAAAATGCTCTTAATTTTTTGGCGGTAGCCCAGAAGTAGCTGACAAACTTATTTTTAGTAAAATTCTTTATGCTGTAATTTTCTATTTGGAAGCTACTCCTATGACTTTTTAGGTCAAAATGCTCTTCATTAAATTTTTAAAGCATGAGTTTTGTTTGTTTATCGCCTTATTTTTGTTTTGTTATATTTTAAAAGTCATGGAAAATTCTAAAAAAATTATTTAAAGAAATTCAACTAAAAATAAACGTTTATTTCTCATGACTTACAAAAACCACAAATCTAAATATATCAATTTCCGTTCATTCCGTTTTGCGTCTCACTTAAAAATATGTACACATTTATTTCAGTTTAACTCTTCACCAAAAATATTTTAAGAAAACCCCCTATTTTGCCTTTTAGCACTCATATCTTTTAACTTGCCCGCAGACATAAATTAAAAAAAACTTAAAAAATAAATTCAGATATCCAACTTTTCATTTAAAGAAAAAGATTTTTCGATTGTCCTTATTTTTATATAAAGATTTAAAAGTTTATTGTTTTAATTTTTAAATTTTTAGGTATTTATTCAAAGCTAGAAAATTATTTTTTTATAATCAAGCAAATTATTTATTTTTACATTGAATAATTTCCCTAATGGGCCTAGAGTATATCAAAAAAAATTTAGAGAAAAATGAGGGGTTTTGTTAAAACTATTGCTTTGGATAATCATTGATGTTTTGCTTATATTTCAAAATAATTTCTAATCAAAAATTAAGAAAAGCAAAACTTCAAGATTATCCAGGCCAAAAAGTATTAATTCTGAGGGTTATAATGATAGAGGCAAAATCTATAATAGAATTGGACAAAACTGGGCTGATCTTCTAATTATTTTACTAAAGACATTTAATAGCGAAATAAAATTCTAGTCTTTTAAAAAAAGTTTTGTCCAATTTATTGCTAGCTACATTTTTATAATCTCAAAACTTTAAAATATTGGAGTAAAGTAATTGAATCTAGAAATTACAAAAAGAAATTATGAGGTTAAGAGATTCTGCATTTTACTTTAAAGAATTTTCTAATTTTCTCTTTTTTCCTTTCACCGGCGCTGTTTTTGTTCTCCTCTTTCAACTCTCATTCTTTTTGTATTTTCCTGTGTATCATTTTCAATTATAATTTCTTCAGAAGAGTTTTGTTGCTGTTGTCTTCGTTTACAATCTTGTCTATTCCTTCGGTCATCCCCTTCATTTTCTCCATCATAAAAATCACCTGGATGTGCTATCATTCTGTCTGTGATTGCTCCTACAAAATTTTCAAATCAAAATTTTAAATAATTCAAAAAAATACTTGTAAGACGTTTATCTGGATCTGCTTGATCAATTTCTAATGTTTCATCAAATTGTATATAATCATTTGGAATTGCTATAAAATAATGGGAGGATAAAAAAATTTTGGGTAAAAATACCTTGCATTTGAACACTGGGAACTGGAGGTAGTTTACTAAGGCTTTCCAACACTTCTTGCCTGAAATTAAATTATCAGCAATTAAATAAGTATTAATAATGGAGCAGGGACCGGTCGGGTTACCCGATACATGGTCTTTTTTATCTGACAATGAATCCCGATCCGAAGAAAAATGTTAAAATCTGGCCCGCTTTTTTAAAACCCTGGTATAGATGTGAATAAGAATTTTCTTCAAAACTATTTTTAAAAACTTACATAACAGACTGAAGATATTCTGGAGTATTATCATTTGGAACATTTGATGCATCAATATGTAGTCTATACAAAATTAATTTTTTGAAATCTTTTTAAAATTACCTATAATTTGGTGCAAAATATTCAAAATAATCGTTGAAGGGAATTTCTAAGAAATAAAAATAATTTAAAAACGGAAATAAAAAAACCATCAGGAATGTCTATATTTACAGCTAATGAGGTTTCATAAGTCCAACATCGTGCAACATTTTTTGGTGTGTATCTAGAAAAATTTATGTTAAGGTTAGGTAGAGCGCGCGGAAAATAATTTATTAATTAAAAAAATCATCAATTTTTAAATAAAAAATTTAAAAATTATAATTTCCTTACCCTCCACCACCAAGAAGCATTAAAGGTACATTATACTCCCGCATAAATTCCACACATTTTCCATGCCCTCTTAAAGTTAAATTAAACGGCCCAAGTCTATCACCATTTAAAGAATCAGCTCCGCATTGAAGTACAACAGCCCCAGGTTGAAATACTTCCATTACTTTTTTCATTATCTTCAAAAAAATTTGGATTAAATTAATTTAGAGACTAACAGGAGTGTATATTTGTTGATAAGCTTGGTCTGTCATTCCATCTTTTAAAGGGACATTAACTGCATAATAACGACCTTTACCGGCACCAACGTCCTAAAAATATTTTTTTAAATAAATTCTAGATAATTTTAAGGAACCTTTAATTCTCCTGTCCCAGGAAAGAAATCTCCATATTTGTGAAAAGAAACAGTCATAACTCGATCTGTGGTGAAAAAAGCTTCTTCGACACCTAAAAAATTAAATAAGATTTTTAAATTTAAATTAAAACCATCTCCGTGATGAACATCAATATCGACATACAAAACTCTAAAGATAGACTTGAAAAAATAAAATTAAAAATTACCTCTTGTGGTATTTCAAAAGCTCCAAAATTCCCAAAACAATATCATTTGTATAGCAAAAACCAGAAGCCTCTAAAATTAAAAAAGGATAAAATTTACAAAAATTGTTACCAGATTTCTTTGCATGATGTAGACCACCCATCCAATTTATCGCAATATCAGCCTTTTGTTTATTCAATTTAACGGCAGCAGCTTAAATAAAAAAATAAATTTAGAGGTCGGTTCGCTCTATTCCAAAAAATTTTTATGGGGATAGGAAGCCAGTCACCAAAACCATCATTAGTTCTAGAAAGAAGTACGGATACTTATAGCCAGAGTAATGTTTGCACCACATCTTTCTGACCGTTTTTAAGATTTTGAGGAAAGAAAAAAAGGGGGCGAAGTATAATTTTACCGTTTCCTTTTAGACTGACCCGGCCGAATTTTCAGGGCTAAAACCTCGAACCCCCGGAAAAACGAATTTTATCAAAATATCCAGTTTCCGTGCCCGAAAAATCCATTACCTATATCGAACTCTAAAAAAGCTATATTTTAATTACCAAGCGATCCACCACTAGATAATTGACAAAATTCAAATAATCCATCAAAAACGGGACAATCCTCTCCAACATTAACTTTAAAAAATTAGAATTTTTAAGATTTCAATAAAACAAAAAACATTTAAGCATTTGTTTATTGTATTGTTTCAAATTCTCTGGTGTTGCTTTTCTCAAAAAATCCATATAATCTTCACCATGAAATCGTGTCATTTCCTCAAATGTTGCTGGGAATGGCCTCTAAAATTTTTCAAAAAAAATTTTCAGAAAAAATTCTAAACAAACATAAACATCCAAATATCGATAAATTCCATAATTTAAAAGTAAATGGTGTGTCATTCGAATTCGATGAGGTTTCATAACATGTCCTTGTCCGTAATAATAATTACCGACATTACAATCGTAGTAATAGGCAACCTAATATTTTTAAAAATTAATTTTAAAAATTAATTTTACTCTTTTTCTGTAATGATCCTGTACAGCTGGCATTTTTTCGTTGAAATTAAAATATAAAAATTTTTTTATTTATAAGCTCTAAATTTCCATATTTTAATACAAAAAGACAAAGAAATTTTCAATGCAAACACGTGAATGAATTAAGAATAGTCAAGTCTGGAATAAATTCGATAAGTTAACAATAAAACGAGAAAAGTATAAAAAGAGAAGAGAGCAGAGAGAAAAACAAATTTTTAGCACTATTTAATACATTTAAATTTAACAAAAGAATGAACTTTAACTTATAGTAAAGGTCACGTTTTGCGTTATGAACTAGATTATGACCTCATTTTTACCGATGGCGACTAAATATTTCCTAGTTTTTTGAAATGATACAAATTTAAAAAACGGGTGTCTGGTCTTTGTCTGGTCTTTATCAGCTTTAGAACCAATCTCCTTAGCTCGATGAGAGGAATAGTTTAATATTAAATTTGGTACGATTGGGAAATCTTGAAGGAAGTTATGGCTTTGCGCCATTACCGGGCGCCATTTTGGGCGTGTCCCTAAAGGACAGCAAAATAGGTTTATTAAAATTATAGAGACCACCTCCTATTTTGTAAATCGCAAGCAAAACTTTTCTGTCCTATTTGAGAAAATTAATTTAAATTCCAAATAATATCAATTTTCTTCTTTATAACACAAAATATTATATAAAAATATTTGTCTAAAAATGTAAATTTACAATAAAAATTGTTATTCTTCTTCCCACATTTCCATTTCCTCTAGATTATCGTTTATTTCCGGAATTTCTTCATCTACTACTTCCTCATTTTTAATTATTAATTCACCTCTGCGAGCTTTTCTGGATAAAGAATAATATTGATTTGGATGTGTTATCAATTCTTCCAAGTCTGGGATTTTATGCACAAATTCAAAATATTTTGTACATGCCTAAAATGTGATTACAAAAAAGAAACGCTTTTAATTTTTACTTTATCATAACGATGACATTTTGAGGAATACATTATTTCTGCAACTTGATCCTCATTAAATCCAATATTATTTAATTTTTTAGTTAATAATTCAGATTCCATATGTCTAAAAGGACATCCATGACAATCTATTCCATTTGGCGCTGCTCCAAGAATTATTGAAGAACATGAAAGCGGCTTTTTGTCAATTCTATTTCCTTCCATTCCATACATATGACGAATATTGTAGCGATATTGTTTAGTGAATTGATCACCGTCCATTCTCTTTGTAAACTCGGAACGGAAAAAATCGAGTGCTCCTTCCAATGAAAGCCCAATCCCCTGAAATTTGAATCATTTAGGATGGAAGAATGTATCCAAGAGTGTAAATATACCTTTAAGAAAAGACCATATTGATTACGAGCATTGTACCGAAGGTGATGTTCTTTACGTAAATGAGAATGAATTTCTTGCATGCAAAGTGGAAATGATTCAATAGCTAAAGTATCTAAATCTTCTGGAGCGACAGAAGAACCAGAGCTCTGATCCCTATAAATAAAAAAAGAATTATAAATTATTTAAATTTAAACAAACCGATTTCCAAGTTTAGAAATACCAGTGCCAACAATATGTCTCAACAACGGAACTAATCTTTGTTGCATCAAAATTGCACCAACTTTTTTGCGAGCATTATCAAGTGACGAATTAATATTTTCTTTAAATTGTGGTGCCACCAAAGAGATCAATTCATTACTGCTAATATATGCAAGACCCTCTTTGAGATAGAGACGATGACCGGCAAAAAGGTCAATAACATCCCAACAGTTCACCAAAAAAGTGAAAAAAATTATAAAAAAGAATATTAAACAAACTTTAAATATAGCCGATTTGGGTAAAGAATCTTGAGGTATTGTAAGAGCTTGAGAGAGATCTTTCAGCATTTTACTTTTTTCATTTTCGTTCACCTATGAAAATATTTTTTAACTTCAATTAAAATAACCAAACCTCTTGTGGATTTATATTGTTTGCTTTTAAAAATTGTAACATTTTACTTGGAGCTTCTAATTGAAATCTCATTCGAAATAATTCAGTTTCCTGTTTAACAAACCATTGAGACATTTCTTGAGATTGGCAAAATGCAAGGCGTAATATAAAATGAGCTATTCTATCTTTTCGACGCGCTTCACGGAGCTGGCTAGAAAGCAATCCATTGGTGAAAAACGGCTCAATTCGTCCAACTTCCTAAAAATTTTGTTAAATAATTTTTAAATGATCACTTTACCTCAATAAATTGTTCCATATATTTTCTGGGATCTGCTGCATATTTTTCTTTTAACGACTCCAATTCTCGTAAGACATTCATTCTCTCCATTCCCAATTTTTGAAATTCTTCAACAGTTATAACTTCAGAAGGTGGCTGGTTGTAAAAACTCAAATTGTAATTATCAGTTTCGTCTACCACAATTGTTACATGTTGGATGTTACTTGAATCTTGTAAAACGTTAGAAGTATCTTGTTTTTTGTTAGTACGTCGAATGACTGAGCGACTTCCAAATTCCATTCTTAATAACAAAATAAATCAAAAATTTGTAGAATAACTTTACAAAATATATCTAGAGTTTAAACTCAAGATGAAAACAAAATATTTATTTTATTTAAAATGTAAAAATTATCAAAATATTAAAACAAAAATTAATAAATTAAGCAATTGTTTTGACAATAATTTTCCGTTGGGCATCAAAATTGAATTTATTGTAAATAAATTGTTTGCTTTTAAAGAATGCTCTTACTGCAACTGCATCAATTCGTAATTGACGAGCCTATTAATTAAAATAAAAATAATAGAAAACAAAATTTAACCTTTTCAACTAAATCCTCTTCTGAAACAGAAATTGTGTCAATACCAATATCTTCTGAAGCAGAACCTCCATGTCTAGCTCTTTCATAAACAATTTGTTCATTCACCAACTGTTTAAGTGTAAATAATAACAATTCGTTATTATCTCTCTTATAGCTCAATTGCTTCCAAAACTTCTAAATTTAATAAACTTTCAGCAAAGCTTATAAAAAATTAGTTACCTTCTTCATGTGTTGCATAACGGAAGCCTTTAAAATAAAAAATTATAATAAAAAATTGAATAATACAAACCTTTTGCGTGTTAATAAAACATTGTAGCATTACTTTTGTAGCAAAGGCAACATCATTTTCATCCACGTAAGTACGTAAATGTATTTTGGCATTTGCTTCAGCCATTCTAATCATTGACTCAACATTTCGAATTGTAATAACCATAGAGCCAGTCTCCTAAAAAGTAAATTGAAAAGATTTTTAAAAAATATGTAACCCCAGATTCCTTGCGCAAATCGCTATATAAACGAGAAATCCTTTCATCATCAATATTTAAAACTGGGTGAATGTGTTCACGTGCGTAAATTATGTATTTTCGAAGAAGAGAATGTGGAATGAGTTCAAGGCCGGTTGAAGGATCAATTTCCTAAATTTAAACAATAAAATTAATAATCTCAAAATTAAAATAAACTAACGGTCTCGGCCTTTTGTTCTTCAGCTGTTTCCTGCATTGCTTGAAGAACATCAGGATGTAAACGTTTGTGTGTTTTAATTATAAAATCGGCCATATGTTCATCGTCTACAGGGTCCGGTTGATCACGAATAACGCAGAAAATGTCGAAACGACTCAAAATAGGCTCAGACAAATCAACATTCGCAGCAAATGTTCTAGAAGAATCATAACGACCACCTTAACAGTTATTCAAAATTTCTAGTTAAGATTATCAAAAAACCAATAGGGTTAGCAGCTGCAATGACTGTGCATCTAGCTTTTAAAGAAGTGACAATGCCAGCCTTTGAAATTGAAATGGATTGTTGTTCCATGGCTTCATGAATACTAGTCCTGTCTTGTTCGTTCATCTTGTCAAATTCATCAATGAGGCAAACACCAGTGTCAGCTAAAACCATTGCACCCGCCTAACATTTTTATTGATTTATTATTAGACATATTAAACAAATGTTAAAAAATACTTCTAAAGTCCATTCTCGTGTCACTGGATGACGTTGGACATATGCTAAATGAAAATTTGTATTCAGGAAATTCAATCTAAATTTTAAAAACTACCAGTTAATCCGACAGCAGAAGCTCCCTGTCCAGTTGTTAGAATAGAACGAGGTGCAAGATGCGCAACATATCGAAGAAATTGGGATTTTGCAGTTCCAGGATCACCACAAAGGAGCACATTAATATCACCTAATCGGAAATAATTTTCAAAGATTAAATTTTCAACCTCTAATTCGGTGTTTTCCTTGTGGATTTTTTGCCTGTCCACGAAATAATGCAAGTCCAACAGCTTGTTTTACATCATCATGTCCATAAATAGTAGGCGCAATGCTGGCAAAAATTCGTTGTGCAATTTGTGGGTGTTTTGCTAGTTCACGAATAGCTTTAATGTCTTCATCAGTTAAAGAGTCAGATTCTTTAAAAAAACTTTTAGTAATTAGGGAAAATAAAATAAACCTAATCGATCCTTCCTAACAATATGATTTGCAATTATAACTGTGTTAAAAACAGGGAATCCCTAAAAATTGAACAATACGATGACTTTTGGTAAAAATATTAAAAACAAACCTGTCGAGTATTTAAAGATCCATCATAACTGTTTGTATAAATTCCAGTTAATTCCTTTAAATTAAAGAAAAAATTTCGATTAAATAATTTAAAACCAACAATTTCATCTCCAGGTTTACAAGAATCACACAAATCACCCAAAAGAATAACTTCCTTCGAACGAGGTAAACGACCAGCAGCTACCAGATTTGGACTTTCTTGAATAGTAATTCTTTGATAATTATGGTAAATTGTCTTAAAATGAAATTTTATTTGTAAAAAATTAAAGTCAAAAAACCTCTTCAGTATTTAATTCAAAAGGCCCACGACTTTGGCATGATGGACAAGTTGTTGGTTTTGTCTCTTCATCCTGGCGTTGAACAAAAGGGCCGAGCACAAATGAACAAGATTTGCAATCATATTTTAAAACACTCAATTGAGGTAAAATCCCAGTAGTAACTGTAACAACGCCAGACGTTTTAATTAACATATTTAAGTGAATTTGTCTCAAAAGTCGAATGTCTTCTTCCGACGGCAAATTTTTAACACGGACTTTAACTTCATTTGTCACTCTTTTGTACCAAGGGAAAATCCTCGTCACTACAGCAGTAGCAGCCTGGTCCAAACGTTCAAGAACCTAATTTATAATTTAAACTATTATTTTAGAAATTTGTGTACCTGAACAGGCGCTTCTGGCAACAAAAATGCAATATGTGGTTCACCATTCTCATTAGATAAATCGTTATAGTCAACTTCAAGAGATAAACGATTTTCAGACACCATATGTCGAATGGCAAGAATATATTTGTTTTGATTTGTAACTGGCTCTTTGAAGAAGTTTAAAAATTTTTTGAAACTAAATTAATCGATTAAAGAAAAAGCTAAAGAAATTTAAATAAACCGTCTAAAAATCTCACGGCCAACAGCTTCATCACTGCAATGATCACGTGCTGATCGGTCATGGTAGTTCTCCAAAATATCTATAGGTACTTCACCATCATCTTCGTCAATATCATCTTCAGGTTGTCTGGGAACTAGACGTTTTCGTCGTCGCGCCAGAGAAGCAGCTGACTCATCCCCATCTTCCCAGTAAAGCTACAAATAATTTTCAGATGATTCTTATAAAAGATTTAACCTCATCTTCCATCGACAATTGATCGCGTCTAGCCATAGCAATTTCAGCACGTCTTCGGGCATCAAAGGAAAGCTCTGTGATGTCAGACGTATCATCTATCCCAGATGCGGAAAGATTATCAAGTTCTGGCTGATCACGATAATCCCTAATTGTTATATAATTTAATTAAATAGAATTTTAAAAAAACCTTAGCATATCATCTCTAAACAAATCTTCACCATTAGCATCCTCTTCTTCATATTCCTCTCGTTCATCGCCATAAAGTTCAGCAATTGGGTCCTCTTCCTCGTTGTCAGAAGCAGGAACTACATTGTCATCAACTTGTTCTTGTCCATCTCGACTTTGTGCAACACTTTCATTATCGCCTGTGTCACTCATCTTTTAAATAAAAAACTTGAGGATTTGTTAAAAAGTCAGCCAAATACAAGAAAATTTAAACAATTTTGAATTAATTTTCAAATAAAAAATGCCCGCCTCTGTAAAAATGAAATTATATCAAAGTGGAGAAGGGGCCAGTTGATCCTTATGTTAGCTTTTACTTTTTAATAGAGACCCGCTCCCGTTTCCCGGTTTCCCGCTCCTTTTTCCCGGCTTTTTTGTTGATGCCGGGTTTTGGGTCTCGACCGGGTTCCTTCTGCTACAATTTCCCATTTCCTGTTTTTTTTCAAAATTCCGGTCTCTACTTTTTAAGCGAGTTAGCGAGTTTCTAAATTTTCCCACGCTGTTTTTTTTCTCCGTACTTTTATTTTTTTAGCTAATCAACGGTTAATTGGGTTTGAAAAAAAAATAATGTCATCTTTTAACGACGTCAGTGTCTCATCAAATCACGGTATAATTATTTTTTATTAATTTAGAAAATTATTGTTTTTCAATTTAAGTTGAATGCAATGTTGGGAATTCGAAGCGAAGGTGTGCTAGCAGTTTTGAGCCAGAAGAACAAGAAGAGTTTATTTTAGTACAAATTTTTAATTTTTATTTAATTTTTATTTCAGAGAATTTACGCCTTCTACAAAATTACAACGTCGACAGCCCTGCTATGCACCTTATCGAAAAACTTATCAAAATACTACCACAAATAAAATAACAGCTGAAAAAGGATTAATGCACGGTTTTTTTTTTAATTTCATGTTTCCTAACTAAAATTTTAATTCAAAGATTTCAAAGGCGATTTTTATTATTTACTAACAACTTTACTTGACGAGAAATCCAGCATTAATTTGAAACAACTGAGGTTAATCTTTGTGATTTTTGTAAAATTTCGAGATACTTTTAGTCTTATGCAACTTGTCAGAAAGTCAGTCTCTTTGGAATTTAGAGATTTTTTGCGTATACAATCGTCACACATGAACAGACTTTTTACTAATCTGGCAGAGTTGGTTGCCACTTCACCGGTTTTTATTTTTATTATTTTAATATAAGTAGATTTCAGACAATTTCGCTTTCTTCTGCCTGTCTTTTATATTTTATGGCTAGAGACAGAAAGGGAATTCCGGTTTCCGAGGTTGGTTTTTAAAAACTTTGTTTTTGTAAAATTAAAAGATTTTTAGCAATGTATCCGTCTGATCGCACAGCTTCTTAAGCAGGACAATCAACGCATGAAAGCAGATGAGGAATATAAAAAGCATCTTGTTTTGGTTTGTTTATTTTCTTTTAATAAATTTATTGAAATTGCCCTTTCTTCAGATCTGGTCGGTAATGCAAGATTGGCTTCGTTTTTGGTTAAATAAATCTTCAAAAAGCGTAAAATTTGATGTTACGGAGGATAATTTGTCTGTTCCCTTTCTTACTTTGGAAGCGCTTGCCTACATTGCATTAAAGGAGCAAAGCAAAATGTTTAAATCGGAAATGTACAATTCTGGGTGTCTTACAACTATTGTGGCAAAATTAGATAAGGCTGTTCTTGAATTGGTACACTCAAATTCTGGAGTCTTAACAACAACAACTGCAACCGATTCGACTATGACAACGAGTACAAAATTAAAAGTTGTTGAGCGTTGCTATAGAATTTTAGAAAATGTTTGTTGTTCAAATAATATTTTTTAAAATTTATTTCAAAATTTTAAGGCTGCCGCTTTTGACACTAAAAATCAAGTTTATCTTGTGCAACATAGGAATAATTTGCTTATATTCTCTTGTGCAAAATTCCTCAATTATTCGCTTAACTTCATTGAAAATGTTCACCAAACTGAGGGAAAACAAGAAAAGAAAAATTTGTCATCAACTGCTCAAAATGATTGCAACAAAATTTTTGAATGTATTTGCCTTCTTTGTCGAGTTTTAATGAATGTAAGCCATGAAAGCGAGAATGGGGCGCTCAAAATTGGACAGGCTGCTGGTTTTCTTCAAAATTGTCTCAATGTTTTGGCTAAACATTCAAATTATGCGCCTAAAGAAAAATTTTTTGATTTGGCTGTTATGGTAAATTTGTTAATATTTTCTAATTTTTAATCCCCCCTTTTTTATAGATGTATGGCCTTCTGGTTAATTTGTTAGAAAAATGTCCAGCTAATCGACGCAAATTTATAAATTTAAAATCTGAATTTATTGATAAAACTTTAATTCTGGGACAACAAGGAGTAGAATCTTCGTCTTTGGACATTTTGACAAAGGTTTTATTTGAAGTTTTAGAGAATTTATAATGAAAGATTTTTAAGCTGTTCATTCATCATGATTCTGCAGCGAAGGTTATTGACGAGGAATTTGATAACGAATTGCTAAATGAAGAACCAGCGGATGAAGATGGCGGTAATGAGAATGGTCAAGAGAAAGCGGCGAACATGTCTCAAGACGAGGTGCTTACTGCTATTCAGACATTGATGAATAAAGCGTCAACTCATATGGAAGATAGTAAGTGTGAATTTTACTTTAGCAAATTGGGAACCCCTCGGTTATATTTCGGTGAAAGTAGGAAGGCTTACTTCGTTCGCTTGAACTATTAAAAATTTTTTACAATTTCAGGTATGGTAGCTTCTTATTGTTCATTAGTCGTTGCAATTGTTGTCGGCACAGATAGTGTATGTTAATTTAAAAATATTTTATCTTTAAATTATTCTTCAGGTGTTAGCTAGTCAAGTCAAAGCACTTATGCCAAACAAGGATATTACACAAATGTTGGAACAATTAGAGCGTTTCTTGGATTTTATGCGCATTACGGTAGTCTTGTTATTGAAAATATATTCTTTAAAAAATATTTAAAAATTTAGAATTTGAAAGCGAGCACGGTTAGCAATATTGAAAGAGTTTTGAATTCTTTCCAAACTGCTTCTAGTTCTTCAGTTGATTGAATTTTTGTTTGTTTTTATGTTTTGAAATTACCAAAAAATAATAATCAAATTTTAAGTTTGTTTTTTCTCCCGTCAAACATACATTTGTCTTAACTTCTCTTTTTTTAGTTCACCACTAATATAGTTTTGAACAAACTTCAATCTTTTATTTCTTTACATTTTGATTTCTAACTATTTTGCTACTCAACTATATATTACCTATTTATAAATTATGTTTACACGGAAATTAAAATATTTCTTTTATTATTTTCATTCTCTTCAACTTTTATCAAAAATTGTAGAGGAATTTTTGAGAGAAAATTTTTTTGTTAATTATGTATTTATTATAGTAGTAAATACATTCGGTTCAATTTCATTAATTTCAACATTAGATTCAGAATTCTTTGTAAATATTAAGAGAAAGTTAACCGCTATCACTTTTGACGACTGACATTACTTGGATGGATCAGATTCAGTGTCTTCGTTGGACCCACCCCAAATTATGTTTGCAAAGGCTGTCGATGACGTAGACAACCGAAAGTTTAAAATTTTTTCGGAGAATTCCCTAATTTAAAAAATAAATCTAGACTTAAAAATATGTATTGGGTTAGAGAAAGAATGAAGAAAATTCTTTTTCAATCTATTAATATTATATTTAGCCAGGGCTCCGATCTCAAATTTTTAAAAATAAAAAAACCTATCAAAACCACAAAATGAAGCAAAATCCGCCGCAGAAATCGGAGCCCCTTATTTAGTTTATTTACAAATACAGTCACGGACAAAAGTTTGGACGCAAACGATTTTCAAACTTTATTTTCGAATATTTTTATTAAAATCAATAATTTAAAAAACAAATTTTTTTGTAAAATAATGCTCCTTTTATGAACTTTAATATACATGAACAAAATTCTGGTAAACTTTATAAAAAAATTTTTTTTTATATTTAACCAAAAAAGGGGGTGGACAAAAGTTTGGACGCAAATTTTTAGAAAAAAATATCTTACAGTATAATGTTTCAAAAATTCTGAAAAAATTTCTGTGGACATTTCCAATGATATAGAATAGAAAAACAAAAAAAAACGAAGTCCTTAACTTCTTCCATCATCGAGATCCCGAACCTCAAAAATCAACGGAAAAAGGGGGTACAGTACTTTAAAAAATATTTTTACCCCCTAGAGCTTTTATAAAAATTTTTCTTTTGGGCCCATTAAAAAGCCCATAAAATTTCCTACAAAATAGTCCAGGTCTAAGTTGTTCCAAAAAATAGTTGTTCGAACTGCAGACACTTTCATATAAAAATGGTCAAAAAACCCCTAAAATACCCCAATAATGATAACTTTGAAAATTGCCTCGACTCTGTCTCCATGAGTTTTTATTGAAAAAATAAGAACTTGTTCTATTTTGTAGGAAATTTTATGGGCTTTTTAATGGGCCCAAAAGAAAAAACTTTATAAAAGCTCTAGGGGGTAAAAATATTTTTTAAAGTACTGTACCCCCTTTTTCCGTTGATTTTTGAGGTTCGGGATCTCGATGATGGAAGAAGTTAAGGACTTCGTTTTTTTTTGTTTTTCTATTCTATATCATTGGAAATGTCCACAGAAATTTTTTCAGAATTTTTGAAACATTATACTGTAAGATATTTTTTTCTAAAAATTTGCGTCCAAACTTTTGTCCACCCCCTTTTTTGGTTAAATATAAAAAAAAATTTTTTTATAAAGTTTACCAGAATTTTGTTCATGTATATTAAAGTTCATAAAAGGAGCATTATTTTACAAAAAAATTTGTTTTTTAAATTATTGATTTTAATAAAAATATTCGAAAATAAAGTTTGAAAATCGTTTGCGTCCAAACTTTTGTCCGTGACTGTATATATTTTTTAAATTAAAAATTTAATTATTAAAATTATAAATAGGCAGCATTTGATGATTGTTCTTCTAATATAATTTGTTGTCTAATCCCCCCAACATTTTGGTGTTCATAAATTTGCTTAAAAATTATTTTTTTAATATTTTACCCCATTATTTACCTCATTTTTTATTTCTCTTGATTTTTTACTTAAAATAGAAAGAGGAATATATTGTTTGGTATTTAAATTTTGATTATTTTGTTGTGAATTGTAAATGGTAATTGAAGAAGTAGGGGGTACTAAATTATTTGTTGGACTTTGAGGAGGAAAAGAAGGGGGTGGGGGAGGAGGGATTAATAATGTTTGTTGTTTAGTTTCTAAAAATTTTAAGAAAAAATATTTAAAAATAAGAAATACTTTTAAATGAAGAATTAATTATTGCTGACTTCTTTGTTTGTAAAGGCCAGCAACATATTAAGGCATTTTTCCAACTAGAAAGTGAGGACATCTATTTAAAGAATAAAAATATTTAAATTAAAAAAACCTATTAAAAAATTTTAGTTTTAATTTTATGATTTAATTTTTGGTTATTATTTTAAAAGTCATTTTTTAATTTAACAATTTTTTTTCAATTACCGTAGTCAACGTTTTTGGAGAAAATATACATAAACCAACAGCTAAACCTTTAAAATTTATTTTACAAATTCCAAAAAATTAATTAATTACCAGTAGCCATTCCCATTGTTTGTCCAAAAACATACTTTTTATTTAAAAAAATTAAATCAAAAAATAATTAAATTAACCAATTTTGGTTCTGGTTGTTCTGGTCTAATACAATTACCAGAAAAAGCACCTCCTTTTGTTTTGCAATTAATTCTTTAAAAATAAAATAATTATTGAGAAAATAAAAAAAAGTTTCATTAAAAGGATAAAAGTTTCCCTGATTGGTGTTGGCTGATCATATGAGGGAATATGGAACATTCAGATTTATCCGGACCCGCCAACCCTACTTCTAGTGACTTTTGTATATGCAGTAGTGTTGCGCCGGAAATTCCGGGATTTTTTTGGTTCCGGATCCGTTCGAAATTTCAGTTCCGGTTCCGGCCAAATTTGCGGTTCCGACGCAACACTAATGTAGCTATTCTCGTAAAGTTTTGGTATTTTTTAGAAATTATTTTTTAATAAATTTAAAAAATATAGTACAAATTCTCCCTAACCTTTACATAAATATAACCTTTACATAATTGAAAAAATTTTTTTAAATTTTTACGTGTTTGGTTGCCATTCAGAAAGAACAATTAAATGATGTAAATCACACAAAGAATTTAATGATATTGAAAATAAATAAATTAAAGAAAATATTCCCATTTTTAAAAGAAATTTTTCTAATCTAGAAGTATCTGTGCCTTTATTTCTTTTTTTAAATTTAAAATAAATTAATTTTAAATTTTAAATTACTTAAATTTATTTCTTTCATTACACATTGAAGAAAATCCAGCCAAAAGAAGGAAAAATCCAATTAAAATAATTAATAAACGAGGAATTATCCAAAACCAAAATAATGTTAGGGGGTTGAAATTACCTACAAAATAATTTTGAAGAAAAAATAATTTTTGTTTTTGATTGTTTAAAACTGATAATTCCACAGAGTTTTCTAAGAAGAGGAACAACCCGATCCGAGAGCCGAGACACGGCCTTTTTTCGACCCGATATCCGAAACCCGATACTAAGAAAATTTTAAAACCCGATCCGAAATCCGATCCGCCTTTTTTCTCGACCAGACCCATCCTGTTATGTATAAAGAACCCCTCAGTTTTCAGTTCCAGTTCTTGCTAAAAATTGATTTTATTTTAAAGGGAATTTTTTATAAACCATTTAATTTCTTCAATTATCTGTTTAAGCTTTTGCCAAAAAATATCAAGCCCAGAAAATATTATGTTTTACCTAAAGAACATATTCCAGTTAATTCAGAAGCATCAACCAAATTATTACTTAAACAAATAATAACCAACAATAAAGGAAATCCCCAAGCAAAAAGGTGTAATAAAATACTTCTTTTACCAATTTCTTCTTCTACCCATTTACGAGATGCTGATAAATACCTTAAAATATTTAAGATTGTTATATTTAAAATCAATCCTGAAAGAAAGTCTGGGTTCGAATAATTAATTACCCTCTCAAATAATTACTCTCCTTAATAATTACCACCTATTTTCCTACACTAATTTTTAAAAATAATAAAAAATCATTGTCTCAATTTTAATTATTGTAACATTTTTAAGAATTGTATTTAAAAAAATAATAGGTAAATTTCATCCTCAATTTATTCAGAAACAGACCAAATCTAGAACATCTAGCACACCTCTACCCCTCGATTAATAACATTCTCCAGCGTGAGGTCAAAACAATAATTACTCAATTTAATTATTAAGTGACTCTTTATTTAATAAAATTTTTTTAAATTCCTTCTAGAAAATTATTCCTTTTTTTAATTTTTCGAGAAACAAACCAAGTAAAACCAAGTATCAACCACCAACAATTTCCAGCAATTGAACTATTAATTAATTAATTAAAAAAATATTTTTTTCAAAAAATTACCCAAAATAAAAAAATATAAAATTCAAAAAACAAATTTTATTTTCATGAGGTCCTTCAATAATTAAATACCGAACACCGGAAATTAAAGAATTACAAGCCATCTAAATAAATAATTATTTTTTCAAATAATTATTTTAAAGAAAAACTTCTTCAAATCCAATAATTGGTCTTGTCAAATGAGGTATATTTGATAAAAGTGAACAAAATGCGAGAAAACCGATTGACCTTTAAAATTAAAAATAAAAGCATTTGAAGAATTTAAAATTTGATCGGCTATAACTTTTTGATTATAGCATTCTAATGATCCAACAGACATGATCTATCCTATTAGAGAAAAGATACAACTTATCGAGGGCTTTCGAATGATATAAAATTCATTTGTATTGGACCAAGCATTAAAAAGTTATAGCAGATTAAATTCAGCTAGCACTTAGTTTGCGGTTGTATTTCGGAAAAGTACCAAATTTTTTGTCTAATTTTGTTCAAAATCTGTACTTCTGTACTTTACATAATTGCAATTTTGTATTCTTTTTTCTTTAAATTGACCAACAAAAAATTTATTTTTATTTACTTTTCTTTCCAGAATTATTTTAAATACAAATATTTTATAAAATTTTATTGCTAAAAATATTTTCTTTATACATTTTTTCCCTTCTTTTCCCCCAAAAATTTTCTTAAAAAGAAAAGCAATATTTTATAAAAACAATTTAAAATTGGATTGGTTTTGCTTCTCGTTTATTTGTAAAAAAAGCTTTTATTGCCGATTCAAATAAAAAATAAGGACTTAATTTATTTTTATTTGTTAAAAGTAAAAAGAAATTGTTGTGTGTGTCCCCTAATTAACGAGAGAAAAGAAAATTAAATTTAAAAATTATTTGGATTACGGATCGAACTCACGGATATATCTGGATATGGATACCAAAAATCCGTACCCATTACCGAGCCTGTATATAATCTTATAATTTATCTACCTTTCTGGAAAACAAAATCTTTGTCGATCAATCCAAAAAGAACAAACAGTAAATAAAGCAATTAAGGAATTTAACATTGACCAACAAAAAAGCCATAAACGGATTTGCTCTTTTTGATCCTTTTTTTATAAAGTTTCTAATTAATTAATTTAATTTTAAGTCAAAAAATTCATCAATCTTTTTTTCCATTTTCTGTATTTTCTTTGTAATTTTCTATTTAAAATCAAATTTAAATTAATACCTTTCTAAACATTGTCGTTTTTTCACATCTAAAAGCACATTTAGATTTTGAATCTGTTGGCTCTAAATCAATTAAATCTAAAGGACATTCTGGAAATTTTGTTGTTGATAAACTTGAAAAGAAAAATATTTAAAAAAAATAATTTTCTTTTTAAAAAAACATTGGGGAAGACATTGTTTTTTCATTAAAATTAGAAGAAAAAATATTTTTATTATTTAAAGGTTCTGGTTTCATACAAATTGTTGGGGGAGAGGGGAAACGAGAACAATTAAGCATTGGAGGCCTAAAAAGAAATTAATTTTTATTAAGAAATTTAAAAAAAAAACCAAGGAAAATCAAATTCATTAAATATTTTAATACAATCACTATAAACTTCTTCACAAACCTTTAAAAATAATTATTTTTTATTTAAAAATTTTTTAAAATTAAATATTTACAGATTTACAAGAGGTTATGGCTTGTGGCATCTGATCGGGGCCTTTAAATTATTTTTAAAAATTATGTTTAATTTATTCTTTGATTTTCTTAAAATTCTAAAAAAAACTAACACATTGGAGCAAATGCAGAACAAACAAATAAAAGAATATTTGGAGAACATTTTGTATGTATTAAAGGTTTAAAGTGATTTATTTGTGATTGAAGCTTTAATTTTAAAAATATTTTGTTTGATTTTACAAAAATATGAAAAAAATATTTTTTGTTAAGGAACCTCATTTATCCCCCACCTCCCTCCTCCTCTTCTACAAATAAACGAGAAAATGAAGAAAAGGGAATGGAAGGACAGGAATAAAAAAATAAAAAAAAAGAGGGGGAAGTATATCTCAATTAGACCATAATATCCAAAGTTTTAAACCAGAATCCCAAAAATACTTTTATGATTTCTTATTCAATCATTTAATGTGAGATATTGAGGGGAGGAATTCTACTAAGTCACCCCTCCCCCTTCTCTTTTTAAAAATAAATTTTATTGGGCTATAATAATGTCAATTAAAAATCCTAACAAAAAAATAAACTTCGAAAAACTATTGAGGATTGGATATTTGGAGTCATTACTAGAGACCGGACTGGGAGTGTCGTACGAGAATCGAGATCTAGATAACCGAGATTTTTCTCGAAATCTCGTCTGGTCTGATCTCTAGTCCCTTCACTTCCAATTATTTAAAAATATTTTTTTTTCCAAATTTAAAAATAAAAACAAACATTTATTTGATCAATTTCAATAAAAGGATTTGGATAAATAGTTTTGTTATAAGGAATATTTTCACATAAAGGTAAATTAATTATTGGCTGACAAATAGATTGCTAATAAATAAATATTTAAATTAAAAATAATTTTTTTTTAAAAACCTTAACTCTTTCAAAAATAGAAGAAGTGTGTTGTTGGGAATTTATAAATAAAATTAAAAAATTAAATAAAATAAATAATTGAAAATAATTGAAATAATAATACATTCTTTTATTGAAAATTAAATTAATTTTTAATCTAACAAAAAAATATTTTTTTTATTTTTTAATTTTTAAAAATTTTTTTAACTGAAAAACAAGTTTAGGTAATAGTAGAAAAAATATGGGAAAATGGGAAATATTATTATTTTGTTTTTAAAAAAATATGTAGGTCACAGCTGGAAATCAAAATTTCCTTGGATTTAAAAAAACTTGATTTTGCTTTTTAAAAATTTAAAATTTTTAAAATCGAAAAATTATATGAACAATGTATTTAAAAATGTTAGCAATTATTTGAATAATATATTTGTAGAAGGAAGAAATAAAAATAACAAATAAATTTATGTGAGAAAGTGAATATGTATGTAAATTTAAATTTGAAAATAAAAAATAATTATTCATACATATTTTAATTAAATTTAGTAATTTATTTTGGAATTGTTTAAAAGAAAATTAAAAAAAAATATTTTTTTTAATTTAACATTAAAATTAATATTTTTTAACTTTTAAATATTTAAAAAGAAAACAATTTCTATTTTCTCCTTTTTTGTATTTATTGACAAATTTTCACTAAAATTCATTAAAAAATATAAAAAAATAAATTCTTTTGTAATTATCGGCTGTAAATAAAAAAAATAAAAAGAAGAAATAAATTAGTAATTAAATAAAAATAAGTATATACTACATAGCTTGTATTTATTTGAAATAAATCGTTGGGCGAATATATAACAGTTGATTTTAAAAAGTAGGTAGAAGTAATTTGAAGGTTAAAGGGGGGGGGGGGGGGGGAGATGGAGAATTTTTTGAACGAAAAAAATTTTGAAAGCAGAAATTTAAACAAAAAAAGCTTTTGTTTTGCTCTGGAATCAAGTATGTATTGGAGTCCAGTTTTTTTTAATCACCGTATTTCCCTTAATAACTTCAGACCTTTCAAAGAGGAATTAATTACAAATTCAAGGAGGGGTTGTATTAGAGTAAGCACGGTATTTTATATTAAGAGTATTTATTTTCCGTACAAAAAATGTGATTTTGTTGTATTAAAAAAGTGCAAATAATCGTTCAAATTTATTTTAAAAAACCAAAAGCAATTGGGCATGGAAAGGTAAAGGGGTTGTGTGTATTGTAAAAATTTAAGAAAATTCATAAAAAATATAAAGATTTATTTATTTAAGGATTATTTTTTAAAAAAATAATTTTTTTTTCAAAAGGACAGGGAAGAATGGAAAAAAAAGTAATGGGGCATGGAGAATGTGAAGAAAAGAGGAAACAACCAAAAACACATTTTTTGGCCATTTGGGGGGAGAGGGGGAGCGGTGGTCTTAAATAACTAAACACAAAATTATTTATGTCCATCTTTTTACATTCAATAAATAAATAAATTTTTATTTACACAAGTCCACCCAAATGTTTTTTAAATTAAAACAAGAAAACAATAAAATTAAATTATTTGTTCTAAAAACATGTGTGAATGTTTTTGTGCTTGTCTAAAGAGAAAATAATTAGCTAAATCTTGTCTTGTTAGGGAAAAATTGAAATTAATCAAAAAAATAATTATTAAGAAATTTTCTATTTTTTGTGAGGAAGAAAAAGAAAATTAGCTTTAAAGCCAAAATTTTATAATTAAATGCTAACTTAAAAAATTAAAAAAAAATTTTTCCAAGGGCTACTTATAATTAGTAATAATTATTTATTTATTTTTAATCAGTTTTTGTAAAAACAATTTTCAATAATTTTTTAAATTTCTTTAATTCACAAAAAAATTGATATTATTCAGATGTTTGTCCCCCTTGTTTAATAATCCCGTCATTCTTTATATTTTTTGATATCCATTCCATTCCATCCTTTTTTAAGAAAAAATATTTTTTTATTTAAATTTAATTAATTTACTTTAATTCCTTCACCAGAAAGTGCTGAACATGCTTGGATTTGCCAAGATCTGTCTCTTATTTTAACTAGCTTAATTAATAAAATTATTAAATTGGGAGTTTGTTGGATATTTTTGGAAATAAAATTTTTTTTGAATTTTTTAAAATTTCCAATTGAATTAAAAAATATTTTCTGTTAATTATATATTTAGTAAAGCAGCTGGGCTATGTAGCTATTTCTCTCCTTTAGCTACTGCAAAAGGTTAAACAGCGGCTGGGTGCGAACCAGCATCTTCAGTAGACCGGATTGATGTGTTATCTATTTATCCCACGCCGCCTACTGCACAGCCTTAGGAATTAAATAGCTAGGTATATGCTTTACAATATTTTCTACCTGTAAACCTCCAGCAATTTCACTAGCCTTTGCTGAAGTTAACAAGTCCTAGAAAATAAAAAATAATTATTTTTAAATTAACAAAAACTACTTGTTTGTTTGCAAAAACAAGCATCTAAAATAAAAAATTTTTTTGAGGAAAATTAAAATTAATTTCTAAACTAACAGGAACATTTTTTAATTTTTCTTCCTCCAACAATTCAGACAATTCCTTTAAAAATTAATTTTTAAAAAACAAAATTAAAAAGAAAAACCATAGCTGTTTCATCAAATCTTTTTCTGTCACTACTATCAATTACATAAATTAATACCTTTTTAAAGAAATATTTTTTAAATTAAAAAAATTAAAAGTACATCAGTATTATCAAAATAATTTTTCCAATAGGGCCTAATCTTTCGTTGACCGCCAATATCCCAAACATTTAAACGAACATCATCAGCCATGACACTTTAAATATTTATTTTTTATTAAACCTTTAATATTTTAAATATCTGACAATTCCAAACAAAAATTAAATTGTTTAGCTCTTCTGGTAAAATTGAAGTTCGTATACCCCCCCCCCTCCTTTTTCTTTCCTCAAAATATCAAAAATAGTCAGACTTTGCCTTTTTCCTCAACTTATATGGCTTGCAGAGCTTGGACTATTTCACGAAAACCTAACAAGTTATAAATGTGGAGGCCAAATTATCATTAGGCAGATTCAGTATAGAATTGCAATAACCTTCTGAATCTGGTACAGAATCTGCTATAGACTACACAACAGACGTTACGAAAATTAGCGCTGTAAAACAAAAATATGTCGTGTAGACCGATCTTCTCATATGACCCCATAAAGCAACTTTTTAATGAAATATTAAAGGGATTTCCCCCAAAGAGCAGTTAACCATGTTGGAATTAAGAAATTAGAATAAGTACGCCCAGGAAAAAAAGGCAATAAATAACCATTCTTCTCTTATCTCCCTCTTAAAATTGTGTTAAAGTAATTAGGTATATTCTTAAAATAATTTTACTTTCACTAAAGTTCATTAATAGTTTTTAAAATTAAAAAAACCCCCCACCTTTTAATATTAAATCCTTGTGTAGGCGTAATATGTGTAACATCTTCTGCAGCTAATTTCTTTAAAATTGTTGTTTTCCCAGCATTATCAAGGCCCTTTATTTTTAATTTTTTTTTTAAAATATTTTTAAATAAAAATTAAAAAACCAATAAAAGAATTCTAAGTTCTCTTCCTTGTTTTTGTTTTAATTTTCGTAATATTCCAATTAAGCCCTTCCATAAATTAAAAGAAATTTAAATAAAAAATTAAATAAAACAAACCATTTTTTTGTTGAAACAAATTAATTGAAAAAATGGGGGAATAATAATGAGGAAAGAGGGAATTTTTAAAAATAAAAAAGAATTGGAAATTTTTTGTTGCCATAGAAACAATTAAATGTGTTGGTAGGTGATATGCCTTTTTTGAATGAACTTTTGTAAAAGACAAGAGGAAATTATATATTATATTTTCGTGATAATCAATTTTTCTATTTTTTTTTGTTAATTTAAAAAAGGAGAAAGGAATAAAAATATTTTTGTAAAAAATTTTTTGATAATAATTTAAGGATTGTTAGAATTTTCAAGATTATTCACCAAAAATTTTGATTGCACATAGACCAAAATAAACAAAAAGAAGAATCATTTACTCATTTTTGACGCACAAATATACACGTCAGAATGGAAACTTAAAATTTTATGAAGGAATTTTTTTCAATAATTTAATATAGATCACCCACACATGATGTACTTGGATTTATTAACTGAAGGAAAGAAGATAAAAACGAAAAATATTTTGAACTTTTGTAAAAGAATTTTGGAGGTGGTGGGGAATGGGGAGATAAATGCATATCTGTATGTTGCCCCTCCCCTGCATGTTAAGTACTTATTAATCAGTTGTAAATTTAATTAAAAATGGATACTACTTATAATCTATCAATTTAAATAGATTTTTAAATAAAATATAAAAGGATACCCCAAATATTCGAAAAAAAATCAAAAAAATTTTACCAAAAAATAAAAATTAAAATAAAAAAAGCATCTGGTTTCAGAATGTTTATTATATTTAGGTGTAAGCACCAGAAAAATATTATTTTTTAAAAATTAATATTTTATACTTCATCTTTTCCTTTTTTACTTGCAACTGCTCGTTTAATATCATCAACTAGAATATTTTTAAAAATTTAAAAAAAATTTAAAGAGATTACCCAATTCATCTCGACTTTTAATTTCTGTTGTGCTCTCAACAGAACGTAATTCACCAACAATTTGTCGAGCTTTTCCAAAATAAACTTCATTTAATATTGCTCTCATTTTATTTTCTTGGTCCTAAAATTTTGATTTATAATAGAAAAAGGAAAATAATTCAGTTTTTCGTGCTGAAGGCGAAAACTATAAAAATTTTGGATGTAGTGGGCAAATGCGTGGCCAGGGGGGCTTTTGGGGCTAAAGCCCCCCTCGAAATGGGGAAAAAGGGAAAATTTGAGGAGGAGATTGAGCAAAAATTGAGCCGTTTGGGCTACCAAATTCCCCAAAATCGACCCCCTAGCTATGCTCTTGGTGGTGCGGAATGGAGAGATAAATGCCTATCCCGCCCCTTATGTGAATACCTCCCATTTTTTAAATAGAATTTTTTCAGCTCAGAGAGTGTCCGAAAAATCAAAGTCTGACATGAAATAAAAAAGAAATAAACCTCAATCATTTTTCCAATATTTGCCAAATGAGGACTTTGTTCACCAATAACGACATCTTGCTCTGTTTGACGTGTCAAAGACCCACCCAAATTCATAGTCCCTGTAGTTGCTACATTTTGTGTTTGAAGCCAAAGCATTACAGTGCTAGTCAATTTATATTTCACATGTTTAGATGACTTTAAAAATGTTTTTTTAATTTTTAGAATTTTTTAGTGCCTTTTGATTCGATTTCTAAAAATCAAGGAAAGTTGCTGCCGAGTTAGGGACAAAAAATTAAATCAGAAAAATCTCACATAGTTCAAATACGTTTACAAAATCAAGGAGAAATTAAGACAGACTAAATTAGAGAGGTAAAGGAAAAGCATGAAGATAATTCAAAAAATTCCTTGTCCTCTCATAAATCCATATTTTTAGTTGAAATTAAAAACCTTTCTCTCGTTACATTCCACAACATGAATAGAGTCCCAACAACCTTTTACATCTTCTTTAGCATTTATAGCACCATCAGTCTCCTTTTTTAACAAAACAACACCAGCAAATCCATTATCAATATCCCAAAAATAAACACTAGAAACGCCTCCCTCAAAATACCTTTCAAAAATATTTTTTTGAACTTTCTTTAAATTAATTTACATGTCTCTGTAAGCCTCAAATGCAGCATTAACTTCAATTTCAAGTTTTCGCAATTTATCTGAAGGCATAATTCCATCTTCTAAAGGAGGATCATAAGTATTAGTCCATGGAGATCTAAAAATATTTTTTTAATAAATTAAGAGATAATTCCTTACCTATAACTGTCACTATCTCGATTGTAGTCTGAAAATAAAAAAAGTAAAAATGAGTTACAAAAAATAAATACCGCATAATAAATACTCGCGACCAGTTGTTTTATCTAAAAATTGTAAATAATTTAGTAGAAATGTGAAAAAATAATTTGGATTCATTTTGGGTTTACCCCAAAAAAATAATAAGCAGTAAAAAATATCGAGAATATTCTGGAAATATATGTCAGCCTAATACTTTAATTTTAAAAAACTTGAAAATTTCCCTCAAAAAAGTTAAAATAAAAAAAGTTTATTTTTACAAACCTTTAGCTACTTTCAAAGGCTGATCAACAGCTTGAAGAAGAGAATCACAAAGTTCAGGCGCCAAAGCAACAAGATCACTCAAATGTTTTTCACATCCTTGTGGGGGCACTAAAAAGATTTTAAAAAAATTTTTGGAAAAGCATAAATTCAACAAAAATACATACACCTTCTCATCAAATCTAGACAAGCATCAAGACGCAAATCACTTGCCTAAAATATAATGCAAATAAATATAAATTCCAGAAAATTACCATTATTATTTCGTCCAAATTATTAAAGTAACTACAAATTTAACTCTTCTCTATTTATTTTTTAAAGAACAATCTCCTAAAAATGTAAAAAAAGGACAAGAAAATCGAAAAGAATGAAAAATTTTAGAAAATTTTTACAAAAATGACAAAATGCCAAAAATTTATCTTAAAATGACAATTTGTCATAATACAAAATTTCAAATGACTCATTTTTACAGTATCCCATTACAAAATTAAAAAAGTAATGATCTTAAGCCATTTCAAGTGAAATCTTCAAAGGAAATAGATAATTAAGGGATTTTTATTTATTGTATAGCGTATACCTAAATATTTTAAAGCATTTTTACTTTCGAAACAAATTAATAAAATATAATTACGAGAAACACCGATGAATAAATTGTAATTTTACATATGAAGGTGTGAAAACCAAAGAAAATTTGATTAGTGAATATAATTCATATATTTTTGATAAAATTCTTTTCCTTTCAAAATTTTAAGCAGCAGCAGCAGCGACTGCAAGTTTCTTCTCCAACATTTGAAAATGTTCATCACACTTATCGCAGGTCACAGCACAATCAGAAACCACAAGCTCTTGCCATGCCTAAAGATTATTTTTTTGGAGAAACGAGTATAATTAATAACTGGTTCTTCACAGGTGGATGCTATTTGATCACAATTATCAGCCAAATCATTGCAATAGGGTTTTATATCTTAATAACGAGATGTTTATTTTTTTAAAACACCTCAGGGGAGTTTTAAGTCAAATTTAGAACCTTTCTTCGCAGCAGGAGCCTTATTTTTGCATGTAGCGCAACAATGTTTGCCCATGAATTCTTTTTGTACTTGAATTTTTGATTCACAAAGGCCTGATAATTTAGGGCAGTTGTGAGCAGCATCCTCATTACATGGTTCATTGCTGTCTTCTTAAGATCATTCAAATTTAAAAAAATGTTTTGCTATAATGAAATACTAATTGTATTTACAAGAATTATAGCTAATAAAGCAAGTATCATTTAGTTTGATAAGATCTTACGTTTTTGATTATTATCTGATTTATCTGTTTTAGAATTAACACCACTTGAACTTTTTTCCTTTTTCTCTTAACGGGAAATTAGTTAATTTAAATAAAAATTATAACTTTTCTCACCCTTCTCGTCCTTTTTATCCTTTTGAACGGACTTACTATCCTTCTTCTTACTTTTATCCTTCTTATGTTTATCCTCTTTCTCTTCCGCATCATCCTTCTTTTCTTCTTTATCTCCGTTTTCTTCTTCATCATCCTTTTTTTCTTCCTCATCCTTTTTTTCTTCATCGTCATCTTTCTTTTCTTCTTCATCTTCTTCTTTCTTTTCTTCCTCAGTTCCATCCTTTTTTTCTTCTTCATCACCTTCCGCTTTTTCCTCTTCACCTTCACTCTTTTTCTCTTCATCATCACCTTCTTTTTTTTCTTCCTCATCAGCATCTCCTTTATCTTCATCAGCATTCTCAGCATCTTCAGCCTTATCTCCATCCTCTTCAGGCTTGTCTTCATCTTCAGCCTTATCTCCCTCCTCATCATCATCTCTCTTCAATCTAACCAATTCCTGATCAACCTGATTCTCAGATTCCTGTAGAGAATTTATTTAATTATCAAATATATCTTTCTATTCAAACCTGAAGACCATTTGGAATGTTTCCCTTATCCCCCTCAGAACACCCCAAATAGATAAGGGTAAACAAGAGCAATATTGGGAAAAAGAATTTTAATAACATTTTTTACTGCTTTTTATTAACAAGTTTAAAGAATATTTTTTGAAGTTTGAAGATTTTTAGTTTATAGAAATGACAATAATTAACTGCCACAGCTCCTCTTAAAAAGACTGGCCAAAAGAAGTATTGAAGCCAAAAACTCGGGATAGTCATTTTACTCACATAAGAAGATTTCATTGAAAAACACTTAATATTTATTTGTAAATCTGCATAAAATGTTTTTTGAGGGAAAGTGTATTTTAATTTAAAGCAAAAGCTTTAATAAAAAATATTATTTCAAAATAAATTTAAAGAGTAAATTGAGCAATAATGAAATTAAAGGCTAAAAACCAGCAAGTTTAATGTTTACTCTTGAATTATTTCATAATTGCAAAAACGAGTGACTGTCTACTAAAGTGTAAATTCAAAAATATTTTAAAGATAAAAGATATTTTAAGAAATATTAAATGGATTTAACAAAATATAAAGTTTGTTATCAAAGATTTTAGGCTAAATGGTCTGAGTAGTGAGTAGCCAAAAGGTATACACAGGGGTGGATTTAGCTCGTATCTCATGAAATCCCTATTTTTATAGATCTCGTATCTTGTTTTATCTCTATTTTTTTGAGAATCTCGTGTCTTGTATTTTGTGGGATAAGGCCCACCGCTGGTATACATACATACTTATTGAAATCTAAAAATTCTTGGATTTTTCAGCTTAAGTGTATCAAATTAATTTAGGTTCTTCAGACAATCATTATTATGAGAATGATTGTCTTTAAGAAAAGAAATGCCAAATCTTGAAAAAAATACAGAAAATATTCGTAGCGAAAAACCAGCGGTGATGAACTAGGCGGAATTCTGATATGAGTGACTGCTTCAGTGTCGATTTTTCAGTGCAGAATTCAGCTTTTGTGGTTCCTAATTTTTTCGTTTTTTTATTTTTGTTACTTCTCCTTTGTCAACAAGGCTGTAGTGTAGTGTACCGGTGGTAAAAGTTCGTGACGTGACATATGTCATTCGATTCGTCTCGACGAGCTGAGTCGAACGGTACCACTCCCTACTTTAGGAAATAATTCTGGACCGAGTTATAGGTCCCGAAAAATCGAAAAACCATAGAGGGGACCAAGCACTTTTTTGGGGTGAAAAATTCGAAAATGCAAATTATACCTCATTCGAAAGAGCTCGTCGAGCTGAGTCGAATGACACCAAAATCAGCGAAATCCGACTTGATTTGACAAAGTTATGACCATTTGTTTTAGCTCCTTACCTTTGGCCTACGTGCAGGTTCTTGCTGCTGCGGAGGCCCCAAATACGTCCAGAGCAAGGGAGATAGGAATAGGTTTATGTTACGAGCCCAGACCCGCCGCCCGTAGACTCCCCGCGAGGCGCGTGCCGCAAAACCCCGCGCGAAGCGCGGGGTTTTGCACAAGCGCCTCGCCGACGCTCCATAGGTTTTTGACCCTAAAATCCCCCCTATGGTTTTTGACCATTTCGAGCCCTATATCTCGACTCAAACTTGTTCAATCAAGCTGATTTTGGTGTCATTCGACTCAGCTCGACGAGCTCTTTCGAATAAGGTATAATTTGCATTTTCGAATTTTTCACCCCAAAAAAGTGCTTGGTCCCCTCTATGGTTTTTCGATTTTTCGGGACCTATAACTCGGTCCAGAATTATTTCCTAAAGTAGGGAGTGGTACCGTTCGACTCAGCTCGTCGAGACGAATCGAATGACATATGTCACGTCCCGAACTTTTACCACCGGTACACTACACTATATCCGTCAACAATTTAAATATTTCTTTTTAATTTAGATTATGGATTGTGATCTTGATGCCATTAAAAAGGCGATAGGCCATGAATCAGATGATAGTGACATTGAAGCCAATGAAGAATTGATGGCCGAATTATTAGCTTTAAATGGTGATAATTTAAAGGATTTTGAATTGGGTAATTAATTATTGGAAATATACTTATTTTTAACTGTAAATTTAGTTAAGAGACCAAAACAAACTCCAAAAACAGCACAAAAACCAAAACAACAAAAACGCGAATTTGTTATTCCTAGTAATATTTTAAATCTTGAAAATGATGATGTTGATATGGAAGTTTCTGAAGCAGACATGAATGATAAGGATTTACTTGTAGGTGTTTATTAGATTTAATTTTTTGTTGGAAATTAATTTTAATTTATAATTATATCTTTAATTTTAAGTCAGAATTGGGTGGTCTGGTTGGTAGCCAGTTTAATAATGACGTTGAACTCAACGAAGAAAGTACTTCACAATCCAATATTACTCAAAACCACGCTTCCTGCCAGTCACTTATAGATATTAAATCAGAGGAAGAGGAAGGTTGTATATTATTTTTAAATTTGTTAGATTCTGATAAAGATATTGTTTTTATTTAATTTTCAGTACCATCCAAAGAAAAAGAATCTCCTTCAAAAATGGATACTTCATCAAATAGAGTTGAGCCTAGAAATCCGATGTCTGAAGAATTTGTCCAACCAACTCGAAATGACAACCAGCCTTCGTCTTCTTTAGATTCTATTGCCCGTACTCTTCTTACAAGAAGGCGTAAACTCTACTTGGAAAGATCAAAGGCTGCCAAAGAAGCAAATGACAAAACTGTGGCTGTTGAAGCTTTTCAAACTTTTAAATTATTTAATCAAGCATTAGGTAACTTTTTCTTTATTTTTTAAATTTATTTTCAAAGATGCTATGAATGAGGGTGTGACTTTGTCTGAGGAAGATATTCAACAAATTCCTCCAAGTCCTCCACCTTACAAATCAGCTTTAATCAAACCAGAAGTTAAACCTATTAAAGCAGAGTCTTCTGCTGTTAAACATTCTGATAATAAATGTATTTTTTATTGTCATTTAAAAAGAAATCTAATAAAATTTCAGCAAAAACTGTCGCGGAACCTTACATGAGTGATGAACTCAAATTAGTTACATCAAGACAAATGCAACTTAAGAAAGCTGCATTAACTGCCAAGAATCAAGGGGATATGGACACGGCTAAAGAGTTATTATCGTTGGCAATGAGAATGAAACCAATGGTTTTTTTAAACATTTCTTCGACTAACTCTAATTTATTATATTTTTTATTTTTAGGTTGAAGCTGCTGAATGTGGTCTTCCAATTGATGTTCAACAAATACCTAGTTTACCTTCTACTTCTAAAGCGTTATCCACTAAAATTTCAAAAAGAGTTGCTGTGGATCCAGAGACTTTAAGTAAGTTATTTTTAAAAATAATGTTAATGTAAATTTTATTGGTTTTTTTAGAAAAATGTCAGACTTTAGAACGTGAATTGCTCAAACAAATTGCTCTATGTACTGAAAAGTCTAGTCAATTTCAGTCAGTAGGGGACTCCAAAAATACTCTTTTTTATGAAGCATTGCTACAAACTTGCAAAGTAATTATTTCTATTTATTTGCTTATTTGTTTTAAATTTTAGAAAGACCTTCAAAGCGTTCAAATGGCTATGTTAGGAAATGCTGAATTCCCCAGGTTTTTTTAAAATAATTTTTAAACATTTTAATGTTTTTAGTTTTAAAATTGTTGAATTAACTCTTCCAAATATTCAAATTAATCCTTCAATATCAGATGAACATTTACAATTAAAAATTGAAAAAATATCAAATTTACAATTGCCAAAGGTAATTTCAAAAATTAATTTCTTTAAATTATTTTATTTTTAAGGGATGGACAGCTTCAGATTTATATTTATTTGTCTCTTATAAATTTGCTTTTTCTATCGATTCACAAGTTCAGCAGACAGGGAAAACTTCTGTTGTTAAAGGAACATCTTCGCCAGGTTTTGAATTATCTTTTATTAAATTATTTAAATATTTCTAGAATTTCCTGATGTTTTCCAGTTGAATATAAATAGAAAAAATAAATTTTTAAGATTTTGCAAAAGAGGCTCAATTAAATTAGAGGTATTTTTTAAGTTAGAATTTAAGAATATTTTTTATTGACAGATCTTTCAAAAAGGAGGCTTCTTTAGAAGTGATAAATTATTTGGACATGCGGAGGTTCCTTTACAAGAATTGGAACAAAATATTTTTATTCGAGGACAATATAAAATTTTGGAAGGAAAGAAAAAAACTAATGGATCAATTTTTGTTGATGTAAATTTATTTTTAATTTTTCTTTTAAATTAAAATTTTAGATTCAAATTAGTAAGCCAATTGGAATTAGCAATTCTGGAGGTGCTGTAAAACGTAAATGGGTTAAATTGGATGATTGATTGTAATTTTAATCAAAAGAAATACGGGAACTTTTTTTAAAAAAGATTTTTGAAAAATTTTTATTAACATTTTTGTAGCCATACTTTTTTTTATAAATTTTATTAGTTACTATAAAATATTTTAAAATTTTGTTAAATATTTAGTTTGATTTTTCTATTAAATATTTTTTAATTTTAACAAGTTTTCGTTATTTATTTGTATTAAAGATAATGGATAGACCTACAACCGCATCAAATAGTTTACATTTAGAAAGTAATATACAAAGTCACCGTTCGCATTCACACTCTCATAGCCGTTCTGCGACACGTGGAAATCGTCAAGAGTAATTTAAAAATATTCTTTAAATTCTTTAAAATTATTTTTAGACCCGGTGTTGATTTAATATGTAAAGTTAAATATACAAATAAATTGCCAGATTTACCTTTTGAGCCAAAATTTCTGCAAAGTCCATTTGTTTCATTAAATCGGTATTTAATTTAATTTTTGAAATTTTTTAAATTTTTTCTTTAAAGTTTTGTAAATTATAAGCCATCTACATTAGAAAAAAACTTCAAATATGAACTTTTGACAGAGCCAGATTTGAATGTTAAAATTGACTTAATTTCGACAACTTATCAATTAGATGGGATTGATAAACCACATTTACATCCCATTGATGAACAATTACTTGAAGATGAGAGTATTCAACAATTAAATACAAAACGGTTTGTTTATTTGTTTTTTTTTCGATTTCCAAGTTTTCATTTTAGATCAATTCAGCACAGAAAAGTTGTCCCATGGATGCGTAAAACAGAATATATCAGCACAGAATTCAATCGTTATGGTCTTGGTCAAACAGGAGTTGACCGTCCCGACACTAAAATTGGTTATGGAATGAAAAATAGATTAAAAGATGAAACTATTGATTATAAAGACCGTTCTTCACAGATTGCAGCAATTGAGAGAACATTTGAACACGCAAAGAAACCAATTAAACGGCATTATTCACGTCCTGGTGTAACAGCAGTTGAAGAAATTCCAATTCTTCCAGACTTTGATGTATATTTTTTTAATCGAAAATTAAATATACCTAATTTTAGTTGTGGAAATTTCCTTTTGCACAAGTTTTATTCGATGCCGATCCTTTACCTTATTGTAAAAATCATAGACAAGAGAAATTGACTTTATCAATTCTTAGGTTTTTTTATTAATTTTTTGAAAAAAAATAATTTTATGTTTTTTAGAGGAATGGCTGATTCTGAAGGTAATCAATTTGTCGGATATTTCTCTCCTTTCGATGAAGCACTTGAACAACGACTAGCTGATGATAAAAAAGAAATTGGGTCATATAAAGAAGATTTCGAGTAAAAATTTTTTTTATTTTACTAAAAGAAAAATTAATTTAAAGGTATCAACACAAACTTGAAAGAGAATATAATTGGTCTGTACAAAACAAGGCAACGAAAGGATATGAACAGGTAATCAAGAATTTTAAATTATTTTATATTTTTAATTTAGGAAAATTATTTTATGGTTCTACGTGGGTCTACTTTTTATTATAATGAATTGGAAACTCGAGTTAAATTAGCAAGACGTGTTAAGGGAAGTAATACTTCTACATCAAATGTAAATTTTTCGCTTTTTTTCTTTAAAAACAAATTTAAATAATTTAGAACACAATACTTTCTGTTACAAATCGAATGTTGGACAGCAAGGAATTGAGTCAAATGGTAATGTTTTTTTCGACACGACCAAACGTAACTTATGCTTTTGTTTTTCAGAATCAAAGATCTAATCTGCTTTATGGTTTGCAAGAAGAAGAGGAGGAAGAAGAAGCTGAAGAAAACGAAGAGAAGGAAGAAGAAGAGAAAGAGGAAGAGGTTGAAGAACACGAAGAGAAAGATGAAGAAGAACAGGAAGAAGCAGAATCAGTAGCAGATGCTGAACCTACAACCCCTAAGGAGGTGGAAACTGATGAAGAAAAATCCAACAAAGAGGATGATGATAATGAAAATCAGGAAGAGATCGAGCAAGTTGATAGGGATGGAGAAGAAGAGGAGGAAGAAGGTCAGCAAGTTGTTCAACAACCTGAGGTAGAGGAAGCGGAGGAAGTTGGTGCAACAACTGAGAGTTCTGAAGAAGAATCTAGTACTTCGTCTGATTCTTCTGATAAAGATGATGAATAAAATACAAAGAAAATTTTGTTCTTAAGTTTGAAAAAATTGTTTTTAGTTTTCTTTTTATTTGAAAATTACTTTTTTTATATATATAAAAACATCATTATCATGAAAGTAATTATTTAATTTTTGGTTAAGACCAATAAATTTATTGTCAAATTATTTTTAATTATTCTGCCTTTGATTAGTTTTTGTTTTCAAAAAATTTCAATGTCGACTGAGGATGAGAATGAAACCTACAGACTTTGGCGTATTCGCAAAACTGTTATGCAGGTAAAAATTATTTTGATAAAAAAATTTAATTTTGTTTTTAGATGTGTCATGATCGTGGATATTTGAGTAAGTTAGGTTTTGGAGAATATTAAAATTAGATGAGTTGAAAAACGAAAATCGCGATTAAATTCCCAGACAGCTGTAAATTAGATTGAGAAACATTTGAATTCTTCGTGGTAACCTTCAATAATAATTAATTTTTCCAGTTACTCAAGATGAATTGGATCAAACTTTGGATCAATTTAAAGAAATTTTTGGCGATAGGCCAAGTGAGAAAAGACCATCTAGAGGCGATTTAACTATTTTGGTTGCACACAATGACGATCCAACAGGTTACGGAGGATTTAAATTTTCTAATAAAAAATAAAAATTTTTCAGATCAAATGTATGTTTTCTTTCCGGAGGATCCAAAGATTGGCATAAAAACGATTAAACAAATTTGTCAACAAATGCAAGAGCAAAACATTACAAGAGCAATTATTGTTGTGCATGTTGGTATGACACCATCTGCTAAACAAGTAAAGAATATATTTAATTTTAGATTTTTTTAAATATTTTTAGGCAATTGTTGATATGGCACCAAAATATAATTTAGAACATTTTCAAGAAGCTGAATTAATGGTTAACATAACTGAACATGAATTGGTGCCTGAACATGTTGTGATGAGTGCTGAGGAAAAAGCTGAATTACTTGCTAAATAGTAATGGGAAATTGATAAAAAATTAATTTTTTTTTCTTTCAGTAAATTAAGAGATAGCCAACTTCCTCGAATTCAAGTAAGTGATCCTGTTGCTCGTTATTTTGGTCTTCGTCGTGGTCAAGTTGTTAAAATTATTCGTCCATCAGAAACAGCTGGTCGTTATATTACTTATCGTTTATGTTATTGAATTTTGTTGTTTGTATTTGTTTTAAATTTATTTGGAATTTCTGAAAAAATAAAATGATTATTTTTATATTTGTCAGTATTTTTATTGGAGTAAAAATTCTTTTAAAAGAATTTTTCTCGTTAGGCAAATAATTTTCTCAATAATTTAAAAATTTATTACCTACATAAAACTAAAAAAAAGTGAAACAATCTAAAATTATTTTTCGAAAAATTCTTAATGTCTTTTTAAGAGAATTTCAGGATCATTCCAAACTAGTATATGGTAAATATTAAAAGTCTAAGAGTTACGTCCACATGAAATTTCAATTTTCTTTAATTTTTTATCTTTTGCTTATAATAAATTAAACAAAAATAAACTAAAGAAATTACCTAACCAACTTTTATGTTTTTTTAAAAATATTTCCATACAATGAATCAAGAAGTCACACCAATGTTTTCATTTTTACAACTTTTACTTACCAAAAATTCAATTTTATATCTTTTTAAATGAAAATAAAATATTTAAAAAATATTTTTATTTTTGTTTATTTTAATGTTTATTTTGTTTATTCTATTGGAATTAATCATTTAAATAGAATGGCCATTCAACATAATAATGGTCATTTAGGGGGGAATATTCATTCCTCAACACAAACACATTTAAATAATCATTTCCCAACAACAACATTATCCCAAACAAATTCTTTAAATAATAATTTTAATTTACCTTCTCCAACAATTTCCCCATTTTCTACAATAAACCCTTTATCAGAAGAACAAAATAAACAAATTCAACATTCATCTCCAAGTCAAACTAGTACTTTGAGAAATTCTTTAAATCAAATACCTTCTACGCCTTTAATAAGTCAAAGTAGTAGTACTTTTCCACAAACAAATAATTTCCAACCTCTTTTCACTCCTACTCCTCAAATAACTAAATTTACCAAACAAAATGTAGATGAACAATTTGGACAAATACCTACTCCACAAACGCCTACTATTGGAGGAAATTTACAAAAGACTCCAACAAATCCTCAATTTGTTGAACAAGTAGTTCAGAAAGATCATTCAACTCTGGCACCACATCAACTACAAACACATTCAACCATCCCTCTTAGATCAACTGAGTTCCACCAACACCATCAACAGCAACAATTTAAAAATCCTTCAATAACTACCCCAACTCATTCTCAGCATACTTCAACAGTAACCCCTTCGCAACATCCATCATGGCCAAAAAATGAAGAAACTGTACAAAATTCACAAAATACCCAAGTAGTCTCACCACACACTTCATCTCTTCCAATAAATTTACAACAGCAAAATATTAATGGCCAAACTACTCCACTGCAAAAATCTTTTTTAAATGAAGGAGAATCAACAAAATCATTTCCAAATCATCAAAACATTCCTTCAAATACCCAACAAAATAATTTAAATACAAATTTACCAATCTTAAATAATCAAAAATTAATTAATTCATCACCTTTTTCTCAAAATCAAAATGTCCATTTAGCTAATACAGTTATTCCGTCTCAATTAAATTCTCCTCAAAATTTACATCAATCAACAAATCCTTTATTAAATACAAACAAATCACCAACATTTTCTAGTAATCAATTACCCCCAATACAACCTCAAAATAATTCTCCAGAAATAAACTTTAATCTACCAAATTCACATAAATTAAATTCTCAAGAATTAATTAGCTCCCCTTCAACATCCAAAAATAATTCATTAAATAAACAAAATTTAAACCAAAATTTGCCAAAACCATTGTTTAATGGAAGAGAATCAACATTAAATACTAACCATTTAACAACCTCAACACACCCACATTCTCAAAATAATTCCCAAAATACTTCCTCAATTAATTCCCCAAGAAAAAATAAATTAGAAACAAATTCCCAAACATTAAATTCTCAACCAACATCTCAAATAAATTCTAATATAAACACAACAACACTCCTTTCTACTTTATCTTCAAATAATTCTTTAAATTCACAAAATCATTCAAGTAAACAAACAGAAAAACAAAATATTATCCCTACACCTACTAGTTTATTTTCAAATCAAACAAAAAATCAGAATTTACAAAATAATAAAATAAATGAATCAAATGAAGAAAATCAGTCTAGTACTATTAATAATTTCAGAAATTTAAATAATTCAAAAGAAAAGAATCACAAAAATACTACACAAATAAATAATGAAACTTCTTCAAAACAAAATTTATCAGCAAAAGAAAAAAGTGAATTAAATAAAAATAAATTATTTGGAAATAATAATGAGACATCAACTACAAGAACTGAAAATTTAAATACGAATACAAATAAGTTGAAAGAAAATACTTCAAATATTGACAAAAATGAATTTAATAAATTTGGAAAAATTGAAAATAAAAATAAAATAACAAATAATAATTTAATTTTAAATACAACAACAACAGCCTTACCAACAACAACATTACCACAAAAAATAACAACAACAACACAAGACCCAATAATTCGTAAAGAATTAGAAAAAGTTGGGGCGCCTGAAATATTAAAACAAATGGTCCCTCCAAAGCTAGAACCTGTTAAATTACCTGAAATTGCTAAAAAGAATATTGAAGTAAAAAATTATTTTTAAAATTATTAATTTAAAAAATTATTTTTTAGTCAATTTGTGCAAACAGAAAATGTTTAGGACAAAAACAAGAATTTAAGGAGCAACGGGCAGTTGTTGTAAAACAAGAACAGGCTGTTGAGTTGAAATTAAAGTAAAAAAAGTTTTCTTTAAATTATACTTCACATAAAATCTAGAGTTATCGAGATTGAAATTTTCCAAGATATTAATTTATAATCTCGATCGATCCTTAATTCCATCTCCAATTGAGAGTAGCATTAAAGAAGTGATTTCTTATGTCCTTCTAGTAGGGTAGCACCCCGATCCCCGACACACACGACCCCGAAGGCTCGGAGTGATACCCTCGTCTGAGTCATGCCTTTCTAGAGATAAAGTGCCCCTTCTTAGAAACGATTCAAAGAATCACTGAAACGAAGTTATATTTTAGCTCGAGAAAATTCTGAATCGTAAAGATTTTATTTAAATTTACTAAATATTCCGAGGAAATTATTTTTTAAATAATTATTTTTATATTAAAGTCCAGGCAAAAGTGTAGTTCAAGTACAACATGAAGTGGAAAGGCGTGTTTCCAAAACTTTTCAATTGAAAAGAGAAATTTTAAAAAGTGCTGGATTAGAAGGCAAATTTATAATTAATTTTTAATTAATAAATAGTAATTCTTTTAAAGATAAAGTAGAGCCAGCAAATAATGGTGTTTTCCAAGCAGATTTATTATTAACAGAAGAACAAGCTAATTCATTAATTGTTGAATTACAAAAACAAATGTCTCAAAAATTAAGTAATTCAATTACAAAACACAAAACAAAAAGGGCAGGAAATGCTGTATTTATGGAATCATCACCAAGTCAACGTTGGCCTTTAGGAGTGCCAATTCAATATTTATTTGATCAAAATATTGGTGAATATATTTAAATATGTTTTTTAAAATTAAGTTTTGTCTATGGTTGACAAATAGAATTTATTGAAAATATTTTTATAAAAATTCAGTAAAATTCTGTTAGGATTCGTTTTAAAAATATTTTAAGGAAAATAATATGATTGAGAAATGAACATCTATAATAATATTAAAAAAATATTTTAAGCATTAAATGAACAAAATGCTGTAAAAGAAGCTTTATCAGAAATTCAATCAAAAACTTGCTTACAATTTATTGAAACAAAAACAAAACCTACGGGAGCTCATTTATATTACACAAAAGTTGCGAATCCAACTTTGTTAAGTTTTTCTTTAATTCTGATTTTTCCTTTCTTTTCTAATTTTAATTCTGATTATAATTCTGCTAATATTTTTAATAATTTATTTAAAATTCTGGGAATAATTCTGATTTTTTAAAATTATTTTTTTGTTTTATTCAGTTGTGGCCTAAGTTATATTGGACAAATTTTGCCTGCAAATCCAATTTATTTATCGTTTATGTGTGGAAATGGATCGGGTATTGCTTTGCACGAAACACTCCATGCTTTAGGTTTTCAACATGAACAGCTTCGTTTTGATAGAGACCAATTTATTACTGTTAGGTTTTAAATAGTAGTTTTTATTCAACTAACAAAATTTTCTAAAATTAAAAGAATTTTTTTATTTTTTCAGATTCAATGGGAAAATGTTAATCCTCAACAAGTAATACATATTTCCACAATATATTATCAAATATAATTTTTAGTTGGACTTTTTTGCAATTTCTGACGTTACAAAATTTTCTAGGCAATCTTCTGTTATATTAAGTCTCATAATTTTTATTTATCAGTTATGGTCTTCGTTATGATTATGGTTCAATAATGCATTATTCTGACACAATTGCTGCACAATCTCCTGGGAAGAAGACAATGACCGCTAAATTAGCTCCCTTTTTGAATGGTTAAAAGCAAAGTTTTCTCTTTCTAAACATTTAATATACTAGATCCAATGATGGGACAACGTAAAGGATTATCAACATCTGATATTGAGGCACTAAACAAAATGTATTGCATGCCAGGTAATTTCGATTTCTTGTAGAAAATCTTTTTTTTTTATTTAATTTAAGGATGTGAGGATAAACTGGTCTATTGTGGAATATGGGCAAGCAATAATTTATGTAATCCACAAATGTGGAGAAGAGTAGTTGTTTACGAATGGATTATAAGTAATTGCCAAAAGTCGTGCAACAAATGTGGTGAAAAACTGGAACCAGTTAAAAATAGGCCTTTTTAGAAGGTGTTAAACATTTAAGATTTTTTATTAATTTATCTGTTTGTTAGTATTAGAATGATAAAGATTCGTCTAACATTTTACTTAAGATTATTTGGTATTTAATGGTGTTTTAAGATGGAATTTTAATTAAAATGATTAGAAAAAGCATCGAAGGAAAGACTAGTCTTTAGATCAAAAATTTACAAGTTTAAATTTTTCAATTAGTTCCCTAAACATTATGCCAACATTTAATTTAAATGTCTGTTTACTATCATTGTTATATTACAGCTCTCGCTCGCTTCACTTTTTTTGCTGAGAAAAAAGGGTCAGAAGTGAGAAAAGTTGTAAAATGGTCAATCACTAGAAACTTATAGGGCACGGCGCTTCCACCCTGTTGACGCACGCGTGAAAACTACTTACAATTAGTTTTCTATTTCTCCTTTCTTTCGTTCTCTAACTGTCTCTCTTTCTTTTATGCACTCTTTTTTTGCGACTGCGAAAACAAATTTTAATAAAACTTTAAAATCCCATATCTTTGTTTTTTTATAACAGATTTTGATTTTGTCTAACAGTTTAATAGACCTTACTGTAAGAGCTTTAAGATCATCCTGCAGAAAAATTAGGGAAATTTTGCTTTTTTTCAAGAAAATTTGCTTCAGTAACTTTTCTATCAATTTTAAACAAAAAACTAAATGTAAAAAAGTCAAAGAAAGTTGATTTTGGTACTATTCGATGCAGCTCGATGAGACGCATCGTATTATGTAAACTTCGAATTTATAGAGTTCATTTAGGGGGAGTTATGGCCAAAAATGTATGAAATTTCACCGATTTTCGAAAAATCATAACTTCGCCCAAAGTGCATAGGTATTTTCCGCTCAAACTTTGCAAAGTTGTATATCAATTATAGTACTACAATTTGGCAATTTTTGAAGGAAATTTTGCCACTTGGGTTTATTAGTTATAGACTCCTGAATGTCGACAAATTATACTTCCGAATATGGACAATTCCCGAGTATGTGTGTTATATGTCATTCGAAAGAGCTCGTCAAGTTGAGTCGATGACACCAAAATCAAGAAAAGACCTTAATTATGAGCTGAGATACAGACTCCTAAAAGTTCAAATGTCGAGTTTTCAAAAATTCATAACTTAGCTAAAAATGTATATTAGCTTCTCAAACTTTGTAGGATTGTTTAACTATTTTAGGACTACAAAAATTAAAAATTTGAAAAAAATCGGATGGGAGGATAAAAAGTTATAAAATTTAACTAATTCCCCCTCACAAATGAGAGAATTGACCATTTTCCTTCACTCTGACCATTTTATAACTTGTCTCCTTCTGACCCTTTCTCTTGTTTACAATAAAGTCAGACGCACGAGAGATGCAATAGAATTTGGAGAATAACAGACATTTAATTTAAATTTTGGCGTTATGTTTAAGGAAAAGAGTTGGGTAGGGGATCATTGTGTACCGGCCGTTTGTGTACCTGGCCATATTTTGGGCCATAACTTTTTCAATTCTTAATTGATTTAAATAAATAATATATCAATTGAAAGCCCTGGATGTGAGGATTATTTTTGCCAACAGTATTGATTTGATCAGATAATCATACAAAAAGTTACAGACAGATAAAGATCAAAATCACGATTGAGCGCATTTATCGAGATATAACTTTTTATAACATGATCTGATCAAATCAATCCTGTTGGCGAAAATAATCCTCACATCCAGGGCTTTCGATTGATATAATAATAATTGAAGTCGGTTAAGAATCAAAAAAGTTATGGCCCAAAATATGGCCAGGTACACAAACGGCCGGTACACAAGTGGGACGTTCCGAAAAGAGTTAGCTAGTTTTCACTCGTGCGTCAACAGGGTGGAAGCGCCGTGATAGGGTAGTTGATCTGTAGAAACTTTCGTCATGTTATCCTTGTTCTCTGAACCTTTTGCGCGTTTTACTGTGCCTTTATTTATTCTCCTTTCAATTTTAGATTTTTATATACACATATGGAAATTTGCAGTGAAAGGCATCGATTTCCATTTTGTGTTGTTTGGACTCCCATTCCCTTGCTTTCATGGATTTGTCCATTAATCGGACATATGGGGATTGCAACAAGTAAAGGTAAATTATCTATTTATTTTAAAATCAATCAATTTAATTCTATTTATTGTTAGGCGTGATTCGTGATTTTGCTGGAAGTTACTCAGTGTCAGAAGATGATATGGCTTTTGGATGGCCAACATTTTACAAACAATTTTCTCCAACCAATGTTCATGGAGGTGCAGAATCTTGGGATAGAGCAATAGATGAAGCAACCAATGTTTGCTTTATCTTTCAATTCTTATTTTGAGTTTCACAGGTTTACCTTGAACGAGTGCATAACCTTTTATGTGATAATTGCCATTCTTTTGTTGCTTTGGCTTTAAACAAAATGCATTATGGTGGAAGGACAGACTGGAACATGTTCAAGTAATTTCTGAATATTGTTTGAGACTCAAAATGAAATTTCTTTTGTAATTTTTCTAAAATTCGTGGTTTTATTTTTCTTCTATTCTCATTTCTCAATTTTTTAACATTTTTCTGTGAAAATATTGACATTAAATTTCATTAATTTCAGATTAGTCCTTTATCTCAATATTGGAGGCCATTTTGTCGGGTAAATTAATTTATTTTTTCTACTTACCAAATTTATTCTTTTTAAAGATTTGGTGGTTTTCTGAAACAATATCTACCAACTTTATTTTTCTTTGCCGTGATAATCTTATTTTTTCTTTTTTATTGATTATAAATATTTTACTTAATTTCCTTTTTTACAATCGTTTTATTCGAATGAATATTTGATTGTTTACTCATAATTGATTTTTACTATATTTTTAGAGACAGCGATGGTACGGATTTCTGTTGATGTTGTCAATAAAGCATATCAGGTCATTAACTTTGGCATATTTTCTGTCGAAAAAGTCTTCTATTTTTAGTATATAAATCCTTGTAAACAGCGTGAACTTTCTTTAAGAAACCTTCAAATACCAACAATTGAAAATTTGGGTGTTACAAAGGTTAAAATAAATTTTTAAGTTACCTATGTTTGTTTTTTTATTTTTAGGACCAATTTGATGTTATCGACTTGTCTGACAATAATATAAGGAAATTAGAAAATTTACCCAAGCTGAAACGTCTTGAGACCTTATTAGTGCATAATAATCGTGTTGAGTTTATAGCGAAGGATATCGGAGAGAATTTACCAAAATTGAGTACTCTTGCTCTGACTAACAACAATTTGAGTGAATTGGGTGATATTGACAGTTTGGCACTCCTCCCTAAACTTGAATATTTGAGGTTATCTTTAATTTATTTAAAAAATTTGGTTCATTTTTAAGTTTGCAAGGCAATCCATTGACTAAACTCACAAACTATCGTCAATATGTTATTTACAAATTAAAAAGTGTTCGAGTACTTGATTATCAACGGATCAGACTTGCTGTAAGTTATTTTTCTATTTAATTTTATAAGTGCCGTAGATCAAAATCTATTTCCATTTTTGTTCAATTTTTTTAATTCTTTAGACTTTCCCTTTATTTTAAATTACTGACCAGATACTACACATTTTCCCTAGGAACGTCTCGCCGCCAAAAAACTGTTTAAAGGTGAAGCCGGATCTCGTCTAAAACGTCAAATTGTTCGTCGTTCACAAATAACTGGTTCAGCAGCTGAAAACATTGAAAATGTCAGAGCACGTCCATCTGAAGAACAAAAGAAGATTCGGGTTAATTTTATAAATTTATTTTAAATAAAAAATTTATTTTAATTAAATAGGAATTAATTTCGGGCGCAAAAACTTTGGCAGATGTGGAACGTGTTAATCAAATCCTTCAAGGTTCTAATTCACATCAAAATGGACAAAACGGCGATGCAAATATGTATGAGGATGATGATTAAAAATGAAACTCTTTTGTTTTGTATTTTTAAAATATTTTACATTCCATTTAAAAAGGAATAAAATTGTTTTCAAATTACCTATCTTTAAATAGAGGTTATATCACCTTCAATATTTTTTCAGCTTTTGTATTCCGTATTTATTTAATATTTTCTTTGTAGTTTGTCTATTTGTTAATTTTCAAAAAAATGGATGAAGGAACTTCAAATCAAATTGACCCGAGTTGTGTAAGTATATATGATGATCAGTTAATTCTTTCTTTGTTTTTCAGATATCTCTTTTTAATTGTCCGTCCCCCAGTGATCTTGTAACTAACGTGAGTTTTCGAGGAGTAAGGTAATTAAAATATTTGGAATTTAAGGATTTTTGCGGAACTTCTAATCCAGTTTCTGAAGCTTTTGATTATAAACCTGATGGCCAAAAGATCAGGTTTGACACATCTAAATTTTATATACTATTTTATTTTTATTTCTAGTTATACAAAATATGCGGACAATAAAGGCAAAGAAGTGGCAAAACGTAAAGTATTTGTTGAGCGTATGGAGCGAATGAAAGAAGCCAGAGGGATTTTATTTAACATTCCACAGGTTATCTTTTGTATTTTCTCGTTGGTTCATTTTGTGATTTTAATGTAAGGCAGATTAGTTTGCCTTATTTTTAACTGATTCTTGCTTTACTGTCCATTTAACATTCTTTTAAATCCTATATTTTTTTGGGCTTTCTGAAAATTTCTCAGAAATAAATCTTGTAAATCTCTTACAAATTAAATTAATGCCTTAAAATAAAATAATTTTTAGTTTAATCTGGCAACCATGAACCAAGTTTGTTTATCAATGAAGAAGTTTTCTCGTTCATCTGATGTCAAATCATTCATCTCTTCTAATGTATTAGAACATGTATTCTCTGATATTTCAACTAAACAACAAAAACTACCCGAAGCTGTTGGGGAATTACTTAATGGAGAAGAAGCCGACATTTTAGCAAGCAAAAGAAAATCTCCAGTTACTAGGCAAATTGTCGTAACTTCTGATGAGGTTTATTTTGTACATTTGTTTGAATAATTGTTATTGACTATAGGATAATACTGACATCGAAGAAGATGAATTTGTCGATCGTAAATTGAACATGAGGTTTGTTGTGATGTTTTGGGTTTCTGTTTTTCTTAATTAAAAAGCCTTGAACTGATTTTGAGATTTTTATAATAATGAGATTGAAGTTAGGCTGTTATTAAATATAAATTTGATAAGTTTCTAGGATCATATTTTAAAATATGTGGACTTGTTCTTTAAATTTTTCCTAATTTACTCGATTATTTATAGCGTTGAACTTTACGATCTATTGGAGCAGAGATCTCATATATTGACAGCAGACGCACATGCAAAACGATTGTTGAGAGAACTTGAACAAAAACAATTTTGGGTAGAATCACAGGTTATTTAATAAATATTGAAACTTAAAAATCAATTTTTATATTTTATAGCTTTCAAATATACAAGAAGATTTAATGTTTGAATCTCCTGTAAATACGGGTGACGAGGATGTTGATTCAATGACTTGTGCTCGTTGTAGACCATTAATTGCTAGAAGGTCTGGAAGCAATGATGTTGTTGGACGTCAATTACTATCTCACATTTTTAACAGGTATTATATTATTAATCAAAATTATTTTTTCTTGGGTAAATCTATTTTTAGAAATTTTTTGAATTTTTTTTCGATTTTTTCAATGTAAAATTAATATAATGAATATTAAATAAAATATTGTAAAAATAATAATCTAAATTTTTTTGATCAAAATTATTTTTTCTTCGGTTAACTTATTTTTAGAAATTTTTTGAAATTTCTTATAATTTTTTCTAATTATCGAATTATTTTATTTTTTTCATTCTTGGTTAATAAACGATTTTTAAATAATTACTAAATAATAATAACCAAAATTCTTAGTTTCTGTCTTCGAGTAAATTTATTTTTTCTTCTGTTAAATTATTGTTACAAATTTTTGAATTTTTTTTGATTTTTTTCTAGGTAAAATTATTAAAATAAATTTTTTAAATATATATTTAAATAATAATAACCTAAATTTTTTACAACACGATTTATCTCAAAAAATTTCTAGGAGCTTTCAACAAATTTTTAAAATAATTTAACCAAAAAACTAAATTTACTCGAGGACAGGAACTAAGAGTTTCGGTTATTATTATTTAGTAATTTGTTAAATATGTTTTATCTTATAAATATATTTTTTATTTAGGCGCAGAAATGACACCTTTTTTCGCCCATTAATTTCGAATAAAAAATGTGGTGTTTATGAATATTCTTTTACTGATGAATCTGTCCATCGTTTACTTTCTTTGCCTTCAGGTTTTTTAATTTAGAAAAATAAATTTTGTTTTATTAAATAATTTTTCAATTTAAGCAATATCTATGGATGTCCAACTTCAGAAATATCTACATGTAATTAGCTTTATATCGCCTGAAGTCGAATTGAGAAGGTATAACTTTGTTATTTTACATATTATAAATTGAATTTTTAGATTTAGAACAGCTCGAATAATTAATCAAAGCAATGGAAAAGAAGTTGTTCAAAAATTTTACGATTTAATAGAAGATGCTCATGATGAACAAACGTCTTTGGATGGTGATAGTCATTATGAACAAGGAACACGAGGAATTAGACTATCTTTTCACAAAAAAGGCAACAAACATAAAAGAAAAAGGCATGCTTCGAATTATTCAGAAGATGATGCTGACACTGATGATCCTGGAGATGGAGATTTTGTTCCTTCTCCAACTTTTTTGTCAAACAAGAAACGGCGCTGTATGACATTTGACAATCAAGAGATGAAAAAACTTTATAGTTCTAAACCTTCAAAGGTTAAAAAATTCTTAAATAATTTTATCAGGGGAACCTTCCGAACTGTCAGTACTGAATCTATAAATTTAACTGAATCTATAACTTTTCGATTTGGGGATCTAGCTAAAAATTGGCAATAGGTTATCGACCAAGCTCTACACGATGATATAATTTTTGTTTAAAAAATTTTTCTTGTAATCAAACCATTTTTTTTAATACAGATGGAGAATCGTCGTTCATCTCATGTTGAGTTTGGTGCTTCTATGTTTGATTATGATGCTCAATTAATGGATATTGGATTACCACTACCAACAATTCAAAACGTTGAAAATGTAGAAATTGCTGTTCCATCATTTAGACGGAGACCTGCAGTTTTGGATAATCATTCTGAAACTAATAGTTGTAAGCATTGTCAAAATATGGAAGGAGGACAAGAATGCATAATTTGGACAGATATTCGACGATTGCATGGAGAATTGGAGAGTCAGGAAAGACAGAATAGATGCGCTCGTCCCTCTAATTGTGGCACGATAACTCGAAAATTGACTGCTTCTTGTTTTGAATGATTTACAATCAAAAATTGTTTTTTTACTGCTCGTTTCTGTTTTTAAATTGATTTTGGCACAAGAATTTTTGAACGAAATTAAAGAAGAAATTATTATACTTATTAACTACATACGTACATCAAATTAATGTTTTTTGCGGGATGGGAATTGTTTTTGGACCTCGAATCTAAAAAAGCAGGTTATTTTTTTAACTGTTTTTAGAAGGGAAAAATAATAAAATTGAAAGAGTAAATCACAAAGACATGTAGGTAATTATCATAACTAAAGACAGACGTCTCCAGACTGCTGTAGCATATTTTCGGTTTCTACTATTTTTTTATCATTATTTTTTGCATTAACAATTTTTCTGCTTTTTCCAGTGCACCATCAATTAATTTTTTAGCCGCGATCATTAACCAATTTTTAGCTGCCTTTTGAATATTCAGAACAATCTTGATAATTGATCCGGATTGGCCCAATTTCCTTTACCATGCCAAATTTAATTAAGAGCCTCATAGGCTATTTCCGTAGCCTTTTCCATATCATTTGCACTTCTATCTGTTAAGCCACCTAACAACAGTTTTTCAACAGCGTAACCACCTAAAAAACAAGTAAAACTTTCGTATGTTAAACTTTATACCAACCTAATAGAGAGGCCATTTTGTCAGTTTTTTCTTCAAATTTCGACAATAAGCTTGCATGTTCGGAAAAAGTTGTGCAGCCCAACTTCCAATCTTCGCCAACAATATTAACCTTCTTTGGTGGATCAGCGTTCTTTAGGAACCAACTAACAATAGCATGACCACACTTGTGGTAACTACTATAACTCTCATCTCATCATTTTTTGAAAATTTTTTGTTCTCTTGATTGTCTTAGCTTCAATGCTGTGGGTACCAATGCCCTATTTTCATTATCTTTGTTTAAAGAGAACAAAAAATTTTCAAAAAATGATGAGATGAGAGTTATAGTAGTTACCACAAGTGTGGTCATGCTATTGTTAGTTGGTTCCTAAAGAACGCTGATCCACCAAAGAAGGTTAATATTGTTGGCGAAGATTGGAAGTTGGGCTGCACAACTTTTTCCGAACATGCAAGCTTATTGTCGAAATTTGAAGAAAAAACTGACAAAATGGCCTCTCTATTAGGTTGGTATAAAGTTTAACATACGAAAGTTTTACTTGTTTTTTAGGTGGTTACGCTGTTGAAAAACTGTTGTTAGGTGGCTTAACAGATAGAAGTGCAAATGATATGGAAAAGGCTACGGAAATAGCCTATGAGGCTCTTAATTAAATTTGGCATGGTAAAGGAAATTGGGCCAATCCGGATCAATTATCAAGATTGTTCTGAATATTCAAAAGGCAGCTAAAAATTGGTTGATGATCGCGGCTAAAAAATTAATTGATGGTGCACTGGAAAAAGCAGAAAAATTGTTAATGCAAAAAATAATGATACAAAAATAGTAGAAACCGAAAATATGCTACAGCAGTCTGGAGACGTCTGTCTTTAGTTATGATAATTACCTACATGTCTTTGTGATTTACTCTTTCAATTTTATTATTTTTCCCTTCTAAAAACAGTTAAAAAAATAACCTGCTTTTTTAGATTCG